CAGCTGACTTTTAAAGAACTTTGATCTCTTACCCAATGGTGGAAATTCAGGTATCATTTGAGAGGCTCACATCCTTAATTTTCTGACAAGACAACATCGTGAATGGGGATTTGACACCTAAAACATTTTATAAGTTTCTCACAATAGCTGATATTCCACACATGAATGCACATGTCCACCATGTCCTCTATAATTCCCACCAAGCTCTTATCATCGGGAACATAAACACTATTGATAAAAACTTAAACATTAATGATTTAGTTTTTCATTTCAGATTAGTCATTCTGAGAAATTCATTCAGAATATTTGAACTTTATTTTGCACAATATTTTCAGATTTTGAATAAGTGCAGGTCATGTTATTATTGCACAATAAAATTTGTTTCTTTCAGATATTCACATTTTGGGATGCATTCCAGGCACCGCAGAGCGTTGAGAAAAATGGGGGGTCTAAAAAAAGTGAGGGGGCTAAACCGTATAAAAAGAGGCTTTACTGGTTGTTTATCACTTAATATTTGGCATTTTTTGCAAAAAGTGGGGGGGTGGGGCTAAAGCCAGAGCTCATTTATAGTGTTTTGTGCCTGCAAGTGCAAAGCCGAGTAAAAATGTGCCTGCAAGTAAAATAGAATGCAATTTATAGTCAGATATTGATGATTAGAGAACCTCCCTGTTATGCTCAGTACTGTTAAATCAACTTACGTTTGTCAAAAGCAGATGCCATATCACTATCATCATTAACTACATGTAATTACATGTAAAACTGAACAAATGCTACTAGCGTTACATTATGTACATAAAGAAGGGAATGATCCAGTTTTTATCAAAGGGTCGTTTTGGGTTGTCAAATAGCCCTATCGCTGTTATCGATTTTATCAAATGAAGACATCTTCAGTAAAAACGCTTTCTGATATCTTGAACTCTTTACTTTAATTGGAGCAGTTTTATTTACAACAACTTCTTTCAAAGTTTCTGAATTTAGGATTTCGCTTTTGTTGCCAAAAGTTGCAAGAATTTCGACATTACGCTGGGTTTTTCTCATTTCAAAGATATAAAAAATAGCCATGAAAGATCCAATTTCCAATTACTTTCGTTGAAATGTCTCATTATAAAAAGTCTTATAAGAATACTTTTTATAATAAGACGTTTACATGCTTAAGATTTGATTATTTTAATATGAAAATGCTTTCACTCCAAAAATCAAAGAAATAGAGGCTTGTCTGTGTTGTCACAAATTGTCGAAAAATTTTTTTATGAATTATTTGGAGGTGTACTAAGAAATTTTGCTCGTCAGAAATCAATAGCCACCAGATTCAAAAGCTTGAAGATTTTAACTTTAAAGAATGTGCTTTTTTCAGCCAACTATGCACAAATGAGTTTTACAAGTCATAGCATAATACTCTGAGAAAAAAGCGATACAATGCGAGTGATCTCTTCCACCAAGAGATAAAAGGTGAAAAGAGACAAACAGAAGACGTGATTTTGAGAGTCAAATGGCGCCTTTAGAGTAAGAACCTTCTGTCATTTTGGTAATGAAGACTTTCTACTACTACATTTTATATTTTATTTGACTGTTCAATTTCAATGCAAAAAAAATTGCTTAAAGAAAGCATGACTGTAACACAATAAAGGTAAATAAAATCAATTCAGAAATTTGCTGCGGAAAGTCCTGAGAATGAACTCCTGTGCCTGCGAGCGCCGCTGGCTAAAGCCTCCCAGCCCCCCCCCCCTGCTCCGCGGTGCCTGCACTCAAGTACTGTGCCCTTCCTTAGGCTAATAAAATTATACTTTCAATGTTAATTTTAAGTATTTGGCTGCTATGCTTGAGAAGTGGGCTCTTTATGAGTTTGGTTGCGAGATATAACTACTCCTTGTAGACATAATGTAATGTCATTATATATTTATCTTTTCTTTTATTTCTTTGTGCCTATAAATTTGCCTTTTGATCCGTTTATCTATTATATTTTCCTTATTGCGTGATCAAAGGATCTTAGGCTCTTGGCATAAAATATTAATGCTAAGTATAATCATTTTTTGTCCTTTTTATTTGAGATTCAAGTACCTCTCTTTATTCCTTTTGTTTTCAGGTGGTTTATTCTTCCTCTTGTTCATGTTTGAAAGATTTATGTCGCTTTTCAAGTGTAATCAAAACAAGTCAATAACACAAGCTTTTAGAATTCAGATGTCCAAACATTTGCTAGTTTTATTTAAATGCGAGTATTTGCTTGAGAATAGCTGCAAATGGAGTAATCCAGGGGGTTATTAGACAAACGATGTTTATTTTTGCTTCTACGTAAACAACATCTGTTGCTACTGCTGATGCCTCTTTCTCAGGAGTGGCTTGAAGATGCCTAATGTAAGGTAGCTTTTGTAATTCACGGAACTTCGAATTGGCTGGGTTGACTGAGGTTCGGTATACCTTGGACCAGCCAAAAGAAAGGCCAGGGGCCAGAGGGTTTCTAGCCAATTGTTCTTTGATCAACCAAAAGACTCAGGTCCTGGACACTGTTAGCTCAGCACCGTCGAAAAGGTCTGCGTAGCTGCAGATGTGGCCTTAGATCAAAACTAAATTAGATCTTAGATCTCAATTGAATTGCCGACGGCTGCAGCGCCTATTTCTCTGTGCGGGCGTGATCCTCCTCTCGCCCCCTTTCCATTACAACGGCCCTGGGTACAACGCCTGCAGCACCGCGTAACATTGGATTTATATTTATTCCACATTTCGACTTGGTAAGTCGGTGTAACAAAGCCAAGTCAGATTTAAAATACAACCCATTTGAATCATATTAGTTCTCCACCACATACTTTTAACTTTGAATTGTAGTAGGTATTCTATATTCTCCTCAAAACCAAACACCTGTTTATTAATTCTGCATGTAAAAAATTATCAAAATTTCCAACCGTTTTTGGCGAATTACTTTGCATTAACCAATTATCAAAGCCACTATTGCTCACCTGGGCAGCGCTATGTGCCCGTATAGGCCCTTCTTGTTCTTTTCAAAGACTATTCAAAGGATCCTTGTCAAGCTTCTTGCAATCTAAAAACTATGGCCCGCCTACTTGCTGCTCTAACGTGGTCGTATTTGTGTTTGAGGAAGACCCGAATGCAGCATCATTGTTCAACGTCATCTTTTTTACATTTATCATCTACTTGACATGAGAGGAATTCCTCTTCCTGAGAAACAAAATGCCATTTTGATTTTTTCTTTGGGCACTGCTTTCACTGTCAGTGCCGTAGCGAAATTATATCGAAGGGGTTTGGGTGTTTCACGAGCCTGTCAGTTAATTTGTTTTTGTTGTTGTTACCATCTAGATTCACACGAAAAAATTCCTTGTTTAGTTTTCTGACTTAATCTTGCTTTAATTCTTCTTTGGTGGGAACACGATAAAGAACATCCCTCCCCCAGTGGCTCGATCCTTCGAAGGCTACCTTAAGCCGAGAACCCACTCTGGAAACCTAAATTTGAAGTGCTCAGGCTACCGGAAATCTCTAAGAAGAGTAGCCCCCCCCCTCCCCCCAAAAAAAGAAAGAAAGGAAACACAATTGCACCTTACGTATATTTTTGTGTGTGAATTTTTTGCACATAAAAAAGGTAAACTTAAAAAAACAAAGTTGTACAGGATTGAATTAACAAGGCCTTTTCTGTAGATCTCTGTTAACAAGGCTTTTTCCCCGGTTTTTTCTGTAGACACTCTGAAAAAAGGGTCTTTTGAACAAAGTCCATTAAAGTATCTTTTGAACAAAGTCCATAACCTTTCTCCGGTCAAAATTTCCCTTGTTAAAATCTTCCTTCAATTTTTCAGGCAATCACCGTGGATGGGGGCTAAAGCATAAGGGGTGACCAGATTCCAGAAAAGTTGTTAACCTTCCTCCAGACAAAAACATCCCAGAAGGCAAACCTTCCTCACAAACAATAGAAAATGGGCGTGGCTTGGGTGTGTCATAGGAGCTTCTATTGTTTTTCGTGGACCTTCCTCCGGTCAGTGGCCGTGCGACCGTAATGTTTTCCTGACTCTGGGGGTGACAGACACTACAATTCGATACTAAATTATGTGTTAGGGCCGATGGTAAAACTTAGCTAGAACTACATTCAAAACATTACAGCTAAAGAATAATATTTCGTTTTGAATGTCGAATAAACAAATCGAAACAGACATGCTATAATATAAATTGAGAATTTCAATACCATGGAACACGAACAGTATTATCTTTTCAGACGTATTTTCTGGCCTGGTGGTAAACAAGAGAGTGGCTCCCACCATCAATCGACTCTGCAACAGATTCAATGTTTTGAAAGCGCAACAAAGATACAAGTGCAAAATAGGTTGTCTCGATTGTTGTTCGAAATTCTTTTTTACCAAAACCTTCCACCAAATTTTATTGTTACTCAAACCTTCCTCCGGTCAATGACCGTGCGACCGTAATTTTTTCTGGACCCTGCTTTAAAATGTTCTGGATAACCTATGACGCTTTCTGTGATGGAAGCTGCGAAAAGTAAATGATAGGGTTTTTGGCACACAGCTAATTATCTTGGCTCCTACAGCATAGATTCGAGTTTCTTTTCACGTCTTTTAGAACCACCAATTGTTATTGTTTTTGCTTTGTCTTGATCTTTTAAGTAGTTAGTATTGGTTATATCTCTGCGTAATTACCATTCACTTCAAATATAGATAACCTGACCTCGCTCAAGGATCATAATATTTGTGTAATTTGTGATTTGTACTGTTTCGTCTCATTTTCAACAAATTTAGATATATCAAGGATGATCTGGTAAGGTAAATGGTGACTAAAGTTTGCATACGACTGGTGGCTAGGCAAATCCAGGTTTTATTTCCTGTAGCATTATCACAATTCATGTCTCTTCAATATTGCGTAGGCAGCATTCCAACCTTTAAATTATACCTGTGTTTATGTCTATAGTTTCGTCTGTGTTTATATTCTCAGACTATTTGAAAATTATTCAGTATGTCATCTCACAATGCTTTCTCTTCTGAATTTCATAGACTGCAGAATATTCCAGCTCTTCTGATGAGGAGGATCCAGAAATGAGTCCATACAGAGAATCGGCCAGTCAAAGTGACTCAACAAAGGTAATTTTTTCGTTTCCTTTTATTGTAAAATTAACTAGCATGTTATTTGAATCTTTTTCAAGTAAGCATATTCATACTTGTATGAAGTTTGGTACTTTTTTTAAAAAGTTAATAGCATGTTTCCAGCTGTCTCAGTAAAAAACCAACATTCGGTTGTGTCGTTTCATTTCTATCCGTTTGCCGTCATTAGACCCGTAGCTGAACTTCTTAGACGCTCTAGAATAAGAGATGTCGTATAATTCAATTTTCTGGACATTAAATTTGAAGGCAGAGGTGAAATGTTGGGTTAGGCAGAGGTAAAGGAAATGTTGGATCAGGGAAGTTAAAGACTTATTGCTAACAATGAGTCATTGCGTTACGCAATCACGGAAGTATCCGGGGGGGGGGGGGTACTCGTTTCAGCATTTACCTTACTGGGTTATTAGTCCACACACACACACACTAACGTTAAACACACACACTGGCGTGGATTTTTCAAATCCAAAGGAAAATTTTATTGGGATTTTCATCTTTCTTTTTTTCTCATTTTCTTCACGTTTCTAAAGTAAGCTTTGCTTTATGAAAAATTTCTTGTTTCTTTTTCAGATAATTGCCGAGGCTCAGCGAATTCTCTACTCGAGAGAAAGTGTAACAGATGAAGGAAAGGGCAAAAAGGCAAACTGCATAGCCAGAACAACAATAGAGATGAATGGCATTTTAGTGAAGAAAGTCAATAATAACAATAGCTATGTATGCTGGTTTATTTCTCATTATTCTTGAAATTTCCTGTTGTTTAGGTAAATGATAAATCCTAACGTGTTTGTAATATGGTTTTTGCAGAAAAGGACACCTTGACTTAATTTTTCTGTCTCTATTATTAAATATATATTTTTAGACATATATTTCAAGTGTGACAACATAAAATATATATTTTTAGAATTTTATACTTTAGTCCACATAACCTATAAGAATACCATAAAATATATCTGGAAAATGAAAAGGCAGTCAAATATGTAAGTAATTTGGTGAGATAACAACAATGAAAGTTATTTTGGTTTGGTTAATGAAGTTTAGAATCAAAACCAAACTACAGTGATTTGATGGAGAAAGAGCCTGTACTCATTTGTCCGTCAAAAGATAAGCCAATTTGTAGCACATCCAATTAATTTGGCACATTTAGAGGAATTTAATGAATTTTTTTTTGTAAGATCACCAATTAAGAACTCACTTGCTCATTAATAAAAACTGAAATAACTAAAGCTGCAAATTCAGTATTAAGCAGAATCAAGGACTTAAAGTTTGTTGTTATATTTTGAAAAAGAAGTTTAAAAAGTAGCTTTTGTTTTATAGGATATGTTATATATTTGTATAATTTCGTAAATCTACTTCCCATGTAGATGCATCAAAATTATTTGTAAATACTAAATAGCAAATTTTGTAAATATCATGTTTGTGAAATCAGGTAGAAATGGCTTTTTTAATATGCCAGATCTAATTGCATTTCAAATTATCTTTTTGAATATACCTACCTGAATAGACATTGAGCACCCCCACTTCATGTACACCTTCTTTCTACATAAGAATGAACGAGATAAAAATATCCGCTGATGTTCTTGGCATTTTTGGAACAAGATTTTCAATGTGTGGTAGGATCTTCTTTCTATTAATGCATGTCTAATTTCGTTTCGTTGCAGGAGAAAAACAAAAAGTCAGTCCGATTCAACATGGACAAAATCCAGCTACACGAATACACTCTCGACACAGCCGACAGTATCTCTTCGATATCATTTGACGATGGGGCATTCATTGCGAATGTTCTTGATGCCAGTGATCTTCTGGCGAGTGACAGCGAACTTAGCGAAGACGACGCGACAGACTCACCAGCAGCAAGAGAGGATGTCAAATTTGCGTTCTCGGACACTGAAAAACGCGATAATGACGATTTTGACCCGACTTCAAGTATCGACTCATTTAATTCAGAGGTAATTTTTAGCCTATTTCTAACCTATCTTTTTATTAAAAATCCCCCAGCCTATCTGCTAGAGAAAAACCAGTATTTTTACTGCAGATTCTGCATCGTCAATTTTCAAAAACAAATGCAACTATCCTCTTCTCTGCAAATACAATTTAACTTATTCCAATTATAGTCCCCCGAATAACGTTCCCTCCAGTTATCAGCCCCCTAAAACCGCCTTTGAAATGTTTTAAGTGCTGGGCTTATATATTCGGCATTTTACGGTATCTCGCCTTGCACCGTTAAAAGAGAGACTTTGTTTCGATGTGATTTGATTTCATTATCCAGTTTTATTGATTTGCTTCAGCCTGTTAATGTATTTGGTTGGGAACCTCTAAGTGCAGATAAATAAGTTCATTAATTATTCTGATTTCTGTAGGGAAATTGTGTTCGTAGTATGCGGGACACCAGTAATTTTGGAGGTTGTATTTTCATGCCTGTACCCGTTTTCTTGCTAATAGGACCTTGGCCTTCCATCGCTTCCAGCCAAACCCACGGATGATCCAACCATCGAAAATTTGTCACAAGAAAAGGAGAAACTACAGAACGACATCGTATCTCTGAGGGCAGAGTACGATAAAGAGGTTAGATGATAATTAACTTTCATACACCACATTGCTTTGGCTGCTGTATGCCATTTTGACCCTTGGCCTCGCTTTCAAGCTTAATTTTGCTGGTTTTGAATGGGCCTTTGCTGTTTGGGAAGTTCTAGCTGCTAGCGTGAAAGCAACCAAAACTTCGGTAGAAATCGTCAGCTGCGCGAAATTGATTGTTTGATCAGCTTTTTGAAGTACAGTGGAATCCCTATATGACGAACCCCGGATATAACGAACTTCCCGGTATAACAAACTGAATGTCTTGACTCTTTAGATTCTGCCTAAAGAACTCCTTACAAATTCAATTTTTAGGTCCCTTCATCAAAATTACCCTCGAAATAACGAACTTTTCATAAATTTTTCATCTGTTATTTTTGTTTATTTATTTTCGGTGTATTTATCACTTTTTCTTGGGGGGAAATCACTTTTGCAATCGGCAAATCGAGCCGATGATACATTTCAAGCACCAGCTGATAGGATCAGTGCACGAGATGAAAGTTTGATTGGGTCAGAAATTACTGCGAATGAGTACATTGACACTAACGAATACCTCTTTACATATTCAGGAACCAACTTAGATTGAAGGGATACCAGCTTTGCCTATGTTTTGGTTCAAAATTATAATAGGAACATTAAGATTTTCATTTTCAATGACCAACCAGTTGTATTATTTGAATTTAGATTGGTTTCTTTGGAGTTAATTATGCACAGAGGCTGGAGATAGCCTTAACAAGCCCACCGCAGGTTTTTAAGCGTGAACTGCGAATGGACCCCAAAAACGTTATCTCTCGGTTTAACGAACTCCCGATATAACGAACTATTTTCTGGTTCCCTTCAGAGTTCGTCATATCGGGATTCCACTGTATCATATTGTGAGGTGTATGGCTCTGGGTCATTTCCAAAATTTTACTCAATGTCAGTTTAAATCCTGAAAAGAAGTGCTTATGTTAAGAGCCATGGCTCTGATGAAGCCCCGTTTGCCGGGGCAAAATATTAGCCTTCACTGATTTACGTGTATTTATTGTTTTTAATTCTCGGCGTATTGCGGCGTTTCTTATTTGCTACATTTTTATCGACTTTTCGCCGCAAGAACTCTTTGGAGCCCGTCGAGCAGCCTGTTACAGTGATCTTTTCTTCATTCACACATACCTTTTTTTGCTGAGCCTCAACATTCTTTAATCATTTTTAAGCGACATAAGGTATAACCGGGTTACATTATAGTTTTAATGACTCAAAGGCCAGATACGTCTACTTCAAGACATACAGTAGAAACCCACATAAAAGAACCTAGGTTTTTTTCTGGCAGCCTGAATAGGTTCTTAATTAACAGGCTACTATTTTAAATTCTAGTCTAAAAGGTTCTTAACAAGGTTCTTATATACGTACAGGCCTTGCATACATTAACAATGTTTTCCACCGCAAGAATTCCATTATAATGTTAAATTTCAACCAATCAAATGAATTTGTGTTGATAGATTGTCCAATTAGAATGCAACATACCATAGCCTCATTAACTCTAAGCTGGTACAGTATAATTTGCCAGTGTGAATAAACTTTTCTTATATATATATAAGAACCTTTCCAAATTTCAGCCTTTTGGGGGTTCTTAATTATGGGGTTTAAAGGATTAAATTTCAGCCTCAAGGTTCTTATAAAAACAGGTTCTTTTATGCAGGTTTCTACTCATAGCATGAAACTCGCGTTTGTTTTGCTTTCCAAAAAGATTCAAATAAGCAAAAAATTAATTGTTTGCGCAGTTTGAGCACCTGAATGTCAGTGATTCTGAGCCTCAATCTTCTTATAGACTTTATTCTTATGATAAAAAGTGTTTATTGTTAAAAACTTTTTCTTAAGGTAAACTGCCTTCTTGTAAACGAAAAGTGTTTTCTGCATTACTTAAAGTGATATTCGGAAGCTAATTTTTTTTACAATGTAAAACCTAGGCTAACGATTTCTTAAAATGTTCCAACGTGCAGGTAGAATCAACGGTATCTGTTGCAAAAACAAATGACAGCAATAGAGCAAAAAAGCCAGCTTGTGAAATGTGATTAGTTTGTAGCAGAGGGGCAGATCCAGAGCAAATTTGAATGGGGGGGGCGCTGAAAAATTTTCAGAAAATGATGGCGAGTGTACGCTGTATTCACTTTGTAAGGGAATTTTTCACAATGATTGTTGTAAACTTTGAGAAGATCCTTGACGTAAATGAACCTAGAAGTCTCAGAAACTTTTTCGCCTGATTCTCATTCTTCAAAAGAGGCGCACAATTTCCAAAAAAGGGGCGCCATACTTTCTTCAGCACGGCGAGGAAGGGGCAACTGGCCCCTGCCCCCCCCCCCCCCTTGAATCCGCCAGTGGATAAGCAAGCTTAGACTATATTTAGGCCTAGGTGCAATTTGCAAAAAACGCGTTGATTCATGGAGGAGTAGGCAAAGCATTTGATTATCTGGTTGAGTGTTTATTGGAACCTGCACATTTTTTGCCTTTCGGAGTCCTATCTTCCTTATAAAGTACATTCTAATTATAAATAACTTGCAGACAAATTATTTCTGTAGTAACTCAACTTGTGATGGAGAAGGATCAGAATGTTTGTTTGGAAATATCTTATCTCATGTTTAACTGGCCGTTACATCGGTTTAATCAAGGTGATTATAAAAATCACGTAATTATCAAGAAAAACTGTCCCTTGCGGGAGCACCGCTATGTTTAGTTGCCAAGCCTCTGTTCAGTTGCCAAGCTACAGGAAGTTGCTATGCAGATGATCCCCGCACAATTCTCACTGTTTTGCAAATAATAGAACATGACCATCAGTTTCCTCTGGTTGTTGTCACAAATCTGACATTACGTCAAACATTTGTTGTTCTGGTCTGCTGTCTTCTAATCCCTTTTTTGTCCGCGGCTCTTGGCCTTGCTGATACCCGCTAGCCCTAAACCTAATTTTTTATGGAACCTCAGCCTCTTTTGAATTTTGACCAACTTTAGGCTCGTGTTACAGTATCAAATACTTCTCGATGATCACTTGTTACGAACTGTCTCCTATGTTCCCTTCAGGGGTGTACCATCAAGGGGCTCTTGGGGCTGTTCCTCCCTTTTTATTCTGAAATGCTTACTATTGAATTTTTTGAGAAATTGTTTCGAGAGCCCCCTTGTCTTCTCGTATTTCAATAGCACTGTACTTGTAATCGAGGGGCAAATCACTCCATGAAAATCTTGTACACCTTTATTGGAAATCCTATAGTGAATTGTCACTCACCGGTAATCCTATGAAAGGAATATTGAGACTCTTTTTTTTTCATTTCATTTTTTTTTCATTTTAAAATTATTTATGCACGGTAGCCCCGTCAGTCATGACTGATTTTCAGGGGGCCGTGCCAAAAACTTTACAAATTAAAAAATCTACTAAAATTAATAACAAAAAAAGGAAACTAATTACAATCATAAATAATTTATTTACAACTATTTGCAATAAATTTACAAAAAACCCTTTATCCTGTTCTTAAAAGAAGATAAAGAGGGAGCTTGCTTGGCCTCGCGGCTGAGATCATTCCAGATTTTTGCTCCACGAAATGCGAACGCTTTCTGTCCTTTACTAGTTTTCATGAATGGCACTAGCAAGTCAGTTTCGGCATTTCTAAGGTTGATACAATTGCGTTCAGAATTTCTAACAAATAAATTCGAGAGATAATCAGGCGCGAGACCATTAACAGATTTATATACAGTTGTTGCAGTCTCACTTCTGATCATATCCCTTACAGTTGGCCATCTTAACTCTGTAATCAAAGCTTCAGCAGGAGCATCGTAGCTGCTATTTGTAATAATTCTAGCGGCTCGATTCTGCAATTTTTGAAGCTTAATTCAATAAACTCTAACAAAAAAGTTTGAAAATAATATTTCCAAAGAAGTTTGAAAAGGTTTTTCATTTGACATTTAAGAAAGGTTGTTCAAGCACTTTCCTTGTGCCCCCATGGCACAGCACTGCTACACCCTTTTGGGGCAAAGTCTCGGTCCACTACGTCCTCTCATGGCGGTCCTTGTGTTCACGCCGTGGCGGGTTGCGAACCGTTGTATCTATTTACACAAAATTTGACAGCTAGTGAGAAGCAGTCTGGTTTGTTTATTGTAATTAGTGTGCGGAGAGATTCGAATAGGATGTAGTTTTTCGTCGATTTCAAAACCTGTGAGTATTGAAGCAAAGTTTTTTCACTTTGAAGATATACTTTTCAATTGACATCTTCTTTATCTTGCCCAGTTTTCTTGATTTGCTTAAAATTATTTTCTATGTTTCTCTTTAAGTTTCGAAACTTGCTTGCTTGTGATACATTGAAAGGAATGTTTCTTATTTCTGATGGCACAAACTGATTTCTAATGATTTGACTTATCTGATTTGGATTTAGTTGTGCTGAATATGTAGTTTAGCGGTTCCGGGGTTCAGTCATTGATCTCCCCTTTCTTTTGCATCGTCTTGGAAGAGACAGATTTTTGCAAGCCTGTGTGTGCAAATCGAAACCATGTTAAACTTGCCTGTGTAGTCACTCTTTTTGTATCATATCCATGTACTAAATGTAAAGAAAGATAACAAAATATTCATTTTGAAGTCCTTAATGCGACTTCTTTTAAAATAATTAATTATCGAATAGATGAATTGTTAATTAATTTGATGCAATAGCTGTCGTTGAAAACTGGTTTTGCTGTAAACTTCATCTAACTGATCATAACCTCGCGACATTCCCAAGGTCAAAAGATCACGATTTGCTGAAACTTGCAGATGCTCGCAGCTACACGTTGACAGAATCGTACATGTTTTCCAACCTGCAGGTTTACAGAGGGGGCGTTCTTAATTTGAATTTCAAAGAATCAAATCTCCCAGGGCATAAAACGAAGAACTTTAATACTTAGGTACATGATTTGCAAATAACCATTCCTACTTCCCACTTCTCTCAAAATGATAATTGCAAAATTCAACATGGGTCTTCTTTCCTGCGTGTGCCCACAGTGTGTGCCCACAGTGATGACGCCGAGGTGGTATCAGGGGTAACTAGAACCACCCCCACTTTTGTACTACCACGGAAAATAAGGCTGCCAGAAATTATAGCAGTAAAGTGCTGCAAATAGGGTGGTCTCTAAATTTCCAGTAGATTTTCCCCCAAACTTCACACCAGCTTGCACCTCTACTTTCTGTTCATACCCACTCTACAGTGCCATTGCATGTTGTATGGGCTATACATATGTATGAGGAGTTGAGATTCAATAAATATACTAGATTGCATGCGGTACAATATAATGCTATAATAACGATCAATGTAAGTTAATTGTACCAGGAAAAGTTTTTTAAATAAATAACGGCGTTTCGAGCATAGCCCATTATCAAGTCTATATGAGGAGTTGAATTACCAACCAAAGCTACATATCTTTTGTCTGACAATGTATGATTTTTGTGTGATTGGTGTCAAGTTTTAACTTGTTCTTTTTTGTCATACTTGAGCAAGGACTGAAATACAGGGGAGAGGGCTGTGGGGGCCTTGGCCCCCCAAAAACTTACGTAATTATAAGTAAAATACTTTTATTTTGTAAAATATAGCTGTTTTTCACTTATTTATCAGAGCTGGCCTCTCCCCCCCCCCCCCCTCCCTCAAACGAAAAGTTGTATCTCTGTGTTTGTATTTGAGGTGAAGCTGATTTCTTACCAGCATATCTTGAAAGTCAGGGTTCACCTACCATTTGAATTGTTTATCCCGTTTCGTTTTTGTATCTTGCTAAAAATGTCATATTGTATTCTTTAGATGAAGAAGCTAAGAGAGGAATATCAGACAAGAAGAGAAAGTTATATGACAGAATTAGATGAGCTGAGGCAAAGCATTGATGAACGGTAATTTGACATGTTTGTATACTTAGAAATGCCTAAGATTCAGCCAATCCTAAAGACTTTTTGATATGAAAATAGCATTGTGCACACCACAGCATGATTTTGCTGTCATATGAATAGAACATATGTGAGGGTCATCAGGGTTCACAGAACAGAATAATTTGAAGAAAATTTGTCACAGATTACAGAAATCTAGCAATTTGGCTGTGGCAAGGAATTCTGCACATTTGCAGAAAAGGTATTTTTCAAAAATGATATGAGGATTACAATTTTTTTAAGTTTAAGGGCTTGTGAAATGCTTCACCTGTTATCTTGTAAAAAGGGTCTGGTCACAAAATGGTCTGGTCACACCTATCAACAGTTTTAAGGAGGGTATTTTGGCTAAAAACGATTGGAATGGCAGACTTCAGCTTAAAATTGAATGGAACGGCAGATTTATACCCCCTCTGCCTTGATGATCCCCACACATATCATGAAAAGTTTTCTTGCTTTGGCTACAAAGCTAACCTAATGTTTTTCCCTTTTGTGTTTGTGATATTTTGCTATATGTTTCATTTAGGGACCTAAGAAATAGTTTGCATATAAAAGTGACTATCATCATAACATTGAAGAAAACTATGCAGTTACTATTATTATTCCTTTTTTAGATTAAATTCAAGTTATTATGCAGAGAAAATGAAATCTTATGAACAGGAAAAGGTGAGGAGCTGACACACTGTTTTGTTTTGAACAAATTTTTTTAAAGATTCTCCACTTTCCTTTCGCTGATGTCAATTCCAGCTCATGCCCTAGGGCTGTAAACTGTGACAGCTGTAAAGGAAGCCGGGGATATGATTCTTACAGGCTCTCTCAGTACATCCACCCAAGAGTCTATTCCCTTTAGATTTATAGCCAGAGACTGATTGGCTGCAGAAGCAATGACAGACACCTGGGGGAGCGAGAGGGTGACCAGGGCTTGAAAAAAGAATTTTCTTCCTGGCAGCAAAATAAAAAATTCAAGATTTCCTGCGAAGCTTTGAAAAAGTTTCCAGGCACTGAAAGTGATATTTTAAGTTGCTTGATATGTTTTTGAACAGCAATCATTTCATTTCTACTGCATTAGATGATCAAGTAAAATGTGATTGAGCATACTCATAGTTTGTTTTCAAGGTTAAAGTTAGTAGATCTGAAAATCAAAATTAACTTTGATTTAATTTCATACTAGCAAACTAGATGCTTTTGAAATATTGATATTTCCCATATCTTGCTCTGGGTTTCATGTTTGCTGCTCATTTTTATCATCAAAGCTAGTATTTCATACAACATGTAAGAATGCTATTTTATTTTTCAATGGTTAAAATTAATGTTTTAAGTCAGGGGTGGTGCTAGAGGCAAAGATGTAATCCCAAAACGCTTACATTCTATTAAGCTAGCGATGAAAAATGAATGGGCACATCTACACAGGTTTTGAGGCATGTTCATCTTCAATACAATTGATGTAACAAGGCTGGCTGTCTTTAAGTGTTTTTACTTATCTAGAATGGCTTATTTTAAAAAGAGAAATGAACTTTGTTTTACCTTGCTTGAATTAAATTAGTAGCTGAAAATCATGCCCGAATAGCTGGAAATTTGGTATAACAAAAGCTGATGATACCAGATGATTGTATTTTGAAAGCTAATCTTTGTTTTTTGTTAGTAGTGCAGAGCAAAAATTATACAGCGTGTATGTATATGACAAGAAAACTGCGTTTTGTAGAATGAGAGTAACATAAATTTGATGTTCATATCAAAATCAAGCAATGGAGATTTCACTCTTAAAAATTTCTTGGCGAACATCAACAATTTCCGGCAATGAATTTCCGCCAAACATTTCCTGGCAGCGCTGCTAATGGGCTGCCTGACATTTTCCAGCCCTGGGGGTGACCGCCCCCCCCCCCAATACTTAAGAGGACAATGGTCTTTGTTTCTAAAACAATGGGAGATGTGACTGAATGAGTTTAGTTTTAAAGTAATGTAACTTTCTCTGCTCATGCTCCCTGCTGATGGCCCTAGAAATAGGATTTTGCAGAAGTTTGTTGAAATCCTGTCCCGTGATTCAGTTGGTGCCAATAGGTCTTGCAGTTTTTATTTCATGTCAGCATCTATGTCTTATGTTTCTATGTCTTCTCAGTTACCATAGTTTTGCCTAGTTAAATGCAAAGAGTCTCTAACGATTCCTTTTCATTTTATAGCAATCAATGGAAAATCTAGAAGAGGACCTTCTAAAGAGGAAAAAGCAATGTCTCGAAAGGGAAGAGGAGGTGTGTTTGTTGATAACTAGTAGCCAATGTAGCCAACAGTTAGCCACCTTTCTGGGATGAACTTAACCCTAGAACAAATTCGCCTCATAAAGAAAAGTAGCAGTTCCAATAAAAACGTAGCTAAAGATTAAACTCGTGGCGGTTTTTCATTTTGAACTTCTATCATGTCCAAGAAATTGTATTGATTTTATTTAAATACAATTGAAATAGTTTGGTTATTTACATATCTGTTAACAGGTGATTACATCCTGAGACCATTTTTAGTTTGATTTCAATAGGCTCTAAAGATACATCTAAATCATCATGTTGAGGGTTTTTGGCTAAAGGTCTCTGAGATGAAAAGTTTTCAAAACCGTTTTGAAAAAGGCCTTCTGAGAAAAGGTGCTTTTGGCTAGTATATAGTCCTGATGATTGCAGAGAAAATCAACTAGAGAAAAAAATTTCTTTGAAGTCAAATCTTAAAATCAGTGATTTTTAGAATTATGCAAAAGTAGATTATAAAAAATCATCTACAGAGTAAAGTTTAATTAATTTACATCTTATCACATCTTTGATCTGACTTTTAAGAACTTCAGCACTGTGCTTTTGAAAAATTTACAACTTCATATTATTTTTTAGATTGAAGAATACGAACAGTACCTAGATAAAAGGCATGCTTCCTTAAATGACAAAGAAAACGATTTGAATACTCTACAGGATGTAAGTGTCGAATCACAGTCCAGTATTCTTACTTTATTAATCGTATTTAAATCAATTATAAAAGTCACCTTTACGTCTCTGTATTGTTATTAATTTGGTGCTTTTTATGGTAAGAAAGTGGTACTAAATTGTATCTCTATTTCTTAAAATGATGATAATTATAACACAGATTTGATATAAAAGGGCCTTAGTCACTATAAAATTTTCCTCTCTATCATGCTTAGTTCAAAGCTTTGAATAAATCAAACTATAGAAAAAGTGAAAATATGAATCTCACAACACACTTCGAACCAAAGCGTTTTTTTAAATATTCAAACCCTTTTGCTGATTCTGTAATGGCTCTTATATTTTTTGCTAACATGCAAGACAGTATCCAGATCATTGTAAATTTAATCAGTAGCTTACTTTGTACAACTTTGAAATGTTTGTCTTGAAAAGAAACTTGATTGTATTCTTTCGTACAAACACCGTTGTTTAAACAGCTATGCTTTGACTTAACCTCGCTATGATGCTTGCCTCACCAATGTCAGTGCCACAACATTAGATCGTCTTTCTTTTTTTGTTCTCATAGGAGCTGGAGGAATTTTCTCGTCTACTTCGAAAAAGAGAAAAGGAATTGAAAGCGAAATCTGAGCGAATAGAAAATGAATATAACAAAGAAATTAGTATAAAGTATGTTTTATCTTTTGCTAGGATATCTTCTTAGAAATGTTAGTAGTGTCAATTTGACACCTTGTAAGAAATTTTATCATTTTTCTGCTCTTCTTGCGTGTTAATTTGTAAACGTTTTCACCTTGTCATCACTTGTTAAATTATATTTTTTTAAGTTATGCGACGTTTTCTGAATATTTTGTATAGATGGACTGAGAAATAGATCTATAAATTGTATGATATGGTACAGATGCGATAAATTTTGACTTTCATTGAAAAGATTTCTTATGAAGTAGTTGTCCCACCATCAAGTAAAATTATTCCAAATATTTTCAGAGCATGCACACACGACGAGAAAGAGATACAAGGACTTAGAGAAAAAGTTAGAGAGCTGCAAAATAGTTTAGTTAAAACGAAAATAACCGTTGAGAAAAAAGAGGAGAATTGCAGAGATCTTGAAAACGAGGTAAGATGATTTTCTGCCAGGTTTTTTTATCTATATAGTTTTCTTACAGTTTTATTATGTTAATCTACACTTACTGGCTTTGCGATGTTTTATGAAAATTGCATCATGTTTGTCATCTTTCACACTATGTTGTTTTCGATTCGTTGCCTTAATTATTGTCATATCTTTCCTCTTCTTGAAAACTTTCACTCTTCAGAGTTACATGATGTCATCCATTGAAAATTTAGTCTGTTTTTTGACAAACTCTTATACCTACTGTTTAATTTTTAGCTAAACAAGTTAAAAACGGATCACAAAAAGTTACAAGGAAAGGTCAAGAGCTTAGAGTCGCAGCTGCTAGTTGACAAGAAAATAAACGAAGCGAAGGAAGATTGCAATAATGTGAGAAGGACGAGTGTTATGCAGATGGGTAGTCTGGCCTCGCAGAGGTTCAATAGCGAAATCAGGTCACCGCCTGCTAATCATAAACCCTTATCTGCACGGAACTCTCAGCTTAGACCGCCTATGCAAGGTTCTGCGCTAGGGTCGGACTTGTTTCTGAATTCAAGCTTTAAGCGCAAGATTAGTGAAGCGACTGAAACAAGCTCCGATAGCGATCGCATATCAAACACGACAACACGAGTGGATTCGCGTACCGTGAAGAGCAGAACTTGTGTTGTAATGTAGTCCAAAGTTCAGTCTTATCATGAATGGTTCTAATCGTGCAAAACGGACGATCGAATTACAAATCAAAGTGCCGTTATGTTTAAAAAGCTAAGCCCGGTCGAAGAGTTAAGTCAATTTTAAACACCAAGTACTTTGAAAAATGACTTTGGAAAATGACCAAGTACTTTGGCAGGGTTGACTGGTTAGGCCACAGTCCACCCATTTTTCAAACATTGAAAAATACCTTTTTGTCATATCGACAATTTATCCCTTATCACTTCAAATATAGGTATTGGTTTTGGTATCTCTCACGAAAGCTGCTACACCTGGATCAATGATCTCTAAAATTCCCAAAAATTGCCAGCAAACGATATGAAGTAATTTCATTATTCACAGTCACCATTATAACAGATATGATGGTTCACATTTTGATTTCAAAAAAGGATACGGTGTTTTCATCTTTGTAGTGCAAAGTTGTTCTATTTAATTTGAGGCATTCTTCTAACTGACCGGTATGCTTGGAAATTCGTAAACGTCACTGCGTAGAGTTTCTGGAAATATTTACACTACTGTGTTTCCAAATTTTATGTGGTATTTATTGCCAGTATATATTGTAAATTTAATATTGTTCTGACACTCAGTTTGTAGTGTTTTGTACATTTGATATGCAGAAGCAATTTGAAGCATTGTAATTATCGACATGCTGTAAATTATTACATTATTTACTTTCTGTCTTACCCAGATTCCTGATGTTTGCTGCGCATTATTCTTCTTAGAAAGGCTTTGTATCTTACATAAAATGTCTACCAAAGTTCCATGGAAAGCCCTGTAGCAGAAGATCATCTCAAGCCGCTTCACCATGAAAACAGAGCTTCACCTTTTATGAGATTTCAACATTTCCACATTATTTACTGTGGATGAAAACTTTCTCGATCATAAGGTGCTCAAAAAGCGAATAAAATATTTGTTAATTTCAGATCTATCAAAAATTAGAATCCCCGAACCCGATATCTATTCCCTACAGTTTTTGATTCTTACATTTCGGTGATCTAATTTGAGGCTTGAGTGCTCTGGAAACAACGTAGAGAGGCTCTGGTGACATGTGAATTTAAAGCAAAGATAAACTCCCCTTACTTCAGTGACAGGGATAGCATTAAAAGGTTAAGCTGACCTTGTTTCCATGATTGTCCCCCTTCGACAGGGCCCACGCCACCGGGGGGCCGGGGTGGCCATGCCCCCCCCACTTTTTGTGAAGCAGGTAATTTCAAACCTACAATCTAAGGTGAAAGTAGCGGAAATTCAGGCTTTCATTTGGGGGGGGCCAGGCCTACGATTTTCCGACAAGATGACATCACGGATGTATAATTTCAAAGAAACTGCACATTTTGATAAAAATAGTTGACTTTTTGACGGGACTCTTTAGAAATCTTTGCTGACCACGCCATAATTAAGTAGCAAGAAGAACAATCCATTTATGCTTTTTGATATCAAGATTGATATCTCATCTCATCAAGACAATTGATGATACAAGAGGTAGACCTATAACACTTTTGACAAGTCGTACGTTCATTCTATGCATTTTATCTTGTTTTCGTCAGTGAGAAATACGTTTGAAAATAACTTTTTATTTGTTCAGATCAATCCTATAAAAATTTTGGCTGATCTTCACGGAACTGAAATTAAATACACAATTCACAAGCAGTTTTGATTTTGGTCATATATTGTTTGATTGATTATTTTGTACTGGCTAATATTTTATCAGCTATGCTATGTTCAAATTTTGCACAGAAAGGGCATAGAGAGGTTATAAAGGCCCCTGGGGCAAAAAAGGAAACGTGGATCACCTGCGAGCGGAAGCGAGCAGAAAATTTGGCAATTACGCCCCTTGGATTAGATTAGGGCCCGAGCCCCCCCCCCCCAAACCCACATAATTTCCGTCACTGACTGTTTATATACTGCTTGATTTTATTTGTTCTATTTACTAACTTATTGGGGTATAGTTTATCTAATTGTCTATTATTTGCACCATTTCAGAAGATAACGTTTGCATCCTTGCAATGTCTGCATTGTAGATGTGTTAACATGGCCTACTGAAAATAATCGAGACAAAGTAGATGCACATTTCTGTTCAGGAATTAAAATTTTCTCAATCAATTTTATTTTATTTATTTATTTAAAATACAGGTATCTAGGCCGGGATGGCCCTTAACTGCTTATAATTTTACAGCGATATAAGTGAGTTTTTTTAAAGCTACGAACAATAACGAAACTAATAATTTAACTACAAAGTTATGCAGGCTCTATAATGAACGAAATTCAATAATTAAGGTATAATAATTGTATAAAAATATTAAACGCTTAAATGCTGGGGTCGCTTAGGAATTTCGACCTTTTCTCAAAGGACTTCTTGAAGAATTTTGCTAGAAGTTTTGTTATGTAGTTATCCTCTTGGCTCATTAGCCAAATGAACATATTTAATTCGTCCAATGAAGCAGTATTTGGAAAACTTGTATATATCTCTTCTGAAAATTTGTGTCGTTCCTCATTAAAAAGGGAGCAAGATAAAAGGAAATAGACTTCATTTTCAACTGCGTCAATATTTAGACTTTTACAATACGGACAAAACCTTTCGTCTCTTGGAGTTTTGAGTTTTGTTCTTACTAAAACGTCCAGTTTCAATTTGGAGATTATGAGCACTGACCCTTGGTTTTGCTAATACGCTTCTAATGGTATAATCTTGTATGTAGTCAAGGTAGGGCTCAAATTTGTAAACTGTTTTAAAAGAGGCGTATAAATTGAATTTTTTGTTTTCAGTTATATGTTCATTTAGCCTTTCTAATACTTTTGACCTAAAATGGCTTATCACTTTAGTTTTAATAGCTGTACGAGTTTCCGATGGCTGTATTTCGTATCGTACTTGTAGGTCGCGGGCAAGGGATACCCAGTTAAAGTGGCCATAGTCTGTATCATCTATAAGCATAGCAAACGCTTTGCTAGCGTAGCGTTTTGAATCCAGAGATGATAATCGAGCGAAAAAATTTATAATACAACAGCTTCTTGTTATTCACATCGATGTGCGCTTTGAACCAAAGGTCATCCTCCCTTTCTTACCTCAACGTCTGTCACTAACGTTTTAGCATGACTCCGCCCCTCCCAATTTTGTCCTAAAAGTCAAGAAGCGGTTTTTTGTTGAAGGGTATACAGGAACAAAGCAATACGACGACGAGAATCCAATGTCACGAAATAAATTTTCAAAATAAATTAAATTTAAGAGTATACTAATATTTCGCCCCGGCATACAGGGCGTCATTTACTCTGATGAAGCCCTGTATGCCGGGGCGAAATATTAGTATACTCTTAAATTTAATTTATTTTGAAAATTTATTTCGTGACATTGGATTCTCGTCGTCGTATTGCTTTGTTCCTGTATACCTTTCATTTTAAAATCTCAATGCAAGATTCACAGAATCCGGCGGACAGCCTATCCTGCGGTTCTTCCTTCTCACACTTTTTGTTGAAGATCGTCGAATTCTCTGTTCTGAGGGTTACAGTAATTTGTTAAATTTTAGTCTGGGAGATGAATCTTTAGCCATTCCAGAAGGCTGAATTTTAAAAATTTTCTTTCGCGTCGGACCCAACCATGGTGGGTCCTCCTATATCACTAAACTTTATTCTCAGCTCCCCTCCCAAGTTCATTTTCAGCTTCCCCCCGTCCGTCTCTAAGAAGAGGATCAAATGGACCGAGTAAATTGTGGCAAGTTAGATAAAGTGTGGGCAAATTATTAAAATTTTACTAACCTCAATAGCAACCTTTGTCAATATTTATGGACCAACAACACAGAACCGTAACCAGTGGCGTTAGCGTGAGTGCAGAACTAAGGACCGCATGCTATTCAGACAGAGAATGAGAATGAGATTCAGAATGAGATTCGACATCAGAATGATATACAGAATGAGATTCAATCCGAACCACGAAAGACTAAAACTGTCTAAAATGTATTTCTGATGTTTAATTTAATCATTTCTAAGCCATCTTGTCTAAATGATTCTTTTAGCACCTTTTTACATAAAAAACTGAGAATTGCGGGCGAAATTTTCGCGTTGTTTCCTGTCTACATATGGGGTCCCTATGGTCGAAAAAAGGGTATTTTGCCGGGCACGAAACAATCAACGATATCTTCCAAAAACAAGAAGCAATTCTCAAAATCTTTTCTGCGTAAAAAAGTACAATAAGTAAATTATCCGAAATGATTTTATTTGACAACGAAAGCTCTTTTTATCTGGCAGAACTCACTCGATTTTCCTCAGAATGAGATTCAATCCTTTAGGCCCTCTAGACGTAAACAACACCACTGCATATCAACGAATTGATGCTCAAAACCAGGAGTTTTTCATAAAATCCTCACAATTACAACAAAATATGCCAAATGTAATGACAAATTGTAAATTTTTGCGACAACGGGCTGGAAATGTTTCTTTTCAAAAACGCATATTCACCAACGGTATCCCTGCGATCGATGACCAGAATGAGGCCAGAATGAGATTCGAAAAAGCCGTCGATATCTCCAGAACGAATGAAGTGATTTCCTAAATTCCTTCGGTGTAAAAAACTTTAGCACACTGTTTGTCGAGAATTATTTCACCCAATAACAAACTTTCGCTTTAAATGGTAGAAATCGCTCGATATTTCTCAGAATGACATTCAGAATGAGATTCAATCCTTCCGCCCGCAATTTCATCCGTGGTGTGATCTTGCTGGCAATAGGGTTTCCGACCTGATGCACCACGGGACCAGTCAACAAATCACTTTTGATCGTACGCATTGAATGATTTTGTCGATTCTGTCATCAGGGACTTTCCTCTGGCTAGCAACCCGTTCCGCAAACTCCAAATATCAAAATTGTGCTTTGCTAACACAATCGTGCTTTGCCAGGAATAAAGAGTTGGGTTGAAATTTTCCAAATGATAATTAACGGGTTGAAGTGCTTTTATGCAAATAGGTAGAAAATATTTGGGAAGTTTTACGACGAGAGATTGAATAAATAAGGACGTGATGCTTGCTACATTTTGCAGTTACAGTATTGAATTTACATATATGTTTTTTGGAGTCTAATTAAAGCCTCCAATCTTATTGTTTTGTCAAAATTGGGGAAACCACTATTATAGAGGGTCTCCCATCGGCCATCCCAGGGACTTTCGGGAACAAGGGAACATGACAACAAATGGTAAAAATACACGGGAACAAACGTAAATTTACGGAACATGACGCTCGCAAGGGGCAAAGTGACCCTCATTACAACATAGAGTTTTGTGTTTGCAAAGCACAATTTTGATATTTGGAGTTTGCGGAACGGGTTGCTAGCCAGAGGAAAGTCCCTGATGACAGAATCGACAAAATCATTCAATGCGTACGATCAAAAGTGATTTGTTGACTGGTCCCGTGGTGCATCAGGTCGGAAACCCTATTGCCAGCAAGATCACACCACGGATGAAATTGCGGGCGGAAGGATTGAATCTCATTCTGAATGTCATTCTGAGAAATATCGAGCGATTTCTACCATTTAAAGCGAGAGTTTGTTACTGGGTGAAATAATTCTCGACAAACAGTGTGCTAAAGTTTTTTACACCGAAGGAATTTAGGAAATCACTTCATTCGTTCTGGAGATATCGACGGCTTTTTCGAATCTCATTCTGGCCTCATTCTGGTCATCGATCACAGGGCTACCGTTGGTGAATATGCGTTTTTAAAAAGAAACATTTCCAGCCCGTTGTCGCAAAAATTTACAATTTTTCATTACATTTGGCATATTTTGTTGTAATTGTGAGGATTTAATGAAAAACTCCTGGTTTTGAGCATCAATTCGTTGATATGCAGTGGTGTTGTTTACGTCTAGAGGGCCTAAAGGATTGAATCTCATTCTGAGGAAAATCGAGTGAGTTCTGCCAGATAAAAAGAGCTTTCGTTGTCAAATAAAATCATTTCGGATAATTTACTTATTGTACTTTTTTACGCAGAAAAGATTTTGAGAATTGCTTCTTGTTTTTGGAAGATATCGTTGATTGTTTCGTGCCCGGCAAAATACCCTTTTTTCGACCATAGGGACCCCATATGTAGACAGGAAACAACGCGAAAATTTCGCCCGCAATTCTCAGTTTTTTTGTGTAAAAAGGTGCTAAAAGAATCATTTAGACAAGATGGCTTAGAAATGATTAAATCAAACATCAGAAATACATTTTAGACAGTTTTAGTCTTTCGTGGTTCGGATTGAATCTCATTCTGTATGTCATTCTGATGTCGAATCTCATTCTGAATCTCATTCTCATTCTCTGTCTGAATAGCATGCGGTGAACTAAGGCATGCGGTAAAATAAAATATACGGCCATGTTGAATGAATGTAATCGTAATTTCAGCTACTTAAAGTCACAAGCGGTAATTAATGATAATTGTGATAATAAATTTTGATTTTGAAAGTAACAAATCGTTTGTACTCTAATTCTAATCAATCAAGGGGTCTATTCTTTGCATCACAGGCTCAGACACAGGTTGGAAAGTGAAGGGGGGCCAAGGGAAAAATTATCACCCATGCGAAAAGTTTTTGAAAAAAGCTCAATTGTTTTACAAAAGTTTTTAGAATAACTCCTAGTGCTAAAACCGTTTCGCAAATGATCTCATTCTTATTCACACTCCTCGAAAAAGGCTATAATGCAGCTGGGGATTCCCGCAAAAGGAGCTCTCCATGCAGAGCCTAGGCGAACACGAGCAAAAGTTTCTGCTCATTTTCAACTCTCATAGTTAACAAAGATGACATTAGCTGTAAGAGTTGTTAGAATTGAAGATGCTTACATGTGTAATGGTTTCAGAAAGTTGTTCCTTGTAAATCATCAACTATTTGGCAAGGCTTGCGCTCAGGTCTACCGCATACCCTGGTCCATAAATTCTGACTATACTGGCAAGCCTTTTGACTTGAAATACGGAATGCGGATCATGACAAATAGACTTTGATCCCACTTTGACAAAACTTTTTCTCTTTTTAACAGTCACAAAGTAGAGAACGGAAAATAAATAGATTTGAAATGATGTATCACGTAAAGAATATTCGCAAAAAGCAGCTTATAGGCAGAAAAATGTTGTGGATTATCAAATATTTGGGAATGCTTGCGCTAAGGCTGAACGCAAGCTCCAGTCCGGAAAATTCTCACTGCTCTCAGAAGCTTCTCTCGAGCTGCACTGAAGCTGCACTGGAGCATCACATGTTTCTCTTATTTTGGATAGGCAAAAAGAGTGATGTCGAAGGGCTTCAGTTTTTTTTAGATTTTTCGAATTTCACAATTTTTGGCGATCAGTTTACTTGGAAAAATAGCCAATTGGCATGTTGGCGTTGGAGTTCACTGCATGCTGCTCATGACCAGTAAAAAGAGCCGTTTATTGCGGAAAATCATTTAGCCTTTGTGCAGTCTCAAACACTTCTCTCCCGAAGGAGGCTTCTCTCTTCTCTAGATTAAAACGAAAGCGATGCAGATACACTGATCAGTGTGCAGATAGCAACATATCTAAACATTTGCACTCCTCCAATCATTCTACTGCCGACTGGTCCACCCTTGGCTTATATTGCATGCACTGCAAGACAACCAAACGGAAGACTTTGGAGAAACGTTTAATTTTTAGCCTAAAAATTCTTTATCCCAATGGTCTTAATAAACATTTTGATTTTTATCATTAACTTAAAAATACGTAAACAATAGGTTGGTATGATATAACAAAGCAAAAACACGACGCATAACAAAGCAATAGAAAGCGTAACAAATCTCGGGTGAAACCCCCTGCTTGCATCCATCGTTGAAGCCTTGCGGCGACGATGGTGCGGACGATGTATCTGGTGGTGCAAGTCTGTCACGGAATTTGAAATCGCCAACATGTTGCTGCTCATCAGAACTTTAAGATACAGCAATGTGCACAAACTGAGTGGCGTGGTTTCTAGAAATTTAGTTCCCAGTTTTCTCAATGGATATGAAGATATACCAAGACTATGTGCGAAGAGCTCGATTGCTTGGCGAAATTCGCGAACCTTCCCACAGGCAACGGTCCAGAGGCATTTTTCAACAACCTCGAATCTAACTAAAGGTCATGGAGCTGTCTCAATGCATGTCGTATCATTTGAAGGAAGGCCTGCTCTGAAAATTGAATGGGATGACAGCAGGGCAAGTCATTTTCCGTTTGTATACATAAGGGACAACTGCTTATGTCACCTGTGTTATGATGGCTCTGCGAAGCAAAGAACGTATAATTCTGTAAAGGAAGTTTTTGGGGACCCCGAAGAGTTGACAAATATAGCAGCACAATCGGTAACTTATGATCCAGACCATAAAAATGTTACTATTTCTTGGCCTGATGGACATCAGTCCATTTTTGATTTAACATGGTTCGAAGAAAGGAAGTTCCCAGAATCACTGGAGGATCAACAACAAAACAGCACAAGCTTTGTACCTCGAAAGATTCCTTGGCCAGATAATTTTCGGTGCCCAGAGGCAGATTTCCAGGCCATTATTAATAATGATTTGGATTGTCACGATTGGATTTCGAACCTCGCTACCCATGGCCTCACTCTCATAAAAAATGCGCCTGCTGAGCCAAATACGTTGTCAATTATTGCCAGGAAAGTAGGTGGGTTTATCAGAAAGACTCATTATGGGTAAGATACATTTTCTCTTCACTTTAACTTCGCTTTCCTTAGAGTGACTCTGCGCCAGAGATTTTTGTAGACTAAGATCTGGTGCGCGATCTGTGCCGCCCGAGAAGCACGCCGGGTCCACAGGGGCAGCCCCAATGCTTATGTGTGTCCCTTTCCTCCTACCCAAAGCCATAAACATAAAATGCGTTTAATATGGATTAAGGAGGCCTCGTTTTTTTGTAAAGCATTGTTCAACTTTTCCATTGCAAAAATGATTTTATTTTCTAAAAGGCAGAGGGGCAGTTGCCCCCTTGCAGGGCCCACAACACAAATTTGAAAGTAGGGGGCCAAGGCTAGAAATGTAGGGGGCCAAGGCTTCTTACCCTTTTACTGCAACTTTAAAACTACTTGCTTTGCAAAAAAGTGGGGGCTTGGCCACCCTGGCCCCCCTGGGGTGTGGGCCCTGGCTTGATCCCTCTCATTCAACCAGTGCGCCTTCCCATATTTGTCCTGTGACATTACAGATATATAGTAATTTTCCTTCAATCTTTTCAGTTCAATTTTTTCCTTTACTTTTTTTTGAAATTTTGATACAGGGTGAGCCCCAGATGTAATGTCTGTTAGAGAGAGCCCTGTTGAAACACATTTTGACATAAATGTTAATTATTTACCATAAAACGAAAATTGAATACAAAAATAATAATGATTAGTGTGAAAATTTTTAAGAGGAGTGAATAAAACAAAGTTCAACTTTTTCGTAAACATCAAGGCGTCCCGAGGCAAGCCTTGTTAGGGGGGGGGGGAGGTGTGAATTACAAATTTACCTAATTAAAAAATTTTTGCCTGAAATTCTTTAGTTGCTGTCACAAACCTCTGCAATACATTTTGTCAATCTAACTCTGTATATAATTCACAATTTTCATTTTTATATGATAATAACAGACTATCTTTATAGTTTTGTCAAATCTCTATATCAGGACAGGCAAAGGGACATAGCTACTACCCGAGGTGGTGCATGGTTGCCACCAAAGGAGCAGGGAATTTTCGAATTTTGATGCTTCTAATCCCCAGAAAAACGCACTCTTTTAAGCAAACTTCACTAAAGCAATCCTCCCAATCCTATTGAAAATTATTTTTTTTGCAAACACATTGAACAGCAGATAAAAACAACTGGTACAATTTTGCTGTGGTCTTAAAAAATACCATGTTGTCAGTTACTTCTAAAGCTTGGTAACAAGCAGCAATGGTTGTCAATTTAGATCTCTTTTTCCATCTTAGCATGCCTTTTGAATATCAAAAAAAATCTGGAGTTTGTAGTGAATTGCAGTTGACACTTCTACCGAGAAGCTTTAGGAGAAATGGACACAAGACATAATTTTACCTAACGAGGGCCTGGATTTTTAGATATAGTGCCAACAAGAAATCTTCAAGCCATTAGTTTGTTCACCTTCATTCATACCAAAGAATATCATATCCCACGGAGCAACTATCTTTGCTTGATCCTTAATTGCTTTTATGACATGAAGGTCTCTGAAATACCGAAAGTGTTTCTTCCACGGAGCGGATTTTACCTGTTGAAATGGGGGTGTGAAAGCCCACCACAACCCCCCAGTCACGATGCCCCTGGTAAACATCCATTGAATTTTGTTTTAAATGAGTCAAACATCCTCAAAAATTTCATTTCTTTATGCTAAGAGTTCCAAATTGTTGTTTCTCAGTAATCAGTTTTAGGAGGTCTTAAGTTCATATCAGTGTTGAATAAAATTCTATTCAGTATAAAGAGACCATTGAACTGCTCTGTAAGTTATATTAGGTGAACAGACAATGGCTACACTGTACACCATGATTGCATTGTAGATTCTTGTTTGAACATAAACAGAAATACTAGGCAGTTCTTTTAGCAAGACTCAGCTGGCTCATCCTATACACAGTGGAAGTTTTAGACGGGTCCACAGGTGCCACAAAGAAGGGGGTTGGGGAGGGCTTTAGCCACCAGTAATGTCTCTACCAGTAGGGCCTCCACTGGTAAAGCCTCTTTTGCCCTCCCCCACTTTTTAGACCCCCAATTTTTTTCAACGCTTGACACTGCCTGGTACAGGGTGCCATGGCCCCAGATCCCACACTTATGATAGAAAGAATTGTTTTGCACCTAAGAAGAAAAGTAAAACATTGAAAAGCAGAAGGGCCCTGCAAATGTTTTTGGCCCTGGGCCCGGCAGTCTCTAAAACCATTGCTGGCTATAAACTATTTTTTATAATCCATGTGGCTCAATCTTTCAAGACTTTGTCATGCAATGATGCTCCATGAGTCCCAAGCAGATCTATATCTAACAATAAAGAGAGTGTACAAAAGTGATGACCTAGCAAAAATCTGTTTTTAGAATTGGTTACTTTTGATCCCATTACTTAACCATTTTGATCCCAGACCATTACGAAATACCACTAAATATGCCAAATCAGAAGAATGTGTTACAATTTGGAGGAGATATAGCCACATGAGCACAGGCTCTTGTCCCATCAATCCTTTTGTGATTTTGTCTTGGTTCATAACTTTATGTATCAGGCTAGAATAACAGTAGTCCGCTAGCAAACTTGAAGTCTTTCATTGGCAATTTCTCATCCAATTTTGACTATATCTAACTGATTTTTTATGCTATTTTTCAGATTAAATTCTAAAAATAGGTTTTTGATGACCTCACACTTCAGTACTCTATTGAGAATGATTACCTAATAATGACAGTATATTGACCTGGGAATTTATCAGAGCTAGTGTCGTAGATGGCTTTAATATAGTCTTTATAATTGATGTGGCCCTTCATAAAAAGAAATATTTCAACAGGCTGGATTTCAAAGAAATCAATCAAGGAAGTTTATAAGATCTTGTTTTCTTGGTACAAAATACTTTTTGGGTGTATGAAAGCTATTTTGAATGAAAGCTGAAATATAAAGTGAAAATTTTATTTTTTATTTTTATTTTTCATCATTCTTTTTTAAATAGAACTTTAATATTAGTTACAATACATTGAATAACAATGACAATGACGCAAAAAATTACCTTCATTAAATACTACTGTACGAGAATGTAAATGAATTAAATTGATTAAGGAGGAGCTCTCTAACTATGTGAACTAATTGAGAGAGGGCGAGTGCCCCCCAAAAACAAGAAAGAAGCAATAACTACCTCCTGGTTACAGGGGAGTAATTGCTTGAGTAGGACAGAAAAACATATGACGGTTTAGCAAGAAATTCGTCAACCATAAATCCCTTATTTCTCATAGGGGTCTCATACCGCGTTTACTATAACAGGAAACAACAAGAAACAACAAGAAACGAATACAAACAAGAAGAAATGATAAGGAAACAACATGAAACGATTTGTGACTTTGCAGAAACGACTAGATCTCCAAAACAAGGCAAGTTTATCCATCCATGTGGGCATTGTCATCTTCATTGCAGTGGCCTAAGTGTTTGGTCATGTCGTTCTTCACCGCAAAAGCTGTTGTCTTAGATGAGGTTATGGAAACCCAGTGATAATGCTTACTTATGTTTCTACAATGCTAATTTTAGCAAAAGAAAAAGAAACTAAAAGAACAAACTCCAATATACTAGAGGAACAAGCTGTATAGGTTGACAATCTACTTCTTGAACAATGTTTTGTTTGGGAGCCTAACCCTAAAGCCTCTATAAAGTTTCAGTAAGTTCCTAAAGCAGTTGAATTCAGGGGGGAGGCTTGATTATTAGCCGAGAATTTAAATTGCTTTATTTTGACCTTCCCGGTAGTTGGTCCATGTTAATCCCAATGCCAGTGAGATTTGCTCTTACAATGCTGGCACTTCATATCAGGCTCTCATAGTTTAATTCCTCTTACAAAAATAACATATCAACATCTACTATTATAGCTATTAATGCAGGATTTCCACTAAATAAAGAAAATTGTGCCGCAGTTAAAATTTTTCCAAGTCGTTTCTACTTGTTTCCTAGTTGTTTGTTACTTGTTTCCCGGCGGCTCAGTCAGTTTGTCAAATTTATATCATGTGAGTTCTGAAAAACACTGAGAAAGGGTGGTCTGAAAGCTAGAATCCTAGGACATAGAATCAAAAATAGGGTTGTTTTTTACTCAGTCAGAGGAACCACAAAAAGGGTAGGAATTTACTGATATGATGTTATGGAGAGGTTTTTTGGTAAATCAATAGTTATAAAGTACAACAAATTCTGCAGTGGCATCTAGTTATTTATGTCTATTGCTCAAATCCCAGATAAGAAATTCAAGTCTTTGTTTAGGGATTTTACACTCAAACAGGTCATGAAATCAGCTGTGCATGAAATCAGCTGTTCCACTTTTCTGTTGCTAAAACCTTGCACTGCACTAATCAAATAATTGTTTACCTATGATGAAAAACAATGCCTAGCAAAATATGTCAGTCACTTGACAGATTTGTTGACAATTTATAGTTTCTAGAAATCGTCAACTTGTTACTTTCAATCCCTTTTGCACTTTCAGATTAACACTGCCAATTAACCAGTTTCAGTTTCATTTATTGGTAAAATCAATCCTTTATACAATTTAACACAATTACTACACAACTACTAAAGGAAAGTACGCTACAGATACTGGAAAAAACAACATGATTGTATTCACGTTTGATTATGGAAGAGCTCTCTAAATAGAGTAACTATGGGCCCATTAAAACAAAGAAACTTAAAAAAGAATAAAACAAAACAAAAACCAGATGTTTATTAAAAAATAACGATCCTCTTGGTATGCATAATTTTTCTCATTTCAGCTATTTTACTACAGTTAAATACCATGCAAACTTATGACTAGCTAGCTGGGTGTGCTTTTAAATGTCCCAATGTGAACAACCCAACCCATTTACTCAAAATTGTTCCAGTGACCATCTGGCAGAGAACTGAAAACAACTGTCTACTTTTTTATATGCAAACAACTTAAAATGTCGTTATCAGACAAAGAAAAGCCCCTGCTCATTGGACCTGAATTATACTAAGTCTAGTGAGAAAAGTTTGACAATACGAACGAGCCTCTGTTGTTGCTTAAATTCATCGGACATTGACTGCATTCTTCTTTGAACGTCAGAACATCTGCTATAAAGATTTCCTGCAAAGTTCATTCTTTAAATTTCGTCTCAGTGCATACCATAACACCATAAAAGATATCAAATCAAATCGTAGGCCTTTCCACCATTCTAACAAAATTTAATTTATTCCTGTACCCTCGAAGCGATGTGGCAATCGATAATGAGGCTGTACGACACAATATTTATTTTCTGTGTAGATAATAGGGATATTTTTTGGACGCAAAGAGGTAAATGTAATATCTGCGTAGGCTATTATTAAGCAGTGACACAATAAATTTTCAGTGATACTTCTTTTTATTTATCGAAACAAAATTCTCTGACTTGACTAAAGTAATGTTGATAGCTCTGTTTAAATTAGATTCAGCCAAACTCAAATTCTTAGGTTTATCCTTTCTTTAATCAACTAGACAATGGGTGGAAACTAGCTGGATGATACATTGTATATATTTATGTTATGTATAAACTATATTTTCAACATATTTTGTCAGTTAATTGCACATTGACATGAATGGTTTAACATAAAAATAATTCCCTTTTCTTATATAACACAAATAGGCTATGGGCTAATTCTGTGATTTTCCATGTGTTTCTCCTGTAGTTATTACTCCTTTCAATAGAACTCTCTGTCAAATTAATTATCTATCAGATAAATTATCTATCAACAAAAGGTACTAATTGCATTATTGTATTTGAAGCACCTTATACTATAGAAGTTATAGAACGAATTGGTTGGATTATTGAGAATTCGAGAATTGATCTGATTTTACAAGACAGGCCCATAAGAACCGGGGGCTGGGGGGCTGGAAACCCCCCTCCCCAATAATTGTTTAACTTTATAGCAGTTTTATGAATAAAATGAAATACAATAGGCAGCCCCCCTCCCCAATATGAATTTCATTCCTACGGCACTGCAAAAAAGTACCTCCAATTTTGTAAAGCTTCTTAGCCTTTTTTATGCTTATGTTTTATAGTTAAATCATGTTCAATTTTACTACTCATTATTTCCCATTTATTTCCCATTTATTTCCCATTCCGAATTTTTTCAATTTTCTAGAGAGATTTTCAAAGTTAAGAGCAAACCAGACCCAAGTAATATTGCTTACTCAGGCCGGGAAACACCACTCCATGTAGATTTAGCCTATTACCAGTATCAACCTTCTGTAAGTAGCAAGAATATTTCATTTGCAGTTTGACTTGTCTTCTATCTTGTTGAAAATTCAATAGATGATATTTAATTCAAATTTCACTCATCCCTAGCCAAGAAAACAAGTGATTGGATAACATTTTTCTTTTAAGAATTGAATATTGATGTTTTTATACCATTACATAGTGATTATATTTTCTTAAAAGGTCATTGTAGCTTGTTTGTTTAGGTTTTGTTCAGTTCTTTATGTTGTTAAACTTAGAACCATTTTAGTGTTGCACTGTGCTGGTCAGAGTGGCACAATAGCAGTTTTGCCAATTTTTCAAAATATACCAAATAGACGGAAGTTTGCAACAATATACAAACTCTCTGCGCTTCAATCGCATTTTTTTCAATTTATAATTTATCGGTGACTACTCCGTTATGATTTCTGTCATTTGATTGTATATGTCAGCAGGAGGGTACGTTTTAGAACCTCTTTAGCAAAATTACAGTGTGAACATAAATATTTTGAATTAATCTCAAGATAGATAGCCTTGAGAAAAACAATGTTTTGGTACATTTGTGAAGTTTCTTTCATGACCACGATGTTTAATAATAAAATGGGCGTAAAACAAAAGCCCGTCCATACTTTCAAGCGTCGACATGGACACCAATTAGATTCGTTTTCACTGTGCATTGCAATTTCTAGGAGTCATTGGATACCGCTAAAATTTCAATGGAATTCCAGTCACGTTTTACGTTCTCTTTTTTCTACAGATTCAATTCCTGCACTGCATTAAACAGACAGGTGATACAAATGGTGGGGCGAATTCCTTCGTTGATGGTTTCAGCGTTGCAGAGTTCTTTCGGAAAGAGCACCCGGAAGTGTTTCGTACACTCTCAACACTGAAATTTACGTTCAGGGATATTGGCACAGACGAATATGGTGAATTCGAGAAGAAGCTGGAGCGACCAGTTATTGGGTAAGTCGTTTTTGTGCGTTGTTGTTCATGATGTCTAAAGCTTAAAGGCAATCTGTTACGACGTTGAGTGATTATAAGAACAAAGATATTTTTTATTGTTTCCAGTCCCCCTTTAATTTATCGCATTGTAAAAAATATGGCGGAGCGCTGGAATTGTGTTTAGGCTATTGTTCCAGCTATTGTTCTCGTTAACCAATCCACAACGAGACAGATTGCCTTTAATATAGCCATATGTTACTGTCGACAGATGCTAAAGCCTGGAGTCAATGAAAGCGTTTTCAGCAAATTAAAATGAATCAATTGACTGATTGGCTGAGCTCAGTATGACAGATTACTGTAACTCACGCCAGAATGTGAGCCATTAAAATTTAAAAGCCTTCTCGCCCAAAAGCATTAGAATTTTTTAAAAATTAATGGTGGTAAATAACATATAGCCACTAGATCTGGATGTTTGGCTTAAGAAACTTTTTAGCGTGTTGTTTTTTGATTGAGTGATGTTTTTTTTACGTTCGAATGGGCTTAAAATGCTTCGTATAACATGGCTCTACTTTTTCGTGTTATGACTTCGACTGCTTGACGTATCCCTTGTCACAATGAAATCATGCGATGAATGAATTTCGACATGAAATATTTCAGAGTACCGCAAGGATCATTTCCTTGTCCATTGATGTTACTAGAGATTTTATTTCATTCCCCTTGCACCGGTCGTAATATTTGATCTACCCGGCACATTCCCAAAACCAAACTCAGAACCCAAAGCTATTGGTCATCTGTGATTTTTTCGCTCTGAAATGACACGCAGATGTGATTTTATTTACCTAATTTTTTGCCTAGTATTGACGACAGTGGACGCTACACAAATATCGCCTATAACAATTTCACGAGAAGCTCGTTTTTGAATGTTCAGTTGGCTGATGTATACAAACTGTACGAAGCTTACTTCATGTGGACAAAGAAGATCAATGAAAAAAGCGAAGAGATGGTACATAAATTGAAGCCTGGGGAAATATGGGCGTTTGACAATATTAGAATCCTGCATTCAAGGACAACCTTTGATGTTTCGAAGGAAGAAAGATATGTAGAGGGGATGTACTTAGATTGGGACGAGGCTTACTCTTCGCTACGTACCCTGAGAAGGAGGCTTGGAAAAAATACCGGTGACAGCAATTCCTTTTAGTACTGTTCCATCTACCAAGTGTTTTTATTGAAGCTACAATAATCCGAGAACTGACCGAGGGTAGTATAATTCATTAGTTAAAATCGAGTTTTGAACTCCATAGATTTAATTTGCTTATTTGGTATATTGGAGTATATTTAAATTGTTTGATCTACTTTTTGGTTCTGTGTGAAGCAAATTGCCGCGCTTTCTTATCGGAAACATCAAAGCAGGGATGTCCCGTACTTGCTAACTAACTTGCTCCAGTCACCACACGGCCTCTACCTTAATTGCTTTTTAACAGGTCTCGAGTAATGCCTCGACGTTCATAAAGTTTGGTGGCACATTAATTTCAATTGTCTCTGTTTACAAACCTTAAAGAATTTGAGTCCATGTTGACATGAATTTCTTTCGGCTTTGCACTAATCATTTCTCCATTTCTTATATTTGCCCCTTCAATCTTATCGCTTTATTTTCTTTTGTGACACTCTCCTTGAGTTCAAAATACTTGAGGCGGAATTTATCTGAAGAAGTTGGGGCTTTTTAGGGTCCTGGTAGTCGCTTTTAGTATGCTCTTCTTCGTAGTCTTTGGTGCCGATTCGGTAGGCATTAATTTTATAGGGAACATTTCTTGTCAATATGGCAGAATTCGTAGAAGACGTGCATTTTGGGTATGCCAAACCTTTCAAAGCTAAATTTGTTAGCATGTGACTTTATCCGAATATGGTCTAGAAAGCCACCTTCGCTAAATCAATACATATAAAATGATGACGGTGTAAATTCGCCTGTATATTCTGTTTCTTGATTGGTCACACTTTGTTCAATATCCCGTCTCTGCACGCTATTGAGTGTTGCTTTCGTCTTTGCCCTGATATTTTTTCCATTGTTTCTAAGTTGTTCGTAAGATTTTAAAGTATTTTCTACGATTCTTGACAGACTGTATTCAAATTTTACACGCCATTCCCCCAGTTCATTTTTTTATGTCGCTGCTGGCATAATATCATACGCCTTTACTATGAATAGAGAGGGGGACAGATATGAGTTCTGACTTTATATACAGTTTATCTGCATTCTTTAGGACGTTTGTCTCAGCAGCTGTGTCTCAGAACTATAACTTTTACATTCGCTAAGCATTTGGTTTATAGTTTCTATATCAATGCTAAGCTGACGGTTTTCGCACCGTCCAAATAATACAGTTAGTATGATGGAATCAAATTTGAAATTCTTTGGGTAGTCTACAAATCACAAGGAGAAGACTACTCCTCAATCAAGTGAAATTGGAAACAGCCGAAAACCAGTATCCAAGTAAATATTTTTTCATCAGATATGCACTTACAGACGGATACACTGACTGAAGCCAGTCGGTATTTGATTTCAAGATGTATTTTTATGTCGATTCGATCAAAAGCAAAACATCATTTCAAATTAGCTAAAATTCAAATAAATCAAAGATACCCTAGGCTGAAAAGTCCTTTTTTGGAAGGAGCACAGATTCATGCGTTTTACCAGCCTCGAAAAATTAAGCTGACTTTGGACTCCCTTATTTTCAGAATGGCAATCTGAAAGTGTCCAGGAAATGCTGCTTATCCTCGTTAAATTTTCATGTCGACTTGATTAGACAGATTGTTTACAAGTTCCACCTGCTAGCCGATTTTGATAATGAAACCTCCGTGACAATGACTTGATGACACACCCAGATTGAAAGGAAGCTCTACGTTATATCTTTGTCAATTTGATAGCACGATTCGTTTTCCTAATGCAAAAGAATGGCAAATTGTGACTTCCATAGGCCAGATTAGAAGTACTGAATCGCAGATTCTGGGACATTGCAATAGTGCAAGTTAAGGGATGATTCAAGTGGCTGATTTTGTTCTAATAGATTATCTTTGTTTAATGTGGCATCGTCATTTTTACTGAAGGAAGTTGTCTTCAAACAATCTTTTGATGGTACAAACTTGAAAATGGCTTTGAAAAAAAGCGAACATTTTAGTAAATTAAAGCTTTTCGTCTGACACTCTTCAGAGTTTAGAACGTCAGAACAAAGATCGAAAACTCTACGCTAGGAAATATATATACCCAGTTGTGAATCGAAATAGGCCAATCAGAAACGCGAGCACATGACAGTCATCTAAATTGTCTTCATCTAAGTTTACATTTTTCTACTATCAAGCCCGAGTACTACACTGGAATCGAGAGGGCGTCCGCCATTTTAATTTACATTTGCCATAAACAAAAGAAGCAAATATTAGAGAAAAGAAATTCGGCGAACAGCGTACGCAGATGCCCAACTGCTCCACGTATGGATTACAATCATAGAAAAATAACTCAATTTATACCACTTTGACGCCAATCTTGTCAATTTGCTTACCATTTCCTGTAGCCTAGCTTGACCTTCCAGAGAGAGGGGAAGGTTTCAGGGTCATAAAAAGTAAAATTTACCGTCGAAAACATTGATGAAGGACAATGAAGTTGCTAGTTCACCAACCGTCAGACTATTTTACCCATCAACTAATGAATTTTTGCACCAATAGTGGATTTACAAAATGTCTTACAAACTAAGGAGTATCACCCCTCCTAAGCCCTTCGCTAGCTATACTCCTGACGATTTCTATTCAAAGTTGAAATTGAGGTAATCAGCATGTTAACTATGCAGAGTTAGAACACTGTTATCCGTTCATCAATTATTGATTTGCGTCTATTTGTCTACTTTGAATATTCATGAGATAAATGCTGGTTATAGCAAGAAATGAAACGTGTTTTCAAAGCAAGACACAAGTTGTATATATATATCAAAGAGATACCAAGCAGAAACAAAATCATATTATGATACTATGATATACGCAATGTGATGCCTTTAAGCGATGGTTTTAAAATGCAAACTCGTGAATTTTCAAACACAAGCAAGAAGCAAAGAACTTCAATACAGCTAAAATAATGATATGAATTAATTTCATATTAAAGCAATAAAATAACGAGCTATAGGATGTTCCAGTGTTGCTTTATCAATACTACTTAGTAGCGCTGTAAAAGATGGGCTAGTTCATTAAGGTGTCCCTTATAGAAGCATCGAAACATATTTGCGTCTCTTTCTGTGATGCAATTCGGTGATGAGTGAGAAAACGTTATGCTGCATATCAGTGGCTGCTCCATTCTTTGACTATAGGTATAATGTTACAAACTAAGCATTGCCATTAAGTCCAAATATTATGATTCTAAAAATTGTCAGTTCCATACAGTATTGATTGGTTTAAACACACAACCTCATGCTGTAAGCATATTCATTGTATAGCTCATGATCAAGCTGCCGAGTGCTATTCCGATGCAGTTTTGAAGGGCCGTTGCTCCACTTGGGTCTTTGGTTGTTGACGGAGCAGAAGTCCCGTTAGTGGGCCCAGTGGGTGTTGTTGCTTGTGTGTTGTTTGTTCCGTTTGTATGATTGTTTCCAGAACATTCTGCTATTAGGTAAAGCGCGATAAGAACGGTGGCCACAAAGAGCTTGTGTTTAGCAGCCATTGTAGGTATTTCGAATCTTGTTCTTGCTTTAGAAATCTGTCGGTTTCACAAGGGTGCTCCTGAAGATACGACAGCAAGCAAGCCTAAAATGATGACCACTCCTTGATGTTTGGCCCACATTCTACTATACGATACACCTGCTAACCATGTCTAGTGGAAAACGACCAATCAAATTGCAAATTGAACAATGCCAATCCGGGAATTCCTACACAACAGGTGGACTGATAATGTAAAGCGGTATGCAAGACAGGTCTGTCTATTGATCACTAAATAGCAGGTATCTTAATATTTTCAGGTTCCTCATTTGTAGAAAATAAATCATCGTTTTAAAATAAAGCATAGGTGCTTGAGGACTGAACACGAATTTCCTAACTTCGCTAAAAAAGCGAACAAGAGAAATCTCACTTTCTTCAGTTCAAGTCATTCGCATTGCTTAAGATTGTTATTGATGCAGCTGGTCAGATTAAAACATGCTTAATTTTTGATTTTGTCTTTGCAGACAATCGGGATAGGTGTGGTATAGAGCCCTGGTCGTCATGGAATTCCCCTCGATCCAAAATCGCTGTTTACCAAATTACAACACAGATTCTTTATGAAATCCACTCGAGATCACTGTGAGCTTCGGAATAATCTAGCTTGATGGTTTTAAATATCATAAACCATCCTCCAACAATGAATTTGAATACTGACAGCACCGCATATGTTATTAAAGTATCGGACGATGGCTACCTGTTCACAGAAATGTACATGAATGCATGATTAAAGACTCATTGCTAACAATGAGCCTTTGCGAAGGTGGCAAATCATCCAGGCGACAATCCAGACAATGGCAGTAAACTTCTACTGATAAACCAAAATTGATTTCAGACTGTCTGAAGACATTATGGGATGCTTGCGTAGCGCAATGGCTCATTGTTAGCAATGAGTCTTTAATTCTTTGAGAAACCTCGTCCATGATAAATATGATTTCTTAACAACGAATCTCATTAGCACGATTGATTGTACTCAAATCAATGCACCATCTACTGCAGGCAATACTGATGATGCGAATTATGCATGCAGAAAATGATGTGATTTACTTTGAATAAAGTAACTCCTGCACTTTATATTGGTATAATGCTAAAAATTAGCATTTCTGTAGAGATCTCAATGCTCAAGGAAAGCATTCAGGGTTCAGGGACATCTCATTGTCCCGATATAACTTCTGCAAGCTAGTCAAATTACTTTAATATTAGTAGCAGTATGTATAAACATACATGTGTTGAGACTTTTTTAAAAAAGCCTCTTCAAAGATTTACTTAAGATGTGAAAATTTTTAAAAGCTCTTACCATCAACTTGTAGTATAGCTAGCAAAAACTATGATTTGTGCAACAACATCATCTTAGTAAGTTGCCTTTCGAAAGAAACTTGTTGAGAGAGTCTTTTTTTACGATGGGATGGAGTCTTTCCTTATGTTTAAGGAGTGTCTTTCCTTGCATCATATTGCTATTTGCAACTTTCGCTAAACAAATGAAATCACCTTATCTTCTTTACAGAATTTATGTATCGTACTCGTATGACCCCAACTTAATCATTTTCTAGGGATCTCATGGACCTATCAGTGTACCCGTCGCCCGTCGTATTCTTTTGAATAGTACTTTGGCCTTTTGAATATACACGTGACAAAAGTGTTTGGACGATGAAGAACAAAATGGCTGCTCCAAAACTAGCATTCTAACATTGATTGAATAAATCTTGCTGTTTTGGCGGGATTCTAGAAATGGCATCAGCGAAAACGCAATTCCTAACAAATTCAATTTATTTCCTACCTTTCTATGATAGAAAAGTAACAAAATATCAGAGAGAAGTGGAAAATATCAATGTTTTAGTTTCAATGCCGAAAACACAAAAGCGACCAGAAAGAGAACGAGAAGCAATAAAATATTTGGGTCTAGCGAGTCATTTGTTTGCTAAAACTACAAGAAAGTTTGGTTGCTGCCGACTATTGGTTGGGCCTAATGGCATCTGCAAGCTGGTGTTGTGTGCGAAGTCAATCAATGCTGAATATTTTGTCTAATTATTTGTGAAAAATCCTCAGGCAAGTTCAGAAACAAGTAATGATTCTTTGCAAAGATCATTTATTTTTAAGAAAGACAATAAACCTAGCTATGTTGCAATTGTGACAAAAATTTCAAAAATAATTATCATGGTCTTTCAATAACCCCGTCAAAGTCAAAGCCTTGATACAATTGAAAGCAACTAGTTTTCAGAAAAAAATCCAAGAAATAAAATCTTCTAAGACCAAAAATAAACTTTTTTAGAATTTTCTTGAGATTTCCTTCTGTATCCAAAGATATTTCGTTGCAAAATTAATTCAGTGAGTTCCAGTGCAAATGGCGGCTGCCAGATTTCTGAAGGTCATCTGACAAAATATAAAGCAAATTGTACTTGTCTAAAAAAAGTCTATTTTTTACAATTTATCAAATATTGGGTAAAGTTGCAATTGGAAATCTCAATCAGCAATCTCGTTATGTTCCACCGATTTTCTATGTTGTTTTTTGAGCAAAGGGTTAACCACATTTGCTTTGAGGCGATCGTCCTAATACTTTTGTCACGTAAGTGTAGACCCAGTATTTCCAAGCACGTAGCTGATGCTATTTCAGTAGAAGTTCTAGCCACAATGTATTATGTTCTGTAAAGCAGGGTCTGATCTAGGCATTGGTAGCTTAGAAACTATTATTGGCAAATCAATAAGTGGTATAATGTGACCAGTGCAACCCGCCTCGAAAAGAAATAACTCCCTTGTCACCTGATCAATGTTTGTACTTCGCCCTCCTTACTACGCATATATGAACAAGAAAGTTGCGAGACCTTCAGCTCTCGTATCCTCCTTGTATCTGTCTATTGCTTTTGAGTTAACTTTTAATTGGCCTCTTTTGGGACAATTTGACTGACCTAAATTTTTACGCTAACGTTTTGAAAAAGGCAGTGGCACAAAAAGTTGTTTTTATCTAAGGAATTTGGTTTTCAAAGAAACAACAGGTAACCACTTGCTGATCAGAAGACCAATCATTAACCGTACAAATTTGCCCGATGCACTTTGCAGGTAACAAGAACATTTTAGTATTTTGGGACAAAGTTTTTATTACAAGTAAAACTAATACAGTTTGACTGAGCACAACTGTTGGGATGATGTTGTGATACACTTTATGTCATTGTGTGATATTTCAATGATTATCAAGCAGCATATGGCTTTACAGACAATCATTTGCTTTCATGCAAATTTTCTGTTACAAAACAGGACAAGAAATGCTTTGAATATTATTGATTTATGAAATGAAGACAAGGCCTTGAGAGAATAACTGAGAGGTTACACATCATTTATTAATGAAAGTGAGGACTTAATTGAATTAAATCGTACGTGATGGGTAGCGACACAGCACATGGAGATCTTCGTTTCGTTATTTTGGCGTCAACATATTTGATTTATTTGGCTTTTGGTGGCATTGTTTTGAGTGATTTAGAATGGGAACATGAACTCAAGGCTATTGAAAGGTTTCATACTGTGAAACAGGCTTTCCTCAAGAAGCACCCGACGTTGACAAGCCATGATTTGGACTCTTTCTTGAATGAAATCAAGGCTGCAGTGGAGAAAGGAGTGAAGATCAACGGCAACAGAACATATAACCCTGACTGGAATTTTGGTGGTGGCGTTCTTTATGCAGCTTCGTTACTCACAACGATTGGTATGATTTTGATTGTCTTTCATATCATTATATTTGCAATTAATTGTATCCATAACAGCTGCGTTAATGCAAGAAAATGAACAATTCAAAGTACCAAATCTATTCCGTGAGAGACAACAGTCTTAGAACTCCAACCAAGAAGCTAAGTCTATGTTATAAGTGTTTTTGGTTCTTTAGATATTTTATTTTATTATTATTCCAATGTTCAGCTTCTGTTTGAGAAAATTTAAAGCCAGAAATACTTTACTAGACTGTTTCCATTTTCCCCATTTTCAATTAAATGTTCGATCGCTTAAGTGGTTTGTAATAAATTGCAGCATAACAACACTTGTATACTTTTATCATGCATGGAACTAACGTTAGAAGGCGACTAAATCATTCGATAATAGTTCCATAATAAGCTTTGAACAGTTCTTCATGAAAAAGATTAAAATTATAGAATTTTTGTAAGAAACTAGGCCTATATTTTCAATACTTCAAAGCTAGATACAATATCTTGTTTGGGTCAAAAAGTTAGGAAGCGTTTGGTGTTGTGATATCAAACGTTTATGTTAAATTTGCAACTTGCATGGTTTTTTAGCCAGGATAAGTAAAGTGCCTTCCTACCTTACCAATGTCACTTGTGACCGTTTCCACTTGAAGCAGAAAAAAAAGTTTGACAGTTCTGTTTTTTTAATTCAAAAGATGTTTTGAACTTCTTTGACAAATTATGTGATGTTATGTCAACTCAAGAAGTTCCAAGTAAAGCTTTACATAGCGACTGGTGGCGATGAATTGAATAGAATCAGGCTATCATGTTAAAAAACATATTAAGAAAGCTTTTGTTTGGTAAAAATGAAAGAAATTAATGTACCAGGTTAATGCAAAGTGTGTTTTAAATAACTGGTTTATTTGATAAGCAGCAAACCCATTTTCCAGGATTTTAAGTTGTTCAATTTACTATAGAAATTGTCTAAAAACGTCTTTTGAAAAGACGTTCAGGTTTAAACAATTGTAAATACAAAATCCAAAATTCTTATTTTAAGGCATGAATTTCCAACTACAATTTTCAATATTGTGATAAAAAACCAAAATTTTAACTACAAAATTCAAAGTTGTAATTGCAAAATAAAAAATTCTTCCATTAACTTTAAAAAGCATGTGGATCTAGCATTCCACGTGATTTGATGTGAACGAAGCGAACTAAACGTATTCATGACGGATGACGAAGGTGAGCAGAATAAGGCTCCGAAAGAACAAGATGGAAAATGTATACCCAGTTCCAGATCGAAATATAGGCCAATCAGAAAAACGCGAGCATCTGACCGGTATTTTATCCAACCAGTACCGCTTAGCAATAGGAAAATCACCATTGGATAACTATACTTATCAGCAAGAAGCCACCAAAAAGTGCTCGACTATTCGTTTCAAGACTTTGCAAGGAAGTCAACTGCAAGCTGACAAATGTTAGGCTAATTGATACTGCCAAAGCCAGCTATGGGTATTGTTCTAAAGCAGGCAGCAAGCATCACGTATTAGTTTGATTGAAAATGGTAATGGACTATTTTCACATGAGAATGAACACGCTTACATTAAGTTCAAAAATGCTCAGCGGATAAAATTTCGGACAAAAAAATTTGGGCGAAATTATTTTCGCACATAATTTTTGAATTTGGTACAGATAAATTTTCGGACAAAGATTTGTTTGATTCGTGAAACTGAAATCGTCTTCCTCTCAAGAATTGTGAAACTGCTCTTTGCAGTGCTCTTTTACTTCATCTTCAGATGAGCTAGCTTTGTTTGCAAACCCTGTTTCTTTGATCTACAGTATAAATACAATACAGGATTCATGTGACCAATGTAATCAAAAACCCAAAAGTAGATACACTAACGAGATGAGATGCCCCGTACTTGCACCACTTACTGGAAACATGTGTCTAGAATTAAATTTGAAGTAAAAATCAACGTCGTACACATATTTTGCGAAGTTCTATTCTTTCACTAATCAGAAAGACAATACTCTTACTCTTCATTCATGACATACTGGTGTAATGCAAGCGGTTCGTGTAGTGTCCCTAATTTCTTAACTTGGCTACCCACCAGTGTTCTAAGGATGTAGAGCTGCTAATGCGGAAATGTAGCTTTTTTTGTTTTATTCAATGCAGTAACTGGACACAATTGATGATGCATTTTATCAGAAAGATGCGTTGAAATTGCATGAAAGAAATAACAGAAAAGACCGTTCAACACGTACCTTGAAATCTTTGTCTCTGCTTCATTAGAAACATAGGGGGATCCCTCAATCGGAAGAAGAATGTCATCAGAAAGATGCGTTGAAATTGCATGAAAGAAATAACAGAAAAGACCGTTCAACACGTACCTTGAAATCTTTGTCTCTGCTTCATTAGAAACATAGGGGGATCCCTCAATCGGAAGAAGAATGTCATCAGAAAGATGCGTTGAAATTGCATGAAAGAAATAACAGAAAAGACCGTTCAACACGTACCTTGAAATCTTTGTCTCTGCTTCATTAGAAACATAGGGGGATCCCTCAATCGGAAGAAGAATGTCATCAGAAAGATGCGTTGAAATTGCATGAAAGAAATAACAGAAAAGACCGTTCAACACGTACCTTGAAATCTTTGTCTCTGCTTCATTAGAAACATAGGGGGATCCCTCAATCGGAAGAAGAATGTCATCAGAAAGATGCGTTGAAATTGCATGAAAGAAATAACAGAAAAGACCGTTCAACACGTACCTTGAAATCTTTGTCTCTGCTTCATTAGAAACATAGGGGGATCCCTCAATCGGAAGAAGAATGTCATCAGAAAGATGCGTTGAAATTGCATGAAAGAAATAACAGAAAAGACCGTTCAACACGTACCTTGAAATCTTTGTCTCTGCTTCATTAGAAACATAGGGGGATCCCTCAATCGGAAGAAGAATGTCATCAGAAAGATGCGTTGAAATTGCATGAAAGAAATAACAGAAAAGACCGTTCAACACGTACCTTGAAATCTTTGTCTCTGCTTCATTAGAAACATAGGGGGATCCCTCAATCGGAAGAAGAATGTCATCAGAAAGATGCGTTGAAATTGCACGAAAGCAATAGCAGAATGACAGTTCAACACGTACCTTGAAATCTTCGTCTTTGCTTCAATAGAAACATAGGGGGATACCTCAATTGCAAGAAGAATGTCATCAGAAAGATGCGTTGAAATTGCAAGAAAGCAATAACAGAATGACAGTTCAACACGTACCTTGAAATCTTCGTCTTTGCTTCAAAGGGGGTCCCTCACTCGCAAGAAAAATGATTTTACATTGACTTCTGACTCCATTTGCTAGAAGCTTTATCGAGGAGAGATCTTGACATGATCTACCTGGCCTAATTTTGTTAGCATTTTGTCGCAGAAACCATGCAGCAAGTTAGATATTTATTTGTAGATTTTTGCATAAATTTGCAATAATGATTAACTGTTAGAATTTTGGATTTTGTAATTAGAACTTTGATTTTTATTATTAGAACTTCTGGCCTTGTGATTTTAATTTGTAATTTTCTAAAATGAATTTTGGACTTTGTAAAAAGAATTTTTGAACCTGTACCTACTTTTTGTCGATAAGGTTTCTCGAGAAAACATTTACACTTCTAAAAGCATATTGAAGAACTCCAAGTTTACGTTGAGCGATTCTGCTGCCTATTCTGCAATCCTTTTTTACATAAAAGGCATGCCTTCAATACGTTTACGAAAATGCTGATAGCAATTTGAAAGTAAATATCTATTTGGAATTTCATATTTGATTAATTAATGATTGGAGTGAAAATTAAAGGCACACCCATGCTGCATGGAAATTTGCTTGTGTTCAATATTTGAATCATTTTTCCTTTCTTGTAGGCTATGGTGATATTTCGCCGTACACTAACCGTGGCAGACTCTTTAGCATGGTGTATGCTGTTATTGGAATTCCTATGACAGCCACCCTTTTGTCAGCAATGGTCAGCAAATGGTTGCTTTGCATCGGTTTCGCCAATGCGAGAATAAAGCAAAGTGTCTGGTATACGAGGCTGGACCCGCACACAGCTCAAATGCTAGGCACCTTGACAGTGATAACAGTATCCGCGTTAATAGCATTCATTCTACCTGCATTCATATTTGCTCATATTGAATCTTGGACGTATTTTGAATCTTTGTACTTTAGTTTCATAACAATGACGACAGTTGGAATTGGGGATTTCGTTCCTGGATGCGCAGATAAGTGGTTTGACAGCACCACAAGACTGGTTTACAAAGTTCTTTTGACTTTTTACTTCATAATTGGGCTGTCTTTTATGTTACTAATTCTGGAACTGTCTGTGCGTGTCTCGGAAACGACACCGTCTATGATTTTCTCGTGTGAAGCGAGGGTCTCACATTGGAAAGAAGAGGGCAGCAGCCGTGAAGGCCTTAGCCAAGATGAAAGCTCTGCTAGCAAATGAAAGCGTTTTTAACCGATTTTTTAGTCATTTTGAGTCAAACACGAGAAATCTAAAAAGCATTTTTTGCTACACTGCAGCTATTTTCGTAAAGTAACCAACGTTTTCTGAATTCCTGCAAGATGGAGTCTCAAGCCCTCAACATTTGTCATTGTGTACTTTTTATAAATCCAGTCCTCGCTACTCTACGTTTCTTTGGAATAATAACGTTTTTATGTAAAAGCTTGACATAGCTGCACTGCATTCAATGTATCTCCGTCGGTATTCATATTTTAAAGTAAATTTATATGTTGTGCTATGCCTGGTTATTTTATCTGCTGTACACGATGCTTTGAAATTTGTTTACTGTACAAAGACTATCAGTGTAATTTTAGTGCACTTTTGTGTCTTTTTTCACGCCATGTTTCCGGATATGTCTTACTACTAGGGATCATGTTGACCATCATAACATATCGTTACTATTTGGTTGTGTACCATTTAGAAATTGATTGGACAACACAAGCAGGAATGTGACACACAGACACTGGAAACAGACAGTTTTTTTACTTTCTTTTGACTGATGACACTGGAAACACTGAAAATGCAACATAAAATTAATATTTCCCTTATGATTTTACTGGAATTTTGATAGAAAGGGATCTTACACCCGAAAATCTTCCATGGTTGTATGACCCTCAGAATGATTCTTTGCTTCTGTGGAGGCTTGTGATAAACATTCTTGGCTCGTCTTCTAGTTGCATTCTGAGGGAGCCTGAACACGAGTGAATAGGTTATGAGTGAAATTCAATTCTGGCTAAATTTTTGGAAACGGGTTTAAAATAATGTTGATTTGTCTTGATTATGCAGAAGTTACGTTTACTTGGTTTCAAAAAGCTGTCATCAGGATTGGTCCTACAGGTCTAAAAACATTTGTACATAAATTGTATCCAAAAGATACATTTGCATCATACAATTGCATCAATTTTGCTTCAGTTCTACTTATCATCACGTTTTGAATAAACCCAGGAAAATATAAAGAACATCACAATGATAATACGAAAGCTCAAAAATATTTTTTTTAAAACGGGTATTTCTTTTCAATTTAACTTTATGATTTTATTTTCATTGTGTTATTACAAAAGAATTTCGTATTCTATATCAAAGCATCTCATTCACATACTAAAGAATTCGTACAACCAAAATTTATTGAATAAATGTACAATAGATACAGTAATTGAAAAAAGTCAGAAACAGTCCGTATTTTTTTGCTTCCGATTAGACTTTACACTTTCTAAGGTATTAAGAGCTGTCTGGATATCTTCCCATTCAATAAAGTCAAGGTCAGGCCTCATTTCGCCTTCAAATTCCTGGATACCAGTTCTGCACCATGAGCAGCTTAGCAAGCTATGATTTTCAATGGATACCTTTAATAAGCTCCAATTGCACTCCTTGCATAACACAACATGGCCACAAGGAATATTTTTTATCAAAGGTGCTCTTTCGTAGCAAGCTACACACAGCTTTTCCTCATCTCCATCTGGCTTGAGCTTCTGCGAGGAAGAGTTTGACATTTCGCGGTCTCTAGATTTTTGTATCAACTGTATCATAACATACGGGATATCTTCACTGGTCACGGTGCGCAATTCCTTTAGTATTCTCCTCTTCTCGTCTCTTCTTACAAATGCACGGAATACTACATTTGAAAGTAGCAACGACGTGGTCATGAGAAAAACGATGTACGCAACAGAGTATCTGACCAGGCAATACCCACAAAGGTGAAAGAGCATCACGCTAAAGCCATGATTAATGGCACATAACAATCCGAAAAGTATGGAATATTGCACTGCTCTTTCAAATTGTAGCAGATTTGAAAACATTTCTTTCACGAAGACTACCATAATGACAAATACACGTCTTGTTTCAACACTGTTTCGCTAAGCAAGAAAGCTTGCACGATATGACCAGATCTTAATGACAATTGAAATTGAAGATACTCTTTAATATTTTCTTTGCAGAATATCCAAAATGGTACTTTTGATTACCTCACACTGAGTAACTTATTCCTCGTGTTCCACTCAATGATTTGTAAACTACGAAAAATGTAAACAAGTTAAGTTGCAAAGTAAAATTATAAATCCAAAGGAGAATAAGCAAGGAAGATATTTGATAAGTTCATAATGTCTATGTTTTCATAGATTCGTCGTGTAATCAAGGGTGCACTTATGAATTGATTGACTTGAAACTGGGAAAGCTAAAAGAAAAGACGCATTGCCTTGATGAACATATGATAAACATATTCAAAGCCTTGATAAACATCATCATTCATGATAAATAATAGCGCCATATAATTTATCTTATTCAAAAGCCAATGCAAAAAGCATAATTAATAAATATTCTCTTTTACTAAAAAAATTTTAGCATGAAATTTCACGTGTTGATAATGCATAGAAATAGAAAATGAGGACTACAACTATTTTTTATTTCGATGACAAAATTGTCTGAAAAATTTTTACCGTAAGCTAGAAATGTTGTTATTGAAACTGATATATGAGCAAAACTTTTGAAAAAATTTACAAACAGCTGCAGATATGCCAGAATACAATATGAAAATAGTCTTAAGGGTTAATTGTTGTGAAAACTTCATTATGTAACAAGACAAATATTGATTTTGATGTAGTGATTAAATACCTTAGAAATACTTTTTAGAAGAATATTGTGAATGGGAAGTAGAATAACGCTCTATAGAGCAATATAATGGAAAACGTCTAGTGTAAATTCTTGCATAAAATTTTGTGTCTTTTGATTCATCTAATTTCATACAAAGCGTTCAAGTCAAATTCATGTTAGCGATCTTCGTGTTCAACGTTTACAGAAATTGTCAACAACAAAGGACAGACGTTTAATGATTAATTTGAACAACCCGCACAAGATGTTTTTCACATATTTCTATAGCTCAGGTGGATATTTTGATAGAACCTTTCAGTAAACATTTACTACTAAAATAAACGGCACTAGAGTTTGTTGCTTTGTTATACAAGAAGGGAAACGGTCAATTAAAGGTTTCATAATGCAAGCAGAATTATGAATTGAAATATTTAAAGTTTACCCCACTAAAGGAAGCTCTGTTACTTGACTTGTTTATGGTTCACCTCTCAAGAAGGAATTTACTTTGAAAAAATAAATAGCTAAATAAACTTACCGTGTATTGATCTTTTGCTCCTTTTGGACGTTTCTTGTTACATAGGCTCAAACAGCTTCCATATAATCGTTTCTAACAAAAGATTTGAAAAATCACAGAATAATAGGCTCTATTTTCCACGCAACACTCTTCGATGCTTCTGTTCGTTAGATGTGAGTTCTTCGTAAAAGAGATTTCCCATAACGATCCGGTACTATCCCCTCGTACATGCAGCTTTCATGTGTTCATATTGTAACTTTAATTTTTAACCAAAGCCACAGTCAAGTTCTATGTGATGATCTCTTGCTTTCCGTTGTCACGTGGCCAGGTGTTTGCCAATTGAATCGCTTGGCGATAGTCTGCGAAACAAAACAGGTGTTTCCTTTTCAATGATGCATGCGTAGCGCCTGCATCACCTGTTATAATCAAAGGGATACTAAAAGATATCTGGAGGTATCATTGTTTACTGCAGTGTGTAGCTTCGTGACTATAAAAAATTCTAGGCGTTATTTGACAAAAAAATGAACAACGTAAGAAAAAGACAATTCCCAGATAAAAAATTTGAACAGAAAAGCATTGTCTTTTCTTATAACATAGCAGATTTGATCTGCTATGCTTCCAACAACGGCAAACCCATGCTTCTAAAAATGTCATGAAAATTTTTTTATTTGTCAGCGGCAACTGGTAATGGTGTTTGATAGTAGAATAGTAATAATGAAACAATTTCACTACAGCATCAAATTCCATTGAAATTTAAAGGAAAAGCTAAATTTTGAAAATGAGGTAATTCGCTGCCTGACGGCCCAAACAACATGACATTTTGGGCACAGACTAATTACAGCATGAAGAGTCCATTTTTGGCAAATATATAGATAAAATATTGCCCGGGCAAAAAATTAGAAAAAAATTAGAGCATCGAACCTCGGCACAAATAAACTGACTCTATTATAAAAGTGTATCATAATAACTTGGAAAGGCAAGATAAACATGATTTCTTGCACTTTTGGTTTCAAACTAAAAACGCTTTTTCTTAGCTGTTCAAAACTTTTGTAAAAATTGGCAATGATAAGAAAATGCTGTCTGACCAGTCCATGTCTTTTCTTCAAAATTCTTAATTAGAGGGCTGCAAAAAGAACCATCCATCGCTGCATCCATTCTCTGAAGTCTTTCTCTGAAGTTACAATCAGTGCTATCTTTTCATCTTATATTGTGTTATCTGTTTTTTTTAAATCGGCTATGCCTTTTCCTTTAACTTTTATGCCTTTTAGAGTATCATTCCTTTCTTCCTTAACCATTTATATTCTTGCTTAATAATCTTAACCATTTACATGCTTAATAATTATTCTATTCATCACCATTCATGGCACAAGTATGATTACATAAAACAACAACCGAAAAACAACGAAAAACAACAAAATCAACTAGCTAAAGCGCTAAGACAGTGTTTTTAACCGACAATATAGCAGAACCTGAAACAAACCAATTATCTCTAAGGCTTGCTCTTGTCAATGGTTGGTTTTGTTTCAGATAACAGAGCTCGTTCCACCGAAAATTGGGATGCAAAAAGGGAGGTAAATCGAGGGGTTTTAGTTCGACTATCTTAGTTCCCTTATTTTATCTTGGTTGAATATAGAGCATGACTTCGGTAAAATGCCTTCCCCCTTTTCAATTTTCAACTAGCTCTAGCCGTTGTTGTTGTTGCCTCTTCCTTCTGGAGATAATTACCTTATCATTTTCGCATTCCATTGGTTGAGCTCATCCACGTGACCGACTTCGTGTTGAAAATTTTCGCCCAATCGGGAACTGTTGGGAAGAAGACCTGCTAGCACTTCGTTATTGAAATTAAGATTTGCGTAAAGGAAGATAGATGTTTACTGACTAGTTGTTTCACTAACGATTCAACAAAACGCAATATTTGGTTTCAAGCAACGGAGAAGGGCTTTTCTTCAATCGATTTATCTTTGGTTTTCGTTAATGGAAGACAACTCTTTGCTGTTCTGGCCTTGCCCAAAAACAAACTGGTACTCCAGTTAGCAGATCCTGGCCTATATCTTTACAAAAGTTACAGTTTAGCTGATCGAGCTCTTAGTGGACGTGCATGTCAGTAAAACATGGAGGGAAGTCGGAAAGTGGGTCAGGATGAAATTATTTCAAGCACTAAAAGTGTATTACGGGGATTGGAAACACTGAAGAATGAGCATTCGAGTTTGTTGTCAAAGATGCAACAGACGCAAATTTCTGTCAGTGAGACTGAGAAAGAAGCCAGCGAACAGAAAAGAGACATGATAAAGAAGTCACTAGAGAAGATCGAGTTAGGTCTTGGTGAAGCCCAGGTAAGCTTCAACTAATATGCCCAGCCCTTCCTTTATCGATCTGGTTGAAGGTCACCGGTGGTAACTTCATCTCGCTTCGTTCATCCAATGACTTTGGCTTGAAATTATGCTTTTATTCTCCTTTTTTGGTCTACTTCGCCGGTTTTGTGCAGCATCTACCTTCCAGTGCTTTAATTCTCAGGCTACTGTTATTTTTTGATAACTAACCTGGCGACCCGCTTTCCTTCACCTTCCAAAATCTTCAATTCAATGCTACTTTGTTGTTGCACGTTCAACATTCTGACACATTATTAATTTGAGAAAATTGCTTACTTTTGCTGGTGATCGTTAGCAAATACAAAGGCTTCGCAGTAAACAGCACATAGCAGTTATGCTTTCTGAAACTTAATTATTGATATTGAAAGCCGAGGTGTCAGTGTTTTTATGAGTTTGAATGAAACAATTTTTTGCACTTTTTTTATCTTGAAGGTTTGGGGTTATAGATAGCAGATTTACTTCACTGAATTAGTTGTGAACAAAAAATTAACTCTTTTGTATTAATTGTTAAATTGTTTTCCCATATCCCATCGCTCGTTTGTTTTTATACCATCTTCAATTTATACTTACTTATCTACTCATATTTAATTGGTTAATTCAATGGCGGTTGTTACGGCAATGAAAGAAGATAATTTTATTCAAAGCCGTAAAAAGGGTTTGGTTTCCTGTCCAAAAATTGTTGTTATTTTCACGAAATGACTCAAAGAGATTTTAATTGCTTTTTGCTAGGCTTATGTAAGTCCGTTTGTCTGTGATGTTTTAGATTCTTTCCTCGTATATAGAACCTAGGAAAAGACCCTGGAATACCCTCTTGGTTAAAGATTGCTTTGAAAAATTTACAGTTTCCAGCAGAAAGTGGGACACCACACCCCCTCAATCCCAAAATAATGTTAGTTGTGGATTAACAGTATTAGGGGATCCAGGCAGCTGTGGCCCTGGCCCCCGGATCACCAATGGTGGCCCCCGGATAAGGGGTCCTTAGAAAAAAGTTGTAAAGGGCAAAGGGTTCCACAGATTGTTTTTAGCTCTGGGCCCCGAAGTCCCTAAAATGGCTGCTGGTACCAAGACTTTTACCTGGGATTACTTGGTCCATCCTGTATAGACATGCCAAAAGTAATCCCAGTAATGATGTGATTTTCAAAGGAAATAGTTCGAATTTTCAGAAAATAATTCCATTTCTTTCACACCACTCTGGAGATCTATGATTCAATGTGAATTGAATGTATCCCAGTATAGGAAAAAAATTACAAATCAAGTTAGCATCTTTGTTGATAAAAAATTTGTTTTGGCAGTACTTTATGTGTAGCTAATTCAAATTTTTGAAGCAAGCCTAAGAAGCTTTATTTTCTGAGAAATTTTTGCAAAATATATACTGTATATAATTAATTAATTCTTAGCAAATGGATTCTTAGCTCATGGAATTGGTTATTATCTGAAGGAAAACTTTGACATTTTTTCTTCTAGTTTTGTTAGTAAATGAAAACATCCACAATAAGTTTATGTAAAGAACTATTTCTTTCAATGAAGCATGTTTGCTCTTAATAGAAATCACATGTATTCAAACTTGGCTATAGTTAAAAAGCAAAGGATAACCTTGTCATACTTTGTGAGGAAGTATTTAAAAGTACAGCAGGAAATCCAAAAACAAAGATCACAGTGAAAAGTTTTATGTCTTTAAGATGTCTCCTGAGTTTGTGATTGTGCTCTCAAATGGTTATTTGTATTCTATCTCCTTGGTAGCTTTATCTTTCATGCTGTTTATTTCAATACAGTTGTAATATTCTCACTAAACATTTATATGACTCCCTTTGTCCTTGCTTTCCTTTGATATATCTCCTGATGATAAAAATCATTGTTTTTATGAGCCTTTTGTTTTCTCTTTTTATCTTTGTTTTCTTAATCTAAGCTTGTCCATGGCTTAACAATAGGCTATGGTTCCCTATGGACATGTTTAAATCAATCTGTTGTTTTTTTGATAGTCTCTACAAACATAATGGCTGGTTATGTAGACTTTTGACTGCTTGAGAGCACCTCTTGATCTGTTCTGATGTACCATTCTCTTGTTTTTCTGGATAACTTCAGCCAGTTCATAAGTTGTCTGTGAAATTGAAAAAACCTTCTAAAATGCCGCCAATTTCAATGGATGGCATGTGCCAGACATTAAAGCACTGAAAAAATTGCAGAGTCAAAAGGATGGAAGAAGAAGCCCTTTGTAGCTTGAATTTGCATTCCAATGAGCCTTTAATAGTAACACCCCCAGCAAGATATTGTATTTTCAGTTAGCTGAGGCAGGATTTTTATACATCAAATGCCAGATAAAGTCTTGCAATGCCATGGCAATGCATCTGAGGTATGGTTAGCCTGCAAGGTTTAAGGGTCGTTTTCTTAAAGAGAACTTTCAATTGCAGGTCATGATGGCACTGTGCGGTCACTTGAGTCATGTCGAGGCTGAAAAGCAAAAGCTAAGAGCTCAAGTTAGGCGGTTATGTCAAGAGAATGCTTGGTTAAGGGAAGAACTGTCATCAACACAACAAAAACTCCAGGGGAGTGAGCAAAATGTAGCTCGTTTAGAGGAGGAAAAGCAACACCTGGAATTCATGAATTCATTGAAAAAGTATGATGACAAGACTATGGTAAGAGAAAGTAAACTTTCAAGCATATATTTATACATCCAGTAAACAATTCCTTTTGTTCTAATTGCTTTCTAACAATGATGCTTCTTAATAATTATGTCATTGCTATGGTACTTTGCTAGTTCAGCTAAATGTATCTAAAAAGAAATAATTTATTGTATATATTTGACTTAAACCTAAAGGTTAACTGTCATCTGCCTCATGTCAGACTTGGTTTTTAGTGAAGGGATGGTCATGAAAATTTTGGAAATTATTGAAATAAGTCATATCGAAGGACACCTGCCAAAAAAGAATATTTGCTTGCTCCAAAGCGATTTCAAACAAATTATGCCAACTGTGAGAAGTTTTTAGAAACTTCTAGAGACTTTATATTCATAGGCTGAAGCCTGCAAAGATATATGTTTGCAGTGGCTGTTAACAGGTCTCACCACCCAAAGAATTATATTTAATACCATTGAATTTAAAATAGTTTGTTGAAATGCAGGACAATAAACTGTTTACATTACAAAATTTCCATTAATTGTCAAGTTTTATAAATCAAAAGTTGACCTCTTCTGAGAACAAAACTAAACAAAAATCAAACAATCTGATATAGTCTAGTACTTGACTCACTGCACTTTGAGTTCCTAGCTTGAAAATTGCTATGCACTTGAAGTGCCTTGAATTAACTTGTTGACCTAGAAAACTTGTTGACCTATTGAAGAAACTTTTTAAGTTGAAAATGATTCAAACAAATACCATTATTCTACAACAGTGTGTCAATGATTGAATTTGTGACCTGTTGAGCTATACACTCAATTGATTCCCATATAGGACAGTGTCACCTTCAAGCATTTTCTCTCAGCTGAACAAAAGTTTTGTTTGCTAGAGACATTCAAGAGTTAGAGACATAACAACATGATGATAAGCTTCTGCTCAAACACCAGGACTAAAACTGCTACTACTGGATGTGTCTATTTGCATCTGGCATTATCAAAAGGTTAAATTCCATTATTCAAGCTAATGAAAGGGGGTTACTGGCAGGAGAAAAGGTAAGATAGTGTGATATCAGAGCAACTGGAGAAGCTACTCCTATGATCAATTTCGTTTCCGTTCATTTAACAACTTTTTAAACTTTTAGGATGAAGGAATTGACAGTGATTTTCAAGATGATGTTCAGGATGAAGATTCAGATAGGGAGACTGACGGTAAATCTTATTTACAGATTGTAGAAAATTACAAATGCAGATGAACTTTTCACTGTTTTAATTAATGTTTTTTGTTGTTGGATAATATGTTATAATTTCAGAAATTGATAGTTATCCTGGTGGAAATAAAATTGCTGTTACGAAAAAGGGGATTAAAGTGACCAAAGAAAATGTTTGATGTATTCCAATGCTTTTTGATCAAATTTCCAGGAGGATGCTCACGAGTGATAATTGAGAGATGTTTTGCTCACCCTCCTGAAACATATATCTTAATTATCACAAGGGCCTCAGGGACAAAAAAGGGAATAAGTTTGGGCCCAGTCTCCACAATTTTTAGATTTCAAGATGAGATAATTATTTTGCTTTGTGGGGCTTGTCTTTTTTTTGGTTTGAACGATTGTGGAATTTTAAATAATTGTGACTCTCTTAGCAACTTGTCCTTGCTATAGACCTTGGATTTCAAATTTCACTCCTTTCATTTTGATTTGGAATGACTGAGTATAGGTCCTAGTGAAAGATTTTGATTAATACAAGAGCTCAGCTTACAGAAAGACTGTCATATTTGCTTACATTACAATCCATTGCTTTATAACAAACAGTCAATCAAGTAGCCTAATAAAACATTTAACTAAACATCTTTCTTTGTGTACATATTTAGAGGTTTGAAATAGCAGGTTCCCAATTTATTTTTTAGAGAATTTGGAAGAGACTCCTATACCTTTTATCAACACCCCTGTTTCAAAGCATGTTGGCTAAGATTCCAAAATAAAATGGCCTTGCAAAAACTTTCAACATTGTTTTCTCTTCAGAAAAGTTTGACACCCTCTGTTTATTTAAACTCTCTGTTTATTTAATTTTGGCATTGGCCATGACCCCACTATTTACTTCAATTTCCCTGTTCATTTGTCTCCTCAGAGTAAGCAATCGAAAAAAACTATTGTAAACCCTTCAGAAAATGATCATATTTTGTCTGCTCAGTTTGTTCATCTGAGACAATGTTTTTATGCTTTAAATGTATACGAAGGATTGCAGATTTTTTAAGTTGGGAAAAAATGTTAACTCAAATTATTGGTTTGCCAATGTCAGTGTATTAAAGCTCCATGACAGAATAATTTTCAAATGTTTTCCATATCATTCTGTTTTAGAGGATGCCTTAAGTCAGACGTCATCTGTGACTAGCTCTGTTAATAATGCAGGTGTTTATGAAATCCCTGCCAGATTGAAGACTCTGCATAATTTGGTCATTCAGTATGCCTCACAGGTCAGGTTATAACCTTGTCTGCTTTTTCTCGGTATTTGAAATTATGAACACAGTTTGTGTATGAATGTTTGAAATAAGCTTTGCTACAGAAATCATACATACAACTCATTTTGATAAAATGCTTGATTTTCACATAAAAGTGTTATGCTGCCGTGAGTGACAAGAAACAAAAAAGCCTAATATTAACCTAAGTAGGGAAACAATCAGTGAAATTTCTATGATGTTTGTTTTTCCTTGTCCTAGCTACTGTAATTCTGAAATTTTACCTTTTCTTCTTAATGATATTTGGATTGTTTATTCATACTTTAGGGTCGTTATGAAGTTGCTGTACCTTTGTGTAAGCAAGCATTAGAAGATCTAGAAAAAAGTTCTGGACATGACCATCCTGATGTAGCAACAATGCTGAATATATTGGCCTTGGTTTATAGGTAGGCATAAGATTAAACTCATAAATTACACTGTAAGCAAACCTTGTCTTTAATATAAGCATGTACTTTGTTCTCTGATTCCAAACCAACTTTTTCCTCTTACAGATATTATGGGCCACATTTTAGAGTCATGTCACCCCTTTGGGACAATTTGATTTTTTCATGAATTCTGACTGTGCAATGTTATATATTAATAAGAAGATTTTGGGTCAGTTTATTTTTAGAAAGCGCACACAGTTATTGCGTTACAATATTTTTCATACTTTTGCTGATTATTGTTGTTTCATTTTGTTCATAAAAGCTAGAGAATCTTTTAGGTAAGAGTAAGCAGAATTTAAGTAAAAAGGTTGGTAGACCTTCAACTCTTCCTTTTTTCCTGCACCCCAACTTTCTTGGTCATTCCCTTGGTTGGTTTTTTAGCCAAAATAAAACAAAACCCCACAACATGTTTCTTTGTCTCTCAAAAGCAACTATTCGTTGAAACCCAAACAATAGCTGGAACAATTTTCATTTGTGGCGTCACATTCAAGTAAGAAAACCAAAATGGGGGATAACTTTATTCTTTCTCTACTCTGAATTTGGTAACAAATGGCTCAATAAAGGTTTGATTTGATATTGACAAATGTTAAAAATAGAAGAAAAGAGAGCAGATGATAATTTACGGTTTTTCTCTATTGTGCACTTTTCTGGATGCCTAAATTTGAATAGTTCCATAAGGGGTGATGTCACAAGTTTTTCACACAAAAAGTCATCTGTAGTAATATTGCTCATGTAGAATAGCTGATAAGACTGGCTTTACACAAGCATGTGGAATGTGTTTGTAGTACATACATTGATTTTATTAGGAAGTACTAAAAGACTGGGTAAAACAGCTCTTACTGAACCATTCCATAAGGGGTGATAAGACTCTAGTCCAATTGAGGAGCTACCCCTCTAACAGGAAGAAGGCATGTTTAGATGTTAAAAAACATGACAATTTCAAAGCCATTATGGCATTACATGTTTTGGTGATTTGTCCAAAAAATGTCGCTCAAATGACCTTTGTTTGATTCCCACTTTGAAACACCTATTTGTTGAATTTAGTTTAAGTTTGATCAATAAACCAAGGTTTTCCACTTGTCTGGAATAAGAACTATCCAGGACTCTTTTACATGATGCATGTCTAAACCAAAGAGATGGAAAGAGCCATTGGTTGGAAGCTTGACTTTAATGGAAGTTGAGGTTCAACTATATTTTATAAGTCTCCTTCAAGAAAAAATCTTTTGCAGAATACATGGAAAGTTTTTTGCGTCTCATTCATTACCATGCAAGTGCCACTTTCTTATAATTATTTGGAACAAAAATAACAGATAAGTAGCGATTCATGCATTTATATTAACAAGTCCAGGAAGCTAGTTTCAGGGATACATTTTCAGGAAATAAAGTTTTATGTTTTTTGAGAATTAAGGCAAATGCAATCCCAAATATATCTTTGAAAGCTTAGATTGGGTCAAAGCAAATTTTTGACAAATCTGCAAATGGAGCTGCTTTTGTGACACCCCATTTTTTGCCCAAGAAAAATTATCATCTTCCTGGCTGTCACTTAAAATCAAATTGAAGGAATTTAAGAATTTATCCTTGTGTTATTTAGATATCTTTATGTGTGGTTAAGTATTTTCTTTTGAGCAGTGTATATTGAAGGTGTCAAAAGTAACTTCATATGTTCAGAACACCATTTATTTTCATTTACCAGATTCACAATAGTTCACAAAGTTGTCCACATTCCAAAGTCTGTTTTGTGGCACCTGCTTGCCTTCCTTTTGTCTCCAGTACATGGACGACTGAAATTGTGCCCTTTAAATGAAACATCATTTTCAAAGCTGGAGTATCTGGATGTAGAATGTCCAAAGTTTGATATTTCCTCTGTCAAAAATATTTGGAGTTTAATTAACAAAGATGGGAATGTTAAAAGGATTGGTACGGTAATGAATGCACAAAGACAGACTAGAATGCATTGCAGAAAGTCTACAACCAAAAAGACATAAACACTTTATATATATATAGTTAAGAAAACTTTTTATGTTAGTCCATTTAGAATATTTATTCCCAAGACAATGCTTACATAATCAACACTCCAAGCCTATATCCAATATTACAATGCAGTTACACCTTTAATTAGAAATCCAACATCTGACAATTAATATCTCCTTTTTTGATACTTGTAAGATAGTAATTTGTATCCAGTCAATTTGCTCTTTCTGACTTTTGGTAACTAGTTCCTCTCTTACCACACACAGGTCTTTCCATTTACACCTGACTCTATGGCAGGAAAGGTATGCAAATAATGTAAAAAGGTGTGCTGTTGTAAGGGGCTAGATTCAGCATTTTCATTTAACAGCTTTGAATAACTTGTTTCACAATTACATATATTTTGCTCAGAAAGAACCAAAACAGTTCACCTCTAAAGTTTATATTTCTAGCCCCTTACTGATTTCTACTGAATAGACTGATTTTAGTTTCAAGACAGCATTTATAACAATGTACATCCATTCCAAAAAGGGTTTTTAGAACCATGGGTGCATGAGAGTTTTCAGTTTTAAAGCTCATTTTCACCTGAAAAATCTCTACAGAGCAGCAAAATTTCCAAAATTTTCTGTCAAATTTCTGTGCTTTGGGAGGCTGTAGCCCCCTGCCCCCAGCCACTGCACCCCCAGCTTGAACAATGCTTTACATTTTGTTTACCCGAAAAGTTAGACTTTCTCAAAGTCTGTCTATTTTTGTTGGATCTGTAAGCATTTGTATTACTGCAAGGGCAAATGTTACCTGCAATTTCTCCTTTGGGAAAGTCTATCCAAAAGCCATTTTGATTTAGAAAATGCTTTAAATGCTGTCTTGAAACAAGAGAGATATGGCACAGCAGAGCACTTCCATGGCATGATCAAAAGAGTGTTTCTTGTTAGTCTTTTTCATACCCCTTGATACCTAGAGTTTCATCATTAATTAAGAACACCATAAATGATTTCAAACATAGAACTTGTCAGTAAAAAGTGTTGTAATATTCTCTTTGTGTCGTTTTTAATGGTGACTGTGAAATGTTGTTGTCTTGTTTTATTTTCTTATTTTATACTGGAAATCGTAATGATTTTTTATAAATAGACTTGAAGTTTGCTTCAACAGTTTTCTTTTGAATTTTTATTCACATTGACGATGTTTCAGTGTGTTTTATTGGAGCTTTGAGATGTCAGATTATATGAGTACTGATAGCATAGCACAGTTTTAGCTCTGTTTTATTCAAGTATAGCTTTATAGTATAAGCTTTTATCTAAACAAATTTGTTCTGTGATGTGCCTATTTTTTGTAAGGCTGGCTCACTGTGGGTTGGGTCTATCTATCTTATCAATTTCAAAATGGGAGATTTTCCACTTACTTTATTTATGAAACTTATGGTAGCCCTAGGTCCTAATGCATGCTATATCATGAAAATCCAGTATCCATGGCACTGTTTAACTGCTGCTAGGAAGTGCTTCGTTGTGTCACCATAGCACAAGTTGTTTTTTGAATTACTTCTGAAAGTTAGAAACAAAATTTAGAAATGATTTCTAAGCCAGAAAAGGAAGCATGGTTTGGTGATTATGGTGGTTAAAATTATTAAAATAAAATAATTGTTTTAAATGAAGGTACAATTACAGACAACCAAAATAAACATTATCTATCAAAAAAGAAATTTCTTTAATCCTATGTTGATGATATTAAAGCTCAAAAAGATATTTTTATCCATTTCAACTTTTATTCAGTATTTTGAGTAAATAAAAGAACCAAAAAAGCTGCATAATAAAAATTTAAATTGGCTAACGCTTTAAACCGTTCAGGTCACCAAATGACTAATTTTTTTAGAACTGTGCTAGAATGCTTTTTTCTTGAACATGAAGATTGGAGAAATAGGTGGTTTTTAATGGGTTCGAATCCCACTTTAAAAGCAAAGGCCTAAAACTGTAATATACCAGTTTTAAAAAATTCACACAGAAAGAAAATTTCCCATTCATTCTCAAATGTGAGCTGTTCTGCTAACTTCTATAATTTTCTTTATAAACTTGTACCTTTGTATGCAGGTTAGATAAAGTTACTGTCAAAAATGTTTTGTCAGTCTGTGCGAATATGCAAATTCTATTTTAAACCATTTTATTTAATATCAATAAATCTATTATCTGTGCAGTTGAATTGATGGCACAGTCAATAACTGACAGTTTTTGGGGTTTTGTTTGTGATGCCTAGTTACATATATTATATAAAAATAATTCATCCTGTTTTCAATTTGTATGATTTTTTTTCATTTCAATTTAATGTAGCCCCGGAATCTTGAGAATTGAAGCCTTTTCAAGATATTAAAATCCCATCAATAAATATCACAAACAGACTTTGTGTTAAATTTGTAAAGTAAATCTTGGCAGCCAACCAATAAAGACTGGAATAAACCTTTCTTTAGATATTATTAGAATAAAAGAATATGCTCAATTTTTATAACCATGCCATGGATGTTCTGCTTTTGCCATATTTAACAGTCATTTAGTAGAATCCAAAGCAAGCACACTTATGTTCAAACAGACTTCAATTTTTTCCAATGTTGATTCATTTTATATCTGCAGAGATCAGTCAAAATATAAAGAGGCTGCGAATCTACTAAATGATGCATTAGCAATCAGAGAGAAAACTCTTGGTCCAGACCATCCAGCGGTAACATTTTCAATATTTTTCAAGTTTTTCTTCTTGATGATAAAGAGGTTCTCAATAATTAAGATGCGATAAAGTCTGGACTCTGCACAAGCACCCACAAGTTGTCAGTTGAATCTCTTTTTTGCCCAAAACTTTTAAGGTTTACTGTTACATCTTGTTTGAAATATGACATGTGGTTAGCATATGACAATTTGCTGTGGTAATACCTACAGATGTTTTGGGGTATAATGATACGATATCAGTTAATATTGCACTTTTTATTCTTAAGAACTTAAAAAACATTTATTTTGAGACAGAAAGTAATAAATTATTTTACCAACTGCTACTATGTGTGACAAAATAATATACAGAAGCCATAAGAAATATATTTAAAATGTTCTTATGTTTGTTTTTCCCCTTATCTGCTTCATCTAAGTCCACAAACTCTTATCAACATGCATTTGCTTCTTTTAAATCTAACTGTGCGTCAGCTGCTCAATAATTGTTCTCTTTAGGAACCAGACTATTTATTGTTATTCACTGTTTTTTATCTTTGCAAAGTTTGTCTTAAATTTCCTTGATACACCATCTTTAACTAAAAGCTACAAAAGTCCTGGAGCTTTAGTTACATCAACATGAAAAAGCTCAAGTTACTTCTATATGCCACAAGACAAAGTGCGCCCCCTCAAATAATTACTTTTGGTAGACGAAGCATTCTAATGGAGACTAGGTTTCTGGTAAAAATAGGTGTTTCTATTTCCAAAATTTGGAAATTGCTTCAGAGCTTCAGGTTGCATGCTTAATATTACCAGGCCTGTTACTATGTTCTCAAGGAAGCTTGTCAGTTAAATTTCAATTGTATCACAACTACATGTCACTTTTAAGATTGGAATGATGCATTAAGATAATTTTGTTTCATCTATTGTTGACAGGTTGCTGCAACACTGAACAACCTTGCTGTTTTGTATGGAAAGCGTGGCAAGTACAAGGAGGCAGAACCTTTGTGCAAACGTGCATTGGAAATAAGAGAAAAGGTACAATTTTAACTCCCTTTATTATTTTTCCCTGCCCTTTTACCATATCTCGTAATCTGAAAGAATTAATTTTAACCTTTAGTTAGACATTATTTTTTGCATTAGATTAATTTTTCTACAGGCATGTTAAGTCATTTTAACTTAATCAATCTTTGAGAAAAAACTTTGACATAAATAATGGGAGTTTTATTTTTCAGGTTCTTGGAAGAAACCACCCAGATGTTGCCAAGCAACTAAACAACCTTGCTTTGTTATGCCAAAACCAGGGCAAATATGATGAGGTAAGCTTTGACTGGCAGAAACTATATATACTTTTGTCTGTCTAAGTACAATAAGATAACAAATATTATTTCTAAAGAGATGTCTAGTGACTCATGATAAGCCATCTTCATCTAATTTTTTATGGTTGCTAGGTTTTAGTCGTCTGTAGGGTAATCTCTTAGCAGGCCTTTCCAGGCGACGCAGGCTTTAGCCCACACGCACGCAAAGCCCATGCAAAATAAATTTATGAGGGCTTTTTTCCGCCCACTCAGTTTTTCAAACCAACATTCTCATTTAATCCGCGCAGTTTAGCTTCCAAATGTTTGTACTACTTACCTCTAAATACCAAGGTGTTTTTAAATAAGGAGAAAGAGGTCTTACACATCTATGTGTTTATCACATGTCAACAAACTATTGCATTATCTGCTAAAACTTGCAATGAAATAGGAAATGTGTTCGCACGAAAGGAATAACATATAGTGTGATTAAGGCTGCAAATAATTGAAGTGAGAAATATTACACCATGCTGTCAAATACAAAACAATTTCTTTCTTAAGTCCCGACATATAAACTAGCCATTCCCAAAAAAGCCACTTTTAACTGGCAAAAACTAACAAAACTTTGCTATATTCCAAAAAGTTATGTTCCTCTTTTGTCTAGTTTTAAGGAGTGATATTACAAAATTTAAAGGTGTGTGAATAATGTTTAAAAGAAAAGGCAACGTAATGAATTATTGCCTTTGTAAATACTCAAATATAAAAAAATTAACAACGGTTCTGCAAGAGTCTGCTAGGGCTAAATAGCCCATGCAACCAAACTGGCAAGGGCTTTTTACAGCCTGCGTTGTTTTTTTTCCTGGAGAGGCCTGCTCTTAGGCACAGTTCATGGTCGTATCATTTTTAAGAGCAGTCTGATCTATATTGCAATATTTCAGGAAGAAAACTTCTTCAGTCAAAATTAAGTGATTGATGGCAATGTTACTTTACAAGAGTGTGTAATTATGCTTATCTAGAATAACAATCATAAAGTAATGATAAAACCTAATGATTGATCCATGTACAAATTAATTGCTTAATTTTTATTATGAATGTAGGGTCATTAAGCCCTTCTTATTTTTTAAACAGATTGACCATTTAAGCTTCTAAAGTGACCTCTTTCAAACTTCAATGCATTTAAACCATTCCTTAAATATGTTTCTCATGATCATCAATATTTTCCTCTAGGTGGAGATGTATTATCAGCGAGCATTGGAAATATATGAAGCACAACTTGGTCCAGATGATCCGAATGTGGCAAAAACAAAGAACAACCTTGTATGTTTCTATGGTTCATTGTTATACTTTACTATCATATTTCTCCATTAAATGCTCCTATCACAACCATATCCATAGATAAAAAGCATTTGGCATTTTTTAAAAGGACACTCTATAATGTTGCTCAGTTATGATATCATGATGAATCCGATTTACATACGTTTTTTTAGCTCTTCATAATTTTTTGTTTTTGCCTTAATGCATTCAAAGAGGACATTCAAAGTTTTAAGGGGTCTGTGCAACATAGAGCCATGGAGTGCTTGTAGTTGACTTTCTGTTAATGAGAATTAATATGGCCGTTTCTGTTTTGAGAAATACGTCTCACCATAACACCTGCTTCAAGTTCACTGTAAGTAAAAATTACTTACAATTGCCTTTTTTAATCTGGCTTATTAATCTATATTAATAGCCATGTTGTTCAGGCCCCTTTAAGAAAAATAGATCATTTCTCACCCCAATTCTTCTTTAATTTCCAAATTTTGAAACTCAAGGTGACAATTTTCATCTCATTCAAACAATTTTTCCTAGGCATCTGCTTATTTGAAGCAAGGGAAATATAAAGCTGCAGAGCAGTTGTATAAAGAGGTAATTCCATTATTGAATTAATTTACATATAAAAAGGAGTAATTGTATTTTTCCATCTTTGGTGCAGGCTCTGTTGCTAGATGCACAAAGCTTCAGATTTGTTGTTTAGAATAGAAAAAATGTAACTCACAGTGAAACACCCAATGTGTTTTTTGTCAGCAGTACAAATCATGCATGTATCTTATTGAACTTGTTTGCTACCAAAATTTTTCTTCTTTAAAACGGTGTTTCTTTTTTTAGGTGCTGACCAGAGCTCATGAAAGAGAATTTGGTATGTTTTTTGACATCTTTTTATATGCCATAATTTTCTCTATAGTTTACTATATATACTATAATTTACTTTAATTCACTTTAATTTTATTTACTATAGTTTTATAATTGAATTTTTTGTCTTTTTCATTTGCAGTCTTGTTTTGGTTGCGAAGATATATTTTATCAATTCACTTTGTTGTTTTCTTGACAAATAGTCATAAAAACCTGAATTTTTTAATCTTTTCTAGAAAGGCTAATCCTGTGAATCGTTAACATTATTTGTACAGGATGTTTTATATCGTATCGTATTATAATATAAGTTTGCTTTCCTTTTCAGGCAAAGATGATGAGAACAAGGTGAAATTTCTTTTATACTTTATTTTTACGGTAAATCAAAACCCATTTTCTTGGTGCTATTTTAGGTGATAACAAGGACTTGTCTATGATGGTATAATCTTAAGAAGCCCAGTGAATTTTGCATCATTTGTCATGTACTTTTCAACTAGGTATTCTCATTCAAAGTTTGTAGGTTTTGCATTTTCGGAGTAAGTTTAGGTGCAAAACTCAATTAGTGAATACAGAATTACCAGTACATGATAAAGTTTCTTGATCTTATGAAAAAATTACAGTAAAAGATTAACATTTCAAAGCCAAAGTGCTTGTAAGGTGAAAACATGATTGTTGGTCTTACACAAGGACTTACACAAGTTATACTTTTCATACTACTTTTCACAGAGTAGTAGGGTTTTTTCTCAATTTGGGGTTGATCTTATTTCATAGCGTGGAAAAGATAATGCACCTTATGGCGAGTATGGAGGATGGCATAAAGCAGCTAAAGTTGACAGGTAAGACAGTGTTTTTTACTTGTTGACTCCCCTAGAGGGTTGAACTGAGAGCTGCAATGTCAGGAGAAAGTTAAAATTTCTGCTATTGTAAAAAAGTTTTTCGAAAGCACTCATGTTTAGCTTTCTATTAATCATTCATATTTAGGATCAATCAAGTATTTGCTCTGTTTGTGAACAATCTTTTTGTGGTACAAAATTTAAAAATGGCTTTGAAAAAAGGAAACATTTGAGTATACTGAAGCTTTCTGACACTCTTCAGAGTATAAAACACCAGAACAGAACATAGGCCAAAAACTCTTTGGTAGGAAATATAAATACCCTGTTGTGGATCAAAATAGGCCAATCAGAAACACAAGCACATGACTGTTGAGGTTGCCCAATCAGTCCTGCTTTAGTTTTAGGTTTGCACATTCGTTTTAACATTTAGTTGTACTTTCAGCCCAACAGTGACAACAACTTTAAGGAATCTTAGTGCACTGTACAGGAGGCAAGGAAAGTTTGAGGCTGCAGAGACACTTGAAGAATGCGCAAATCGATCACGAAAAAATGCAGGGGTATATATTTTCTTTTTAAGGTCTTCCTATTAGAATATGGAGTTGAACCAATTGAGTTCATTTGTTAATTTTGATGTGCTTTTATGCCGTATAGCCAGTCTTCGTCATAAGGTAAACCACACGCATTATTTCTTTCATGCTTGCGATTCACATTTACATATCTGGCTATTTCAGACCCCATTTAAACTGTCCTGCTCAAAAACGGAACTGTGAGACTACAAAATTCATTTGCTATTGTAGCAGGGTCAAAACTATTCCAGATAGCAGAGCAAAATTGTCTCATTTCCAGAGTGCTAGCATAAAATAACTGTGACCAAGGGGTGAACTGCGACCATTTTGTCTTGGTTCCAAACTTGCACAAATCAGTGTAAATAGGGTATCAAGTTCAGGAGCATCTTGGCAAATGAATTCTAGAAAGAGCTAGAAATAAAATTTTCCAGAAAAATTTATTTTATTTATTTTAATCAAATAGAAGAATTTTATGTTAAGTATAACGGAGGAGGCAGAAAAATTTATAACACTTGCCTTTACTGAAAAGATATTTCAAATGCTCTTTTATCTTGTTTCTTCTTGTTCGCAACCTTATAGATCAGGTGATTAGGACAAGGGTAGAAAAAGTTACTACTCGAGGGCACCATGGTTGCCGCCGAATGGGGAAATTTCTTATAATCTTAATGCCTCAAGTTTGCCAGAATTTGCATTTGGAGCAAATTTTAATAAAAAAAATCTTATTCTTAAAATGAATATCCACCAGCAGTATTGATCAACTTCCCTGTACCCGTTTTCAAATGTTTAACCTTATGCAACATAACTGCATAAATTTTTAAATCTCTGACAACATTTTCAAATTTGGTAAAAAGCACAAAATTTGCACTATACGGTCTTTAACATCAAATTAAGATGTAATTTATCACCAATATTGACCGATTTCCATAACCAATATTGACCGATTGGCCCTTGAAGATTATTTTAACAGACAAAATCAGAGCAGCAAATCATTCTTTGGTAAAAATCGGTAAATCCTGAGAAATAATTTTTTGTGGATTTACGAATTTGTGGATTGCAGGGATTTATGACAAAGACTGTATATAGCACAAGTAGTTTAATGCTAACCCTTTATCTTGAATGAATGATAACCCATTTTTATCGAATTTCAAGAGTAAGCCTAATTAATGCCCCCATTTCACAACATTTTGCTGTGCAGACAAGGGGTTTCTTATCCTTATGTGGCTCCTGAACTATTCAGTCCTTCCCTGCATGGTTCATAGCAGAATAGCCTCCTTGTGTAATTTTAAATTTGAGGCATGCCAAATCTTATATATTTTTACATAAGTAATCTCACTCAAAGTAGTTTCTTTATATTATTTCTGAGGATCATTTCTAAAAAAACTGACCCATTCTCCCATGGTTTTGTGATGATGGCCATTACCTAAAAGCAATGATTATGCAGGGGGTATCCATTGTAACATAGTTATCCATTTCTAATGTCTTTACACATTCCAAAAGTCAATTAAACAGCTTTGTGTTGATTTTCTTCCTTTTTAATCACTGTTGCCAATAATAATTCAACCATCACCACAAAACCATCTAAAAGTGTAAAGTGACTGTAGTTAAGCTGTTATGCATAGGAATGAAGAAAATTTAAGTGTTATTGTGGTGAATCTAATTTTTTGTTTGCCTTGTAGCCTTTAGATACAGCACAGCAATCACAGCTGGCTGCCATTCTTGGATCAGATTTCCCAAACAACAGTGCACCATCGTTGTCTGGAGTTTCAGTCAGTAGCTCAAGTTCAAGCGGTATTGGAACCTCCAGAGCATCTTCATCTTCAAGTAAACATGAGGACGACCATCAGAAAGATGATGAGGTATTGAAATATAATTTCTTTTTTCAAAATTTTACTTTATATGTAAACTGTTTATTAGCATTTTTCTTCTTTCTGAACCATAACAATCTTTGTGGTGACCTTTTTGCTAAATTTTAATCTCTTTATGACTAAAAGAAATCTAACCAACTAACAATATGTAGAAAAAAGTAGTTCATAAATGTAGAAAAAAGACCTTATCATGGGCAGATTTAACCATTAATCATCAGTGCAGTTAATAGGTGCGATCTCAAAAACATGCTTTACCCTGAAGAAGGGGAATGTAAAAAGGCAGAAAAAGTACTTTGGATGAAATGGTAGTTTTCCTAGCTGAAAGGTTTTTTTCCTTAAAAAACCACAATTGCTTAACCTTTGACTGGCCCTAGCATTCTGTCATTAGTTTTTCACCTTAATCTCAAGTATTTTTCACAAACTGGGGAGATATAGTTGTGCTCATTTGGAATGAATTAGCTTGCCTAAAGATTTGCACATGGCCTTCATGAAAAACTAATGTCAAGCAGAATACTGTTCTTTTGAAAAAAAAGAAGCCAGTATGTTAATCAATTGTAGGTCATAGAAAAGTATTTGTAAGAGCTAAATAAGTATACATTTTGTATTGTTGTCTATAGCACAAAAATTGAAGTCCTTATTTGTGTCTAAAAACTAGGTAGAAACAAAACGCAAGAATTTAACTCTGGCCAAGTTTTGGTCCCATTTCAAGGGTCAGGTAAGGCAGTGCCTTGACTCTTTCTGATTTTCAGTCAGAATTTTGTTCTAAAGCCAAGTCTAGGCTATGTCCAAGTTAAGCTTTGGGTTGTAGCAGTGTGCAATGCAATGGCAGAAATGACAAAACCGTGACCCTTAAGTTTCATTGGATAAGTAACATCATAGGCCAATTCTCTGCTCTACCAGGATAAGAAAGGAAAGAAGGACAAGACTACGTTATCCAGGTTGAAAAGAACTTTCAGCAACCGAGGCCAAAAACTAATGGAGAAAATTGGTGGCGGTAGACTTCAGAGATCTACTTCCCGTGAGAACCTTGTTGCCCAATCTAAACTGCAGCCATCAGAGAGGATTTCCCGGAGCACCCCAATGCTTGCACAGCTTGTACCACCAGATAAGGTATTAGAATGCACTTTAAACTATTACATTTGAACATAAAGCATCATTTTAAATATCTTTAAATAAATAAATAAATTTCACTGACAATAAATGAACACCAATGGCACTTTATCATTATGGTATCTGATCACAAACAAATGCATTATGTGGTAACTAAAAAGCTAGTGGTATATAAGATAATATGTCTAAAACAGTCTGTTTTCAATTAAATTGCTTTTATAAAAATGTAGCCAGGTTTCAGTTCATAAACAATAGATAACTTGTGATAAAGAACAGATCATTCAGATTTTTAAAAATTGATAATTCAGCCCTTATAATATGATTTATTTTAAAGATTAAATTTTGTGCACCATTAAAATGGAGCCTTTTATAAAATGGCAGATGTCTTGTTTAAAGAAAACAGGGAATATTATACATGTTTTCTTGTTTAGCTTCCAAACTGTAAAAATTGTTTCAATTACGTTTTTACTTTTATTTGAGTAGATATCCAAGAAAACCTTTTCAAATATTTTCTTGTTGTATTTTGATTTAGTTTTTGTTACAGTTTCATGTAACAACAAATGACTTTTTCTATAATTAATTTCTCAAAAATTTATGGTGGGAAATATAAATCACTGTATGACTAGATAATATCATATAATTTAATGTTAAAAGCACATATCTTAAGGTAGCTTTTCTAGGGAAAGTTAGTTGCTTAAGAAAAAGGCTATTGCTGCACCCAAAGAATAAATGAATAAAGTTGTTCATAAAAACATTCTTATATTTCTTAACATATGATACATTCTGTGCATTGCAACATCCTGTTCTTATGGTCTTCTAAAACTTCACCAAGAATCTGGATTTTTATTAGTTTCTCTTGTTAGTCCATGTTGGCAGACATTAGTCCTTGTGTAGATTAGAGCTCCAAGAAGGAAACACCTTAATTTTTGATTGGTTTAACTTTGTTTCGCAAAGGTTTTCATGGGAAATATTGCATTGCACACATTATAGCTTTATTATTTATTTAAAAAATGAGCTTCTTTTTGTGATGTTATCATAGCTTTTACTATTCTAGCATGTTGAAATTAACTGCGCTAGATTATCCTTCTAATACTTATGAGAGGTTATACATCAAGTTAAAGTGTATTTATAGTTCCTGTTTATTCTTTTTATAGTCCTATCAATATTATACTGTCTTTTACTAGCTTAGTATTTCAATGAGTATATTAAAAAGTTAATAGAGTTGATATTATAATAAAATAATATTTTATTGCACTTACTGCATAAATAGTGCTTTCAATTTTAATTTATTTTATTTGCAGGGTTCCTCAAAGACTCGTGGTCCAAAAACCACAAAAGATAACTCCGAGTTTGATATGCTATGATCAGTCTTAAAGCAGATGGAGCAAACTCTGGGCTGATATATATGGTTAACAGACACATTGATAACATCATTGTGAAGAGATAGTTTCAAGTTATTAAAAGATAAGAACATAATTTAAAGTAGATTTCTCGACAGTGACACTTCATTCAAGAGAGGGTAATAGTCATTGATTTTCTGAAAACACATCATCTTTTAATATATTGACACATTTACAAATAATTATTAGATTTTATCATATCCCATCCCAACTATCAAAAATAACAACTTTGACCATTCTGACCTTTCAGATTCAACAGGCTTTGTCTGTATATATTTATATGTTCTTGCCTCATCTAGATACAGATGAATTACTAGCATGAAACCTCCATTTTTTTAAAATTTTCATTAAAACACAAATTGACTTATTACCTCTCAAAACAAACTTCAAAACAGATGCAAATTTAGCCTTTGGTGTTGTTTTTTCTCATCTTATACCACCAAAACTCATCAATACATTGTGCAGTGTCAAACAAAAAAAGTTCTGTAGGGTTGCTAATATATATTAGAATAAAAGAAACAAGATAATAAACATTTATTTGTCTGTCATATTGTATTTAGTAGGGTGATAATAGTTATAAATACAAAATAGAGACATTCCTGTGTTTTTCTTTCCCAGCCTGTATCTCAAGTCTTGTTTGTTTAGGAGCTAGTAATGGAATTCTGAATTCCTGACCTTATTCTGATAGATTTTTGAGATATCACTAGGATGGTCCAGCTTTTGTATCCCATCGCACTGTGCAATTCGCAACTTGTCTGTGATCAGGTACCCTGATATGCCAACTGGACTGCACCATTTTAGCAAGGCGATAATGCACCTTTGCCAGGTTTTCTATGAACCAAACTGTTTTTATATGGCTGTCAATTGTGACTTTCAAATGTGTTACCAGGACAGCTGCCATTAAGATCATCTTCATCTAAAAACAATCAATAAAAAGTAAGTGTTCTTGCCATGTCAGGCATTAGAAAAACATTTCACAGTAAATGAAGTTAGTAAAAGGCTGCTAGTTGCATCTCATACCATTGTAGGTAATGCCACACCAAACACAGTACAAGTGAACCCCACGCAGATATTGTGTTATTTTCTCCAGCATTTCCCATTCCTGGAAAGAAGTGTTAGTTTTGAAAAGGTTCATAATTTTTGAGAATATTGCAAAGCACGACTGAACAAGAATTCAACATAACCATTTGAAAACCAAAAGACTACTATGTTTTCATGTTATTATTACAATGTGGTCCTCTGAAGCACTAATCAGGCCTGGCCATTTGAGGTAAGCAATAGCTCGTACTCGCCTCCGCTCCCCTTGCAACTTAAGATAAGCTGTGAATTGCTCTCATTTGCCCTTTTTGCATTTACAGAATCCTAAAAAACCTACACTGGGTAATTGGTTAATTTTTGTGGGGCAGTTTTTTAATGATAGTCATAAACTTAATCTATTTGGAGAAGGATAGTGAAGCGAAAGGTACCTTGTGAAGAGCTTAGAACTTTTCAATCTTATAAAAACAGGCATATTTTTTAACAGGCGTAGGAAAGTCGAAGAAAATGGCAAGAGTTATCCATTATAAAACAGCACGTTCCTTCCAGCATTAGAAACAAAACTCCCCCCAAAGAGAACAGGCCTCTTGGTCTTGCACTATCAATAAACATCTGAAACATGCGATTCCACTATTGGGCAGCATTTATTGGAAAACCCATATTGCGCAAAAACTATAATAACAACATGTTTCCGCTTATTGTTAAAGCCCTATCGTCATTCCACCCAGCAGTTTTGGAATCCATCTACATACGCATGAAAATTCGCTATTGTTTAGAAAGAAGAAGTTCATTTTCACCTTAGGACTCCATTGGTGACATCTTCAATAGGCAAGCAGCACTGATTGGGCAACCTCAACAGTGGTGCTCGCATTTTCTGATTTATCTATTTCGATCCACAACAGGGTATGTATATTTCATACCAGAGAGTTTTCGGTCTGTGTTCTGATGTTTTATACTCTGAAGAGTGTCAGATGAAAAGCGTAAGTACTTTTGCAAAATGTTTGCTCTTTTCAAAGCCCTTTTTAAATTCTGTTCCATAAAAAGATTCTTTGGTAAGGAAATTGTTATTTTGATGTTTTGTAAGCTTTACTCGAAACAAAAAGAGCCCTTTCTTTTAAATCCTTTGTGCAAAAGGGATGCTTGAGCCACACTAAAAGCAAGAGTGCCTGACCACATTTAAAAGCAATCGATATATACTCAAGGGGCTTAAACCATCTTCTAATCGAGAACTGACCAATCAGTGAGTGTGATTCCTCTCCCACTCACATTAATTGGCTAACATTGGTTGACAGATGGCTTAAGCCACTGCCAATTGTTTTATATCTGTCAATTGCCTTTAAAGTACATTCTACATGTTCTTGATTTAGCTCGCCTCAGCAAATGAGTGGAATGATTCACAGCTCACCTGCAAAAATACAAACAGCCAGGCCTGACTAATCGTTTGTAATGCAATGCAGAAGATCTAAGCTTTTCATATTAGTTGGAAGAAACACATTGCAAGAAGCAAAAGCAGCAACACACCTCAGGGCACTCAATTTTATCTGTCTCTTCGCTATCATCAGAATCATCATCACCACTTTCATTGTCATCTGGTATTTGCCAAAACCACTTTTCCATTGCTTCTAAGTTCTACAATACCAATTGAAATTCCAATTGATTCTCCTCAAACTAACAGACAAGCATGATTACAATAATGGAGGCTGTTTATTAAAACTTGTATGGAAAGTAATGCCATTAAATATGATGATGACATTCTGTTAATTACTGTTAAGCTGCTTCAATAACGTCCTGGGGAGTAGTAAACAGCTCCCCTAGTAATTTCCAGGTGAGTTGTTCATAGATATATAAAAATAGAATTATGGAATTGGAATCACTATAGAATTTTGAAATCACTATGGAATTTTGCTAATGACAGCACATTATTTGTCACTGAAACTAACGCTGATGAACTGTTAAAACTAATAAAGATAAACACCAACAAATCCCTGAAATGGTTTAAATTGACTGAAATGACTACGAATCGTTCTAATTGAAAATAGGGGTAGTCATATAAAACACTTGGAAATTAACATGACTTTGCGATGATAGTAGATCGCCATGTAACTTTACTTGGTGTTGAAATTGACGAAAGACTTAAATCTGACGTTCAAGAAAAGCAGCCGAAAAGTTAAATTGGTATGTGTGAATAGCAAAGCATATAGGGCATAAAGAAAACAGATAATTATCGATTCTTTCACACTATTTCAATTTAATAACTGCCCATTGATATAGAAATTGCCCATGTTATGTAGAAAATGAAGTCAGGATAAACTAGAGAAAATAGATAATAGAGCATTACGACTACCGTTATCTGACTATTCATCCTACTAAAATAATCTATTTGCCAACCCAAAGGAAACTACAATTTATATTCAATCAATAAGAATCCTAGAGCTTGAAGTATCTAACATTCTCAACAATCAAAATCTTCAGAACACCACGAAATTACACGATGAAACATCAGCTACATTAACAAGAACGATCAACTTTGCGCCTGCTTTGCGTGGTAACAGGCCGAAGCATGTGGTACATTGACTCATTATCAGTAACCTTGGTGCAGTAGTTTTTTTCTCAAAAGAAAATTGTTATCCTTCTAAGTCGTTTTGATGCTTTCAATCTTCAATAACTACTTTCAAAAATTTGAAAATCGCATGGAACCTCCATATCTGGGCTATTTCATATTTCATATCTGGGCTCTTGATGTTGATATTAGGGTAAATGAACATCTTGAAATAACCACCAGTAAAAACTATCATTTATATACAACGACACTGTTAGGTATAGGTGCTAGAAACAATAATTACCAAATGATCTGAAAAAACGCTGTAACACTGATAGTATAAAAGGAGTATAAAAAGTAAAACAAGGTGAGATTGTGACTGTAGGGTTTGCAATATCTTCATTCAACATGTAGGGTATTTGTAGCAGCTTCAAATCAGTATGTTGTTGCAGAATTATTTTATTATTTTTTGTATACTCGACTATTTGTATTAAAGTTAAGTATTAAAGCAATTTAAATTTGTGAATTGTTGGGCTTGAATAGCTTTTGGCTATGTAATCTTAATTTAAAGAATCATAACTATATTTGAAATCTTCATACGTATCACAGACAATGAAAATAATTGTGAATTCTGCTAGTATGGTTGATACGATATATTTCCAGTGGACTGTATTTCTGTACTCTGCCCTACTTCCCATATAGCTCGATGTTATTTTTCATAGTATTTCTCGTGTTTCTTAAATTCTTTGGAATTAAATCGGTAGTGGCAAAAGCAAAATTTATATTTGTCTCATTACTTGCAACGGCAGCTGCAGCATTTTTTAGTGTTTTCTCAGCCTTCGCTGTCACAATCTTTGTCAATTGTTGCTTCTTACAATTTACGTTTCTTAACGTTTCTGGAAATCATATGTATCTACATGTATATCAGGGAAGGGCCTCTCGGATATATCTTCTCTGAGCCAAGTTTTCTTGTCGTTGGTTGGTTAACCTGAGCGCTGGGATCTTTTAATTTATCTTTCTCTAGCTTTCTTTTCTTTAAATATCGGGCTAATTTCTGTCCTTAGTGACAACGCGTTTATTGTTGTGTAGAAAAAGTTAGGAATTTCGTTCTACAAGTCTCTTAATTGAATGAAATAGAGGTTGGGAAAAATATAATTACTATTGCAAAGGCTATTTTGATGTGTTTTTGCATTCCTAGACACGGTTTTCAACATGTTTGTTTTATTCAAATAGCAATTAATATGTTTTAACACTATCTATATGCAGAAATATCTATTTTGTCGAAAACGAGACTTTCAACATAGAAATGAGGCTTATAGCCCCAGAATTTACCCGTATAACATAGATATTCGAAATCAGCGCCCTGACAATGACCAAACATACCCTATATCATAAATTTCGCTTTCGGGGACGATACCCCCATTCTCCGCCTGGCTCATCATAAATTGAAATAAAATTCATAGAAGACATCTAGTATATAAGGCAGGATCTTTACCTTGGCACTATCCAGTTGCTCACATGCTTTTTGAGCTTTCCTGAGGTCAAATGTTACTTGTTTATCCAGAAATTTTCCTTTCATTCTCTTTTTAAAGTCTCCTTGTAAATTTTCCACCATTTGTCGCTTTCTGCTGGCCATTTGCTGTAAAAATGATACTTGCATCTCCTTTCGTTTTTGCAGCATTGTGTCTCTGCCTAAACCTCCTCTATCTAAAAGTGAATAAGAAAGGTTATAAACCCATAACTGTTCCAGTACCATTCAGTCCAGTTCAGTTTGATGTCCAAATGTGTGGTTATACCAGTTTTTATGGTCTCAATTAAAAGGACATCTGTTGAGGATTTATGTCCATTAAAGATTTTATGGAAGAGGCTTAGAATACAGAGAGTTTTCTGATAAATATTGAGGGTTAAAAGCCTTGAAAAATTCTAATTATTACACTGACACACTAAGGCCTGTGCACCAGTCTTAAATGAGAGCTCGGGGCAAATTTGTTGAGGTCACGCCCATTAAAACACCTGAAAACCTCCCTTTCAAAAGAGCTTTTTCCATGCAATTCACAAATTTTTACGATTCAGAGATTTAAGTTGCTATGAAAAAAGGATTAAATCAGCATTGAGACAATTTAACAAATTTAACCAATTTAGAAAATACAACTTCGTCATTACACAAGATAAAACACCATAAAAATGAGCAAAAAAGGTCCCATTCACACTGCAATGATTGTGCACCATTCCATATCGTTGAGTTCCAAAAAGTAGCCATGTCCCCACCAAATTTTTTGAAAAAAATATAGAACTTTTCACAAAATCTTTTGTTATGGGTGTTAAGCTTTTCCTTAACGTTACTTAAAAAGTCTTTCCTTAAAAAGGAAATCGTCTGCTTTTGTACATTCACACAGCTCACAGAGAGAAAATAAAAACGTTTTTGAGGTTACTACTCTTCACGCTGCATTCTTTTTTGTAAATTTTTTTGAGAGTTTACAAAACCTCTGTTTTTGTAGGTACACATTGATCCAGTGTTTTCAAAAAGCTTTGTTTTAGAGGATATCCACATTTGATAGCATTTCAAAAACCATCTGTTATTGTATAATTTTTGTGCTTCTGTTAAAACTTTTATATTCCATTTACAAAATCGCTTTGAAAAAATAAAATGTATACCCTTGTGTAAAAATTTTTAAATTTTGTACTTTCAATAAATGTTCATTATTACCGTATTTGATCTATTTAATGCCCGGGGCGTTAATTTACTCTTTTACTTTTTAGGGTGGGCCTTAATTAGGAAGGGGGGTTAATTAGGAAGTGGGCATTAATTTTTAAAATTCCTGAAAGCAAATTTGTGTACCTTATCCTCTGAATTTCTTCCAAGAATCTAGAACAATTTCAAAACAACCAAACAACAATTTATCAAATATTTTATAACAAAACAAATGAATAACAAATAAGTCTCACGATGGTAGTACTAATCTTTACAAAGTTCTTCATCACTTTCATGGTCAGAGTTGATCAACTTCTGTGGATCATTGGCAACTTTAATTAACGCCCCCTTTGGTGCATACAGGGGTGTTAAACAGAAAGGGGGCATTAAAAAGGAAGCAGGTGTTAATAAACTTTTTTCACTTTTAGGGTTGGTGTTGATTAGGAAGGGGCATTAAAAAGGAAGAGGGTCTTAAATAGATCAAAAACGGTACTTCATTATGACAAAATTGAAATAGCACCCCATTGCACTTCTTGATTTGCCAAGGAGTCTGATTGACTCCATGCCTGCAAATTCATTGCTGGTATGGCCTGTAATATATTTGTTTTAACCTCCAATATACATTGCTCAGCGACAAAGAATTTTCATTTAAAAAATATATAAGGAAATTGGTCCAAAAAAATCTACCTGTCTTTATTTCCAGTGGAATAGGCTCTGACCGTCCAGTACCTACAAAAATGAAAAAATTGCTTTATGTGAATCTGTAAAGTATAATTAGATGCAAAAATTCCCCTTTCCACTTTGACATGTTGTTTTGCTGAAGATAAAGTCCACATCCACTTTTTATTGTGTTCTGAAAAACCATGGGTTGTGAAGCCTAAGTCGTCCTAAGTCACACTTCATTTGTCACAGGTCTAGAAACAAAATCACTGTTGAGGTCATAATCCCACTAATCTCTACACCATAGTCCCATTAATCTCCACACCACTACATAGTTTTCAGCCAGGTTTTCCATGTGCAGAAGAGCTCCTTTTATTAATCAGATGACATGCAAAAATATTTTTTTTCTTTAAAGGGCATTATTGAATTTTGTATGAAAGCCAGAACTTTGTCATGTACCAGCAATATATTGCCCATGCACTCAAATTTTCCATCCACACACTTTTGCATATTGGCCATGCATAGTCCCAGACTGGAAACTTTGTTGCGTGCCTGCGATATATTGCCCATGCACTCAAATTTTCCACCCATGCACTTTTGAATTTTGGCCCACAAAGTCCCTATTTGAATACATTTCACATTATTAACAATACAAATTTCTTAAAAGTGCATGATTTCTGCCATGCAGTTGTGCAGTCAGGCACGTGAACTTGCCTGTGCAAGAAACAGTCTGGTGTTTTCAGTCTTCAGTCTGGTGTGAAAGTTCAAATTTTCAGCCATATTGGTAACATTTCCCCAAGTTTAGGGCGCCCCAGTATATGATCAAACCCCAGTATAGGGATTGTCAATCAAAATTTTGTTCTAAAGTGCTGCCAAAGCTGTTTCGGTGCATTGTTGTTGTGACAAGACACAGTGGCTTCACTGCCAGTAGACATTCAGCCATACATTCAGCAAGTGGCCAATTTGTAGCAGCAAAACAGATTCAATCAAGATTTTTTTCAAAACAGCGTCCTAGAGAGAATTTGACCCCCATAGTTGTCATCTGAATGAGCGAGCCCTATATTCTTGCTCAAGGCCCCCATGTTACTTGGCTCGATAGCAACACCAAACTAGGTACAAACAAAATAAAACGAAACGTAAACCACCAAACTTATATTTTGTATAATCGATCATATAAAAGGCAAAATTTAGGCTAAAATGTACAGAGATGTTACTCTGAGAATCCTCTATGTCTGACCTGGGGGTGCTATACTTTCTTATTGTTAGGGGTGAGCTATGCAAATGTCTTTCACATATGGCTGTTACACCATGGCTGCTTGCGGAATTTCTACTGGCAGAGAAGCCGCTGTGTCTTAAATAACTTGGCCGCTGTGGCAGATAAGTATACTCTGGTTATAACATACTTTAAGGGACCAGCGTATTAAGTATGTTATATTCGAAGTAGGCAGGGGCGGCTGGCACCAAAAATAAACTGTTATTAGTCAGCCAAGCAGTGCCATTAATTACGGGGGCATGGAGGGCATTTTTCTTTGGGAATTTGGGCTTTCAAACCCCTAATATGTTGAGTCTGTTTTCTTGTTGAAAAAGGAAAATAATGTAGACTTGTGGCATATAATTCAAAACTCCAATCCCCAATTTATTTTAAGCCGACACCAAAAACAGCGTCTTGATTACATGGGAATGGGCTGCTACAGCAATGCGTTCTAAGGGCACGGCTGACTTTTGATGCCTCATGCCTTTTATCAATGCGGCCCCAGCAACATTCTGGCTACTGCGTTATTAGAAATGGCTTTCTAATAACGGGGCTTTGAAGACAAGTAAACTATGGAAAAAACAGACCATCCTGGATATAATAGAGCCCTAAACAATACTTTTAAAAAGACTTGATGATATTTCCTTCTGAAAATCTCCCAGCACAAGACCCGGGCAACGAAAATAAATATTTTTTTATTTCTTCCCCTCAAATCCATGGGATGTCTCGTTGATATCTTTATTAGAAAAGAGAAGTCTTTGGGTAGGCCATCGTTATAAGCGAAATTGTTCATGCATTAGACTTTTACCAGTTGAAAATGCGGAAAAAACTTGAGAACAACCCAGTGTACAGAGCCCGTTTGAATTATGGAAGTTATTTTGTTTGCGATTTTGTTTCATGAAGTAAGCAGCCGATATCCCGGAATGTGTTATTAGAACGAGGAGGCTAATAACGTGCGAGTCAAATACAATGGCTTTATGCCCTGTTTTCTATGACAATACGTCACATTCACAGAGTAAAAACAAAGGAAATGGCGATTCACGTTATTAGAAACGCAATCCTAATAACGGAGATGTTAGCAAGGGCTATTGTTGACATTTTCAAAGGGAGACTGAAGGTGAAAGAATTTCAATAAAAGTCTATTGACATGCGGAGCCTTGAGCACAAATCATTGTGTATTAAAATGGACAATGACGGCAACAACAAGCCTATAGCTTTGGAAAAAAACTGTTATTAGACTAATAACACTAATAACGATGTAAGCCACCCCTGGAAGTAGGTTGTAACCAGGGAAAGTAAAAATTGACTAAAACAAAACACATTTTTTGCCGGGACAAAGCACACCAGTACATTATATCTGAAAGTATGTTATAACCGAGTACGTTATAACAGGATTATACTGTATCTATCATCACGACATCAACCCACCGAAACATCTTTTGTGGCACTTTAGAACTTAATTTTGATTGACAATTCCTATACTGGGGCTTGACCGTATACTGGGGTGCCCTATACTGGGGAAAACGTTACCAAGTTGCTCCAAATTTTGGCAGGCAGCACTACTTTGGCTCTGCACATGCATCTGCCATACTCTGCTGAGTGGCCAGACATTACAAATTCATAAATGTTGGGTGAGTCCTTAACATAGAGGATGCTTATGAGAGTGCGAGCTTATAAGAGGGGGCACTTATTTCAAAGTTTAAATGATGTCCTAGAATGTGTAATAAAAATAATTTCTACTTCATACCGTGCTTCCCCAAACCATCGCCTTCCTTAAAGCCCATCTTTGCAAGCATGGCAAATCCTTTGTTTGAACTGTCTATAGCTTTATTCAGCTTCTCGTCCCTCTTTTCCTGTTCTACCTGTTTTACTGGTCTGTTATTCAATCTATGTCTCTCATTGATCTCCTTTATTCGTTTCTCTTTATCTAACTTTCTAACATGAACAGGCGCCATTTTTCTAGCAAGTAATCCAGGCTTTGTGACCTCAGAATCAACCAAAAATGCATCCGACATGTAGTCTTCTTCTTCTTCTTCCTCCTTGCTATCCATTCTGATAAGTTCTTCCAAGCTTTTATCGTTTTATGTTAAAATAATAAGTAAGTTCATCAACCAGACCTCCAGCAAACTGCAAACAAAAGTTGAAAATTGTTTAGCCTCCTTTGGAAACAAATCTATCTCGATTTCAGTTTATTAACTAAAAACGCGGGGTTAATTCGAAAAACGAAAATATATTCTTTCAACCAGGGCCGGTCAGATGTAGAGGAGGAGCCAAAATTAGTGGTGTAATGCAATAAGAAAACAAACATGAAGAAAAAAATAAAGAAGGCTGATCCCTGCATACACTCCTAAAAAAAATTTTCAGGTTGTGAAAGGGGGTTGTAAAGGGAAATCTTAGAAATATGGTATTCTAGGGATGGCCTTGATTTGAATTTATTTGATTTTTCAAACTTGATTTGAACTCGCATTTTGAAATATCGTACAAGAAAGTTGCCGGACGACTGAGGCTTCTGGCAAAGCCAAGAAAATATATTGACTTACAGTAAGCCAGAGATGCCCACTGCTCTATGATCAAATATCTTGACTTACAGTCATCCAGAGATGCCTACTGATTTTCACCTAGTGCAGATTCAGTTTCAGTTTATATTTTTAAATTCCATTACATACTATTCAAGAATATTAACAATACATACAGAAAAAGATATAAGCAGACAACAAGGATACAATACATGTTACAGAATACAAATACCAAAAGAGGAACAAATCAATTGCGAGCAGGGAAATACTTAAAGGATGAGCCCGCTCAATAGGTAAATTACTCGAGGAAGGACCCCCCCCCCTATCCTAAAAGGTTATTGAATGAGTTTGGATGAATTGAATAATCTGAGAGATTTTGCATTTCCTACGAGAAACTGTGCATGATATCAAAATAGCTCAGGATATTAGTCGACTTTGTTCAATAAGAAAGTTTGCTTTGAAAGATATTTTTGAAGGAGAATTTCTAAGTTCAGCAGAGCAGGTAGTGCATTTCAGAGTTTGGCACCAAGATGACGTAATTATTTTAGACCATATTGAAAGCTGCTTTGTCGAGTCAAGTATAAGTCAACTTGACTGGCCTGTCTAGTGCAATATTGATGAACAGATGAATTGAATGCAAAGAAGTTATGAAAGCTTTTTGCAACTGCAATTGTCAGAAACCAAGAAGAAATAGCTGAAATTGTTGCATCATCGATGCGTTAGGGTTGTCTTGTTTATGAGGGTGAAAAATGTAACGAAGGACTCCCAAGCAATGCAAACAATATTCGTACCTGCAAACTTGTTCGAAAATGCATTAATAACGACATATGCGAAGTTCTCACAGATCATTTCATCATAAAAAATCATGGTAATGGGACAAGAAACGAAACAAAAGTCTGCAAGTGCCAAGAATCGGGACCGAATGTGCCCTCAAATATTTTTACCAATCAGTAGCAAAGTTATATACCTCTAAAATTTACAAAAATTTAAAGTCCTTTTGAGTATGACTTTTAAGAGCCTCGAAGAATTTTTACATATGCTTTACCTTCTTTTAGCTCAATTTCAACTACAAAAGGGCCTATTCTTAGGAAATATTTTAACTTTTCAAACTTCTGTCATTGAAAATTGTAAATAAGAAATTTTCAACTTTTATTTGTTTCACTTTTACAGGACACACTGATAACAGTGTTTATTCGTTGAAGTGTTTCCATTCCTGTATAAATTATCGAATTATTATTATTATTCTTATGCCAGAAGCAGTGTCAAAGACAGATTTTGACTATTGAAGAATCCCAGGCAATATTTTCAAGCTTTCTTTAACCACAGATTAACAATAAACCATGCACATAAAAAATATCAGCAAAGGAACTTCCAACTGAAAAATAAAGATTAACAATTTTGTAAGGTTGGGAATTTTTGCAAAATCTGATCTAAAATTTTTCGAGAATAAAACGCTTTTAATTTAAAACCACTGTATGCTTTAAAAATTGGGCTGTTTAAAATTATTTTTAATAGAATTTATAATTACCTCCAAATTTGCAAAGTAGAGAGCTCAAAAGTTTTCTAGTGGCAGGGAGAGATCCTTTTAACGGAACCTAAGCTAAGGGCCTATTTGACAAAACATTAAGTACGATAACTAACAAAATGGTACAGTTAATTTTCTTTTAAATTCGCTTGAAAAATATTATTTTGCTCTCAAGAAATTTAGTGGTCCGTGGGCCCCCGTCGACCGGTTTCTCTGACCCTGTCAATTGAATAGAAACATCACAAGACAATTTTTAAATTAAAGTCGTGATATTTTTTGAGACATTGGACATCATCCTAATGCCTTTTTTAAGTATGCAGATTTTTGATAGATTCCATTTTTCAATGAAAATTTGGGGCTTTTTTAAAAAAACAATACCTTGACCAAACAAGCTGGTGAAAAAACCGCCAAAATTTTTTCAAATTAATCAAGAAAAGTGTCAGATAGCTCTCTAATGCTGTTGAACAAATCTTTGAAGGCCGCTTCTATTTTTTGCTGAAAAAATAAGTCTATAGCCTTGAAAATATCAGAAACCTTTCCAGAATAGGCTCGAACAAAACTACCAAATGCCTTTAAAAAAATGAGAAAATAAAATGTCATATACATTTTTAATGCCTTTTTTTCAAATCTGAGAGGCTGGTGGTTTATAATTTTTGATAAAAAAATGCCGTAATAGGCTTTCAAAAATTCAGAAATTATATCAAAAAAATTTCAATAAAATTAAAAAAATAAAAAAGAGAGTAAAGTATGAGATACATTACTTTCTTGTAGATGCCTTCCTCGTCAAATCTGAGAGGTTTGATGGTTTATATCTTTTGGTGAAAAAGTAAAGTTACAGGCTTTGAAAGGTTCACAAATTTTACAAGAAATGGCTCAGAAACTGTCAAATGTTTCTAAGAAAAATAAAGTTAACAGTCAGTTACATTTATAATGTCTTTCTCTTCGAATCTGAGAGGTTTGTTGGTTTGTAATTTCTGATGACAAAGTAATCTACAGGCTTTGCAAAAAGAGGTCAAATTTTACTTGTTTCTTGTTTATAGTGTATAAAAAATTTTTCATGTGTTTTCTAATTGCACTTGGACTTGAAATTAGGTCAGCTTATGAATATTTCATGAGTCTGTTAGAAAGACACCCTTACCAGACTTAATGTTTTATGAATTTCACGTTTGAACTTTCTCGATTAATCCAATAATTACATTAGGCCTATTTCTTCTCGTTACACAATAATAACACAGCCATGCCCGCGACGGCTAAGCATAAAGTATGTCTAAAGCGGCACTTAATATAAATTTTTTGACCACTTGACTGTGATAAAAACTCGTTCATCAAACCAAATGTTAATATATAGAATTATATTCAACGCGGCATGGCCATGCGATTCATTAAAGAAATGGTATGTAAATACTAATGAAATAATATTTAAATAAAAATAATTAAATGACAGCCACCTTTGAAAAAGAGCTTTTACTAACACTTATGCACACAAAAATTTGTTTTTGTCCTTCAGTGTAATTTTCATATTATTATGTTCCCACGGGTACTGCAATTGCAGTGCAAAGATAAGCATTGTTACCAATATTTTATAAAATAAAGCAAGAAGTGTGTTATCTAGGACATAACTGCAATATTAAATGCAAAAATGTCGTTGAAAACTATCTTTACTTGGATGTGTTTTTATTTCATTGCATTATGTGCGAGTAAAGAAGGCTTTGTCAAAAGAGTTTTCAATGAAATGAAGTCATCGTGTCCAGGCTCGGAAACGAAATATTTCCAAGTGCCCAGTCAAATCCAATGCATTCATAGATGCGTGCGGTATGAAGGATGCAGCAAAATAAACTACAATGTGGATGATGACGTCAAATATAACTGTGAAGTACTGATTGGTGGGGCCTGGTCACCCAAAGAGAGGTCTAAAAGCTGGAGAACGATGACTGTTAAGGTATGTATCAGAAGCTGACACAACATTCCATGTATTTTACTGCAGATCAACCTTACACTTCTTATCAAAATTATCATTCTGATAGGCTGAATTCTTAGCAATTGAGCACTGTAGAATTATTGCGATCTGTATTAAAGCGAATATTTTTTAGAATTTCCGCCTCAGATCTAATATAAATGAGAAGGCTAGATAGGGACTACATTGCTCTTTGAAATTACGTTGTCACTCTAAAAAATGATTTCAATTTCTTTGAATTTTAGAGTGAACTGTTTCTGAAGCCAAAAGGTAAGCTTGCAGATGTTCACTATAAATGTGAATAACAACAAACTGAAATTTTCATTGTGTTTTTACTTTATTTTGTTATCAAGAAAATTTACTACTATAAAATGTTCCCACTTTAAAAAGCAAGAACTTCTGTGAAATTTGCGATAACATCACCTTAATTTTGCATTTAGTTTATGGGAGCTGCAAGGAACTCCTCTCAAACAGTAAAGATGTGGCATCAGGAGTATACCAACTTAAATCGGGACTACATTTCTGTAACATGCATGAAACTCCCGGTTGTGGAGGAGGAGGGTGGACGCTTGCAATGAAAGTCAATGGTTCAAAAGTAGGTACCCGAATTTATAACTTTAGAAATTCAACTCGATTTCTTAAAGGCCCATGCGAAGTCAGCCATTCTTCAAAGATTGCACGTGCTATCAATAACCGAAAAGCCACTGTGGGCCTAACCAATGTAAAAACAAGGTAGCCTATTACTCCGCCTAAAAGCACACGCTCTTATAAACGGAAATTCCCGATTTTGCCATCTTCAGGGTACAGGAAAACGATTCAGATAAGACGTATGCGTCCATAAATAAAAGAAAGTTTTTAAAAATGAAACTGCATGAGTAACGTTTTAACAATAGAAACTGCATAATTTAACAGTTGTCCAATCAATGTTAACTTCCACAGGATCCGAATCATTTTCAATGATAATTAATTCTTCATTCACCTGTTCTTCTTCAAGGTTGTCTTCATCATCATGTCAGTTTATACTTAAAGTACAATTTAAAGAAATTGAAAATGCAAGAAGCATAAAAACGTTGTCAAAGAGAAATTAGAAAGTCATATCATTTTTTTCATCTTTCTCGCAAAAACCGTAAGATTAAGATCCACTTATAAACACACTGCGCCTACATCCGGATATAACCGCACGCGCCTTTAAATGAGGTACGCCTACAAGCGGGGTAAAATAGGGTATATGATTTTGAAGATCAGAGTTGACATTGTGACAAAATCAGGTTTTTGTTAGATAAGGGTTCTATTACACAAATATCATAGTTTGATTTCACACCGATATCATTGATGATATCTACTTGAGACTGCATGGGCTTGCAAAATCAACTTGTTTAGAGTTCTTAAAGCTTGTTACACGATGATGATTTTCATCAGACATATGTATTGTTGAGTATAACAAAATTTTGCGAGTAGCCGGAGACCCCGTTGCAATAAATTACGCAGAAGATATTTTCCTCTTTTTCAAAATATTTGCATCTGGTAAACATCTGATAAAAAAATTGACTATGTAACATAATTCACTTTTCTTTCTAGAAAAATGTTTTTTACATTAAGGCAAGAACATTCGAGAACTGCCAAATAAATTATCGGTAATCGATATTTTCTGTCTTGTCTTGCAACTGTTATTCAAACTTCATTTAGACCCAGATGAAAATTAAAATCTTTAATTGAGAATTGCTATCAATACTTTGAATTCTGGATGATATCTACTAATCTTGATTCATACCCATTTTAATAAAAAAAATAACTGTTTAACGGTCTGTCGTATAGTGCAAGTTGCTGTAAAGACAGAGCAAGGCACACTTGTTTAACAAAAACGGCGCAACATTTGTCGGCTTATTTGAAGACGAACTAAACTTGGTCTTCTAACACTTTAAATATAATTGTGTTCTAAGCTTCTTTGAAATTTAGCACTAATTGTACTGCTCTGATAAATGGATGGGAGAATAAAACAGACAAAGCTAACACTTAAGCAAAAATTATTGACATAAGGGTGGTATATTGCGCATGCGTAGGTACAAAAAATGTTGCACGACCCGATTGCTAGTGCATCATTTGTTGATTGAAGCAGCAATTTTAACCGCTTTTAAACCCGGTGCCGGTGAGTAATTTCATTCATTCATTCAAGAATAAAACCAACCTGTGTGCAGTTGACAATTTTTAATTCATTCTACTCTTGATTTTTCCACTCCAACTCATTCCACTCCAAAAACATCGCTTACTGTGATTGGTTGATAATTTGCTAATGAAAGATTGGTTTGTGCCAATGGGTAAGCCTCTTTAGGTAAGAAGTTAGACTGGCTGCGATCTAAAGCTCAAGATTCTACGCATACAGTACTTATGCAGGCATTATCTCTAGGATCCAACATACCTCTTCAATTGGTCTTCTTTTTTTCACATGTTTTCTTTATGTCTTAAAATAAACAGAGTAATCAGTTGCACAATACAGGAAATGGCATCACATCCTCTTGACAGTTGCAGTCGCCACCAAAAATACGTGTTACTTAATTTCTAGGGGACATTCCTCTCAGCTTCGGATTTCTGGACCAGCAGCACAAATTTCAACACTGCAAATGGCATCAAATCTTTCTACGAAAATGAAGCAAAGTTTCCTGCCTTCAGTAAAGTTGCATTTGATGAAATCTGCATTGGCATGAAAGTATCATCGGACATAAAATGGCTTCGTTTACCTAAAAAAAGCTCATCATTGCTTGACATTTTCAAATCCGGCGGTTATGTGCCGACGACACTTGGACGAGCTGCATGGATGGGAATAATTGCTAGCTCGTCGTTGCAAGATTACTGTAATCGAGAGGGATTTAATGCTCAGAAAGATGATGGCACGATGGTTATAAGATTGGGTATATTTGCAAACGACAAAGAAAACTGCAAATCAACAGAGTCTCATTTGGGCTTGGGAAGTTCTTCAAGTTCTTGCTGCAACATTGCTTCTTCAAGTTCAGATTCCAAAAAAGGGATGGGCTACATACTTGTCAAGTGACTTGTCCACGCAAAATGATTGAACTCCATCAATTTCTCTATGAAAAATCTTTCTGATCATATGAGAATATTAATGCTTATAGTAAGCTTATTTCTACAATGAAGGTTGTCATTACACAACCGACTCTCTCTAGCTTCATGTTCTCTACACGTTGAATAAAACAAAGATTGTCCATAGAAGAGAAGAAACGCCTTATATTTTAAGAAAACACTCGTTCAGAGATACTCATGCCAGCACGGTAGGATGATGAAGAATTGGAAGCCAATTTTAGTTTTTTTACTAAGTGCCAAAAATAGGTATTTGTCATAGGTCCTAAAATGTTACCTGCAAAAAAGGATGGGCACACTTCTGTATTTGCTAAATGTGAGTTGACTATAATGACAACATGATATTTTGCCATAGCTAGTGATGCTTTTTGACAAAGTTGAAATAGTTTTTTGCATGATGTATCAAAGCCAATACAAATGCAAAATAAATATTTGTAGGGAAAAATGCAAAACGTGTATAAAGTGTCGTTTTCGAAATTGTACTACCTAGACCATATAAACAGCCCTGGCCGTAATGTAACTTTTGTTATGCAAAGAAGACTTTGTGCGTAATCACAAATGCTGAATTACCATTAAATGATTCGTAATAAGTACCAGATATATAAGCTGTGCGCATTCAAAACTGATTTACTGTTTGAATCCTTTAATCAACTCATTCTTGTAGAATTCAAAATGATTTTCAGTTACAACAACAATATATAGTATTTTCAAAATTTTCTAAAAAATCAATTATTGCTTTCTAAAAGGTGTTATTCGTACAATGAAGATCTTCTATGTCTGTAACACTATTCTGCTCAAACACCAGTTCCATCTACAAAATAAAAAATGCCATCTTTCAATAACAAGTAAACTTGAGTGAACAATAAGGGAGAATGGCATAAAACTTAATCTAAAAAAATCAAAGCTTAGCAAGTCTGTTTACATTCTAAACGTTTTACAAACACAAAGCTTATAGAAAAACTAAAAAAGAATTAGCCTTTGAAATTTGATGTCCCTGTGCCAAGAATGGCCTAGGTTTGCCTGAATATGGACCTTGTATATTGCCCCTCTGATATCATATCATTGTTGATAAAGCCTCTTCAAATGAATTTTAAGCTTGAAAAAATCGAAACATGGGTAGTCTTTGCAACAACTTTTAAAAGAAATATGAGAAGGTTGAGCCCTATGGTACATAGATTATCTGTGAATTTATGTATTATCAAAATTTGAATTTTGCTGCATTGCATTGTACTGCATTCTATTGATGTGCATATTGCAGCCACTTACCTCCGTACATTAGTACGCTGGCTCTCGTAGGTTGGACCATTTTCATTTCAAACGAAACATGGTCGGTTCGCTTTTGGCCCTTTCGTGTGTCTTTCTTTAATGTTGATTTCAACATACTTGAAGAGTTTGGAGAATGATGCTCTTTGTTTTTTGAAATAATCTCACCATGAGGTTCATCTGAAAGGAAATCAGAGTCCTTTTAATATATGAGATTACTTGAGCTTATCGTGCATCGGAATATGATATTACTTTTTCATTTTCCAGCTTCTGAATTTTCCAAAAACTAGACTAACGGAGATTTTAACTATTAAAGATCCTTGAGCAGCAATCAGCATTTAAAAGCACACGCCCCATATAGTAAACTGCCCTGAGACACATAGATAATACTAGATTTGGCTCTGATTTTTGTCTCGTTGAAAATAGGATGAATGAATGCATAAATATACTAGATTGCGTGCGGTACAATATAATGGTGTGATAACGATGAATGTAAGTAAATTGTACCAGGAAAAAAAAAATTTGAATGGATATCTATAAAGCATACTTAATAGCTCAATCGCAAGCATTAAGCAAAATATCATATCATATCATATCATATCATATCATATCATATCATATCATATCATATCATATCATATCATATCATATCATATCATATCATATCATATCATATCATATCATATCTTATCATATAATATCATATCATATCATATTCATTTCAATATCCATTATCACTATAATAGTTAGTTAAAAACAAAATCCCTTCAGCTGAATTAAATACAAATCAAAGTTATAATACAGTATTTACAGTATAATATTTACAAAAAGAAAAGAAAGTTCAAAACTTTTCTAGGGCCTATCTGCTGCTCTTCCAGGGAGTCGTGTTTCAAGTTTGCTTTAGCTCTTAAGGTGAGTTTTTAGATTTTATTTTGACTGTGGCAAGGTTGGCAGCTCCCTGATGGTAATAGGGATGCTGTTTCATGCAGTAAGAGCTGAATAAAGAAAGCCTTTAACAAATTAACCTTCAATAAAACCAAGGTTGATGTTATCATATTCAGTCGAAGCATCGAGGGCCTGGTTGGATATTAGCTCCATCATCGAGCCACAGCCAGTGTCGCCAAGCTCGTTCATTGTAACTGTCCTTCGCTTAGAGTCACCATTTCGGTTGTCTTTCGTTGAGGTGCAATCACTGCGAGATCTCATTCGACGCTCTGCAATAGTTAGTATTAACGCAATAATACAGGGGGATCGCTCAAAAAGAGGTTGATCTAATCTTCTTTGAAACTTTGTCGAGAAATTGTCACATGGTATGAAATTCAGTGCTATTGCTCCAGTATGTTTGAAACGAATATTGTTCTATTTTTCAGATATATCCTTTGCCTGCACGCTCATAATTTTGTCGAGGAAAGGAGCAAATGAAATAATGTGTAACCCACCGTCCTTGAAGATAAAATACAAGTGCAGTACTGAAATTTCCAATGTGCATGCTTTTCGAAATCAAAGACAGGGGAGAAATACTGAGGTCTCGTGAAAGCTATAGAGTCCCACTGTTATTTATAGCATTACCAGATAAACTAAAGCAAAAACATCTGATATGTAATACTCAACCTTTAAAGCTTTTATCCTGTTTCTTCTCTTCATCAATACTTTCTAATAAGTCCACAATTTTCTCTTCAACGCTTTTCCCCCTTCCCATTAGTAGCCGGACGTCTCCAAAGGTACTCTTAAACGAAACAAATTATTTTAAAGCCTGCAATGTAATGAAATAACAATATCTCTACATCAAGGAATCATTTCCTTTTCGCAAGGTATAAAGGAAGATATTAAAGGAAACAGATAGCACAATAGACGGTGGCCTTTTAAATCAAAATCCATTTCATGGAAATAATAAAATGATTGACAAAACAGATAGTGTAAATAGGACGAGAAGTCATGAAATTTTGATTTATACTGGAAACATTATTAAAAGCTAAATGATGAGTTGACTCACTATGAAGAAGCACATAAGAGAAATAACAAGATACACCAATATGCTAAAAGAATCAAATTGCTTAATATCTGAGGTTCTGTCGTTTGTATCTTCTGCTTTACAACCTATTTAGAAATGCAGTTATGTTTGCGTCACATTGAACTATGCTGGTCCTAATGTCAGCGTTCAATTACTGAATATATGCGACGTCAGCGGATCATAGAATTTCTGGGTTCAGAATACATATGCTTCGTTCTTTCGTCGTTTCACAAAAATATCTTACTTATGTGGCATGATGGTTATATCTTCCTTGAAAGTTAAATAATAGCTTAAAAAACCTTCAGAATATTTAACGCATCCATTTGATTGACAGCTCTCATGTCTTTACCGTTGCACTGTAATATTCGATCTCCCTGCTCAAAAAGTCCACAGGCCTCAGCGATACTTCCAGGTGCCTGAAAAAGATATTATAAACAATAAATTAAAAGATAAGATATGAAAAGTTGGAGCAGAGCTGTCGCTATAGCAGGGCGTGGGATGTGAAACCCTCTTGGAGAAAATTCATTGCAGATATGAGGAGTGTTTTGCCATGTAGGGATGCTACGTCAGCAAATTTTCAGACTTGTCAGCAAAGAAAGGATGGCCCATCCACTTGGAACCTGGGTATTCCCCCTTGTCCACAATAGCTAGCAACATAGAAGAGAATTTCATTCATGTTGTAAGCACCTTTATTATTATATTTTATCAAAGCCTAACTAACGGACAAACATTTTGTTCCATGAAAATTTGTGGTTCCCATCCTAAAAGTATAAATATATTCTCCAAGATGCCAAAAGTGAGTTGATCTCAAGCATCAGAAATCATTTTACGGTAATAATAAATATTTACCCTAGAAGACATTGATGAATAAAAATCTATGAAAGTTTAAGCATAATAAAAACAATTCACCATCATGTTAACATTAAACTGGAATAAATTCTAATAAAAATTTTGGAATTTAATAAAGTAAAGTAAATATTTACGCAAGAAAATTTAATGAAAGAAGATACGAAGCTAATTTCAGAGAAATAGACTCGTTGCATGGTATACAGCATAAGATGTATTAAAATATTCACAATATTGAAGTAATAAAGCTATTACCTCGTCATATATCGTCATATAGCTATTACCTCTTCTGGTTCGTAGTAGGATGGAATGTTATTGATGAAACTATTCTAGAAAAATACTAGAAAGAATAGAAGACCAAAAACTACTTACTATGTATGTCACAAAAACTCCATTCCCATCTCTGCAACAAACGAAAAAAAATCAATATTTCAGAGAGAACAAAAATTTAGTCAAGTAAGATAACGAAACAAGATATAGCGTTGTGGAGATAACTTATACATAAATAATGCTATTGAAGCTCTTCACTATATAATGCTCAGTGCTCTATGGACATAGCTGAAAATGCTTTAGCGTCTAGAACTGGACAGTTCTGAAATAAAATCCTTTGCATTTTGTTAAAATAGACACAAATATCTTAGAGCTTACTTTCTGGCGTAAATTCCAATTCCTAAATTGTCATTAATTCCTTTTTTCAATACAACTTGAAACTCTTTTTCAGGATCTAAAAGAAACACATAAGAAATTATTAAAAATCTAAATAGCTGTTAATATTTACTTAAAAAAGGTACAGCTATTTGATTTTTCAAAATGATATCGAAGAAAAACGCATATCATGCTCGATGCATCTTTTCACATGGATTGCTGTAAGGAAGCTATGCATTTTCAGCAATTTGAACATTTTCAATCAATTAGACGAATCAATTAGATTGATCAACAACCACTATCAAGTATTAAGCCAATGCGCATCAACTGGCTATAAAAGAAAGACTACGCCTTGTAGAATATGTTTAATCAATATTTTTTTTTAAAAAGCTCCCAATGCTGTACGGTTAAAGGCATTTAGAATATGAAACAAGATTATGAAATTTAATCATTCATTAAAAATCTGAGAGTTTTAAAAACTACGGTCTTCGTGCACTATAGTCTACCCAAAGTCCAGAAAACTGTCCCTACCCAAAGTCTAGAAAACTGCCTCTACCCAAAGTCCAGAAAACTGTCCCTACCCAAAGTCCAGAAAACTGCCTCTACCCAGAGTCCAGAAAACTGCCTCTACCCAAAGTCCAGAAAACTGCCTCTACCCAAGGTCCAGAAAACTGCCTCTACCCAAAGTCCAGAAAACTGCCTCTACTAAAAGTCCAGAAAACTGTCCCTACCCAAAGTCCAGAAAACTGCCTCTACCCAGAGTCCAGAAAACTGTCCCTACCCAAAGTCCAGAAAACTGCCTCTACCCAAAGTCCAGAAAACTGCCTCTACCCAAAGTCCAGAAAACTGCCTCTACCCAAAGTCTAGAAAACTGTCCCTACCCAAAGTCCAGAAAACTGCCTCTACTAAAAGTCCAGAAAACTGTCCCTACCCAAAGTCCAGAAAACTGCCTCTACTAAAAGTCCAGAAAACTGTCCCTACCCAAAGTCCAGAAAACTGCCTCTACCCAAAGTCCAGAAAACTGCCTCTACCCAAAGTCCAGAAAACTGCCTCTACCCAAAGTCCAGAAAACTGCCTCTACCCAAAGTCCAGAAAACTGCCTCTACTAAAAGTCCAGAAAACTGTCCAGTGCCTAATTGTTCTGAGCACTTCCCTTTTAAAAGCAATGAAAAAGGCGGGGTTGGGGTGTGGAACTTCAGTTTCTTTTCTTGAAGCTAGTCTTCTTTGCTTTCATTGGACGTGTGACCACCATGTTTTCTGGGATCTGGGCATACCTTATTACGAAACGTGATGATTCACTTCTGCATAAATCGTCAGAAAATCAGGAGCCATTTTTTCAGCCATTTACCTTGACAAGATGTAAACAAGCTTTCGATGTTTTCCCGGTATATTGTAAGCCGAACTGGGTTCTTTGCCATTCGCAACAGCTGCACAGCCTTGTCATGACTGGCACCTTGCAGATCATTGTCATTAACCTGAAATGAAAAAGGATAAAAGTATGAAAATCAGTTAACATTACATGTGATGTCGATAGAAAAGATCGCCTGATATGTCTGTGCAAATTTTGTAAGATAACAAAAAGGCCGCGTCGAAATAATTTGCGTTCAGATCTGTTAATGAGCCAAAATTGGGAGCTGAGTCTATGATGTATTATCTGGTTGCCCCAGGTGTTAGGTTAGGATTGAGGAACTTCCATATGTGATGATTACCCCATTTTCGTTTTACAAAGATATTGGTGTTTGATTTGCTCATCAATCGTTTTCTTCTTCCCTTTCAATTTCCTTGTCATGCACTTGCCATTTGCCTTAAAGAGCTGCTAAATATTCGTTCAAAGATTTGAAATTGTCATTCTAAGTTTTTGAGTAGGGTAGACATGTAAAAAAAATTGCCAAACTTTTTTGAGACCCTACTAGGGCTATGTCCCTTGGACAATTTGTCTCCTGTCCCTCTTTGCTGCAATAACATCTTGGGAAGTCCTTAATAAACTGAAAGTCAAAGACCGAAAATATTTCTGTTTTTTGGTAAGATGTTTCCTTTGTATATAGTTTTGACAGCAGTCTCTGCTTCTATATAGAAAAGGCAGTGAAACATGAAAAAGAAAAATTAAATTCTGTATGTTTTCGTGAGAAAACTATGTATTTCCTAACAAAAAATTGGCTTTAAAGCTGCTGTTAAAATTCTTTATGCTGAAAATAACACCGCTCTCTTTTTCCATTCGCCTTAGAGGTGGCAAAAGGTATCTAGCAAGCATTTCAATGTGAAACTAAATTCAAAAAATTTTTATCCCAAACTTGAAAAAATCGACACTTTTGAACGTGTAACATGGATTTCAAATATTTTTTTCTCGATTCTGACTCCAACCTATTTGACCACAACATCGAGCGCACTTTTGTCCGAGTTGAACAATAATAAAGCGTATATTTATAAATAAGCACTAAAGTTCTCTGTTAGTTACAAAAGTAAAAAGGTTCCTCGGAGAAGTTTCCACCGTTTCTGACTTACCGACAAAATTTCATCTCCGCACTTTAGCCTCCCATCTTTCCCAGCAGCTCCAATGGGGCTTATTCCTGATATAAGTACCCTGTCCTAAAATGCAAAGAACAAAGATTGTATGAAGTCATCTGAGACATTATCGCTGAGATCTGAAACGTTTGTAACATTGAAAATTTGGTAAAATAAAGTGAACCTTTTAATACCTTATAAGTACCAGGGCCGGGTTAAGGTGGAAGCTTTTGATGCTTCAGTGCAGCACTAGACCTATTCCTGAAAAAGGCCCAGATGAAAACAACGGAGAGTTTCCTGAAGCGAAATAGGCCCAATATCCAATTAAAAGGCCCTTACATCAGGCCCAATTTGGGCGTAATCGGGCACTGATCAGTACTGTTGAAAGGCGAGTATTATTGGGGGGGAAACATTGTTTAAAAGCAACAAGAAAAAAGGGGATTAGATATGGTAAAAAATGACTCTTATTACTTTGAAGTGCACGTAGCCTCTAAAAACAAAAATAATTCCAGACTTTCCTCTTCATTTGTGTGACTCACAGAAGGAATCTTTAAAAAGTATTTAGGCATAGGCCACAAACTTTTCCGTTTCCATTTCCATACATAAAAATTTGACATGTATTTCCAATATTGGTGATTATTGCAGTCAACTGCCAGCAGAAAGTTTCTCTTATCGACTGAACCATACAAAACTTGATGAGAGCATTTGTTTTTTAATATAGTTTTGCTTAAAACAAAAAAAATAACCACTCACAAAATGTGTGTCACTACCACCAACAATGCATACGCCCAGGCCAGTCTTTTCTTTCCTCAAAGTGATCGTAGCTTCGATGAAATCTTCAATTTCAACTGCAAGAGCGAATTTTCTATTTAGATTAAACTTGAAACAACGTACAATCTATGAGGAGAGAAAAATCGGTTCACAGGTACACTGGTCTTCATAACCTTTCTTGAAGTCGGCAATATTTCTTGTCAACGTTGGCGGTCCAGCAAAACGGTCCTGTCCAAAATCTCGCAAAAAGGTTCCCCCTTTCGCTGAAAATTGGCACCTGTTGGGAATGAAAAATAATTAGGCCCTCCGTAGCTTCCCTTGGCCGAGGGAAATTTGAGAACAGTCCCTAATGGAAAGTAAGGCCGTTTTTGCCTAGATCCGGGTCACTTCAAGTTTTTCCCTTGTTGTTTTAAGTGAATACTTAACGTTTTCTTAAATTCTTTGTGGGCAAGTGCCATACTTTCAATACTTGTTACTGGTGCATTAAATCGAAACAAAGTCATATCATATAGCAAAAGTAGGCCTCCCAATACCAGTATGTCAAATGGGATTGTGATATCAAGATTAAAAATCTCAACTTGCAGAAAGATTTGCTAGCTGAAAGGTAATGTTTCCTAATTTTATGATCAAACTTTTTTAATCGTACCTCCTTCAACATCAGTACTCGAGTCAACTATTTGCTTGAAAAAACCATCCGACTTCCGCTTTGGTGGAGCCCCTTTAGAATTCTGCGCATATGGCAAACTGTTCGTTCGATCCATTTTTTAGATCGCACAGATCTCTAGAAATCCTATTCTCGCCAGTTTTCGCCAAGGTAGGCCAATTGGTTGCCTCAAAACTAAGTTAAGATGTTGAAAACACCTTGGCAGTACCTGCCCAATTGATATTGAGATACGCTAAGACAGTCAATATGACAAAACACGATGTCTTATGATATTAACCAGAAAATCAATCCTGCAGTATCGTCAAATGGCTTTTTTCTTCCTTGGAATAAAACCAACTTTCATAAACAGAAGTTTAATTTCTTTTGTTTAAAGCCCTTGTCATTTTCAACAAGTCCAACCCTCACAAAAATTACTGGACTCTATTTCCAATAAATCTCGTCATGCTGAATCAGCAATTTTTTATCTTGTGTATAATTAACTGAATAGAGCTTAAAGTTCTATCCCCTCACATAAACATCAAAATTTTCTCAAAATAAAACATTTATCAAAAGTACTCTTCTTAAATAGCTTAAAACACTAAAAATAAGACATCGAGAAGGCTTTTTAGACCAGTGTTAGTTTAAACAGGTAAGTGGTAGGTGCACCTTTTTTATTTCAAGCCTCGTTTGCCAACAAAATGAGCAAAATCACATTAACAGTAGCTCAGCCTCAGCAGGAGGGGGGGGGGTCAAGGGAAGATGTTACACTCATAAAAAAAGCCGCGGAGGCCATGGACCCCCACCCCCTTTCGTCGGAGAAAAAATTGCACCCTTTTTTATAAACAATCCATTTGCTGAGCCTCAAATTCTTAAAAACTCGTGCTGACTCTGACTTGTTGGTATATATTTCATAAACATTTCATCCTCAATATTCTTATAAAATTTGTTTATAAAAATTCCTGTTAACAAACCAGCGATAATTCATGCTAAAAGATTTTGCAGAGGCAAAAATTTTCCTGCAGTAACCATGGAAGCCTTCTACAAGGGCGAGACTTTTTCAAAGGTCATTTGCTTTAGTGCTGCACCTTACAATGGGAAGTATCATCCACAACAACAAGTTTTTTGCAGCACATTTCCGGAGTTTGTAAAACGCAGATGTCCACTCGCACTTCCGCGTTCACTGGATTTGGCATATCGAACGTAATCAAATGATAACGATCAATGTAAGTAAATTGTACCAGGAAAATTCATTTAAAAACGTCGTTAATTATTTTAAATAAATTTTCCTGTTACAATTTACTTACATTGATCGTTATTTAAATTCATCATATTGTACCGCACGCATTTAGTATATTTATGTAATCAAATGATGTGCATAAACAGCTTTTTCGCAGCTTTTGCAAAACTCTCGTGTATCTTAAGTTCTTACTACTAAAGTGGAACCCTCTTGCAGCTGACAACGAACTATACTAAGAAAATTCTCGACCCCATATTGGCCTAGTATTTTTAACATATCACAGACAATTTAGTTGCTGTTTACAAAGGTACCTGTTCGTTCGTACGTCGTGTCTGGTCTGTTTTTCTCCTTTGTTTGATTGGCGTTTGGTTTAAACGTGCTGAAACCTTCATACGACTTTATCATATTGGAAGATATCTGTTGCCAGAGTATCTGTGAGTATCTGTAGTGAAGTCACACTTTCTCGCCACACGTCTTCCCTTGGTATTCGTTTATGCTGCAGATCTTCGGATACCGTATCTGTCCCTTGGTGCCCCTGTGAAAAGTCCTGAGATCGCGACGATTCAGGTTCGGAAGTCTATTTGCAAAAGATGAGAAAATCTAAAGCTATTGGAGAGTAATAGTGTGTCTCTGTTTACAGTTGCTATGTGCTTTGTGAGATGGCTTAATAAGCAACATGTAAGGCTCAGATTATCTGAAAGCGAGGGGCTTCTCGCTTCTGAAAGTGTGATTTTTTATGCAAGAAATCTTTCTGAGAGAGTTTTCGATTCTTGCTAACATTTCCAAGGCTTGAAAAATTTCATTATTGATCGATCAAAAACAGTTTTGAAAAAGTGGCTTGGCCAGAAAAACATTATATATTTACAACCCCCCTGGACTGTATTGCGGCAACAATTAATACCACGTTGCACTTGACCAATCACGTTTGAACATTTCGAGCACATAAATCCTAGGTGTAGTCCCACATGTTCCACATCTCCAAGTAAAATGGGGCTTTCAATTTTTGCTTTCTCGATTATAATGTTGAAGAGAACGCGAAATGGTATACCCTTGACAACCTAGTGAAAATTTTGAGGGTAAATTGAAATATTTAGGGAGAATTATATCATGGGTTCCAGAGGGTGGAGAGTGCGGAGGAGGAATGATACGCAAGCTCCTTCTCCAAGGGCCTCTACTCGACACCCTGGAACCCAGGGCACGAGAATTAATGCTCTATCAGGGGTAATTCTAACGTGGTTTTGCTGCTGTTTTGTGAAATTGTAAATCTGCTTTGTGGTGTTGTGATTTCAATTTTGTTGTACTGTAAAAAAATCAACTATCTTGAATTTTTCGAGCATGTAGAAATCGTTTGGAGAAATAAAAAAAGGCAAATTCATGCAGCAAACCAAAAAAAAGCTAAACATTAAAGAAGAACTATAGTAAATAGTCAGTCAGCCCTTAACCTGAAAACACCTTAGGTTTTGATCTTGGTTGTTTATTTCTTCGTTTGCATCCTAATCAGATAAAACCACATCAACCTCTATACCCCGTAAATATTTTCTGTCACCAGTTCCAACAATGAAGACAAACGAAAGACTTGTTTTTTGAGGTCAGTGGTTCTTGTTCTACCGTTTTTTCGGTTCATTTTTTCAGTAAATCATAACACTTTACAGAAACATTACCAGTACTTGAATCTGTGGTGTTGTAAATTTTCTTAGAATAAACCCTGTGCCCTATCCTAAAAATTTAGGGACAATTTATTTGGATATTTTTTAATGTGTAAAAACTTGTTGCTCTATGAATCTGTGTTCTCCTAGGTTCACGTTACAATCCAATAACATCCAGAACAGCAGCCCTGAAATAAACGCTCTTTTCTCTTAACGCTACCTGCAATAAACCTGCAATAAATCTTCTAGCTTTAATAAACGCAGCGGCGTTTATGAAGAAGCACGTTGCCTTTAAATGTATAGTAACGTATACGTATAAAAGGCAGGCAAAAAATATATGCCAATCCGCGTATACAAAAACATTTTGACCAGTTAATGAGCCTTATCAACTCTATGGCTACAATAGATTTACTCCACGAGCCTCTGTTTCGCTAATGCCTCACTTGACGGAAGGTCTATGGCTACAACATTTCTGTCTGACAATTCTGGGGAAACCAGAAACTCGAACAGGGTCTTCTTTAACATACCAGCTGGGGGGGGGGGGCAATTGCACCTCTAAACCTTGTGATTTTTCGTTGTTTTAGACAATAGGTGATTGTCATGTTCCTTATATGATCAAAGGCTTGTTTAGCTAATTTCTCTTCAAATAGGGTATGAAGTCGATTCAGCACCTTTTCAGAAACTAAAAACAAATCGTTTCAATTGGAGCAACCAATTCATAAAACAATCTAATTAATAAAAACATATCATCTATAAATTTTGTAAACTATCATTCAATATGAACAATTTTAATTGAAACTTCAAGCTGTTTACTCTATCCAAAAAGTTTTATAAAAATTATAAACAATCAGCAATTAAAATAAACTATTTAATTATAAAAACCTATCTTCAGTTTATGTAAGATAAAAACCATAGTTGTGATGAAAAAATTGGAAAATTCCTACGTGAATAGTATTTTAGGGAAGTTTTTTATCAAGTGCTTTTAAGAAAATGGAAATTTTTAGATTTCTACTGCTTGTGACAAATTATGGCTACATAGATGGGAAATATGAACAATAATCCATATGACCTACCCGGATGGGATAACTCTTATGTGTAGCTGAAAGGGCTCATGCCGCCCATATGGGTGGGCTGGAAGTGTTTCAGTCTCTTCCGTGCTACTAACAAATGACTTCGTAAACCTTAAAACGGGGTATTTTTTCTACAATTTCTGAGTGATTTTGCTATATTTTTGGGTGTTTTTGTTATATTTTTGGGTGATTTTGCTATATTTTTGGCGACATGTCCTCGGCATTTTTTGGTTCAAATTACCCAATCCCCCACCCCCGAGAGATCTAGTGAATCAAAGATATCGCCCTCCTAACCAGCATAGTTATTCTTAATAGATCCTTTGATTGTAAAATTCCAGTCAATCCCAGCAGCAATCATGTTAGCCATTACAAGCTTACTGTCTCATTGAGACTACTATTGAAAAAAAAATTTAACCTAATATCACCTATTTATTATATATCCAAATATCCAAAGTTTAATAAATTCGATTGTGAAAAGCCCTAAAAATGAAAAAATAATCTACTCTTTGAAACTAAAGCAATGGTTCAAATATCATCCTGGGAGAAAGTACGTGCTGAAGCGCCACATTTGAACTCTGAAATGTTCTTGGCATACCATCAGCATCACACCTTCTGTGTTTTCCTTGACTTTCGTCGCAGTCATGCAAAGGCCTGACTGGAAATGTCTTATTCGATCACGAACCATGGTTTCCCATCGCTAAAATAACGTAAATGTGGTCACGCTCCTGAATTGCAGAACCATATACTTTTTGGGATATTACATTCAACAATTCTTGGCAAAATCTTATGTTTTCAGGGTATTAATTTCATGCACCAAACAATAGTCTGGCATTGACATAATTCGATTGTGATGGAAAATGACAGTAAATCTTTATTTTTCAAATCAGAATAAAATGCAACAAGAAAGAACCGTCTAATTTTGGGCTTTATTGTTTTTGGAGAAAGGTCTCTGCAACTAATATGATTTTGTGAGACTTGCTTGCGAGAGCCTACATTTTTATACCAAAAAAGATTCACATTATTGTAAGTAGGAAAACAAACAAACATTTGCATAAAATAATTTCAAGTGATACCTGCGATTGATCACTGATGCTACAGTTGACAAGAATGACAGTTTTATCATCTGATCTTGTTGATAGGCACAAACCAACACTTGATTTGATTTGACCATTTCTTTTCATTATCCATTCCTTCATTGTGACAGAAAATAAGGCTTTGCGTAGAAAAACGTTTTTATTTCAATACTGTTTATGATTTTATTAAGTAAGGCAAAAATGTAAGGTATTTTTATGTAAGCTTAAAAAAAGCAAATAAAGATGACAGTAAATGAAACAGTTGCTTCGATTTGAATATAAACAAAAAAACGTTGCTCTACAGCCAGGTTTCCTAAAGGTTCTTCATGATGTATAAGCTCTTGTTATTTTTGAGAAGAAAGTCCTGAAACATGGTTTCAAATAAAGAATTTTTCTTAAAATCTGATTCCAGTATAAATATTTGCTTGGCAAATTCTGTAACTCGTATGAATTGTGTAACAAAGATAGGCTAGCCAGTGACAGTTTTCCTTGTAGTTCATTAAATCTTGGTTGTCTTTCAGTAACAATTAAAACTAGAAAAAGACTCTTACAACAGATATGTAACCCACCTGATCTCCTCTTCTAGAATGGCATGTCAACAGCATGGGTCCTCCTATATTTGAGACAGAGGCACTACTCGTACCTAAACAGTGCATCGATGTTAACCTACGAAGCTCCCCAAAGGCGACGTCATCTGGATCAGGAATCCTGCCGAAAAAGAAATGTAAACAAAATGCAGAAAAAAACAAACTACATTAAAAATATTGTCGTTAACAATATTTCAGTCACTAAATAGTTTTGAAAGGATCTTGGGAACAATGCCTAATGACTGAAAGTATTGACAAATACATTAGGCAAGGCTACTCTATAAATTCAGAGTTTCTCCTACAAGGAGGCAGAATGATTGAAGCCAGTCAGTTTATCGACAATGTCATAATAAATAGGAAAATTATCTACAAGCCAATAGACGCGGGAAAATGAGAGTATGTATTCAACTCCTACCTCAGCTCTGGGTATACATTATCCAAATACCATTTGAAGTTTTTACATTTCAGCTTTCTACGTAGCTCTCTCCTTTCTTCAACACTAAAATTTTAAAAAACAAAACTTACGGCCCTGCTCATTTAAAAACCGCCAGTCAATAAGCAGTACTCTTTTTGTGGCACAAAACAAGGCTTTCAAAAGAAATGAGACAAATGCCAAAATTTCCTTTCAAAATATAAGCAGAATACGGGTGGGAATTAATGCCTTCATTTGGAAGGCTGTGTCAGGTTTGAACTGCAAAGCAAAGCAAAAACAGCAGGGCAAATAATAAGAAAATGGACAAATTTTTGGGTATGTTGATGGTCGATCGACAAACGATTATCTTAAATCTTCAGGCAACTACGCAATCACACAACCACAAATTATTCTGATGATAACGTTTGAAGATCGGAGGTCTTGGTCATTTGAATCATTTACTAATTAGGTAGATACCATATTTAGCAATGGCGGCGCCAGCTACAGCAGAGTGGGAGGGTAATGTCACCTCACTGGTCACGCCCTTTTTGCGTGCTTCGTTGCAATGCTTTGTACTAAGGAAGGCAAAATCCCTAGCTAACGCTTTTCAATAAATTTCTAGAAACAATAAAAGGACCCTGTTTTGGCAAAATTTGGGGGTTATTCCCCCATACCTCCTTGGTGCCACCATTGTATTTAGGAGTAGTTTTTTAACTTGAAATCTGGCTCGAGGTCTGCGGCATCCTGTTTGATATTGCTCAAGGTGGAAATTCGTTGTTGCAAATGATAGAAAGGACTGGTGCATAGAATTTCCTTTCCATCGCTGCTAATTTTGTTGCATTTTCACGCAGATACAAAGTCTGTGACAAGGCCCTCCAATACCGTATATTTTTCAAGTGCCCTTAATCTATATACTGGACTCACTTTCCATAAGGCCTTCCCCTTACGCCTGGCCTTGCTGCGTAGAAATACCTCTTGTAACTGTCCATCCATACTTCAGCTATTCTTCGAGTGTTCCTATCAAAGCAAAGGAGGAGTAAATTCGAAAACATTAGCTGAGATAATTAACAGTTTATTAAAAAGCTTTTGCTTTGACGAAAATCCGTTTAGAAATATTGAAACAGCATGTAAGTTAAATTTCGCGGTTTCAGTAGATCTTCAACATGAGTCCATAGCACTTAACAGCAAACAAACATGCTCTTAATTTACGAAAAGTAACAATAATTTTGTTTCGTATAGCAACATCTTCTTTGTCAATAACTTTTGCAAAGTAAAAGGGCAATATAATTTTCTAGAAGAGAAATATTTCGATAGAAGGAAAAATCAGAATAGCATAAATTCACCTTGCGTATGTAATACTGTTCCCATCTGGAAATGAATATGGATGGTGTGAGCGGAACACGTGACCAACTCTGGAGCACGGAACAATTTCTAGACTGCCATCACACATCCAAGATCGAAAAGATATTTCTGAAAGAGAATGCTAAAATTGAAACTATAAAAGACAAACAATTTGAGGTTTTTAAACATGAAATCGCTTTTTCAAAGATAGAGACATGAAAGACAAAGGTTTTCTTAAAAAAATGAGAAAATAAACTAGCAGGCAATGGAATACAGAAGGAATATTCTGTCGGGTAGCGATAGGGTGGCCATAGACATTCTACTTCACGCGTGAGTAAAAGATTCCAGTGGAAAAGATAACACTGTCACCTTTGAAGATGTTTTGGTGTGTAGAACTGGATGGTTTTTATGTTGCCACCCCCAGTATCACGTTTGCATTGAAGTACCGCTATCTAGATCTAGACTTTGTTAAAGGAAATCCCCCCAGGGGGTGGGTACCCCCATTAAGGCCTGGCAGGGGGGGGGTCCAATCGGTTTGAGGGTCTTACCAAAAAACTACCAAATGGTCCCATTTAGAAAACAACACTACCGCTTGGGGATATTTTAAGTAGTTGCTACCTCTTAGTTTAGATTGCAATTTATTATAGAAAATGAACAAGATTTTGTCAAGATGAACGTCCTATGCGAGCTATGCAAACACAAAGAAAAAGATGCTACCAAGGACAAAATTTTGGTTCCTATGCTACCATTTGGGGGTTACTGTCAAAAAAGACTACCACTTGAGGGAAATTTTAACATCATAGCTTTGGCCCTTTTTGATCCTGACTGGACACCTTGTCAGGCCATAATAGGAGTACCCCCCCCCCAGGGGCAATCCTTATTCGTTATCTTTGTACAGGTCAAAGTAGATTCCAATGCCGTTAGAGTAGCTAAACAACAAATACAAAGTATATGGAGGAAGTTGAGCAATAAATCAAAATTGCACTACGTGTTTCAAATCAAACAGTCGAACTGAAGTTAATATCCTTACCCAAATTTTCACCACCCCATATATCCATCTTCGTATCATATTTGCCAATCTTTTCAAACCACGATTTTTGAATGATGAATAAACCCCCGGCAATCACCGGTGTTCTAAAAAATGATGAAAAATATTCAGTCTTCTAAGCATTCTAACATTGACTAAATCTTTCAAAAATACAATGTATCGAATAAAGCGTACTTGATAGGAAGCGTTGGAGCTTTCTCGTGCTGAATCTGCTCCTTCAGTGACATCATGTCCCATTTAAAATGCATGCTCCAATCAAACCCTAGAAAAAACAATTGTCCTTAATCAACGCCTTATACTTTATCTAAAACATTTAACAGTCTCTATAACATTTGTGCCAAACATTTCCCTTAATTCCCCTTATAGATGCAAGGGCAAAGTTTGAGATACGACGGCCCTGACTAATCCATCTTCATGTTTTGGGAGCTAACATAACGGTGGTTGGGTGCGTTTATGAACTAAGTTTAACGAATTAGGGACCAAGCTCTTGTCCAAACGTTTCTTGTTGCAGGAGCTTAAATAACAGTGTGCGATAGCATTTATGAACTACTCTTAAAGAGATGTAAATGGTCCAGACAAGACTTAGGAAACGGTTTTAGAAATAGTGTAAGGCTGCACAAGTTGGCAGTTTTTTATGCTTTTGACGTCATTGTTGGGTTCTGCTGGATTCAACAGGATTGAAAAACCTCACATATGCAGAGTCTAGTAAACCTCCAACATAAAAATCGTAAAACTTCCTTGCATTTTTATGTAAGAAAAGCAAAGGCGATCGTTTTGTAAGAGCTTAAGGTCGGACAAATTACAACGCTAAATTCTTATAGGCTTGGAGGAAAAGACGCAAAAGAACTACTCTTCGTAATTGGGAAAACTACTGCGGGAGAATATCGCGTGAGCTTTAAAAGGTTAGACATTGATTAGCGGAAAGAGTAAAGAAACAGCGAGCAAACCTCCTTTGATAGATGACATGGCTTCTTTGTAGCTGAAATCATCCATGCTGATGATGTCAATGACAGGACATGCAATCAATTTAGGGTCCTGGCGAAATTAATAACAGTAATTGTTCTGAAATAACATTTTCAAGAAAGAAGAATGGTTAAGAAAGAAGACGGCTACGATTTGAAAACTTAAACGAGATTTATGCAAATGCAGATATTTATGCAGTGCAGTCGTTCACTTTCTTATGTAAGCAACTTCCTGTTATCTTTTAGGAGGCAGTCCAATTAAATAAAGGAAGGTTTTTGTAGACTAAGAGAGGTTTGAAAAAAATGGCAAAATAATATGCTTCATCTGTTATCGAAAGCGCTGGCAAAACCAAAATAGCATCTGTTCCATCAAGTCCTAGCACGGTTGAATGTCTTATTTGGGAGTATTGGAATTTTTATGTAGGGCTGGCCAAACTAGTGCAAATTTCATCAAACCCTCCTCGATTTACCAACAACAACAAACTCGGGGCCTAGCTTCATTCTCTCAAGCAGCTAGTAACTGATCATTGCGGGTCCGTTTCAAATAAAACGAAAATTGGCAGCAGTAATTTTATGTCTGCTCCATATTATGAATAACAGGAAAGGTTGAATTCGACCCTAAAATTGATGTTAGTGTTTCAAGTCGTTGGCAGTAATTGCTTTACAACAATCCGATAAATCTAGATAAATAACCTCAACGACTCTTTCCAGAAGAGGCTCTATCCATTGTATGTTAACTTCACAGTGGCTATCCAAAAAGACTAGCACAGAAGTTGTGGAAAAGTCCGCACCACGAACACGAGACCGAATTAGCCCTGAAAGAAGAGAAAAAGCTACAGAAAATGAAATAGTAACATTCATACATCACACTTGAAGCTGGTCCAATAAGAACCATATGAAAGAGAAAGCATCAAAAATTGAGAAAAAACCCAACAAAGAGGTGTAAAAAGACACTGGCAGTGTGCTCATATCAAGAGTGTTACACACTTCTCAACAGTGTTCTGTCACAGATTAATCTAAATATAGAGGTTGGGCTATTATATAACAATTATTTACCTTCTCGTTTTTCATTTCTAAGAAGTCGTATTTTAGGAATAACCAACAAAAGACGACCATCATCAGCTGAAAAATGAAACCTTTTTAGAAAAATATTACTAACTGGGTAGGCCTATGTCTGTTTAACTGAATAGATGCAAAAAAAATTTCAGCGTTGTTTGAAAAAATGAATTTGTTATCCGAACAAATAAAATACTACTGGTACTAATACTGAAACTATATATATAATTACCAATTAAACGTCATTATCAGCGGATTTGTCAACTAACAAAGACCCCATACTTGGCCATAACAAAAAGACAATAAAATAAAAAAGTTATTGCAACAGTCTGCCTTCTCTCCAAACCACTGCAATGAAAATTTTTTATCTCGCATTGGATGCCAAGGATAAAAGAATCGTTTTTTTCAATTAAAAATACACGCAAAATGAAAATCAAGATTACAAAAAGTACTACCGTTATCACTGAAGTCGTCTACCAGAATGATCTCTTGAAGTAGATAAACGGGAGTTCTGTTCAAGACACTGCGAGAAAACAACCAAGAAAAAGATAACCTCAAACAGAACTTTGCCTCAAGTCAAACGAGTTTTAGACAGCTACTCATTTTAAAGATTATATTTAAAGAGTTCAAGATTTTAAAGGCTAAACATCTTAAAGAGGTAACGAGAAACTTTAACAAAAAAAAGTTTTTACCCCTTTAAAATTTCACTCCTGTTCGCAATTCGCTACAATCTAAGGTAACAAATAGCACTGGATTCTCGACTTGATTGAAGTATTTCCTGTTACTGTTACGTATTCTTTTTGTCTCTAGGAATGGTAATTCTTCAATGAAATCCTTGATATATGTTAGGTGGGGGAAGAACAAAGTTCAATTGGTTTGAATCTTAGGCAAAGTTTAGCGGGTATAAATAACTTTAGAGAGATTCCTGAGGAGAGTGGTGGTTAATCCCCCGTTTTCAGCTGGTTTTTAGAAAATCCCGCTCCAAATAGACGTTATTTGAACTTTTTTCCTAGTTTGATCACAAAAGTTCAAACACTCAACACAGTGGTCATTCATGCCTTAGAATGATTTCCTAGTCCCAGTCGCCCCGCCCAATTCCAAGTACCAAAATAATTAAACCCCGATTCCTAATTCAACGCTTCAGGACTCTCTTGAGACAACTAAGGTGGCAAAAAAGTGCTCACTAGGTGAAAATGTTTTGTCCGTACTAATATTCATGTTTCCTTGATTAGTCTTAAGAGTCAAAACAGTACGTGCACTGTTGTGTTCATAACCAAAGTCTCGTCCTTTTCATTTTCGTCAACTTGTTCTAGCCGATGTCCTGTTGAAGAGGTTTGGCAGGAATGGTATTACTGGAGCAATTTGCTCTGATAAAGGGACATATTTCTGAACCGTGATATTTAACTTTAGAGAGACACATTTATTGACTTTGAGCAGTTGATACTTTTTACTTATTCACACGCAATGACAAAAAATTAATGACAAAAATTGATTCGGCCAAGAAAGTTGTCAAAAAATTACCTTTCCTTGTATATCATAAAGCTGAAAATTATTCGTTTTAAATTGAAAATTTTTGTCTAAAATTTACTGGTCTTAAATTATTTTGTTGATTTTTTCTGCGAATTTATGTAGACAAATAAGATTGCTGTTTACAAATCTTGTTCTAAAAATTGTTTTATTCCTACCTTTCAACAGTCCTAAGTAATGTCGAACGAGCTTCATTGTGAAAGGTAATAATGACACTAAACTGTGGGAGATTTTCTTGAAACGTCCTGCCTTTGCAACTACAAAAAAGGAAATATACTTCAGTTTAGAAGTTTAGAAGGTTACTAACATAGTTATCTTACTTATGCAACCAGAATAACTCTTAATTAAATTCTACAACAGTGATTTTATTAATTTTTTAAGTTGAAGCCTCACATTTTAAAGTAGGCATCTATAAGTTTATTAAAGTTTGTGTAGTCTTACTTAAGTGAGGGTGAAAGTATGCGGCAGAGGTTTGGTGAGTAAGCAGCAGACTTTTGATGTTTGTCAGCTTCTAATGAGACCCCTGCTACAATCTTTTCTCAAAGAGTTTGTTTCACTGTTTGGTTCAATACGGTAGGAAAGAAAGACCTATTGGGGCGCCATCTTTGGTAACAATAGCATCAACAACAATAGCATGAAAGTAATATTTTTGTATTTTTTGGGGGAGGGACATGAGTCCTGGTATGGTCTACCAGCTTGTCTCAGGTAGCAAGATATCTCTATTATGTGCATCAGATATCACAATTGTAAAGTCTCCAGCATTATGGAGTATAGAAAGAGAAAGGAACAAAGAGAACACGAGGTAGTAATGACAAAGACACAACAATGGATTTATAGAATTTAAGATATCAAGAGCTGGCAATTATAAAAGCTGAATTTCTCTATATTCAGTTTTTCCTTACAGATGACCAAGATTTACATCATAACAGAAAACATAAAAACCCCATACCAAAAATTTACTTACAGTTTATTTCTTGTATCTTGCACTGGTCTATCAGGGGGAATCATGTCACTCTCTAGTTGATTAAATGCATATCTGTCATATGGATTTGAAATATCTGCCTTCTCTGATCCCTCTAGATAATTTTTGCTATCAAATTTTGAGTAATCAATCACATGATCAGCATGATTGTGTGGCTGTAAGGAAAAATACTTTCACATTCAGCTTGCACTAAAAACAGTTTTACTTGCACAATATCAAATCGGATCCAGAGCAAATTTGAAGGAGGGGCCGTTGGTAGTGGGGGCACTGATAAATTTTCGAAAAATTGATGATGAGAGTATGCTGTTCACAATAATTTCAGATACCTTTTCAGAGAATAAACAATATAACTTTGAGGTAATCCTTGAAGCAAATTAACCTATCAGTCCAAGAATCTTTTTCATCTGATTCTCATTCTTCAAAAGGGGCACACAATTTCCAAAAAAAACTAGTTGAGGGAGGGGCAACTGGCCATAGTTGCTCCCCCCCCCCCCCTTAAATCTGCCACTGGACTAGCCATCTTCTTAATCATCCCTTGCAACTGCAAGTATTATCATACCATGTCCCTGGTAAAATCTGTGAACTTTGTAACATATTATAACAAAATTAAATCAGGCCTTAGTACTATTAGGCGATTGCAGCAATGGTCAGCAAATATGATACCTTAGCTTTCAACAGCCTTGTGCCAGTCTTGCAATGTCTAGTCCAAGAATTATCTTATAAGTCTGGTTGCAGGCTAAAGAACTGCTAAGCTTTTGTCCTGAAGCCTTTCATTGTTTGAATCTTGTTGTTCTAATAATCCTTTGCTGTGCCCAATGATTCATTTCTCAAAATGAATCAATTCTTGATGTCACTCATTTGTGTTAGGTTCCTGGCAATATGGCTTTGAAAATGGATAGAGATGAGAAGAAAATACATTCTTCTATGCGTTCAGCAGAAGTCCAGTATAACTCAGTTTGCAAAGTGGTTCTCCTTCCCAAAGAATTGAAATTTTTGATTTATATGCATAAGCCTCTCTTTCTTGTGTCAGGGCACTGAACACACAAGATCTTGTCAAAAGCAGCCATAGTCTGCAAACTGGCACAATTTAAGATAATCTATCAGCTGAATTTACTGTGAAGAAACTGAACTGAACATAGAAGATATGTCCTTTAGAATATATTTTGATGAGTGGTATGAGTGGTAGAATTTTTATTGAACAACAGTCAGTTTTAGGCACAGGTGTAGCAGAAACTAAGGGGGAGGGTAGTATGGATCTTGCCCGAAAATTACTGCTTCATGGAGATAGAATTGCCCGAACAGAGCCTGAAATGCGATAAATTTTGCCTGATTTGGGGAGGGGGCAGCGCTCCAGCCCCTAAGTCTCCTGCCCCCAACGGCTATATGGATTTAGGACCACATCTATCTTTCTGTCCTTCCCTGATTCAAACATTATCTATGGCTATGGGATAAATTTCGGCTAAAAATATCAGTGTTGTCTGCACAAACCTTTTGTAATATTTCCTATTGATTGATAATTGAGTATGCTAGAAAGCAGAGCATAATATATCGGTTTAAATTTCCTGTTGCAGTTCTTATGGCCCACGAGTCCAAATATACCTTCTCGTTGTAACGAGGCAAAAAGTACTTCTAGTATGAAAGCGGTGACAATAAGCTTTCATATGAAAGCGGTGACAAAATGCTATTATATGTTGAATGGTGTTATGTCTTACCAGCTTAAAATTTCTTGAAAACAATGCAGCAATTGTTAGAATAAAGAGGATGACAGCAAGGCAGGCGATAATCCGTCTCCTACTGGCACATCTCATGATTCAAGTGAAAGCTGCCATTCTGTATAAAAACAAAAGACTAACAGCCTTTAAAAAACCCGTTTATTCGGTTTCAACCATTATCATTAACAACGGAAACAAACAAAGGAAGTCTGGGTGCCATCTTATGTTTACTTCCTGCTTGAAAATTCCCAGGTTTTTTTATAGTTCCAGGCCTCTGAAAAATTATTTGCCGCCAAAATCTGACAATGCTCCTGCACAGCATGAGGAAGGCTGGGAAGTTATCTACTGTGTAGCTCAAACTAACTGTGTTTGCATAAGAAAATATATACATGTTGGTTTCCGGATGGCGGTACTAATTTTCTGAGAAAGTGTCTAGGATCCTTTTGAATAATGATTTTTAGGATCAAGAAGTTTTACTAAAAATTGAACGACTATTTCTAAGTGAAAAGATTTTTAAGAAGAAAAAACCTCTTTTTTCTAAGCTAGATAATACATTTACCAAAGTTCCAAAATTTCTTAATGCCTTGGCGTGTGTGTTTACACGAAAATACTCATTAGCCAGATAAAGAACCATATTAATACATCAACTCCAGTTCAACATAAAATAACAACAATAAAAAAAACTGAGCGTAGAGCATCGACAACTTTGAACTTTATTGTTTTCCCTTTTGCATTCTTCGGTTCTCCCATGAAGGACAAGGCAGAAGGCTTTAATTTCTAATAATAAACTTTTACATGCCATTTTAAACGTTAAGACTGCGAAGGCGTCTAATAAACAGCCAATTTACCGAGAGGTGTTTCACTCTTGCAAATAGCGTACGAGATTTTTTCCTAAAAACAAAAGGATTTTTGGAGATTTTCAGATAAAACTATAGGATTTTCACAAGAGGTGTACGAGATTTTCTTAGAGTGATTTGCCCCTCGCAATTTACAGTCTAGAGAATGCAAATCTATCGTGAAACTTGACAAAAATATTCTCTTAAAAGAAATTCTATACAAGTGAAAAATAAATCCTATACAAGTCAAGAGATTCTTTCAAAAATGAAAGAGAGCCAACGTTCAGTGTTATTTGAAAAGAAAGTGCGTGGAGGCTTTGCTTGCAAATAAACTGCTCGGATATTTGCGGGCCTTTACCCTCGGTACTAGAGCTTCAAAAAACCGGGGATAAATTATTGTAGACTGTTGCGGTGGGAAAGAATTCTTGCTAAAATAAATGTTTCTGTGACTATTTTCGCGTTATTTTTCTGAGACTAAATATTAAGACTCTGGCACACAGGCTAGCAAGCCCTGGTATCACTAACAAGCCCTACAAGTCCTTAGTTGAGAAACGGATTCAAATTCACGATATTTGGTTCATAAAAGGCATCGCCTAAAAGTCCAAAAAATGAAGCAGGCATATCAAATTTACATATAAAGACAACTTACCTGTACAGTTAGAAAATTCCTTGTCTTTGACAACTCCGCAAAGTTGTAACTCAGCCGATGTTCACATCTGATCAATAACTTACTATAGTTGTTTCTTTAAAAGAACCTCTTTTGAAGGAGAAACCGCAGTCTGGGACCTTCACGGCTATTAACTTGCTTAAATCGATAATTCTATTTCAGATCAAGATCTGATTGGGAATCGTTATAGTTATTAATTTTCACATTGAACATTATTGTTGCTATCATGGCAGAGTACATAAAATCATGTTGCTATGCAGTTTATCAATAAAAACTACCCTCAGACAGGGCGAGGCAGCCCAAGAAATGGAATACTTTTGTCATCAAATCAACAGCAAAATACATCACTAAATCATTCGGCTGCTTATTACTGTTTCATTTTCACTATTCATATCCAATCGTGTTTATCATTTGATAGTTACTTTAACCGAACTTTGGGCTGCAAAACCACATCAAAATGTCGCAGTCCTCTATTTGCTAACAAGAAATGCCACAATATGGTTAACGACTTTTCTCCAAACCAAGTTAATTGTCATTCCATTTGCAACTTAACAACCACCATCACTGAAGTTGTACATTCAAACCTGATAATCATTTGGAACTTTTTTCAACATGATTCTATAAAAAGGAATATTCGAGATTAGGCTCATTTAGCCTCAAGCTTTATTTGCTTGTTGCAGTTTATCGTCGATGTTAGACAGATGAAACTTTTTTGAGTTGATGCAAGTTTAAAATAGCAGGAAGGTAGAGAACAGTTCACAGAAATCCTTGGGAAAATATAAATTTTTACCAATACACATAAATACAAACTTAACATACTCATTTGAAACTTTTACTGATTGAAGCTAAGAATATCCGAAGTAAAACACAAAAATTCAAGTTACTTCCTAGAGAGATGATTCTCGAGCCCATCTCGTCTGATCTATTTTTCAATCTCGGAGTTCTCTGTACGAGTGCCAACTTACTAAAGTATAAACATCGTACTACTAAGGTGGAGAGAATATAGTAGCGAAAATTGTTTGACAAGAACACTACATAAGGTGCTTAGGCAAGGTACAAAAGAGTTGTAAATACGAAGATATACTCAAATATGTAATAGTTGAGTGTTTGCAACATTATTAGGAGCCAAGTGGTGCACACCAGCTAAAATAGAGAAGAGGCCTGGGTCCTGTATACTTTTTTGTGATTCGCAGATATTGGTAGAAGCCGGTACAATCAGTTTTGAAGGAGTGCTTTGATGCAAAAATTAATTTTTCTAAAACTTACACCTTGATATGATATCTGGTAATTAATATCAACTCGACTCAAAGTCAAATTAATGGCAACACCGTCTTTAAATAACAGCAGGCAGACCGACAATTTTGTGCATAATGAGGCTAACTGTTCTTTATTGTGTTGTGATACCGTAACCTCCTTTTCTCGAACAATATACACACCCCATGGGCTTATATATTATAAGTTCTTTCGCTATACACTTAAATAGCTGGTCATGAATAATATTTTCCTTTTAATTTCAATTAGAATGAGTTTTTATAATATTTCAGCAAGAATTACTTTAAATATCCAGCTTTTAGTATCACGTGATGATTGGCCACGTCAACGGAATGACTGGTTATCGAGAAATGACATATAAGAATTCAAGTTCTCGCGAGCTTTCTTTTTAAGATTTCTTGTCAAACTCCTTTTCATTTCTGTGCAAGATGATACTGATACGGCATGAACAAGCTATCAGGCTAAACATACCCTTCGATGCAGTTTTTTTAGAAGTAATCGCAAAGCACCCAATGTGACAAAGACTCTTTCAAAAGATGATGCCATGTCTTCAGCTGATGTAGAAACATTAAACAATTTGTTTTGAACCTGAGTTAGGAATCGCCAAATCGAACCAGTCAACTTTCCACTCGTCAAGCGAATCTTCTTCCAGACGATCAAGATTAAAAACAGTCTCGCCAATAAACTTTTTCATCCCTGTTTTTCCTAACTTCCCATAGACTCTAAAACGGATACTTAACTGGAACAGAATTTGCACCGGAATGTCTTCTACTTTGAAAACTTCTTTAAAAATAGGCGTCGAGGTTGGTTTGAATTTTGTCCTGAATTTGTGCTTTTTATGAGGCAGAAAAGTTACATGCGTTTGCCAGTAGGTTCGACCTTCACCTAGAGAGGTAAAATATTTCCCCTGTTTAACTGCTACTTCAACAGTACACGTTTCCTCGTCATATCTTGCAGCAAGCTGGATTTGTCCACCCTTGGTTTTGATTTCGCTTTTTGTAGATGTACTTAAAATGCTATTCGCACTTGCATAAGAACTAGCGTACGAGTCTTCTCTTGTTAAAGAGCGTATACTGCCATAGAAACTATCATTGGTAACCAGTGGATATTCTTCACAAGTATTATGCTGCTGTGTGTTTGATTGCCTTTTTGGTCTTTTGATTTTCCCTAATACCTTTTTTAATGAGAGAGAACTTCCTGGTTTATTTGAAACAAAAGATGATGTTGTTACTGTATCATCTAAACTTTTTCTTTCTTCAAACGAGTCCGTAACTCCTGTATCTTCTTGCATTAATGCATTTTCCCTCGAAGAGCCCAAATCAGAAACGGACGGTATCTCTTCGTGCCTTTCTTTTAAATCTGTGTTTTCGCTTCTGTCATCTTCTGCTTCTATGTCAGATCTATTGTCCTTCTTTTGACAAATGTTGTTTTCAAATTCAAGATCCCCGACGTAAAAATCACCATCCTTATCTACTTGATAGAAGTCATCAGCAGATGCTTCATTTTGGATATCTTTACAGTTAATCTCCTCGTTCTGCAAAATATTCTCAAGACCCCCCTCCTCTTCGTCTTCTTTATTTCGAGATTCTTGGCATTTGAATAAATCCCGTTTCAGAGCAAGGTATAACAGCACAAGAAGAGCAGTGATCAGGAGAAGAGCCGATAGAAAGGCAATCGGAACTTTAAACTTCGTTGCAAAATCTAGCAAAAAAATGCATGAGCGACATTAACTAAAGAAGCTGAGCTCCATGAGATTTTAGAAAAACGTAAACAAACTGCATTAAGAATTCAGAGTAGATTATTCCCCCATTTGTTATTGACTATAAATATCATGAAAAATTAGAAATGTAAACTGAATAGCTTTCATTCTACACCAATCAGTGCATAAAATGTCAGATAACGTCCAAAGACTCAAATATCCAATTTATCATTATTATCAATGTTATAATACTGATGTATTATTGAGGATAATTAACTCTTCTGGTTGAATTGAGTATACCGCTGTTTCAGCACAATAATGAGTCAAACAAAGTCATGGTCAAAGTCAAACAAAACATGGGATTTTCCTTGAAGTCATACACAAATTCAAGAATTTCTTATCAAAAATGTTTAAACTGACTTCCAGAACCAATGCCACAGGTAGTTCCAGCATATTCACCCCTTTTTCGCAACACAAAATTACCAATGCTGTTGGCATCATGTAGAGAGTTGCACCATATGGTACTAAGTCCCCATTTCCCGACCCTTGCTATGGTGTTAAGATAGGGATGGAGACGGTGGGTAATAACGCCACTTTTGCCCATCTTATTTAAATACCTATGAAAAGCTTATTTTGCAAATTCTAAAATACACCTATACACACATGTTGCAAACAAGGGGCATTCCTGTAATATAAGAAGGGCTTGGTTTTTAAATTCTACAAAAATACTGTTGGCACCGCCATGTCCCAACATATAACATATATACATAAAATATATCATTTTCATTTTTTATGGTTCTTTCCATTTTGCGCTTTCATGGAAGTTTCAAAGATATTATAGAGTTTTAATTGGAAGAATTCTGCATTTTCAGTATCAGATTTCGCTTCAATGACATGATTTCAGCGTTTACAACTTTTTCATAGTCGCAAAACCTATGCCATCTTTACGTCATCATAAACGAACTGTGACCTCTCCGCACATCGAATCTTCTGCGGACCCTCGTATTTTTGAAGGATCAATATTCCAAAATAACTTCTTGCTAGACGAATTCTTGGTACAAGATACCCCCTTGTTTAACGAGATCCAAGCTCATTTAAGGGCCTACTCTGGGTTCCTTGTGTGGAGAGCTCAAGGTGACATTCTCTTTCTAGTATTATCTAGTAAGTATGTATAGTATTATTATATGTAATAGGTGCAGGGTTGGAATGTATTTTCATGCTCCCTGCACTATACTCTTGTAGGTTATTTGTTCTTAGTGTATTGTAACTGTTAATCGAATTTATATAAAAAAATCTGTAGAATTCTGAGCAAACAAAGCTTGAATACACTAATACACATCAAAAGCATCCGTCAAATTCGAAACGCATTGAAGCATTGAAAAAAAGGTAATTCACGCAGCCATAACTTCATTTTCAACGTTAGCTTGATCCTTACTAGCGACAAATTCACAAGCACAAATGCAAGCGATGATCTAAGCGTCAGAGCAATGGCGTTTGTGCTTTGAAAGTCCTCACTGGAAATAATAGCAACAATAACGTAAGACTAACGGAAGTTTTGGTATTCTTATGCTTGTGCTCATGTCTGTGTTCTAACCGTGCTCCTTGGTGCATAAGTCCCTTGTGTTTGTGTTTTTCCTTGTGTCGCTAGTTAGGACCAAGCTGGAATGTGGTCTATTCTTTAAAACAATAAGTGCATTAGATGGTTAATATCTCTTAAAAAGATGGTTAATATATGCCAAATGCGATCAAGAGAAAAACGCAATGTAACCATTTCAGTATTGTGTATGATTTTGAGATCCTGGACACCAAGGCATTTTTTAAGAATTTTCTACTGGTGGGGCATTTGAGAAAAGGGCATATAGATAAAGGCAGAATTTACAGATAAACAGGCTTTCAAAAATATTCTAAAAACATTGCTATAGACCATAGAACAAATCACTGATCGCTAGTTTATAACTAAAAGTATCCATCTTTTATGACAAAATTCTTTACAAATTGACGTCTGCTAAAAGTTTCAAAGTCTGGTTCTCGGTTTCTTCGTTCTTTTGCAGCAAGAAAATGAGCAACAGCAGCTCTTGGGTCATAATGAGCAGTTCCAATGCCATTCAACGCAGTGAATAAGCGAGAATTAATTGTATCATCTGTCATTGATACTCTTGCATCACTGGCCACGATATTGTGATGCGAAACAATGCGTTCTGTTTGCATCGAATGTGGTGATAGACTCATAATGGCAGCAAATATTTTGTGCACAATTCCAGTCGTTATTGCTACTAACTTGCGCAAACGAACTGAGAGATTTGAACCGATATCATTGCCTTCTGGGAGAAATTCTACAACTTTGATTTTACTCCATTTCTCGCAACTGTCATCAGCAAACTTACCCTCATTGCCAGGGAAAAGGCGTTTTACGAAGGAAATACCTGCTTTTATAAAAACAGACAGTGAATTTGTGTTCAAAAGTTGCCTTATATCTTCCAATATTTTTTATCCTGTTCTGTGTGTAGGCGTCTTTCAAGAAATTCTGATGCAGCTTGAACCACTTCAGCAGAATGAATTGAAATTTGAAGCCTGTTCAATGAAGATTTCATCCACAAATATCTCAAATAAAGTAAAAAGTAAAAAAGTCACCAAATCATCAGGGCACTTAAGTGGTGGGGCAAACATGTTCCACTGGTGGGGCAATGAAAGGGGCTGGTGGGGAATTTCCCCACCACTTTATATGTTAAAAAAATGCCCTGCTGGACACGAAATAATATAAAACGTTGGCCTAAAATCTAAAACTTATCTTGTAAAGTTGACATAATCATATTGAACTGATTCGATTTAATTCAAGTAACATAAATAGTACATTAGAAATCGTAAATGGTTTGAAATAATCACAGCTAGTTCATCCAGAGATGCTGGAATGATCCAGAGACAAAAGGCAATTTAAACAAGGTTTGCATTTTTACAAATTCTTTTATAAACGATACTTTTTCGATCTGCTCTAGGCCTCTTGTAACAGGGTGACCTCTGGACTTCTCGTAGTTGTTTACACCTTTTGCGTAACACGTTATGAAGAGAATAGAAGTTACAGTCAGTCAGAATATCATTGAAATGCCCCCTGATAATAAAAAAAGCCAATGTAAAAGTCACTTCTTTAAACCGGGCACTTGGTTCTCTCCCTAGGGCAAGACTGCCAGTCATCCCACCCCAATACCTCCTCGCCAGCTCCACTTAGTTCAACTGTCTTCTCTAATATATTCAAAGTTAAAATTCCCTTTAAAATGTATAAACAAATTATCTGCCCAACATTAAATGCTACACTTATTAATATGGGTTGCAGATTTCGAAGTATAGACATATGCAAATGAACTGGAGACGCTGACATGAACCACGATAGCTGCAACGTTGGAAGGTGATTTTAGGGTCAGAAGTCTTTATGATTAAAATTTTTCGTTTCATTCCCTGTGTCAAAAGCTCTCTTGACACGCAAGATCTTTCCAACGAAATTCTTTACGTTCCTTAAGTAATCTTGTACCTTTGGAGAGCATGAAGTTCTCTTTGTAATTGTTTATCTGTTCGTTCGTTGTACCTTAGCAACCATTTTATCATTTAGCAGTAATTTTAGGTTATCTACACGGGTGTACTTTTAATATCCTTGACTAGGCAAGAATAGCACAGTATCGAGAGGTGGAGGACTGCGTCGATTGGCAAAGTTTTTTGCCTATCTACATCAAAGATTTATATCTCCACGTGGTTGGTGAAATGGCTTTTTATAAACGAGATCAAATAAATACGCTCATAATCAAAACATGGATCGCAAAATGTATAGGTTGAGATCATTTATTCATAATTTTTTACCAGCATTACAAAAGCATTAAATCTGAACAGTTTCAAAGCCACCTGTTGGCCCTTCTATGTAAGAAATTTAATTTTTATGATTTGAATTCGATTTGAAATCACGACTGGAGGACAAGAACATCTTTATCTAGAAGATGCATACAACAAGCTTATTTTTCAGATGCCTCCTGACTGTGGTCGAATAACTTTGCCACCTATCCAAGCCGTGTACAAATAGCTTAATAAACCTGTAATCTCCCTAGATCAGGAATTATTTACAATTTTGTGGTAAAGTTTTTCAAATTAGACGAGATTTTTCCCAACATTAAGGATTACATATAAGACGCAAGTAAAATCAAGAAACTCTTTAGAAACAATACAAACTTTTTATAAGAACATCGTCTACAAGAATATTAAGGCTCAAAATTGCGAAAAATTAAAGAATAATTCAAGAATAATCTAAGGCATCACTAAAACTGACATTTTTGTTTGCTTGTGTTTTTTGGAAAGCAAAACAAATGTAATATATAATGCGACTCAGTTACACTTGGTATCGCTTAAGGACAATTTAAGAAAAATAAAAAAATTAAGAATATTGAGGCTCAGCAAAAGTTAGGTATTCTCACTATACAAAAAGTGTGTAATTACTGAAAATGGTTGCAGAATAAAGGTACAAGAGTACTCAATGTCAACACTTGAACAAGAGGTGTTCTTTCTTGTAATACATGGGCCCACTATGATCGGCCATAGCATCACCCTGTAGGGGCGAGGGAAGGGATGTCTTTTGTTCTATGACAATGGGAAATGTGATGTCATCTTATTGAAACAATAGGCTTGCCCCCCTCCCCCCAATATTTGACCAAGTGTCCGCCCCTGCACGAGCCTCTGTTTCGCTACTGCCTCACTTGAGAGATGCTATAACAGATAACTACTCAAAAACAACCGCAAAACCGCAACATTTTGCAGATTCTAATTAGATTCAAGGAATAATAGTAACTACCATTTTGTTTTGTGGTCAAATCTACGATTTCATTTATGTGGAGAATGTTTTTAATCATCGAGTTATAAAATTACCTCTTAGTTCTATTAAGCTACTATTTTTACCATACTGTTGACAAAGCAGTCAAGTTTATTATAATTTTCATCTTATCTAGTGTTATTTTATTCTTCCCATAAAAAGACATCAAACATTGTTTTCTATGAATTTTCGATGTAATCCAAACCCCCTAAGTGAAATTGCCAAAACGCACATACATTCATGCCAAAAAATTGAGGCAAAATATCTTATATCCAATATAAATACTTTCTCTTTTTGAAAATCGTTTGATTTGACATTCATTTTTCTTTTATTTGTCATTTTGATATCATTGAGCAATATATAATTTCCCCACTCATCTGGCACAACAGATGTCTCATGAGCCCGTTTGGTGCAGGAGCATTCTTTGAAATGTCTTCCAGATGAAAAAGATAAAAGAAAAGGAAGATTTTCTTTCAAACGTGTTAATTCCTTTGGCATGTCTCAAGAAAATCTCATATTACGGGGTTTATAAATGCAACTTGCTTGTACCGCCTTGTTTGTACATGCCTCGCGGGACAAGGACTTTGGTCATCACGGGATGTATGGGCAGCTTGGAAAAATATTGCTAAGCTTGCTTTTGAAATACGTGATTGAAGTTTTAATGCGTGTTTTGAAAGTGATTTATCCTTTTCCATAATCAACACAGTTATTTTTTACCTTTATTACACTATCTTTTGTTAAGTAGACACTCCTAAATTGAATCCAACTGAAAGAACATTCAGCCAGGTTAAGGAAAATCGATATAGATCAATACGAGTGATACGTGCTAGGGTGCATTTACAACTTAGGGATAGGACTGTTGTTATGGTTAGGAGTGGGCTCAGGGCTAGAGTTAGGGAGTAGGGTTGGGGCTAGGGCTAGGGTTAGGGCTAGGGTTAGAGCTAGGGTTAGAGCTAGGGTTAGAGCTAGGATCACAGCTAGGGTAAGGAGTAGGGTTAGGGTTACGAAAACTTCTGCGCACTTTTAAATCATAACAAAAAGGTTCTTTGCTGAAAGAAACTTGAATAAAATGTTATAAAAAGCTAACAGTATTTGCAAGTACAATTAGTTGTCGCAATGAGAAATGGAAATTTATTTACAACACCTACTAAAAGCTCTTACGCTGAATCCTTAAGTAAAACATTCAACAGCTGTCATCATAGATATCAAGGCACAAGCATTTTTTCTTTCCAACGATACCTGCTGTTTTTCAAATAAGCAAAAATTTCGGTGCAAGACTCTGAATAAGCGTTTTAAAAAACAAATAAACGATAAGAAACGCAATTTACCTTCCGCCTTTCCAGCAAAAGACTGGTCATTCATAGATGCATTTCCTTCAAAATACTTCGATACTTCAACTTTCGGCATTGTAACAAGAGAGCCATTCGAAAATAGACAAACTAACCACGCTTTATATGAAATTCGATACGAGGCCCATTGTCTGATGTCGTTAAGCAATAGACGCTGAAAACCACAACAGGCGATGCGCAAATGAATGACACAACCTGTCGATATGAATAGAAATTTCTTATACATTGACGACAATCCACTAACATGTATCATAAGGTATAAAACCCTTCTTAAATTATAATTTCAAACTTAAAATCCACAATTTGGATTTTTTAGCTCTGGATGCAAATATATTTGGCTGAAATCCAAAAAGCAAAATGCCACGTTGGTTTCCAAACTATGAAGTGAGGTTTCGAAAGAAAGGTGAATTAATAAAAACTTGAATAGATAACTAATCTCATTAGGTGGGGAATGACAGCTATTAAAATTGATTAAAGGAAACCAAAGAAAATCTTGATGTCCCTTAACGTTGTAAAAATATTGGGTAACCTTATTCATTCTTCTGACAAATTGTCATTATTATAGTCCTGTGTTTATATTTATTACATGTATCGAAAATACAATTTAAGTGCTTGTTTCTCTTCGTTATCTTAGGTTAGCATTTGGCAGGATTAAAACTTTGTTCTTATCAGTGTCAGATTTCTATTCCAAGATTTGTTTAAAGCTCGAGATATGTTTATACCCAGAGGGTCATTGCTTTTGGTTGGGGTTATCAGGCGGTAGAAATCAGCCGTCCCGCGCGATTCTCAGTGGAAATTTGCTGTTCCGGTCATTGTAAGCCAAAGTTCCGCGTCCCAAAATTGTTGATAGATGCTTCTGACCAGAAAGACGAAGATGTGACCTGGTCCTTTCTAACAAGGCAAAATGTGAAGAACCATACAATTTTGATGGCAGAGTCAGAGACTGAGAAAGCGCTCAACCATTCACAGAAAACAAAAAAAACAACGCGGTGTTTGGACATGACAGATCTTTCCGGTTTTAATGTCGTTCTTTGCGGTCCATCACCGTATGAATGTCTTTTTTCAGGTCTTTATTTTGGGAAATTTGTCTTGAATTACACTCTTTCTTAAAAGCCAATCAATTGTTGCCGAGCCACAGTGTTCTGTTTTTGGATAATTTGAAGCTCGGCTTTTCTTAATATAGTTCTTATTTCAACATTGGTTCTTCCAAATTATTCTTACAAATTCCTTCTTTTTTCTATTTCCTTTTCTCTTCCGAAAGCTCAAATTTCTTTTTAAAAGAAAATTTCCTTCCAATTTCAAGCACTGATTCTATTCACAATTGTTTTGCCTCTTAGCACTTTGATTAGTACCGGTATCGCCGTTTTGAGCAAAAAACGTAGAAACAACCAATTTTCTATAGAGATATATGTATTTTAGGGCAGGCTGACAGAAATTAATAAAATCAACTCTTTGTTTTAAGCATACTACCTGCTCCTATTCTCTATTAGAAAAGCAACTCTTCTGTATTCAGATGTGAGCAAGTGTCAGTCAAGATATGCAATGACAAACGTTGCTCGATGGAAGAAGATGCTATGGCCTAATGGACTTTGGTGTTTTCGCCAACGAAGGTGAGTTTTTCATGATTTGATAAAAATTGCAGTTTACCTTATTAAGGTATAGTATTTGGTGCAAAATATGAAGAATTGTAAAGAACTGATGCCCGATGATCGAATGAATAGTAAAACTAGGAGTTAAACTTGGACCCGCCCTGTTCTATGCACCAAAACATATTAGATAATATAAACATTTTTTTCGTTATACTATAGTCAGACGTACAGATTACCACTTTTGTGTATACATGCAAACATAAAACAACTAACTGATTTTCTTTGCAATCATGGAAAACCATACTTGATTAAAAATTATGAAATCCATTTTTGTCGAAGATAAATACTTTTAATCACCCTCAAGCAAATGGTTTGATATCTTGATGGCATAGAGTCAATTGTAGGCATGTTGACTTGATTTTTTGCTTAAGTAGCAAAGCATTAAGTATTTAACCAATTAAATACGGGCTTTTGGTTGCAAATGAGAGTTAAGATGATGCAAAGCTACCTTAGCCGACATGTAATACCACTACTAAAGAGAATCCTTGGAATTAATTTTACAAATTCATCATAATCAGCATTCTCATAAATTGTTCCCAGCGTAAATCACACAGAAAGTGCAATTCACTCCAGAGAATGTCTCAATATGACTAAAACATGAAGAAAAATTATCTCAAGACCATAAATCAATACATACACCGAATTTTCCTACACCACAGTCTTTAAAGCTTTTGTAAATAAAAACATAAATACTTTTTTAAAATGATTTCAAAATGCTTTCTGAATTGCAATTTTCTCAATTTAATGACATTTTGATGGAAACTTCCTGTTTGGTTGAAATTTGTGTTTAGTTGTTTCAGGTTGCGACAAGCTATCAATTGCGGCTTGCCTAAATTAGCTACGACCATGGAAAATGGATATTGAAATATTAATTTTCCATGGTCGTAGCTAATTTAGGCAAGCCACAATTCATAGCTTGCCGCAACTTAAAACAACTAAACATAAATTTGCATAAAACGGTCACATTAAGCTCCTACACAGTGGTGAGACAAATGAACTGTGCTCCACATTTTTGCGTAGCTTTTAGCTAACAACTCTGCAATATATGCAATTATGTTTATTAATCGAATTTCTATCAATTCAAAAATAACTTTTTTGAATACGTTACGCCATCAACAATGATCCTAGCACTTTAAGAGACACCCTATAAATGTGTCAAACCTTTTACAGTAATCATTGTTTGTTAAGATGTGATTTGTTCGGGAGACGATCCAGCATTTGTTCAAAGGTCCGTTTGCTTTCAAAATTTTGCATTAAGCCTTGGCCAAACGATTCGATTATTCGCTCTATTTTTCTCTCGACATTTGATTTCAAAATTGAGCGAAATCGAGCATGGATGGCCAAACGATTCGATTTCCATTCGACATACCTTTTTAACTAGACTTTTTTATCACGATCAAACTTTGCTCGGCATCACTCGACATCACTCGAGATGACGCGACTTGCTCGATAAGATGGCCAAACGACTCGATTTTCTATTCGACTTCTTGTTGAGTAAAAAAATCGAGTGAAAAATCGAGCTGTTTGGCCGGGGCTTTATTTGGACATGCGCAGTTAAAATCGCTTATCGCTTATCATAGTGGTAGGAACATTAATTGCTCTTTCGGGAACCAAGCAGTTTCGTATAGAAAACGAAGGTGTCATCTGTCATGAAATAAATGAGAATGGAACTCTGGGCCCTGGGTTAGGACGAAAGATAAATAGTAAAGCATGCCTTCGGGTAGACGCTTCTAGGGGTTAGGTGGAATGAATGCCCCCCAGGAATTTTTTAAAATGAGGATTGCTAAAATTGCTCTGGTGGCTTTTCTGGTTGCTAAAGTTGCTACGGTGGCTAAACTGTTCTGGTGGCAGTGGTGAAGATAGAGGGGGGTCATAAGCTTCCGTAGCCCTAACCAACCCTAACCCTCCCCCTGTAGAGCTAAACTGTTATTCTTTTGGAAAATTTTTTGGTCTTGTCGGTACTCTAACACGATTGTCTATATTTATTCAATTGCTTTGTTTTGATAGGAAAGAATTTAAAGCTAAATAAACATGAGAATATCTGAATATATCAAAAGATTTACTTATTTCAGTTCACATGTCATTATGTTATGTTAAAATTTATGAAAGAAGTATAAATGCTTGTTAGATTTGTGTTGGAAAATCTAAGTTTCTCGCCCCTCCTATGAATTTTCCAATCTAGGCCATTGTCTGGTGGCTTTCACTTCTGTTTGCTATTTGATAAAATTTGAGCATAACTGATAACTTAACACAACAAATGCATAAAAATGAAAATTTCCTATTAATTTTAAAAGTTATAGAAAATCAAAAATGTTAATTCGTTAACTAAATTCGATCACAGTCGACACAATTTTGCAAATATTCAGAAGCTTTTCAACTTCTTTAGCCCAAGCCCACAAAGGTGAGAAACTCTTGAAATATCTTGAACACTCAGGCAGTCAAAGACTCAAACTGCTTCTACCTCACTTCATTCATAGACTTTTGTCATTATTGTCTCTGTTAATGACAGTTTGTGGCAATGAAGAGGCTGGATTATCATTTTAAAATTTTTTTTTAATGCGTTGTTATTTATGGGCCCTTATACCCAAGGGCCTCCGGGTCAGTGACCCCTCTGACACCCTCTCCTCAGCACTGATGATGTGATATGGTGCGAAGGCCCATGAGGTGTAAATTTTGTCCACCAGCTCTCGCCCAAATGCGCTTGTGCAAATTTCCTCGGTAGTTCAGGAAAATGGATGAATTAATAGCCCTAAACTTAGACTCGGCTCCACAACAAAGATGTCATTACCTTTATCTACCCTGGGTACCAGACTCACTATATCCTTTATCTTGCCATATTATGACCTTTATCTTGCCATGTCATGACCTTGATCAAGTCAGGCGATGCTTTGACAAGACCTTGATCTCTATTTTCATGCCTTTCATGATTCTGCCATGGGCATGGCATAAGGAAAAGTTATTTCCTTAAGTCAATTTAGCTGCAATGACTGGCGAATGTCTTGAAACACTAAATTTTTGAATGATTTATTCTGCAGCCTCCTCTACCCGTTGAACTAAAACTGTTTTATACAATGGTTCAATGTTTGCTGTGGTTCCGTGGATTCATTTCAGATAGTTATCTTATTTCTCTCTACTACTGGTATTTTTTTGGGGGGGGGGGGGGTGGGCTCGCTGTTGGTCTTTTCTACCGGAACCAGTTGGTTTCTCATAACACCACTTGAGTAAAAGGGCATTCCATAATCTTTGCATGGAATTTTACTTCGGCAAATCAATGCCAACTGGATTGAACTAGCAACCCCCTTTTCCTTGATGTCGCTCGAGAGAAGTAGTGAACAGCCATGCCCAAGCGCAATGCCGAAACAGTGGACGATTTTAGAGGAAATTTTAGCTATTGAAATATTTTTACGATATTTATTCTTAAGTCAAAACATTGCAAAAGTAATTTTACAATAGGTCTCTCGTCTCAGAATAAAAGTTTTACAAGCGGTAAATCAAAACAAATACAGAATTCATTGTTCGGTTATCAGTTACAAAGGAATAGCAACTTTGAGATAAAACATTGGCATTAATAGCATCCAGCGTGACTCTCAGTAGCTGAAAAAACGAAGAATTTCATCGAAAAATATATCAAACAAAAGTGCTTGAACGCTCGCATTCAAGAAAAAAGTACCATGTTTAAATGAAAAGATAATGGTATGGTCGTGTTATGAGTTTCGTCGTATGATCACTGGTAGCATGTGGCATTTTGCTCGATTTTTTCCATCATTTTTTTGCTTCCAAGGTACCTAGGCTTCTTATTTGCTATCATTCCTACCTCACAGTCACAGTGGACAGCCATCATTGAAAGAAAATTCATAAACTTTTTTGAGCTCAAAGTGCTGGCGTGCAAAACGGATGGACCCGATCAAAATGTAAAAGTTTTGCAAAGCTCAACCAATGGGACTTTGAAAACTACAAAAAAATGTAACACTTTTCCTTTTCAAAATTTCAAAAAAATAAAAGTTGAATTTACAAGATTTTATATCAGAACATTCATTTACTACAAAATAAACACCAATCAAAAATAGACAGAATAAATAATCCTAATATCTAATTTCAAATTAAAACTAAAATATTAAAAGAATTGTATTGATCGTCAGTTAGATAAAGCTTCGAAGGATTCACAAAGCGTAAGTGCAAATTTAAACAGTAAAAAGGATACCAACTACGGCAGCTTTAAATATCAGGATAGGATGTCTCATTTTTAGAGCAACTGGTTTAATAACTCACCAAAAAAACTGTGCAATGATAAATCAAAATAAATTTATACATCATGAACAAGGTTTCAATTAGTGGCGGCGCCAACTATTACAGAGTGGGAGGGTAATAGGCGTGGCCAGTGTGACCACACCCATTTTGCCTCGTTCCAGTGATTCGTCCCTTTCCTTGGGAAATTTGATCTACCCCTACCCAGCGCTTTTTAATCCACTTTTAGAAGAAATATATAGACCATATATAGACCCCCATACCACCCCTTGGCGCCGCCACTGGTTTCAATATGCAAGGAAATTCACTTTGCATGGTCGTACAGCAGACATTTCTCGTTACGAAGGATGAAGGATCACTTGAAGTAAAATTTTTGTTTAGAGAATGACTTTAAACTACTTTGGGTTTTATTTTAAAATGCTTCAGCCTGTTAGAATTCTTTTTGACAGGAACAGAGATTCAGGCAACGTTTGGGGAAGAGTTTCACAAAGCGTTCGCTTGCAAGACCATTTGCTTGATTTTCAAAACATAAGCCCAGTTTCGACTTAGATAGAATGACAAATTAATCACCATAACAGGAATTATAAGATTAAGAATGATGTTATCTTTTCTGCTTCAACCGCCAGCTACAATATGTAAATAGGATAAACTTGAAACAACAGCGGCCTAAACTTGATTTAAATACGTCCTCATTTTGTTTACAAAACCAAGAAACGGCTAGTTGTTCACTGCTAATTCTAAAGTAAATACGAATTTTTTAATTTATTGATATTAACAATACAAATCTACAAAATTACGAAAAAATTCCGAAGGACTTCAAACAAGCCTAACACATTGAGGAGTGTTTGTTTCAAATCTATCCAAAAACAAAAATGGAACGGCGCTTACTTTTTACAAGTCAGGCTTGCATTGGAAAATAATACAAATGCATTCACCCCCCTCGATTCCCGAGGTCTCTAGTTCTTACCGAAAATTATTCTTATTCCATGGTTTATTTTATGGTAAACTTAAGATGCTTCAACGTCTCACTGATAGACACAGTTATAAAGAAATTTGAATTCAAAGAAACAAGAAAAGCTAATTTCTTAAAAAATATTGAAGAACATCTCTCTGAGCATATCCGCACATAAACATAATTTGTAATAGTTGTTCTACTTCTTTTCCGGAATGGATTGCAAAACTTGAGTGAAATCTTTTTTTGAGATCGATTGAATAAATAGCCCTTTCACGAAAACCGAATTCCGTATAGACAGATGCGTAACAACAGGTATAAAACAGTTATAAGATCTAGCCTAAATAGAAATCATGTTAGTCAACAACAAATTACTACACCAATTTACCACCTGGTCCTGTTTTCCCTCGTTTCAAGATATGCCATTCAGTCTTCTTACCTTGGGCACCTTGCATTAAGTCTAAATCAACTATGCTTTCACCTGCAAGTTTTTTCTTTCCTGTCTTTCCCAGTCTTCCGTAAACTCTGAACCTAACAGCAAGCTGACTTAGAGCTTGTTCAGCTATTTCATCGACTTCAAATGTTTGATTAAACATGGGCGTTGATGTGGATTTGTACTTGGTTTTGAAGCGATGTTTTTTGAAAGGCAAAAATGTTACATGAACTTGCCAATAAACTTTCTCCTTTCCTGTATGCAATAAGCAATCTGCCTGTTTAACACCAACAATCAATGTCCAGTTTCTTTTGTCATATTCCAAGGAAACTTGCAAACGACCTGGTGACACCTCTGGTCCGAATTCTTCAATATTCTCTGAAACAACTGACACCCCTGATAGAAAACTCTCCATTGAATCGGACCTTTGCATTGCACCATAGCCTTGCTCATCAGCAGAGGTGAGTGGAAAATTTTCAGGGGCAGCTTTTGAAGAAACACCACCAAATCTTACCTTTCCTATAGGCTTCGTGATCTTTTTAAAAACTGACTTGAATGAAGATGCCCTCTTTGGAGGCTTTTCTGCGCGGAATGAAGATTCAGTCACAATAATTTCTGGCACCAACAATTTTTCACTGTCCTCTGTGTTTTGCTCTTCTTTAACATCTACAGTCTTCTCGGGATGTTCATCATTTTTTGGGTCTGCCACTATAACACCATTTATGGGCTCTTTACCTGTCTTTTCACCCTCTGTTTCTTCATCTACAAGCTCTTCCTCTTCATCATTATTTTTTGAACCTCCATGACAATTACATAAGTCTTTCTTAAGGGCAAAGTAGATACCAACCAAAAGTCCAACAATTGCAGCCAGAGCAATGAGAAAGATAACAGCTGCTTTTACCTCAGTTGCAATTGCTATGGGGAAATTGATAAAAAATTATAGTTACAAACAATCTTTTTATGGTACAGAATTCAAAAATAGATTTGAAATAAAACAAACATTTTGAAAGATACGAAAGCTTTTGTCTGCTACTCTTCAGTGTATAGAGCATTTTAACAAAGATAAAAACTCTATGCTGTGACTAAACAAGGGATTCCTCTATCAGGCAGGATTGAAAACCATAATGGCAACATTTTTTGGATTATTTGTAGAGCCTGATTGTTGTTCCTTCTAACAGTTTTGGACTCAATAGGCAAGTGGCATCGAGTCCAAAACTGCTATATGCAAGTCTTGAATAAGTATAAATCCCACATTTATCACGAAAAAGCTTTAGCAAAGCAGCTGTTTATGGGGGTTAATAGTACTTTTGGACCTGTTGTCAGTTAGATGTGCAAAGTAATCACTGAAACATCAATTTGCAAACTACCGAAAGCACTTCTTTGAGATTTTCTGCACTTGTCGAATAAGAGTGATAGAAGAAAGCAGAAACTAATCAACAATTGTTAAAGGATCATTGACTCATGGTTGAAAAAGTGTACAAGGAACATATCCAGCTTCACATGGATTTTTCTTTATGTCAGCCTGGTCCTTTTACCATGGAAATAAATCCTCGAAATGCAAATGAACTTCTTCCATTGAATGTCTCCAACTGACCATGGATTCATTTAAAAACAAAAAATAAATGTGTGCAGGGTTGCCATTTGGGATCATTCAATCCCAGATTTCACAGAACTGGGACTATGGAAAAGTTGTTGGGTTCAGAAATTGTAATCTGGGATTTGAAGTAAAAATCGGAATTTTTCCAAGATTATTGGACAAGAATGGATAATTTGCTATAATTGGTCCATGGATTATCAAATTGACTATTATGTAACCCCTTTAGCACTGCCAAGAACAATGTAGTGAGCCACAAATATAAAGAATGATTGACTTGAATTTGAAATTTTGTGTATTTTATAGTTTGTTTTATGATTTGTTGAAATTTTGAAGTGATTCCTTTTGTCATTATATAAATATAAGTAATTTACTTTTCCTTTTGTTTTAATTTTTCATTAATTTTAAAGGACAAGTGTTGTAAAGATTTTTCAGTTTCTGAAAGCATGTTGAAAAAATTAAATTATGAGTCCATGTACACAAAAGATGATAGAAAGGAAGACTGTGATTTTGCAGTTTTAGATTCTTATTCAAGTTAAAAAATTGTTTTCATGCTTTTATACTGTATACGACTTACATCCTGATTATTTTTTATGCAATTTCATTCCTTTGGCAACTAACTCGGTTATTAATGTCAAATTAAGCAACCATATCATTAAATAATGCATAGTTTGTTGCACAGGAAATATAGAAGGCAAGGCTGTGGAGGAAAATATATACCTTTCTATTACCTCTACAGAGGAATCTACTTTTGAAAAATTTGGGATTGATTTGGGATTGAGTTTTAAACAAGGGTTTTATATGGAATAATCAACTTTTGTTTGTCTACTCTTTGACTTTGCAGCAGGGAATGGCCAGGGATGCAAATTAGAAAGGATTGGTAATGATACTATCACATGCATTGAAAAAGGACCCATGTAAAGATTTAGATGTACGCTTATGTTGATCATGTCGCTAAAAGATTCTCAGAGAACAAAATCAGAATAGAAGATGTTCCAGATTTTATCAATCAATCCTCTTGACCCTTATGAAGACAGGGATTTTATAATTAATAAATTTAAGTTGTCAGAAAAGTCTTTTGGGGACAATTGTATGACATTAACAAAAATATTCACAAGGGCATTTTCACAACTTATTTGCTTTGAATTATTAATAAGCCCCCCTCTTTAATAAGCCTCTAGGACTAAAAAATAAATAAGCCCCCAGGGCTGAGGTTATTAAAGTAATGGAAAGAGTCAGTCCTCAACAATATGGGGAGCTTCCTGTTATTTACCCTATTAATCAATGGAAAACAAAGAGATATCGTTCAGGAAAATTTCCAGTGAAGTTATTGTTATCTTTAGAATTCAAAAAGGCCAATTTTGATGCACCTGTGACATCTTACTTGGGAGAAGCATGTAATTGACCTCATTTTTGTCATTTTTCATTGACAATGTAATTTTTGACATATCTTTGACCTCATTATGACAAAAATAAATTGTGTTACTAAATGACTATATCTTTATAGGTACAACAAAATAATCATTTCATCAAACTTGAATAAAAAAATAACGAAAAACCAAATAAGTGCAATAGTAAAGAGAGTCAGGCCCACTCAAAATGCCCTGTGAAAAAGAGACCTAAAACATCACTTGTTAGAAACATCAAGTAAGTGTGTAAATTTTATAATCAACTATCTCGTTATCTTTCTGAAGAACGTTGTAAGAGTTGGCTCTATTTTGTTGTAGCTTTGGATGCACTTCCTTTTAGCATCATTTCTTATTATCTAATGTGTCAAAGACTGTATGCTCATGAAAGTGAATCGAGATTGCAGTAGGACTAGACTAGGATGAATCATTTAAACAGCCAAATTGTTGTTTATTGGCTTCCTAGGAGGCCAAAAAAACCAATGAAGATGATGTCATGAACTCGCATATCTAATTGACCTATTTCAAACCACAACAGTCAAGGGTCCTGAGTTCAAGCCTTGCTTGGGTTGGTTACTTTCCTGCACTCTCTACTAACAACTGGGTATATACTAAGCATGGGTAAAAAACATTAGTATGTTCTAAAATGTTTGCGTCTTATTTAAACCTGTTCATTTTATGTATCTGCTTAGATTGGTTTGGGGGGGCAAGTTTTTTCCTGACAACCCCCTCCCAAAATGATTTAACTTATGTCCATTGAAATAACTTATCAACAGTTAAACTCTATCAGAGTGTGCTTTGAAATAAGACACTCTGATCTTTTTGTCGAAAAAATCATCGAAAAAAGCAAAAAAGATCTTATTGATTGTTATCGAAATATAACACCAACATTCAGTCCATAGTTTGCCAATTTGCTAGATATTACAGTATTACTGCAATATCATATCATATAAAAACCATATCAAAGTGCCAATATAAGGGTTTCTAAACAAAAAAATGATCCTTTTTGTCAGTTCAGTAGCTTTGAGAAAAGTGGTCAAACCACTGCTCAAGTTCTATAAATTATCTGTTGATCACGGTCGATCTAGATATTGCCAATTCATTAAGGCCATTAGTTTCCAAATTGCGGCAAGGTAAGGGAAATTGAGCAAACAGTTGCATTTAAGCATAGATGTTATGACAAAATTGCTTCCTATTTATCTTTTTACCAACAGCCTCTACCTAATAAACTTATGTGTTATCGGATTTCTTTAAAAAGTCCAAAATATGCAATTTAGGCCTGTTCGTTTTTGTTGATGGCTAGGCCATCCATTACAGTCGCTGTTTTCTTGTGGCTGTTAAGCGAGTTTATAAAGACTGATGTTCTTATGGTAATATTTCCCAAAACCTTATCAATCTTGTAAAACTCACCCATCTTTTCTTAGGCTTTTCTGCAAGACGAACCGATCTTTCTCTTAATTTGCTGCCTCCATCCGCCCTTTTGTTTCTCCCATGCTCGATATCAAACCCACCCTCGTCTGATCACGCTGTTTATAAATTATAGAATAACACAGGCAACTGTTCATGCAAACACATCCAAGTAGTTTTTATACTTCTTTGTTGTGGTGTGTTTTTTTCAAGGCGACTGTTTGGTTAAAAGTCGCAAAATACATTCACACACCACCCGAAGAAGGGGTGGAGCCGGTAGCCTAGTAGCAATAATGAGAAATTGAATTAATGAGACAAATGTTATTGAACAAAAGCTTTGAGTGGTGATCAGTATTGTAAATTTGTGGTATGCGATTAGACTAGCTTGTCTTTACCAACTGGTATTCTGTATCTCGTTATGATTGACACGCAAATTTTAACAGTTGGGGTACCGACGCACAGGTTTGTCATGAAAAGCTACAAAAACGAATCAAATATCCGTAAGACATTATCCACAAATAAATTGTTGTACCAACATTGTTGGACGATGTTTTATGACCCGGCAAAAAGAATCAAACAATTGTCAAAACATCTGTGCTGGTGATCACTGATCAGTGGTGGTGATCAAGCGCTGCCGCACAGCTTCCTAAGGTTACTGCGTTTTATTTGCCGAATTTAAACCTTCTGCGCTCGCGTGAGTAAAACAAATCTTTTGAAGGGGGCCCAAACGAAACGAAAGCAACATTGTTGATGGAAATCAAATTCCGTAAAACATCGTAAAACATCGTAAAACGTCGTAAAATCTCGTCAAGCATTGTAAAACATGGTGGCCAAACGAATGGATGATATTTAAAGGGCCTCTCCAGCCAAATTTTGCACTTGCATTTCGTGGGCTAATCTAAAGGAGTTGAACATGCTGATTACGAATTCGTTATTTGCTTTTCGATATTTTTTACAGTTTGTGAGATATAAGCTCTAGCATTTCGAAAATTGAATTGAATTAACCGACAAAAAGTTTTCGGCTTGGTGACACTGAGACGCAATTTTGACGTCACAGTGTATTTCGTTGGTCTCGCCTCAAACCGAATCGAACGACGGCGATTCGCAAATTGAACACTGCAAGTGATGGAAATCTCAGTTCTGCTCCACCGGCTTTTAGTTTGAGCATTCCAGATATCAATTCTGAAGCCTTCAGCTGTTCATCGTTTCTGGAGAACAACTGAAGTGTCAATTTCGATTAATTATACGCGAGGAAAGAGCTGGAACAGGAAGCCGCAGCTTTGTGGGCCTACACTGGTGATCAAAACAAAGTCGTGACACAGCATGGACACATTCCGACCCGCAAACTTTGAATGATTGTAAACATTTAATATTTTTCGATCCTAAAAAGCTCCTGCTGTAGATTTAGATGCAGTTATCAACTCGTGACCATGACTCCTTCACGATTCGGTGGAAGAAATACGAAATGGCGAACGAGAGCCGCACACTGTGACGTCAGAATGTCACCAAACTGATTCGGCTTTTGTCGTTGTTTTCTCCGAAAGGTGAAACTTTTAAGCCTTATAACTTCTAGGCTAATTTGAATTTTGCAAAAACAAGTTCTTTGCCATAATACATGCACCAGATGCTAACTTTTTAGTCAATAAAAAGAAATATTTTCTTGGCTGGAGAGGCCCTTTAATGCTGATGTATTCTTTTGGCCAGGGCTTTAGTAGATTTTTGCTTTATATTTATGTCAATCTTTCAACTTCTTGTACATTCAAGTTGTATTTAATGAAGACTAGTGTATTTAATTAATTGATGTTGTGAACAATCTTCTACATCTACTGTGTATCAGTTATCACGAAATCTCCGAAAAGCGATGGAAAGATAATAAGCAATAATTGACTCCACCAAAGGAAGATTTTCCAAACTCCCTTCCTCGGGCTATTGTTTTTTACCAACAAGGAAGCATGACTGTCTGCAACAATGTAAGAGAAACTTAAATCGTCAGAAAAATAAGAAAATTCACCGCTTTGCCGCAACGCAATTATCAATTCGCCGAAGAAGCAATTCTGAATGCTTCTTGGCGTTTCCCACCAGAAATTTCCAGGCTAGCCGCAGATAACGCAAAACGCTGTCTCGATATGTAAACACTTTTATGTTCTTTTACATCCTAAATTTGAGAAAGGTTGTTCAGATTGTGCAGCTATCTGTATTCATTTCATCCAGGCTTCGAATTTTCTTGTGCCAGAGAAAAGAGGAATTCATTGCATGATAACCCAAAAACGTATTCCTTACAACAACGCTGGCACTTCTGTCCTAACCTTTCGCTTTTCCCTGCATCCAACAACTTTGACAAACGAGAAAGACTCCAACTGAGCTTCCATATCTTGCTAGTGATACTCTATGTACATCTGTCATCATATCCAGGAAACGAGTACTAGGCATTTTCCTGGCATCCTGGATCAATTTCAGCATTAGCCACCACCCACCCCTTGAATCAATCATATGATCTGTGGTCCCTGAATAGCAGCTTGTGTCACAGTGACAAAATCCGTCTAAAGAGAACTCCATAGAATGCAGTATGAATAATAATGTGACAACCAAAACATATAAGACTACGTATGTGGTTCCCATCCGCTAAAAGCCCATATTCATCAAACTTACTAAAAAAAACAAATAACCCGAATCAGGCTCTTCTTTCAATAAAGCGCAATCGCCCCTCAAGATTGTTTTTACAGTAGGCTATTGATTGTTTTGAATATGTACGTTACGTGTGGTACTTCATCCAAAATAACGAAAATGTAGTTAGCAAATTAATTGAGTACCAGAATGAAAACCTAATAGTTTGATTGTTAAAAACACGACGTTTCAAGCATGTACTCGTTATCAAGTGGCTAGAAAGAAACGAGCCGAGCAAAGAGAAGACGAGACTCGATTAATACAAAATAATGCGGGTTGCGATGCAACCGAAAAAAACAGAATAGGGGAATGGGAGGAAAGTAAGAAAGAGTAGGAAATAGATAGAAAAGTAAATTATTGAAGGAATATAAAATGTTTAACCATTAGGATAAAGAGTTTTTAGGCTAAAAATTAAACGTTTCTCCAAAGTCTTAAGTCTGGAGGTGTCTTGCGGTGCACGCAATAAGCCAAGGACTTATTATTTAGGACTCAAGATCAGGGTTGCCAGATGCTTGGAATGGTTGGCAGCCAAATATTTTACGCGTGACGGCCAAATTCGGCCAGCCAAACAAAATATACAAAAAGGCTACATTTTGGCTAAATCTTCAGAGTAATAGTGTAATCAAAATTGGCTTTGTTTGTTACAAAAGCTCCAACTTGCTTTCAATTTCAATTTTCTGTTATCTTTTACTTTGTCTCTTGCTTCGCTATTTGCAATTTTGATATTGTTTTAATAAAATGTTGAATATTTTCTGTGCAAAATAGTCGTTTTATTTGTATTTTTTGTGGCTTTCGACATGCGGCATTAGTAATAGAAATCGAATTAGAAATGTGTTTTTGTTGATGCATGGTACCCACCAAATAATTCAGTTTTATGGGGATTATTGTCAAACGTATCAAGCTGAAGAACAGCCCAAAATTCAAATTTTCACGGCAGATGGGTATTCTGACATCTAGGCGTTGCCAGCGGATAAAAAGTTTCTGGATTAAGAATACATATTCTTCGCTCTGCGATCGCTTCGCAGCAACAACAATGCCTGCATAACTCTTGGAACACCAACGGCATTGTCGCACTTCCCCTCTCCCCTTTCAGACAATGTTGTATTATTCTCTGTAAAGTGGCGGACTGGCTCCGAATTTTCAACATGCCACGAAGAACTTAAGGGTTCTTGGTGGGTGTAGCCAGAAAATTAAGGGTGTGGCCAAGTGAGAATTTATTTCTAATCGATCAATTTTTAAACAACATAACATGTGTAGTACTTGTTCACTGACAAATAAGCACTAATCAGTTAAATCAAAATCTCAACATTAAACAACAAAAATTCTTTAATCAGTTTTTCTTTACAAAAGTAACTTTGCCATTCCCTAATTGCTATGGGCCAGGCGATCTATAACTTTTTCAATTTTTAAACCCTTCAAAGTCTTTTTTCGATAGGATAAACGAAACATGTAATTGTGCAACTATGATGGCAATTTAGGCATTGTTTTGGGGGATAGAGGTGAATTGAAAATAGATCGAGAATTGACTGTAGCTGCTTGGATGTTATAAGTATTTTTAACAAGCGCGTGGTGGTTCAGTTCATGATTTGGGCCTCAGCATTTCAAAAAGTTTTCTCCAATAAATCTTGAGCTTCATACAGCAGTCTCGTAATGAAGTTGCCGCTACTTCAGTTTGAAGTTTTTTGTAGAGGCGAGTAGGCTCATTCTTTATATCCATTCATTCATGTTATCTGAATGCGTGATTTATGACATTCAAAGCCCAATTTTTTATGTCTCCTTTTTTAAAAAAATTAGCAAGGGAGATAAGTAACAAGCTTGCGGGGCTCTTGCTCTGTGTGATTATTGACATACGTGGCTAGAAAACTTCCTTGCTAAGTCCCGGATTATATCACGAGTTTTTAATTCTTGTCGTTCACTATCATTGCTCATAGAAATACAGGCACAAGATTAGTCTCTCCCTTCAATTGGTAGGTTATCTAGGGTGAATTGGAGAATAAGTATCAATCAAGAATACGTTATTGGCTGTTTCTGAAATCTTCTGACTTTATCAAGAATAGTTGCAAAGGACTTAGAGCAAATTTGGGATAGACAAACAATTTGTAAAAGTAGAGCAATCTCTGTAATAGGGCTTATTTTTCACTGCTTTTATGTCATTAGAAGTTAAAAACAGACCGGAGAATTTGATGCATCAGCATCGGGTTTAAAAGGAGTTGCCTTGCAACAGCCAATGATTGAAACTTGCAAGATTATGATAATTTTTGTAATTCTGAGCTTCAACCTTCAAAGGTTTGTTAAATTCAGTGCTGTTGCTATAATACTGACATAGGCTGTTAAAATAAAATTAATAGACTGATAAATAGACTAAAAAATAATATTTCTGTCATCATTTTCTTCATACACACAAAAGGGGCAACCCAAAATGAGACAACCGTTGGAAGGTGCAGCTTAGCACAAGGACAGGACAAAAACACGAGGCTCATTTAAAAAGACAATCAAGTTTGGTAATCGACATTCCGATGATATACGAACTTGACTAGGGCTATGTTGAGTATTTAAAGCTATAGCTACGACATAGAATAACGACTATACCATATTTTCATGCTAACTGATTTGAACGTTTCGAGAGGAGCTCGTCTCATTTTCAACTAAATAAAGAAATGATGGAATGACTTCAACAGTTGCTAAATTAACGGAAACCAGTTTCAAGTTGTAACTTTAGTGGGATCATCGGGGCAATCTAGAACATCCAATGGGGCGATTAAAAAATTATAAAAGTGTATTTAGTATCTGCTAATTATAACCATATGCAGAAATTGATAATTTTACGATGTTGCTTTTATGACAAAAGTTAGGAAAAACACCGAGTATCAAATGCACAATAACAGAGAAACAAAGTATTACTGGCATATTCAATGCCGCTTTTTCTGCTCCACTTTTACTGTCAGTGTCTTTTAACTGATTTGAAGAAGTTTTCTCTCTGAAAATTTATTTCCTGAATAGAAAAACTTCTGATTTAAACGCTATTAATTACCATTGAAAAGCAAAATGGTAACTGGCTGTTATATGGGCACATAGACCACTTAAATTGAAATTGTAGCAAAATTTGATTATTTCATTTTGGCGGAACAGAGCAGCTGTTTAAGGTGTCTAGTTTTCATTATCAATATAGATGCAATTTCAAGTTAGGCTCAGTTTTATGAATTGTGTATGATCTCAGTAATCAAAGAAAGAATAGCTGAAGATATAACGGATCTCCATCCATCAAATCCAAAATGTTTTCTGTCAAACCTAAATATGCGGGTCGGGGATGGGCTTTGTTGATTTTTCGTATACACGATGACGTCAAAATTATATGATTATATTGCTTGTTACCTTCCACCCAGTTGTTGTGTTTACATCGGTCGTTACCAGGCGCCTGTTTATAACGCCTGTTGACAACTGCAATAAGAATATAGCACTTCTCTTTGAAAGCTGCTTAGCTATGCTATTGCAGCTTGTTTCTTCAATGATAACCATCCGCACAAAGAGGCTACATCAGTTGTTTTGAAGTTAACTCTAATTAAAATTGGTGAAAATCTACCAAATACAATTAATTAATGTGCATGAGGTTTCGAAACTACTTTATCAGATAAAGGCTTTTCTAGTGCTTGAACATTGGTGCCTGTTTGGGTATAATGTTTAGATGATGGGAAAGCATTTTTATTGCAGATACTTGAGCTTTGATCATTTCATTCTAGTGTCTGACATTTTACATTGCAGTAATAGAACAATAGAATCATATCTTTCACATGTATAAAAGTAATATCATACAATTGAGATTAAACAACAAATGTTTCAACTTGTATGAAGTCAGTTTGTAAAAGAAAATTGTTTCATTGCGAGTTACATTTGAGATGATCAGCACCTTTTGATGTCAAAATTTCACGCCTGACGGGACAAACGGTTTTAACAATCCCTATAGTGTTATCTCACTGTGTCTTCAAGACAGAATAGGAGGCATTGCAATGATATATCTTGGGCAGAACATCATTTTGTAACCAGAATCCATATGTAAAAAAGCTGGAGACTTTTAGTAGTGTCACTATATGTGGCAGGCAGTTTGCGAAAGATTGTAAATCCATCGTTTGTTAAAAGAGGTTGAATGATTAGGGAAGATAAGCATTGTCACGATTCATCAAGGTTAAAGCACACATTCTTACTGCACTGAAGTACGTTCATAGTCTCACAACCATCTAAGGAACCTTTTTAATTCATTTCAAACACAAAAACTGCTGTAACTCTCTGTGTGTTATAAATTAGAGTAAACGTTCTGTTCTTTGAAACGGCTGTGAATGTGAAGTATGCTGATTTTGTGGCACTCTCGGATTATTTTTCACAACTTAAGAAAGTCAATCAGTCAATTGTATTGGAAGCTGTATATATGAGCAGGTGCATGCTATGAGTAATAAAGCCGCCCTCATTCCAACATCTGCTGTGCAAGAATTTGTGCTGCGGTAGAGTCGATAATCAGCACCCACAACAATGCCCTTCTCTACACATATTTCGCTGAAGGCTTCAATAACAGATAATCTACTTGCCTGAACATACTTTTAGAGTTAATTTACTAGCATGGAAGATTCTATCAAGTTCAAAGCTTAGTTTCTGTTGCGTTTTGATGCGGAGTATTCTGATATTGATAATGAATCTGATGGAATTCAATACACGAACGGAAATAACAGGAAACAAGGGCACCTGGGCTTTAGTGAAATAGAGGATGCAAACTTCAACACAGATAACTGCTCAAGCTGCTTCTCCCGCAGGTATGAGGAACTTACTTGATACTTAAACAGTAAAAGACAAGGCATCGGCAGCGCTATGATTCAGAAATTCAGTCATTGCCAAAGATATATTTCATTAATCACGTTGCATTCCCAATCTTGGAGATCTCGCCCACTGTACTTCTTTTTGCTAGAGTTCTTGGTGATTTTTCTTATGGCAACGATATCCTTGAAGTAAATGTGATTTATTTTAGTTAACGTTACCGATTGCTTCTGTTGAATAGCTACAAATGCTTTCAGGCCTACGTTATTGCTAGCTCGTTGAATAGGGATAATTAGTGGGAGCGGCTCTTCGATGTGTTTGCAATGATAAAATACCGCATCAGGAGCTTGCTTTTCTGACTTCCATCTTTCGATATTGCAATGACATCGCCTTATCTCTGGGATATTTGTCAGTTTGACTACCCTTTCGGATTCCGTGAAAACTGATTCCATGTTTGATTCCCGAAGTAAATTTCCGCTTTTGATAAACAAACAAGGCCCTAATCGCAAAAAAATTATTTTAGAAAATAGGACTTGTTATATCATATACAAAATTTCATAAAGTTTTTAAACATTTCATCATTTTATTATCATATGTTCATCTCATATCAAGTATCGAACAGGCAATGAGCTTCCATATTTCTCTTTTGTACTAAGGTCTTTATACCAAATCGCGGTCACAAAGTTTTAAATTATTCAAGAGAGACTTCTCATGAAGTCTACACAAAACACATTGTGAGTCATGATGAACATTAAAATCATTTTCTGCTATAAGGCTGGGGCGGTTTTAGCATACAAACTCCTATTCTACTTGCTTATGTAGATGAGGCGTTTTCATGTAGCATTTGCTGTTGTACCTACCTACAAATGCTACCTACCTACAATTTGCTTCAAAATGTCACAGAAGCAGTAGAAAAGTCCTGGACATATTAGAAACAGCTGAATAGTGTACTCGCTTACACTGATGAGAACACTTTGAGCTGCCTTTAAATTCCATCATTAATACACGCTTCTTTCATAACTATATATTAACTTTAGGGTGTCCTAAAGAAAGAATTTTTGATGTTGAGCCTAAATATATTATGAACTATTCTCAAACGACACCACGTGTAAATTCCCTTAGAAAATGAAATATGAAGAAAGTCTAACGTCCCCATGGCTAAGGCATATTCAAAACATGAATTCTGCTGTTGCATTACTATAAATTCAAGTATAGGCCTACCCAGATAATTTATACCAATTAGGCTAATTGCGTTTATTTGTAACAAGACAAACCTGCTATTACTTAAAATAATTTCATTTATCTACGCTGTTTTTATTCTGCAGTTTTAGCACCATGTATTATTATCATAAATAAATAACAAGGTACAATACCAAACGGTCGTGGCATTCAGAAAAGTTTACAGAAGCAAACAAATTTATAACTTCAAATTCCATTTATTTCCTAGTTTATAATAACAACGCGATTTCTGCTGAGTTCCATTTGCCATTGCATTTAACCATAAATTGTTGTGAAATTATCTGTCTGTGACGGTAACGGGAGATATATTTTTACTTAAGGCTACACCTATCTTCTTTATAAACAAATTTCTTCATTGCTATTTCTTATACTCTTTTAAAACAAGCTTTCCTTTTGGCTTCAGGAACAAGAAATTCCATTTGCTTTGTCTATCCTTATACAAATAAAACAAATATCTTGCTAGAAGACTAAACATTTTCAGCCATGAAATATAAAGCATTTCATTTGAATGCAAAGCCAGCGTCTCAGACAATCTGCTTTACGTCCAAGTTTGTAGAAAAACAGCTGCAACATTACGATCCTTCTAGATATAACAATAGTCTGAGCCACTCCACAAATCGAATATAAGGCATGGATTTCCTCACTAGATCAGGCTTCTTCGAGATATCATGATAAAAGTGACACATACATCTGAGCATTGGCACGAGTTTGGTTGCACACGGTTTATGTGAGCAGAAATATGGTGCAGATAATAATGTACTCAAATGGAATCAACTCTCGACGGAAATTGGAACCGGCTCTCGCGCACGATTTGTTCTTTGTTCTGGACAAAGATTTTGATGAGTTTTTGCTACACCAGACCACCCCCTCCCAACACACTCGAATTATTTTTTGCTTTCATGTATGGAAAGAAAGTACTATAAAACTTGGTAATAAATATAAGGGATAACTGTTCTCGATGCCATGTTAAAATTTTTAACGAGGAAAGCTGCTGTGATAAAAATTATATAATGCAGTAAGGTAGCGTCCTTAAAAAACTGTGACATAAGACAACTCTATACAAAAGACTCGTGCAATTATTATTTTAAGATGTTATACATTTATATCACCTGATTGTTTGTGTAGTCCAAAATGCAAAATGACAAACGCATTACTTCGTCGTTAAAATAAATTTATAAAAACTCAAAAAATTTAAAGATTGTTTGTTTTGAATTGTTGCGCAAGAAAAGGTTTTTTGCAATGTTGACAGATAGTGTCGAATCCACGTTGCTAATTCTATGGTATATAAAAAGGCAGTCTGGTTGTTTACCTCCTGAAAAAAGGTTTATATGCATCTTAAGTGTTTTTGGCAGCATCTTCCTCAATGCTTGGAGGTAGCAAAAACCTGTAATAGGACGAGTCTCGGTTGAAAACTCATTGAGAATGTTGTCAGAACTATTCTCGGTTCTATCACGTTTTGCTACGTTTTACAAGGTTTGCTTAAATAACTTAATCGAACAGCAAGGGGAAAACAAACAGAAAATCGGGGAGAGATTCTTTCTTCTCTAGTTTCTCTACTTTTACACTGCATCCCTCTTCTGTTTGTCTTGACTTCTTAATGCCTCTTATACCCAGAGGACCAATTCAGCCTCTCGCCTTGTCTTTAGGATTGCTTCAGCCATTTTCAACACAACAATCTCAAACATTAGGGCAGTATTTGTTGATTATCTGCTCTCAACGCATCCCAAAAGGATAGAGAATGTATTGAACTTTCAACAGCTTTTAATATGAATCAAAGCAAGCCCATATCACGTGTAAATAAATCCTAGGAATATACAATGCTCTGATTGGCTCATATTAGCCATTACAATACACTATTGTTTCTCATTCAATATGTTTGCATTTTGATCGAATTTCTTCAGCTGATATAAACGCATCCTTTCAGTTTCTGCTTGATCAGTAGTCTGCCATCGACGACCCTAGAGACCGGCCTAATACCTTGACACAAGCAAAAAGTACTAGTTTGTTTAAAAACAAGAGATTTTTTTACAAAGCCAATGATAATATGCGATAAGACATTGGTTTCAATATAACCAGCCTGCATGCAGATTGCTCGTTTGTATAGAATAATAACCTGTCTTCGTAAAACTGCAATATGATATGAAACTTTAAATGCAGTTTAACGTCTTTCTTAGCTAGAGATAATGGATAAATTCTTTTTTTGCAGCATCGAGCGTCATGCTAAGTTCAGCGTCAAAAATAATAAAATATGCAAGAAGAGAATTAGTTGGGTTCCCTTAAGAAGAAAATTGTTTTCCTAAATTTGCACTGTTCATATCAAAGCTCTCAAGTAATGTCTAAGAGTGCGTTGGATGAAGGAATTGTAACAAACATCTCTTGAAAGGAAGTATTTAAACACATCTGCAGCAAAGTAAGCTACATCAGCACGACAATGAGTGTGCAGCCATAATGTCTGCATCATATTCTTTCTCCCTGCAAAAAACCTGCTGTAAAAACATCTGCGCCTGGAGCAGAGCGCACGCGCTCATATTCTGTCGAAATAAACATAGCAAACTTTTAGGCCAATTCAATTTTATCTTTTTAATAGTCTTCCTGGATTTCATTGCCCTAAAACAATATTGTATAGATTTATAGAGCTTTTTTTCTGACCAAACTATTCTAATATGTAACTGATAATCAAAAGAAATTTTTACGGTGAGGCTGGTTTGTTGATGGCCTGCTCTGGAAAAATGTAGACAGGTGTCTTTGAGGCTGATATTTATAATGATTATGTTGATACGATGGCCTGCATGTTGGTTGGCTCTTCCAATCACTAATCTTGCTTCAATAGTAGTCGGTAAAAGGTTACGTTAGGCCTTTTGGTGTTTCCTCAAGGACTGAAGAATACAATTATGCACTATTTCCAACCATCCTGCGTATAGTAAATCACAGTCAGTGCAAAGAAGACCGAAATCTACGTTCCTCATGCAATGGCCTCTTGTAAGTGTGTCTAGATCCTTTTCGTTGCTGTTCTAGTTAGGACTACGTTTCGTTGCCGTTTATCCAGTTGATTGTAACACGTAGGGAAAAGGCATTAAATCATTATTGGCAACGATAAAGATTCGTTCTACTTGAGTGTCATCGTGTCCCTAAACGATTACTTTCTTTGAAGGAAGAAGCAAGTGTTTAGAGAATCAACAGGTAGCTTGAATACTTATTTTATGGAGATGCAACTTTGAAAGCTTCAACATTCTTCCACATTTGTATTGCCTATACTATTATCAATTTCAAAGTAAGAACGGCTAAAAAACGCTAGTCTCTGCAATCAAATGACTTATTTAAAACAGTGCATGTTCTCGTAATCGCAGACGAGTACGATTGAGAATTCAGAAGGAAAAGCTGGAATTTAAATGGTTTATTTGCATCAAAATAGGCCTTGCCAATTCAAAAGAAAGTCGTTTTGCTAAATGTTCTAACACATTCCTTGGCTTCCAAATAATGCACAGATTTTCATTCAGGTGCTAATATTTTTGCTGATTTTGGATATCTTAGGTTGATTAAAGTATAAATTAAATAGCGTGTGTTTAATCTTGTTATTTAAATATGGGTTTAATATGAAAATCTGTTGACATGAAATTCAAAGGTCTTTTTATCTAGGTTTGACAGATCTTTTTTCTAAGAGAGCTTATAGTTTTACAATAGACAGATAATGTCTAAAGAGTTTGACAGTTGACTATATTTTCATTGATATACGGATATTTTGAAAGTTTCATCATGCACAAGTTTTAAGTAATAATTTAGTAAGATATTGAAGCTAAAAATGTTGAAGGCAAAACACCTAAAAATTAATTTAATTTTAGTCTGATTAAGAACTTTAGTCAAATTTCCTACCTGAATGTTTATTAAAACGAAAGCTATGAAAAATTCTAGCCTTTCGTTGTTGTTATCAGAAAAACCTGAAATATTTAGGCCATGCAAAGGCAGGTTAAATCTTTGGCGCTAAAAGACGGAAGGTTTTTGTAGATGAAAGGATCAAGGGGTTCTGCTGCTTCATTCAAAAAATAAGTTATGTTTAACTTCTGCAAACAAACATCGCTAAATCCAGAAAACATGCAATATACAAGAAAGATTGTTTACCAAAGATGATGTTTACTTTTGAATGTGAAACATGCTCAAACTGAAAGAATCTTGTTGGTTTAGCAAACATACAAAGAATTTCTTCTCAGTAAGTAAACAAACTTGGCGCTTATGTTTTTCTTCACCCTCTTTGAAGATCTAAAAATATTCAAAAATCCTCAAAAGGCTAATGAAGGCTCATTGGAGGCCAGAATGTTTCTCTTTTGCAATAGCTTTAGGAGAAAGTTATCTTAGTTATTCATTATCTAATAAAGCATGTTATTTTCTCAATAAGGATTTTAATCTGTATGTATTTGTGGCGAGTATCGAATAAAAGTTGGCAAAGAGGCGGGCACCTGTAGAAATGAAACATGTAAGGCAATATAGAATTCAAATATTGAAACTTAAGAAACTTGTTGGCTTCTTTAGCCTGATATACCAAAGATGTCCAACAGAGCAGCATGTATTTTAACGATCTTGCATCTTTTTTAATGGCACGACATGAAGCTTCTAGTAGACTGAACTACTGACAACCAAATAAATTTTAGCATCATCTGCAAAATTTTTCAAAAGTATTTGCAAGTTACTTTTGTGAGATACTGTCTTGCAAAACTGTGTGATTTTTTTCTCTAAAGTAATGCTTTTGTTGAGAAATGCAGTGCGCAAAAAAGTTAACTAGGAAATTTTTGCTGACGACATAGATGTCCTGGAACTTTTCATCGTGGTAAAGAGGTATGCTGAAAATGGCGATGTAATCGAATTTCACTAAACAGAGAATCTCAAGCTTATTTTGCAAAAAAGGATAACAATATTACCAGAGTAATGATAAGGAACATGATAAATTTGCTATCTACACATTTAACCCATATTTAAGACGTCAAACTACCAGTATTGAATTTTTATTCCTTATTTGTTGTGCAACACATTTTTATTGCGAGGATGCATAAAAATCTTTGATATGTCTATTGTATTTAAACAATGGCATCCGTTCTACTTGCAGAAACTGAACAACACCTGCTTACACACTTACTTCACCTTTGCTATTAATCTTTTTCTGTCAAAATATGAGATCAAGTTCTTAAAGTATTGTTGTCTTACTTAACCAAAGTAAACAGTTGCTGGCGCGTTTACAGGATTCTTCTCGGAGAAAATCCCTAGAACAAAGTCTAAGTTAACAAGGAACTTGATTATTGTGTAACGGATCCGGCTTTACTCTGGAAAGGGACTGAAATAGATGTCTGTGAATGATTTTCTTCAACTCAATACCCAATGTCTGAAAGCATCGGATTTAAATTTGAAATAGTTAAATCCATACCACAATCATAGTCCAGAAAATCAAACGGATTCACGGCTGTAGCCCGAAGATGCTTTTCCCATGATGCAGTAGTTTTGAAGAAGGCCATGAATGCATAGCTTGAAAAGTGTGTATCCGAGGAATTAACCCTTGTGCTTGAACTATTCTTATCTCCTGACAAAGCATAAAGACCAAACCTAGATGATTCTACCATTGACCATATGAGCATAGAAATTCCATTTCTAAGAAACTTTTATTCAAAAGACAAGGACAAATAGGGTAAACATTCATCCGGTGAGAGGTTTTCTTATCTCTGACAAATCTTTTATTTGAGAAGAACGTAGAAAGTTTCAATTTAAAAAATTATGACACCCAAAAGAAGATTTCTCAAACCTATTTATACGGAAAGTTATCTTCAGTTATCCATTAGTACACCCATTCGTTCAGTTACAAGCAAAGCGCTTTATTGACAATTTCTTTCTTTTTAAAAATTGATGCGAGAGTACAGCTGAGAATCTCCAACTAGAAAATGCACTTGATGCAATTTCATCCAACAAGGCATTGACATATTGGCTTTGTCTCTGTAATAGCTTTATGTTGATAGATGAATTTGAAATCAAAATGCCTCTCTGAGAATTATTCTAAATTATTATAGAGCATTGATTGAATATATCAAGACGAAGCTAGATACAGTTTTAGTTGATACGTGTGAACATTTCTAAAGAGCGTGGCCACAATTGTCGCGTGTTGTAGCCGGGAATGGCGTTTCGGCCTTAAATTTCTAATGTTGAATTCATAATGATTGATAAATATTTTCAGATACTTTCACAAAATAAATACCCTATATTTTGGGGGCATTGAGCTGTGCAACTCCCTCTACAATATTCCTCGATTTCTTCATAATTAATTATTTATATCTTGTTTCTTCTGTTCATTTTAGTTCCCGTGCCAGCCATCGTATTCCTTTGTGTTCTGGTTGGTTGTATAGTCATATTATGCATCGTCTACCAACTTCTGAAGAGAGACATGTGTTGCAAGTTCGATATAGGAACAGAGGAGACACAAAAGACCCCACAAAAGAATGGCTACATGGAACTTACACAGGAATTCTACCCCGAGGAAACTGAATTTGCCACTACGGATGATGAGTACTTGGGAAGAATGTCTTCGAAGGAGCTCAGCCGCAGAAGTAGTAGAAGAAGTAGCTATGACATTAACAGTCGATCTGACGGCGAACTTGCGCTTGGTGACAGTGCTTCAAATTATGGATACGGCCACCATACTGCATCTGAAAGCGAGCTTTCTCCACAGCCAACACGTAAGATCATCTCGGCAACAGGTGAGCCAATTGATATCCGAATAAGTGGTCCTGATGAACAAGACTTCATGTCTCAAGCTGGGAAGCTTTTACTTGAAATCCACTATTTCGCTACGACCTCAAAATTAAATGTGACAGTTATCCGCGCGGCAGAAATTCCTTCAAGGGCAAGAGGAGGAGCATCAACTGTCCAAGTTCGCCTCGTGCTGCTGCCTCTCAAACGCTTGCGCTTTAAAACAAAAGTGAGACCAGCCTCGAACCCAGTATTCAATGAGACATTCTCTTTTCACAACGTCGATCATGGCTCTCTTAGCCAATCAACTCTCAGAATTCGCATGTACGGCCACGAAAGAGCAAGCAAAGATAGGCTGATTGGTGAAATCGAGGTTCCACTTTCTGATTCTGACCTTGCTGGCTTATCAAACGAGGAACCGATGTGGAAAACACTGAAACCGAGAGGGCTAACGGTAAGCCAACAAGAGCTATTTGCCAAAGATTGCATTGATAAATGTTGTAAAAATAATTTCATTGACACATCTATGCATACTAGCATCTGCATTTTCATACACCAGCAATTCGTTAGGTTGGAAGCAAACTGATCAATCTTTTCCTTTAAGCAGCCTTCCTGTTTACGTTACATGATGATATTACAGATACCTTACCAAATACTTTACTATTGTTTTCAGCTCAAAACGTTGGAATAAAAAAATTAGAGAAAATGGAATGAGGTTGATAACAACCCCAGTAACAATGATAGCTGTTCCTAGCTGTTTCTGTAATGATTGAAAAAGATCGATACTCGACCATCAAATAGTAATGATCAAGAATGCAGATTTGAGGCCAACTTGATCTAATAATTTGCTCGAGTTTTGGATGTGCCCAATGGCGTTGATAGAGGAAGTTCAGAGAGGGCGGAAAACCCCCCTGTAATACTAGACGCCTATTTTGCTGGAAAACTTTTGATCTTGTCAGAAATGTAACATAGTTGTTTATCTTTTATCTAAGTGTTACATTTTGAGAGGAAAAATTTTAAAGCTTCAAATATCAATTTCTTTCGTTGTTCTGAATTAGATAAGCAATTTTCTCATTTAGGCATGGTACTTGAAAATGCCTTTCAGAGAGAAGAAGTCCAGAAAATCTTCAAGTAGCATGATTTGGGACACTTGAAAATGAATAAATGATTAAAGTTTACCTGCTGTTTTTACTGTTCTAATGTGGTTAAACTTTGTCCAAACTTACGAAAAAATGGGTCGAAATTCAAATGCAAAACTTTTTTGGGCTTACAGTATCTATCAATGTGCGGTTTATCATATTAACTGCACAAACCATTCATTCATTAAAGTTTCACTCTATTTTTCAAGAGTGCTGATTCCCTGTATGACCTCACTGACACATCCAGCCTGCAAAGCTTTGGTTCAGCAACTGGATTTGGCTCAAGCTCATCAATCACTTTGGCGCATGGGGGCTCCCCGGAACTACTCGTTTCACTTTGCTATACATCGCTGACTGGACGTCTTACTGTTGAAGTCCTGAAAGCCAGCAATCTGAGAAACTTCCAAATGCAAAGAGCACCAGGTATATTATGCAGCTTGTTACATGAGATTTGTTTGCTACTAATCTAAAGTCTATGCTAACTAGCTATGATAGGCATCTAAGGGTAAGTCATGGCTAATTCTCTCTCATCATTAGTCCTTATGATATAATCAACATACAATCTTATCTTTTATTATTAAAGCAATGAAAGGAAACTGTCACTGCAAGCCTTAATATCACTTTCTTTACATCATCTAACTGCCTTGTAACGCATTGCTTGTCAAGGCATCAAAATCCTCCTACGCTAAGAAATTGTCAAGGCAATTTAAGCCTTCTTCAAAAATGCTCAATGTACAATTCTGCTTCTTGATCCAAAATTCTAGGTGGATCCTAACATTTTCGTTGAGTCGAGGCAACAATTTATTGGAGATGAGCACTCGAATAAAAATGCCGTCGTTAGTTTGGCTGTATTATTGCCGATAAGCAAATTCTATAAACCATTTCTAGACAACATTAACAATGAGGGCAAGGGAAATTGTTTAGAAAGCTGGCCTTTAACATAGCTAGTGGTTGAACGTAGAGTTTGTATTTCAGCGAGGCTGTGAAAAGTATTCTTGTAGTTAGGATGAGCTACGGCAAAGCAAGTTGTGATATCGAAATACTAGTATGTATGAATGCAAGCAAGAGAATTGATATAACAGCAAGAGTTTTTTTATTGACAAGACGATTACAAACCACGTAATCGCATAGAAACGGATAAGCAGTTCAACCAAAGTAAGACAGCTCAATTTCTGTGCACCTGCTAATGTCGGGATATTTTCAGCTTTCGTATAAAGGTGTCTGAAAAACGCATTGTTCTCGATAGCAAGGTTTTTCCATCTTTACTTTAGCATAATTTGTAGCATTCATTACATCAAACCGTCATAGTTTTGCTTAAAATGGGATTGAAGAGGTATTTCTGGCTGTAAAAAGGGTATATGGTAGATTGACTGGCAAAATTTCTGTAGGTTTTCACAGGATTTGTAGAGAAAGACAAATAAATTGTGAATCCATTAGGAAGGAGGTTGGGGGGGGGGGTGGAGATGATTCATTGGGTAGCACGCGCGTTTGTTTTGTGACATATTGTTTAGAAAAGTTCTAAGATAAAATAACTGCCATCTGCTGCCATTATCAAAAATTATGATCGGCTGCCAAATGTCTTGCCTTTGCATTTTAGCAGTGCTATCTTTTAGGAATGGTTTTTCAAATTGAATATGTAAAGAAATATATTGATTTTTATACGAGAAAAGCATTATCATATTCGCAAGCAGACTCACTTTGCTTTCATGTTGCGGATTTTCACCGAAAATGTGTCAATTATGTCTTTCATTAAGTAATTCAAACCATATTTAGACATGAAGTTATCTCACAGCGGCTTAGAACTGCAGGTCTACAAAGCAAGTAAAGGGAGGCTTTGCTACAAAATTTCATGCGAGACTAAGCCCTTTTGAGAACTCATTGACTCGTTAAGATGCCAATTTCCATAATCCCAATGCTACTACCAATCTTTTTTGTCTAGGTAACACAATCTGCAAATTATGAATAGTGTCACAAAAACACTTCAGCTTATAAACGGCAACCCTGAAAATACTTCTGAGCTTGGTTCTTTCCTATTTAGGAGTTACCAGTGTGACAGTCCGAAAGGATGTCCAAAATTTTATTCAATGTAGCCTCTCTTCCCTACAATATCAACGTCAGTAATGATTGAGACTTTGTAAGACCCTAACGCCTATATAAATTCTAATAATTCAAATGTTTCCATGTCTAATCGTTCACTAACCCTATGACATTTCATTTTTTAATCAATTCAATTTTTACATTGACTGTGTAAATACTTGATATAAAAACATTGAGTTGCATGGGATGCTTGAAAATAATTCAATTGAGCTTTCGTTTCAAGAACCCCCAGCTTAATCTATTTGGGTAATTCGAATAAAAGGAAGAAATTTTACAATAGTAACATTCAGAATACTACGTTAAGTTAAAACTAGAACTAAGGAGAGTATAAAAATAATGAAGAAAACACAGAGCTCGTTCATTAAGTTGTAGGAAATGAACGAGGCCAGGTTTTTCTGCGCTTCGAGCAATGTAGTCTCTTTACTGCTGTACCGAGTAATTATCCTGTTCAGATGATCTAGAAGTTATTGTATTTGGTAAATCTTAAATTCAAGTGATTGGGTAGAATGATTGGGTGTTTTGTTAACTCTTGTTGACTTGTACACAGAATAGGAAATTCTATTCTGTGACTTGGATAAAAATTGGTTTGTTCCAAGTGTCTACAACGGCGTCTGTTGCATTCAAGATACGTACGTGAAAGTACAAGTTCTATCTCCACGTGGAAAGGACGTTGCAAAAAGCAAAACCACAGTGCGACGAGGGATGTATGACCCTGAGTATAACGAAAGCTTTGTGTTCCAAATGGCAGAGTCGGATCTTTCTGAAATAACGCTCTTGTTTTCTGTCATATCGATATCGAAAAAGCGAATAAAGAAGGATGTTATGGGATGGTTTGCTCTTGGCAAAAGTTCAAGCGGAGACAAGGAGACTCGGCATTGGAAAGCAGTTCTTGCCAACAAGGAAACAAGTGTTGTCCACTGGCACACACTTTGCGGAAGAGTCTAGGCGAAAGAGTGGATGAATGACGTCATTTACAATTCTTGGAATTTGGAATAAGCTATGTATGAATTATTTCCGTGTATGTAGCAAGTTAATGATGCAGGAAGCATTATTCATGGATCTCATTACCCATTATATTGTCTCTTGATACCACCAATGGATTCATCATCGGAAAATGCAGAGGAAACTCAAGCGAAGAATGACGTCATTATAGGGCAAGATATAGCATGACGACGCATGGTATAAAACAACATCATTTTACTCCCATAATTCAAAGCTCCTTCTCAAGCAATAAGAATTAAAAACGATGATTCTAATTCAGTAATTAGGCTAAATTATCGACATGAAGCATATGCTTACAAATTTTTAATTGATTTAGCAAATATACATATGGGACAATCCTTCAAAATGAAATGTTTGATTAATAAATTTTGAATCGTGAACAATCTTTTCAACTTTTTGGTATCTTTACGTAAAGTCATTTGAATTTAGTCGACAATGTTAAAGTCGCTAAGTTCCTCGATTTTAATTGTGTAAATTTCCTACATCATGAATACAAATCAACGATACCAATATGTTTTATCGCCAAGATTTGAGGCATTTCAGATTGGGAAGAAGGAAAAAAACAAATTTGTTGAGTCGAATAAAACATATCTAGTAGCTTTTAATATCATATTCTAGTGAAATTATTTATTTGATGATAACGTAGATGATAGCAATTGAATTATGTCTACTTGAAACGCTGATAAGTGAAAATCTACTTTGGTTTAATTTTGCAACAATCTACGTAATTATTCGTATAAAGCAAAATTTCATACATCAAATTATCTAATGAAATTTAAGAAAGGAGCTTTTGATAGTAGAAACTTTCATGGTATCTACAATAATAAGATTTGGCCGATTATTATGATAAAATGTATCATCAGTCGGGACACGCACACCAATATTATCGTTTTAAGAATATCATCCATCACGGTTCAAACTCAGAAACTTTGTTTACACATACGTAAAAAGTATACCTCAAAATTCAATTGTTGAATATTCTAGTTTACCTGAAGTATCATACATTCACTGGACTTTTACCGATGATCCATTTTTATGCATTTCCCAACAATAAAAATCGATAAAATGTTTTGCAAAACCCGAAAGTTTCGACTATTAAAGCAACTACTATGCAAATAACATCATATATCATAGCATAACTTATAATGTATTTTAACTAATTCGTACAACGTCGTTTAGAGTATGTCATAAGATATATGTAGATGACATTATTCATGTTCAACGTTGTGCTGTTAACCACTGATCTGCTGGAAAAATAGATATAGGGAGAGATAAAATTTTCTGGTGGACTTACATAGCACGACTCTTCGACGTAATAATGCCTGAAGAAGCAAGTAACGCAAGACTTGTCACAAAAGGCTGTCTCTCATACAGGGAGTCCCTTGTGATAAAAGGCAAACGTTTACCATTTGAACTCTTCAAATATAAGGAGAATAATTTACTTCATATTAATAGCCAACAAAAGATGTCATTCTACATCTCATCAAGGTATTTTCGATCCAATCCCCCCCCCCCTACACTTTTGTCATTATCCAACATTTTCATACTCTGTCGTGTAAAGGAAAAACATCATTACTGTGCTGCGTTAATTTACCACTTCATTGCTTAATTAAATACATTATTTGTAGACATCTGTACTTTTGTTATAGTCACTTTTTTCAAGTGAAAATTCTGGTCAAGGTAACACAAATTGCAAATTGATTCAAATATCTAACAAAAGTAATGAAGGTCCTCTTCCATCATATTCGCTTAATCTACATTTTCCATATGACGTTCATATAAATCTCCTGCAGATCTTCCTCGAGTATGCGAAATTTCCATTACAAATAAATTCATATTTTGCCCATACGAAAACTGAACAAGCAAAAAAGCTCCACAAGAACCATTTGCCACTGACTGTGCAACCGATCTATGTTTTAGTTTTCACTTAAAACAAAACAGAGCTGTTGACAAAAGAACATATACTACAGGCCTATTATTTTTATCAAAACATTCACATATAGTCAATGAACGTCAGCTGAATTAATTAAAAAGCACGCTTTAATATCATACAATTTACGTTGAAAAGATTGCTGCATTCACGAGAAAGTTTATAAGCATTACCTAATATTTAATTAGCGGCATGAAATGTTCTCAATGACCCACACAGCACAAAATGTTCAATTAAAGAAAACTTCAGGCCTCCTGAAAAGGAAGATTCCAAGGTTTCATCAAAAGCTTGCCAAATTGTCACGGCATGGAAACTTTTAAAGCTTATAGATTTTATCATTTCACCGTGCATGAGAGATGTAGTCAGAGGGGAAGAGCCCTAGCAAGGATTTGTAACATGGAATAGCTGTATCGTACAATCAGTGCTGTCAGGATCTATTGTTCTTCGTCAGAAACTCTTTCCACGTCCTCACACGAGAATCTGTTGTTGCCAACGTCACAGCGTATATTTTAACTAAAAGCTAGGCAAAATCAAGGAGATATTTTCATGTACTGTTTACGGAATAAATGTCATATTAGTGATTCATTCATAGTGTGTTCAAGATGCAAGAGGGCAGTTTATTGTGTTTTGAGCTACTCCCCACACAGTGACCCTTACAAGTTGGACTTTCATTGCAGGAGATAACCGGTTTCCCTCTTAGAATGCTCCCTGCTGTTCTATTCAATTCTACATCTTCTCGGAACATCAGATAAAGAAAATGAAAGAAAGATGACGGTTAAAAACTCACACTGAGGTTTTAGGTGAACAACGAAATTCATCGAGACACTGCCTTAAAGCAAATTAGAATGTGCAAGTAGAAAAGCAAATTCGCTAAATGTATTCACAGAAAAATCATCATCGACAATTTGCATTCATCACGCCTTCTACCATCAAACATTGTGTTCTTCGTCTTTTCAATGCTGAGATTCATGCCCAATGCGTTATTGCTTTAACGCAGATGCTCGATCGATTTTAGATTCATTAAAAAGGTCAACAAAACCGTAATGATTTTCCCCAGATTTAAATTCTGAGTCCCTGGAAATAATTACCATGAATTTTTTATGACAACTGGACTAGAAAACCAGTGTTTGAGACGTTCATATGAGATAATGCCTGAATCAATCGATTTACCAATGCAAACATTTCAAACAGCAGATGTTAAGATATATTAGACACCTGAAGCTTTAAGAAAAAAGAGAAAACGGGCAAATCATCTCCCTGTATTGAAATACCAACATTATAGCTGACTGCGAAAGACTTGCGAGAGAAGCAGTGGTTCATTCTAGCCCAACGTCAAACTCAAGCAAAAGGGGTCTGGTAATCATGCTAGCCTTGTAGGTATTTTAAACATTGAATTCCAAAAACAAACAGCATCACAAATACTATTTTAGTGAAAAGTTCAGCGTAAACTTATTTGAATAGCCGATTTCTTGAAAAGTAATCAGAGATAGGAAAAACAGTCGTCGAAATTTTACATATTTGCTTTGTGGATTCAGTAAACGGCTATTATTTGCACTGTTTCGATTTTTTTTCTTTGGCTAGACAATCTCTCTTGCAAAAATCTAATCTATAAATCCAAAGCACTTTTATCAACTGAAAAGTTTAAAGAGTAAAAGAGATGTATCATTTTTGGGTTCCTTCTCCCTTACAGATACGTACGTGAAGGTTTCGATGTTCAATTCTGTTGGTCAGCAGTTGTCGAAAAGCAAGACCTCAATTCGTCGTTCAATGTTTGATCCTGAGTACAACGAGACATTCGTGTTCCAGATAATCGAATTCGACCTTCCAAGCGTCAGCTTCATGTTCTCGATTATCAACATCAAGAAGATGAGACGAAAAGAAATTCTTGGCTGGTTCTCTATGGGTCGTGACAACACCAGTGAGGAGGAGCTGCTACACTGGAAAGAGATGCTGGAGGCCAAGGGCAAGACAGTCCGAAAGTGGCACGTGTTAACAGCCATATCAACGGTAGATCGCGGATATGTAGATGAATAAATTTTAAACTCGATATCGGCATGAATAACTGTTTTATTTTGAGTAAGGTTACTAACCTCTAATTATTAGCTAACTGATTATAAGCTTATGCAGTTTACAATAACGCAGCATTCGCGCTGAATTTTGTCATAACATACGTATTTAGGTTGTGTAAATAAGCAGATTTCACTGTGTTGGGTGATAGGAAGTGTTCTTCTGATTTGTTGGGGTCTTTTCCTTGTTTTCAATCTTTGTCACATGTTAAGATAATCAAGATATGATATAACAGGTGCAAAGTTCTTTGAACAGAACGGGAATACAGATTTGGTTCAGGTTATAATGTGCAGAATCGTTTCAGAAAGTCTCCAACTACACCATTATGAGTCAAATAGAAATCTAAATAGTGCTTACAGAGATCATCAGAATTTAGGTTTTGTTGCAGTTAAATAAAGAGAAAAAGCTTTTATCAAACATGTCTAGTGATAACGCTCAGGATCTCCCGCTTAAGAAAGGAAACATATGGTATAGGAATAAAAGTGTTAGACTTCAAATAAAACATCACAAAACAAAGAATAAAGCTTTTGAAATCCAATGTATCAAAATGTCTGAGATGAATTTATCAAAAATTATAATAAATTGAAGAAAAAGCTTGTACTAATCACTATCATCGCTGTTTGAAGAGCTGTCATATGTGCCAAGTAGTGACAATGAACCTGCGCCTATCTTTGACTGGGATGTCTTTGTAGCGTCCTCAGTAGCATTTGAACAGCTTGGTTCTGGATGAATGTTTACGACAAGCGATGTTGTGCCACGGTTGTTATCCAACGAAGTTGATGAGCTGCCAGCTTGTACAAAAGGCTGTGCGGTTGATGCAGGCTTTTTACGAACAATGCTAGCACTCTTCATTTTCGAAAATGCGACAACGCCTTGAGCTTTCTTTGACTTTTTTGTTTTATCTGCACCACCAGCATCCTATAATATGAGAACGGAAGGTAAAATTTCGCAAAGTTCTGAATTGATGTCATTGAAAAGCTAGAAAATAGAAACGCCTTCCCATGGTAGTGGTAGCATGTAGTTTAACAATATTGACCTAAAGCTTTAAAATTATTTCAGTGGTCTGTCTCCAAGAAAAAGGGAAAACAATCAGCTATGCATATGGAGGCTACCGTAATACTGCAATGGCAAAAATCTTCTAAAAATATAAGGGACAATCTTCTCGTGGTACAAAAGTTAAAAATGGCTTTGAAAACATTTTGAGTCATAATTAAGCTTTTCATGTGATACTCATGACTGCCACGTGACTGCGTTTCTGAATAGCCTATTTTGATCCAAAACTGGGTATACATATTTCCTAGCGTAGAGTTTTCGATCTTTATTTTGACATTTTATACTCTGAAGAGTGTCAGACGAAAAGCTACAGTATGACTCAACATGTTTGCTTTTTTCAAAACATGAGAAACTTAAAAATTGGTTCTACTAAAAATTATTTTGAAGAGAAAGACTTCAAAAAGACGGGTGAAGCAGCGTCACCAAAGAAGAGATACGTGGCAACGACACTCAACACACCTTTAAACTTTGGCTATCTAAGAGGCCATTAGATACAGTCATGAACAAGAGAAAAAACATATGTTCAAGAACAATAAAAAAATTGATTGAATAGCCAGTAACTTTGTTATTTCCAGAGCCAGTAGCATTAAGTCGTTCTTTTAAACGGATAGTTTTATCATGCGCCCGTATAAATAGCAGCTAATAGCCTGTTGTGAAAATTTCCATAGCCAACAACGTTGCATCTGGATAGTTACAATACTATTAAACTGACAATATTTCTATATTATAGCACAAGGCCAATTAAATCAAGTTCACAGCAACCATTCTTATAGTAATAAAGCTATCTATATTTTGATGTTAATTGTGTATCCTCTTACTTGATTCTAGGTTTTTATTCTTATCAAGAGCTATTTATATAATGACGTACACTGTTGGTAAAAATACTACTGTTTATCTGAAAATAACAAGAAATCCTTTTGTCTTTATAGAAATCTCGTGCGGGTTTCCACACAAGAAAGAAAATGGCAAACCATAAAATCTTAACCATTTGATTTAGAATAGATGCTATAGTTCGCATGAATACAAACCTCCGTAAGGACATCGGTTGCAAATCTTTTGCGAGAGGGGACTTCCTCGGTCATGTTTGAAATCGAAGGATCGTCTTTATCTGTAGAATCATAGTCATCAAGGCGTTTTACATAACCGTCATCCCTCTTGCCAAAAGCAGACCTAAATAAATCATTCAAATCATAACCATTAATCATTAATCACAATCATTCATCATTAACATAATCATTTTACTACATCTTTATATACATGAATCGTAAGTACCCAAAATACTGGAAAAGGGAAACTTTTGCTTATCTATGTTTGTCCACTTTGTAAACAATTTTGGTGGTGCACAATTGAGAAATGGCTTTCAAAAATATTACGGAACGCAGTCCAATGCTTTACAAACCCATTTTGAATATATTTATCCAAGCAAAAAACTGAAAGTTTACCACACCCGCCCCTGTACATTTACTAACCAATCGGTCCTGAGCTAAACTCTTTGTTAAAATGTCGGTCATCACTGCGAAGAGCATTATAGAGAAGAGAGCGTGTCGGTCAATAGCCTGCGTCGCAGACCATTGAGAATTCTCCTCTGCGACGCAGGCTAGTCGTCAATGGTCAAAGGTCGTTTTAGCAACCCCAATCAAACAAAACCCTCCCTAACAATCACTATCAGGCCCTTGAAAGTCAGTGAAAATGATATTAGGTGAAAAAGTGTTTAACCTGAACTAAACATATTAAAAATGCAGCGTTTAGAAAGTATAAACTATTATAGGCTCCTCCACTAGTTGAAAAGTTGGGGAGGGGGGTGGGGGTGGGGGCAAAAAGCAAGCTAGAGACTCACAACAAATGATTTTTCAAAAAAGGTCAAAGGCGCAAAGCAGCAAAGGGGCCCACAGACTACGCCGATGGCATACCCTAGTAGGGAGGGGGGTTGGTCCAGGGCATGCTCATTCGGAAAATTGAATTTTAGTTCCTCTGTTTTGGCCCTGCAGAGTTCTCAGGGACCTAGTACCATGTACTTCAGTTATTTAATCGATTTTTTAGCTCTACTGTTACCTCGAGACTTCTATCCACGAAGGAAGTTCAGACTTAGGTGGTTTAGACAATAAAAGGTAACATAAAAACAAAATGTAAGCAAAGCTAAAACCAAATCAAAACAACACTAAGGATGTTCTTGAAAAAGGGTAAATTTGATGAACGACTTTTGCTAATCACTTCATACATATATCATCTTTTATATTCTCTATACATCATTGAAGACTACAAATTACATTTTTCTAATTCAAGAAGTAGATACACTAGGAGATGATAGAAATTTAAGAGAGAGCTCAAATTCTCTATATGGTCACGTCTTCCTTAGCTTTTCGTATTATTATTACATTATTTAAGTTGGTATTTACAATAGCTAAATACAACAGGTAATTTAAACCAATTATCTACAAAAGAAAATCGTATATTTCCTTATCCCCCAAAATATTTATTCATCTTGTAAGTTTGGCTCAAGACCAATTGATTAGCAATATCAGAGAGTGGGGATGTTAATCTTTCAGCTTTTAGTTTCTAATCTTTGCCAAATGGCTTTGCAAAGCATTAAATATGGTTTCTTAAAACTTGTCATTCTAGTACTAGTAATTTTCTTTGACAAAATTAAGATTTCCGAGTCAAATTCAATAACCGTCTGGTCTTCTACAATTCATGAAAGGGTGGGTTTATACAGATTTACATAATAATAATAATGGTAATGGAAACTTTTCATTTTGAATTCCAGTTAAAACTACAATTAAAAAATCTCACTATTACAAGGTAATTTGTAACTGGCTAGCCTGTTTTTACAAAATAAAACTATTACAATCGTAGTAATGAGAAAAAATATGTTAAAAGGGGAGTAGCTCTGGATTAGTCCAAGTTTTGTTTCTACAGCAGAATATATAGTATGTGGTGCGAATGGAGATGCTTGAAAGTTTAGAGATGAGATAGGGTTTCTGTTGATAATCAATGGACAAAGAGTCACACGTGTCGATGAATGAGCTGCAGGAGTTGCCAAAAATACCAAGTGAACTGATGGAAAGATTGACAAATGAAACAGACTTAAACCGATGTTTTAAGTAAGATATGGGGTTGGCATAATTCTCTGACTTTCTGACAGCATTGCAGTTGAGATTTGTTTTAAATCCTATGATGAGCTCTAAAACGTACAGACAGTTTTCCTTAGTTTTGAGAAGTAAGTCAGGGCGTAGTTGATCTCCAGTTATGAAAGAAGGGGAAAGAAAGCCTGGTAAATCTGCGTAGAGAGAAGACCCATTTATTGCTTGAAAGGAAGTGGCTAGAAAGTTTAATGCAGAATTATGACGCCAAGTTTAGCGGCCTTGGTCAAGGTACACTTTGCATTTACAATAATAATAATGATGATGATGATAATAATAATAATAATAATAATTATTCAAAAGATTAAAAAAAATTACCTAGAGCAACTAAAGTGCGAAGTTCGGATGGAAGTAATGCAAAGGACCTGCCTTCTAGGAACATCAAGAATACTGAGGAAAGTTTTGGACACGAAATAGAAGAACAAGTGATAACAACAAGAAAAGATTAATTGAACAGTAGTTCCCTATCTGCTAAAGCTACGGGAAGTAGCCTGTTGGAAGGACGTAAACCAGTAAATTACAGCGATACTGTGAATAAGAATACATAATAATAATAATAATAATAATAACAATAATAATAATAATAATAAAACAAAATTTGTATTGTCAAGTACACCCAGCATGTTCCCTGAATCAAGCCACTCTCCTGTCGCTTTATCCATGCTTTATCTGAGTCACTGGTTCCGGAGTATTTGGGTCTCCATATTTGATTCAAACTTGAGTCAAAAGTGCAACCTTCCTTTTCAAGGGTATTAGCGGAAGAACGTCTATCAAACCTTTGATTCAAAAGTCAGAAATACTTCTTAAGTCTCCTGCATCTTGAAAGAGTGTCCATTTTTCGCTAATGCCATTACAATCCAAATTTAAACTGATGGAAGCTATGACGGCTTGGCAGAACAAATTTCAATAAGGACAATATAACGCTTCGCCCATCAACATCAATTATAAGCTATGCAACTCGGGGATGGGTTTTAGCGGCAATGATTGGGAGGGGGGTTGGGGGGTTGGGCCGGTAAGTCCGTCGAAGGTAATGTTAGAGAGAGAAAATGCACATTGGTCTTTCCAAAAATTATTACCAAAATAATTCAACCAAAGCAAGTATTTACTCCGAGACAATAGTTAATTAGAAAGATACACTCTTTTTTTATAAGAACCAGTAAATTTAAGTTCAGGCTGACTGTTCTTAATTTTTTCGAAAATCTGAGGCTGGATTGTTCTTAATTTGTTCTTAAATTAAGAGGGTGTAAGCAGTGCTATTGCTAGCTTTTTCGCTCTAAGGAGGTGTTCAGGCCTCATTTGCCAATAAAGTGAGTGAGACAGCCTTAATTTGCTGACAAATTTGAATATTCACCGAAAAAGCACCCACACATCGCTAAAAATCCTCGATTTTGAGAAAAAACGTTGTTCAAAATTGCATTTTGCAGAAGCTCAGCCTCAGCTTGTTCTTAGTTTGTTCTTAACTTTTGACCAGTTTTGAGGCTCGTGCTCGGCTTATAAAATTGTTCTTATAAAAAAAAGAGTGTACTATAATTCAGAATTCCTATTCATAAAAAATTAATCATAATACACGCTAGTGGCTAGTTCACATCACCTCACCTTTATATAAAGCATGGATTACCGAAAATATGCCACAAACCAAATATTAATCCTGAGTTAACATGTTTTAATCCCCATTACGTTTATATCAAACGATGTTATTTCATTCCTTCATACCTCCTTGCAGAGCATCTTTCAAAATTTCTAACAAATGTAAAGCAAAGGCAAATTTCGAATGCCAGGTGATTTGATTTGAAATAGGAACCTTAAGCTGAATCTGTTGCTATGGCACGGGATGAAAAGCAAATCAAAATCCGAGGTCTTCTGGTTGAACACACAGTATCGTAGGGAGGATAGAACAATTTGAGAACTCGGGGGGGGGGGTACTTTAACATGTTTGAAGGTATGGGGACGTGCCATTATTTAGCAGCCACGTAGCTGCAGGGGGGGCACATTATTTAGCATATGAAAATTTTGACAACAGCTTGCCCCCTTTGGCTACAGTTTTTCCAAATGATATTTTGAAAATTTGGCATATTTATAATTCCATGACCTTGATTTTGTCCAAATATATCTGTTTGTTATATATCTGTTTTCTTGTTTTAAAGCCTGCCCCCCGTTGTTATTTAGGGGTACCTTTTTTCTGAAAAGTGCGGAATTATCGGTACTAATTTTTTAAATTTGTGCGGAACTATATGGGTACAATTTGAAAAAACATGCAGAATTATGGGTACAATTTTGTGGAAATATTGCAAAATTATTAGGAGGGAGATTTTGCATTAACAAAATGAATGTCCAGTTAGAAATAAAAGTATGAAATATGTGTAATATTGAGATTTTGGAGCACAGGACATGCAAAATCTGGTTAATGATTTTTATGTGCTTTAAAAAATTCATTTACTCTGCCGAAATGTGGAATTATGGGTCCAATATTTTTAACCAAGGTCGATATATAAAAAAATTCCTATTAATTTTAGAGCAGTGTTATATTGTTAAAAAGGCACGATGGAATCCTCCCAAAAAACTGAAAAAATAGAAAACGTAGAAACGAGCTATTTTTTGGCATTCACATTTTGGCTCAGACCCCGCCAACCCTCATTTCTAAACCCCTGGGCGTGAGCCCCCCATAACAATATTTGCTACGGTCCTGCAATAAATCTTCAGCCAGGATTTTCTCTATTCCCCAGGTCAAAATCTTTGAAGATAGTAATGGGGTATCTAACTGAAGGTTTACGATGGGTAGGTGCTTGTTCTTATAGTTTTCTTTAGAAGTTTAAGAAATAAAAATACCCCTCCCATTTCTAATTATCAATTTCACACTGAAGCTTTTGTGTCACTGTGGCGTTGAACCGAATAGCAATTAATAATGTGATTAGATGTGACGTCACAATATTGGTTGTGTCGACGGGTTGTTTCCATTGTTTCGATGACCCAGAATCACAAGATACTCAAGATCGTGTAATAAGAAACCGATAATGACCCATTTGGAATTAAAAAATGCGCGAAGAATTATCGCCAAATACATAGATTTTATTCTTTAAAAAATATTCCGACTAAAGTTACACTTTCATCTTCTTGCGGTTAAGCTTCGGGCTCCTCAGCACGGCCCCTTGTGTTTGCACAATCACTTTGATGTTTTCCTTCGCCACTTTGTATTCGTCCTTTGTAAAATGCTTTTGTAAGACCGGATCCACAAAACTAAAGAACATATCAGCAGTTCTCGACAAAGTTAGCAAGGACAGCATGAAACTGTCTGGCTTGCATTCTTTCAACGAAACCTGTTTCATCTCGGCCTCTATTACTTCTTCAAAGCTGCTATCTTTGGTGGGGTACTTGTGAAACATTCCGAAAAACCCAGTATGAACATCACCTAAAATTTTCCGTTTGATTAAATTCTTTAGAGTGACTGAAACACAGCATTCACGTTCTTCCCGTTCAAACCAGTCTTTAAGTAACTTGTTCTTTTGAGGATGGGCTTTGTAGTATGCAACAATATGATTGAACCCAGCTATATCCAGGTATGTTCCAGTTGGAGTTGGATCGAGGACTTTGACAGCCAATCTCTGATGCTGCTCACAGCCTAAATGCACAGTATCGTTGATGATAGCAATCTTGTCCCGTACTAGAAGATCAATAAGTACGGCAGCAAAAGCCCCAGTTCTGAGATGCATGCTTGATTTGCTGCCATCCAGTCCCCCAGTACCAGTGTTGTGCCATAATAGAACATAGGCCTCGGACAGGTTTAATGGCCTTGTCTTGAAAGATGCTTTGTTAAAGTCTTTACACGTAATGATAAGACGAACTGCATCACAAAATGAGTTAAAACACGCATCTTGTTCTGCAAGCAAAGCTGCTGGTGCTCCGACCGCTGCCCCTGCCATCGCCATGTTGTCTTCCGGAATATATCCTCAGCTCAGTTCCCTTGACGTTGCAACACGTAACCTCAGCTATTTATCGCCGTTCGAAAACAAAAGTAGCTGACAAACTCTGTTAACCCGGTTAACAGGTATTGTATTGAAACAAAGGTGGCTGAGGATGTTGAGTGAGTAGTACACGAAAAAAACTGCAAAGACAATGAGTGAACAACAATGGAGACCGTTAATGATTCGTTCTCGTTAATAACGTAACAATACAATGCCTTCTTCCTCTTCCAAAAAACACCACGTTGATTTTCTATGCAGTTTATTTGACCTCCTCACAAATATTTTTTAGTTAATTTGCCACAGGTAGTCAGGGTTAGTCATGGCATAACTTGGCATAGCAGCTTGATTACAACCTATTGTAATGTTGACCTGCAGGTTATCAACCTGTTTGGAAATTCACAATAGAGCACTTCTCACTTTGGCAAACAGGTACCTGATGGAGCAACAACTCTCTACAAAATTCACAAAGCAAGTTTCGAATAAAGAAAAAAACTTGCATGTAAACAAAAATCTTCAGAGTGAACATGTCTTACACAAGTGTAAAACTTTCACAATACCCTCTCCCTAGGGCCGCTGAGAGGGGTGGCAATAGGAGCAAATTGCCCCAGGGCCTCGAGGTCTAGCGGTCTCATAAAGTAATAGATCATCTACGGGTTGGCCATTTTCAAGTTGTCTATGTTTTTATGGACATCACCCACGAACTCCCCTTTTTGTGAAGAGAGAAACGGTCCAGCGGACTTGAATAAATAAAATTGGGCATAGAAACATTATTGTCAAGCTGTAGTATGTTTCCTTTATAACAGTGTACTGAATGAAAAGGAATACCATAGACAGCCCCCCCCCCCTAATATGAATTTCGTTCCGACGGCACTAATTATTAAAGACATGAACATGTGTATCTTCTAGACAGCGTGTATCTTCTGCAATTGATCAATCGAAGATAGACAAATCGAGGTTATGCATCGTTTAGTCCAGAACATCTCTCTCTCCCCCCCCCCCTCCTTTACAGCCTTTCACTGTTCAACTCAACTTTTCGGCCTCTTCGACTGTTTGTCTTGACTTCTTTTTGATGCTCTGGTACCAAAGGGGGGCCCATTGTTGCTTGCCCTTACACTTGACAAACAGTGACTTCCATTTTTAAGATCCAGGTTTGAAAATGAAATAACCTTTGCAAATGTTCCTTGTTTACCATTTTTGGCAAGATTGGCAAAGCAACGCCCTTGTCAAAGTTTGAGTTAGCATGGGTCAACTGAAGTAAAAAGCAAGAGAGTCCAAGAGTCCAGTAAAAAGCAAGAGTACAATTCTGAATAAAAGCAAAATTTACTGAAGAACACAATAATGTTGAAGAAAAAAATCATAATCTGTAGGTTCGAATACCAGGATCACAGTCCAAGAGTCCAGAAAAGTTGTTAACCTTTCTCCAGACAAAACATCCCAGAAGGCAAACCTTCCTCACAAAATAATAGAAAGTGGGCGTGGCTTGGGTGTGTCATAGGAGTTTCTATTGTTTTTGTTGGACCTTACTCCGGTCAGTGTCCGTGCGACCGTAATGTTTTCCTGACTCTGACCAGAATAATTCGGTTACACCCTGCCCCTAAAAGAAGTTCCTCCGAAAGAAAAAACCCCTCTCAAAAAGCCCCTCTTTAGATCAGTGTTGCATAAGCACCCTTAACATTCTGTCAAATTTTTAAAATCGAAACCAACTTCAGAAGCGTCATATGACAGGAAAGGTCAAATCTGAAATTTTAGCCAAAAAGTACCTGAATTTGTAACTGACTTGCTCGCACCAAATACAGTCAGGACAGATAGGGAGCCATTTCCCCTTGCATCTCTCTACAACAAAACTTTCAAAACACTGACTCTATTCTACCCCCCCCCCACCCTTTCTGACCGCCACAGTGCCACTCCTGCGCTCCATAGTATGTTGTCTCATAAAAAGCTCTTTGAAATGGGGACACAAAAATGTGGTAATCCTTAAGTTAATTTCTGTCACACACACAACGCCACGTGCTATCTCATTGCGAAAAATCTTCATTTTGCAAAGGGGTCATGTTTGGGCAGTTAAAATGACAACTGACAACAGCTTTTTGACAGATTTGAACAATTTCTATTTCCCACTCTCTACTATCGGATCTGTTTGTTTATCAATGCAGCATGAAGCATTGATACATAAATAAAAGTTCTTTCCTCACAGTCATCGAACGAAGTCTACCTGAAAATTGGAGGAAAACGAGACGAAACAGGCAGAAAAAGAAAAGGAAATATGGCGTTGTCTGGTGGAATGCCAGGCTCAGTATCTGCCTTGTTAGCAGAACAGGAGTCTTGTTACATGGACTTCGCGGAAGCACTGAAGCGCATTGTAACAAGCAAAACTTTCGATAAGGAGTCGTTCAAGAACAGGCCGTTAAACATTTCCGAGGCCTACGTTTTGCTGTGGCAAAATATGACGAGCGGAAGTATTGATGGTAAATCGAACATGAATCTACGAGTTGGTGCATTTGCTGCAGTACTTGTCGACTTGCTTGTTCGAGACAAAGTTGAAATAGTCAATGACGTAACTCACTTGGGAAGTGACCAGAATCAGAAATATATCGTTAAGGTTCTTGATACAAAACCTACGGGAACATACTTGGACAATGCTGGATTTAGTAAAATTCTGGCCTACCAAAAGGCAAATTCAAGTGGGCCCAGGCTGCTTGAAACCTGGTTAGAAGAGGGACGTGAGGACGCTGTCACTCCAACCTTGAAAAATCTGATCGAGAGAAAGATTCTGGGAGATGTACACACGGGGCTCTTTGGCACGTTGCATAAATACCCAACAAAAGATGCAAGCTTTGAAACTGCTTTGGATGCAGAAATGAAGCAGGTTTCATTGAAAGAGTGCAAGCCCGATAGCTTCATGTTGTCTTTGTTGACTTTGTCAAGAACAGCTGACAATCTGTTCACATTTGTTGATCCAATTTTGCGGAAACATTTCACCAAAGACGAATACAAAGTGGCGAAAGAAAACATCAAAGTGATTGTGCAATCCCAAGGAGAAGTCTTAAGAAGTCCGAAACTTGATCGCAAAAAGCTCAAAATCTTAAGATAACTAGTAATAAATCATCACAACACTTTAAACTATAGTAATTTTTTGGGTCATTACACTGAACGGTTGAGGTGCAAAGTCGGAGATTCTTATGAGAGGGGTTGGGGAAGTGGTAATTTAAAAGGAAAAAAATTATTGAAAAGTGATTGCTCTGTTTTGTGAAATGGGAAAGTCCGTAATATACGACTATTGCGAAAAGCAAAGCTAAAATGAAATATTGCGAAGTTCAAAATAAAGGAGACGCTAGCTATTGTAGTTTTTGATTTCAAACCTAAAGCCATAATTAATTTTGGATTTCTTGACAAATCTTCAGAAGGCCATACTTTGTGTTTTGATAAGACTTAAAAGCAACAACCACAGTCATTTAGAGGTGTCGCCCACAGCTAAAAATTTCGCTTAAATATTTACCAAATTTGAAACGTTTAAAAGGAAGGGAGGCTTGGGAAAGCTGTGCGTCGGGAGTGCTGAATTATTGATAAATTGCCCCATCAGCTGGAAATGGTGTTTATGGGTTTTTTTAGGCCGTGATGTCACATCCTATTCCTCAGTTGATATTGCTACACGCAAGTGCATACATACAAGTGACGGGGGTGTGGGGAAAATCTTTTGCACCCTAACCCTGTCCCATGAAATGTGGCCAAAACCATACCCTGCCCTGTCCATGAAAATGATGCTAAACAATGCACAATTATGTAAAAATTTACCAGATCTCATGATATTTAACAATAGCAAAAGTAAGTGAAACCTGCTCATTCTTGAAAACTCTGAAATCAGATTAAGTTGTTCTCGTGTATTCTTCTTTACAGATTTTCTTAATTTTGATTTTCTTAATCATTGTCCCAGCAGTTTGATAAAATCCATATTACCCTGCACAATAATTTTTTTTCAGAAAAGGATACCCTGTCTCGGGGCAATATCCCGTTAGGCCAAGTCTGGGAATTCCCCCTAGGCATACAAACCAGCGACAAGACTTAGGAAAAAAAGGCGTCGGGATTAACAAAAGAAACTATGGACTCCACCACAAAGCTCTTGTCATAATTATACGTTGGAAGGTAGTTAGGTGCTTCCAAATGGTTGAAGTTATCCAATTTTTATTTTTTGGCATTTAAATTTTTAATTTTCAGAATACCATTGAAATCTATATAATATAACCGGATAGGTAATACTTTCCTGATAATCGTATCAAAGGTAGGAATCGCCCAATTTAAAACTGTCCAGCTCTACACACTGCACTCCTTTTTTTAAAAGAACAATTTTATAAGAATACGAGCTTAAAAATTGGTCAGAAGTTAAGAACATATTAAGAACAAGCTAAGGCTGAGCTTCTGCAAAGTGCAATTTTGAAAAACGTTTTTTCTCAAAAACGAGGATTTTAGCCATGTATGGGTGTTTTTTCGGTGAATATTCAAGCTTTTCGGCAAATGAAGGTTGTCTCACTCACTTTGTTGGCAAATGAGGCCTGACTTCCTCCCTAAAGCCAAAAAGCTAGCACTCGCATTGCTTACACCCTGTTAGATTAAGAGCAAATTAAGAACAATCCAGCCTCAGATTTTCGAAAAAATTAAGAACAGTCAGCCTGAACTTAAATTTACTGGTTCTTATAAAAAAAGTGCATAATATGTACACCTCCTTATATAAATATATATACATAAAGGCCCCCAAGTTGACCTTCGAACTTTGTTGGTTGAAAAACTTGAATAGAAAAAGGTCTTTTGGTGTTGAAACAGGAGTATCACACTCTATATTGTTCTAGGGTGTGAAGTGATTGTAGGTTTCTGTGCAACCATTATCTTCGCGCTAAAAGAAGTGTTATCGCAGGTTACTTGGTTTTAACTAATCAAACACTTCTTCAGTAGTTTGGTTTGATCCAAGGCATATTACAAATGGCTCTAGCAAGCACATTACCAGGCTCAGTCGCCCAGGTTCTAGCCGAGCGAGATGCATGCTTTGAGTCTTTCGTTAACGCTTTGAAGTTGATCATAACATGCAAAGATTTTGACAAGAAGGTTTTCAAGAAAAGGCCGCTGGATCTCTCCGAGGCCTATGTTTTGGTTTGGCACAACACAAGCAATAGCACGATTGATGGCAAATCCAATATGAATCTAAGGGTAGGGGCTTCTGCAGCAGTGCTTCTTGACTTGATGGTGCGAGAAAAGATCGAGATTGCTGACGATGATACACATCTAGGCTGCGACCACCATTGTGATTTAGCCATAAAAGTGCTCAATGTGAAATCAACAAAGTCATACTTGGATTATGCAGGTTTCAAACAAATCGTCAATTACCATGAAAAAAACCGCGGCAAGAGATACCTCGTAAAAGAATGGTTTGAAGACCAAGAGAACCAGTATACTGTCAAAATCATACTGAGAAATCTTGTCGAGAGGAAAATTCTAGGAGACGTGCAGACGGGAATGTGTGGCATCATGCATAAATACCCAACGAAAGATGCAAGCTTTGAAACTGCTTTGGATACAGAAATGAAGCAGGTTTCATTGAAAGAATGCAAGCCCGACAGCTTTATGTTGTCTTTGTTGACTCTGTCAAGAACAGCCGATCATCTATTCACTTTTATTGATCCAATTTTGCGAAAGCACTTCACGAAAGACGAATACAAAGTGGCTAAGGAAAACATCAAAGTGATCGTGCAATCCCAGGGAGAAGTCTTACGAAGTCCGAAACTCGATCGCAAAAAGAAAAAGAATTTTCTAATGTCCAGCTAAACAACTAAACTGTGTTTGAAGAACATGTAATTTTATTTTAAGTAAGAATAAATAGGGGTTTTTCATTTGAGTAGGAAAAGCTTGCCAAAAAGTTGTCACAAGTTTATATAAGGAGACCATATTTATATTGATGCTCTACTCAATGCTGTATGAAACGGCTACAATCATTATTAACAGATTGTTCGTTTAATACTGAACTTCTAAATTTCTTCCTATAGTGTGCAGATCTAGGAGCTTTGAAATGCATACATGTACAAACCAATCGCTATGACAGGGCACCTGCACGCATTTAGTCTGCAGATTATCAAAGCAAAATATGGTTAAATACCCATTAAACCTACAAAAAACTCTCTGTCCAGTCTCCCGGAAAAAAATTGAGTAGGAAAAGTGACTAAAGCAAAATTAAGGTGGTCTAACTTGGGTATCGGAATTTGTTGGATTTTTTGTAGTATGTGAAGGAAGTTAAAATATATTAATACATTAAAAATATTTCACCTGATAAGTGCTTCATCTTCCTCTTCTTGTTTTCGCTTCAATTCCTCTTCGCTTACTAGGATGTGATCTCGAATCAACTGGTCGTGATCCACTGTTAAAACACAAACAAAATATTTTTTGTGATAACACTGTTCGAATAAATTATGCACACATCGCAAAGCTAGTAGTTCATTCTATAGACTTACGTCCATCATGAATAACTTATGACTAACTTTAGTTAATTATACACTCTTTACTTGAACAATGTATCTGTTGAACGTCCAAAACTTCACTTTTCACCCATAAATATACTGGAAAACCTCGAATAAGCTCGTGGGGGCTTATTTGCAACAATGAATTTTCAGGTTGGGGCTTATTTAAGGGGGGATTATACGAAGGGGGGCTTAAACGAAAGAGGAGGCTAATTCGAGGATTTTATTGTATAACAGATTAGTCTTGTGGCTCTTTTATTAATCTTTGTAAACACGATTGCATGAAGTAAAGCAGATAAAATTGTTATGTAATCGCTATGTATTTTTTCTAAAATAAAACAATTCTGCTTTAGTCAAACTAATATAAAGATGATTCAATGATAATCATCTATAATAAAAACAATAAAGAGACAAATTTAAATCAAATCCTACCCGCAGCATGTCTTGCATTAATGTCTTTCAATTCCTCAAGCTTTTCCAGCATTTCCATTTCCTGCCTGGATTCCATCGTTCGGTTTTCTAGAGCCTAACATTTTTTAGAAAAAAATTTCGATATACAGACAGACATATTTCAGGAATCCGAAAAAGAAGCTTTGGTGTTGCTGAAGACCTATCAACGCTTATAAAAAGAGCATCTGTATGTATTGGAATGGGGAAGATTCTGCCACATCCATGAAAAATTTTAATTTTGATCTTTGAAAAAGTGAATTTCAGAATTGGTAGTTTATGCTAACTGCTATGCAAAATATATCTTATTTTTTGTGGATTCCATGAAGTAATATGTCATTCTTCATGCTATGTCTGCTCACTGTGTAGCTTAGAAGTTTTTAACAATTACATCACTGCCCCGCCTTTGTCTTAATCTACTTTATATTTTGTTCCTTCCATTAAAAATAAGGTATGGGCTAAAAAATTATACCACAAGGAATTGCAATCTTTGAGCTTATTATGACCAAGGTATTGAATAATGATAAGAGAGAAACTTAAAACATAATTCTGTATTTATATTCAGAAAAATAATAGCAAAATATATCTTTATATTGATATACTGACCTTCATTGGATTGTTAAGCTCCTCTTCCTCTTTCTCTTGTTTGAGTCTTTCTTCCTGCTTTTTTGCAAGCCGAAATGCTTCAAAATTCCTTGTTGCACCTTCCTCCATGGTATAATCTGTATTTTCTGGATCTGTCTACAATCATGTTAAGAGATTTTGCCGTAAAAATTTAAATGCCGTAAACTCTAAGCCGTAAACTCTAAGTTTGATCTTATCTACATTTAAATACAGTTAAATGTAGTAAACTCTAAGTTTGATCTAAGCAGTTTGATCAATGATTTACATCTTCTGGTTTTCTGAATAACTGACAGAGCCATTTTAACTGGGCAAGAGTGACCTTATTGTGTCAACAAGAAATTGGCAAGAGAACAATCAACTTATTCTTAAAGAAATCACAGATATTCTTCACACTGTCCAATAGACCTTTATTGACATTAGCACCTAATAATGACCATCATTGACGCAAAACATTTGCTCTAATCATTGAAATTTCTTCAACTTAGAGCATTTAAAAAAAAATCTGTGATAAAGATTTATGCACAGACCAAAGAAGCCTTATCAAAAGCTACTGATTAAGTCTGCATTTTAAAAAATGATAGATTCAAATTAATAAATTATGCAATCATGATTTCTGACAAATGGTTCCATAAACACTATTTTTAAAACTTGATTCTTGCAGAGAATTAGAAATGACACTCAGATTGAAAAAACAATGAAAAATTTGAGACAAATTTAAAATCTCTTTTCATTTCACAAGTGATTCTTCCTGGTGTTCTACTAAAAAATTAATAGACATTTATCATTCTCGTTCAAGATGAAAGACAAGTTCTGCAGGATAAAGCAAAGAAACATTTTGAAATAAGGAGTGTTTAAGACATACCTTGAATGTGATTTCAGAAAGGCATTTTGGACAGCGAATGTAAAATCTAAAAATTCTAAGTCCAAGGTATGTTTCATCCTTCACAGTTTCCTAAGGCAAAAAGATGTGTCGTATTTGAGTAAACTGATTAACGGTTAGGGCATAAAAAGTGATAAGAAAAGTTTATTGCTATTAATCAAACAACAATATAATACTGATAAAACAAACCCCAAATAACTTAAACTTTCGTTAACTGGAATTGTTTTTAAATTACTATTGAACATTTTTAATTCATTCCAGCAATTTTCATTGCTTTCTTGGAATTTGAAGCTATTAAGATATTAAAACGCAATTACATTATGGCTTTAACTGTAAGAAAATATGCAAATGATAATTTTGTATGAAGAGACTGCAGCCAAAAAACAGTTTGTTGCATACTAAAGTGCTTATAAGTTGTTTATTCTCATATGCAAAGACATTCCCTCTCAATCAAATTTGTTCTGCCACTTCTGATGCATTGTGCTATTTGAATATCAATCATGGTTGAATCAAAATATCTTGCTTTTTTCAAGGTACAATACACAAACATTATATTCTAGGGCAACATCTTACCTGTCTTGCATTAAACTTTCTTCCTTTGTAGATATAATCACCACATGTCTTGCATCTTAAAACAAGATAGTTACATACATAAAACCCTAATAACATCTTATCTGTTTACTGTGTTTTCAATCTTTTTAAGCAACCTTGTGCAGTCTTTTTCAAGTACCTGATTTTGCAAATCTTTGCTGGTAGTTTGGATCAAACAATCAGCTTTTGTTGCCAGGCACTCAGCTATATTGGGTTATATTGTATCACTTCATACATCAAACTACTAAGTATTTTGAAATTATTCTCAAAGGTGAGACAATGTACTGTTTAAAGAAAAAAATTGAATAATGTGATATGGAATATTCATCCACAATACCTCATACTGAATGGAGCCATGATTCGAATAACAAACTGTCTGTCTCTGGAAAGTTTTAGCTTTGGAAGTTTTGTGATATCAAAATCAGGAGGATAATATTTCTGCAAGAAAAAAAATATTTAATCAGAAATCTGTTAATGAATATAATTGTTAAAGAAATGTGAGAGAATATAATTTAAGATATCATGCTTAAGTTAAATACATTAAAAAAGATTAAAAAAATGCAAAAATAGTTCAAGAACTTTTGATGGTGTGGAATAAAGGATATTATTGGATTTTCTGATGATCTGTAATAACTTCAACCTTAACAATAAAAAACAGAAATGTTGAAGAGCATAGGTGCAGGCATGATATTTTGCATGTTTTTAAATCAAAGAGTCTTGGGTTAGGTTATCTATTTCAACAGAAACTTGACTTCAGCTCATGATAAGGTCAGATACCTCAAGATGAAAATATCCTTGTTCATATTGAATTATATAGGCCTGACGATTCTGACGATTTGCTCTGACGATTCGCAACGGAAACCGCTGTACAAAGTATCATCAATAACTTTTAGTTTAAAAGAGATATTAAGTTTATTTTTGTTTTAACAACATATTTAAAGATTGTTTAAGAGGAATTTAGCATTTGGAAACTGAAAATTTCGTAAGATGTTTTAGTAAAGACTTGGTAAAATTTGACAATTTTCTGACATTAATCGAAAACTGCGTATCGAAGTATCAAAAATAACTTTTCGCAAAATCACCACAGGATCTTCAATCGAAATTTAATGAAAAGGCAACTCGATATTCTAGAGGAATTTGCACGTTTCGACTCAAAACCTAGAGTTTTCCAGTAAAAATATGCCCTCTGAAAAACTTGCGAAATTGAGCTTTTCAAGAAAATCGAGGGTCAGTGTATCAAAAATAGCTTTTCCCCATTGACAAAAATCAGCCGGATTTTTACGTTTTTCTAGCATCCCAGCAACATTTAAGAGGAATTTTGCATCTACAAGCATATTGCCACCGAGAAAGTTGGGGAAATTTCCACTTAAAGTTTGGCACTAGAACAGCCATCTTGAAAATAGGCCATTTTTTAAGGACCGGCAAGTCGTCAGTTTTGGCCAAAAAACCGGCCGTAAACACGATTTTTCAGAGTTTGACTGTTATTTGATAACTGATCTTCATAAAAATCGATTTTTATCTGCATTATTTGCACCCTGTCTTAAACGGGGGCCATGGGTAGAAGGCGCAAACTTTGCAATGTTTTCTTATGAAAACCACCTCATGACTTTTATCTAATATTTTCCCTTTGAAGCATTATTCAATGTTTTTTTAACAAACTGGTTAACATATGATCACTGTTTGTCACTTTAACTGTTATTTCAAATACGTTTTGCAGGCAACAAAGCTTTTTCGAGACATTCCAAAAGTTTGAAATTCTTACCTTAGTTCATCTACTTCCTGTCTAAGGGATCGTGCGCTGCGAGGGGCTGTCTGACGATTCGAGCGAAAACCGCTCATCGGTGTATCAAAAATAACTTTTCTCAGAATCATCACACGATCTTCAATCGACATTCATTTGAAAGGCAACTCAATTTTCTAGAGGAATTTACAGGTTTCGACCTCAAATCGACAGTTTTCCTGTGAAAAAATGCCCTCTGAAAAAATTGCAAAACTCGTGTTATTTTAAAGAAAATGGAGTCCGTCTGACGATTCGAACGAAAACCGCTCATCGGTGTATCAAAAATAACTTTTCTCAGAATCATCACACGATCTTCAATCGACATTCATTGGAAAGGCAACTCAATTTTCTTGAGGAATTTACAAGTTTCGACCTCAAATTTGCAGTTTTCCCGTGAAAAAATGCCCACTGAAAAAATTGCAAAACTTCGAGTCCGTCCGACGATTTTGAACAGAAGATTCTTGTGACATAGACGTAGTGAGGAAAAAATTCTCAGTTTATTCCAATATTTACAATATACATGCGTTGAAACGGCAACAAAAGTTTCTTTTTTACTGCCTACACTATAATGTCCTGCTTTCATAACAATATAGAAGCATAAATTTTTCCAGATATCTTCCGTGATAATGAAATTTTTCCTTAATAACATACAAAATTGTTCCATTCATAAAAACATACAAATATACTGGTTCTATATTTTCTGCTAATGAACAACGTTCATAGATAATTCTCATATATTAAGACTAGATGTGGCAGAGAGTGGATTTAATTTGAGACCCTGAAAATCGAGCTGAAAATTATTTACAACTCGCAAGTACGTGGCAACAGATAGCAATTACGACTGTTTATATAAAAGGCAAGGGATTGATGCCAAATTATTTGCTTACGCGCTACTGAAATGGAGCACGCTAAAGTTACCAAGTGCGAGGATGGCTCAGTTGTTAGAGGCGCTGACTACAGACCAAAGGGTCCGTGGTTCCAGTCCCTGGCATAACCAAACTTTTACCCAGAGTGGGGAGAGTCGCCAGCTCTCTGTAATTCCAGGCTTAGGAATCATGAGGTCTGGTCACATCGAGAGAAAGGACCAGAACACTCCTCGATTAGCATAGCTTCTCTTGTGTCCTAAAAATCTCAGTGTCCTAGAAATTACCTTTGGATGCTTGCTAGGTAGAAACAAATACAAATATAAAGCTACCAAACAAATTTTTTCAGAGGGAATTTTTTCACGGGAAAACTCTATTTTCTTTAGAATAACACGAGTTTTGCAATTTTTTCAGTGGGCATTTTTTCACGGGAAAACTGCAAATTTGAGGTCGAAACTTGTAAATTCCTCTAGAAAATTGAGTTGCCTTTCCAATGAATGTCGATTGAAGATCGTGTGATGATTCTGAGAAAAGTTATTTTTGATACACCGATGAGCGGTTTTCGTTCGAATCGTCAGACGGACTCCATTTTCTTTAAAATAACACGAGTTTTGCAATTTTTTTCAGAGGGCATTTTTTCACAGGAAAACTGTCGATTTGAGGTCGAAACCTGTAAATTCCTCTAGAAAATTGAGTTGCCTTTCCAATGAATGTCGATTGAAGATCGTGTGATGATTCTGAGAAAAGTTATTTTTGATACACCGATGAGCGGTTTTCGTTCGAATCGTCAGACGGACTCCATCTTCCTTAAAATAACACGAGTTTTGCAATTTTTTCAGAGGGCATTTTTTCACGGGAAAACTGTAGATTTGAGGTCGAAACTTGTAAATTCCTCTAGAAAATTGAGTTGCCTTTCAAATGAATGTCGATTGAAGATCGTGTGATGATTCTGAGAAAAGTTATTTTTGATACACCGATGAGCGGTTTTCGCTCGAATCGTCAGACGGACTCCATTTTCTTTAAAATAACACGAGTTTTGCAATTTTTTCAGAGGGCATTTTTTCACGGGAAAACTGTAGATTTGAGGTCGAAACCTGTAAATTCCTCTAGAAAATTAAGTTGCCTTTCAAATGAATGTCGATTGAAGATCGTGTGATGATTCTGAGAAAAGTTATTTTTGATACACCGATGAGCGGTTTTCGCTCGAATCGTCAGACAGCCCCTCGCAGCGCACGATCCCTTAGACAGGAAGTAGATGAACTAAGGTAAGAATTTCAAACTTTTGGAATGTCTCGAAAAAGCTTTGTTGCCTGCAAAACGTATTTGAAATAACAGTTAAAGTGACAAACAGTGATCATATGTTAACCAGTTTGTTAAAAAAACATTGAATAATGCTTCAAAGGGAAAATATTAGATAAAAGTCATGAGGTGGTTTTCATAAGAAAACATTGCAAAGTTTGCGCCTTCTACCCATGGCCCCCGTTTAAGACAGGGTGCAAATAATGCAGATAAAAATCGATTTTTATGAAGATCAGTTATCAAATAACAGTCAAACTCTGAAAAATCGTGTTTACGGCCGGTTTTTTGGCCAAAACTGACGACTTGCCGGTCCTTAAAAATGGCCTATTTTCAAGATGGCTGTTCTAGTGCCAAACTTTAAGTGGAAATTTCCCCAACTTTCTCGGTGGCAATATGCTTGTAGATGCAAAATTCCTCTTAAATGTTGCTGGGATGCTAGAAAAACGTAAAAATCCGGCTGATTTTTGTCAATGGGGAAAAGCTATTTTTGATACACTGACCCTCGATTTTCTTGAAAAGCTCAATTTCGCAAGTTTTTCAGAGGGCATACTTTTACTGGAAAACTCTAGGTTTTGAGTCGAAACGTGCAAATTCCTCTAGAATATCGAGTTGCCTTTTCATTGAATTTCGATTGAAGATCCTGTGGTGATTTTGCGAAAAGTTATTTTTGATACTTCGATACACAGTTTTCGATTAATGTCAGAAAATTGTCAAATTTTACCAAGTCTTTACTAAAACATCTTACGAAATTTTCAGTTTCCAAATGCTAAATTCCTCTTAAACAATCTTTAAATATGTTGTTAAAACAAAAATAAACTTAATATCTCTTTTAAACTAAAAGTTATTGATGATACTTTGTACAGCGGTTTCCGTGCGAATCGTCAGAGCGAATCGTCAGAATCGTCAGGCCTATATAATTCAGTCTTGTTCATATGGAAGACAGGAAGGCTGCACGTTTTAAACACTCTTTTAAGACAATGGTGAACACAATCTAAATAATGTACACTTCTATCTTTGTACTTATGCATTTATTATAGCATAATGGTATTAAATGTGTAACCTAAGGACAAAAATGTTTAATTTATTCTAGGTTTTTGTATGTTCATTCTATTTAAATGTCAGTGAAAAACCTATGTAATTAGGATTTGTGAAATGAATACTCATATTCATACCAATACTCATGCTCAAGCTAAAAACATATTTCTGAAAAAGTAGAGAGAAACTGTAACATTAGTGGGCCATATAGAAATTGCCTTGGATTCATTCGCTCAGTATTTGAATTTTGTGTTTCGTCTTTACAAACAATATCATATCATTTTTGAGACGTAAATGGAAGATCCTCGCTAACTTCTACTATAACTTACATTGAGCACTTTTCTTTCAGACATATTGCAGCTCGATTCCTAGCCAAAGAACAATCTTTTCCGATACGTTGTTACGATGATCCTTTCAAAATATCTGAGCCTGAGCCGCCATTAGTCACAACAACAACAGCAATTGCGAAACAACAGCAGCAGCAGTAAGTCAACGCACCGAACTGGGGTGTAGGCAGGGGGCGCAGGAAGTGTAGGGGCGGAAGGGGGTGCTGGGCAAAGGAAACTGGGGGAGATAAAGCATTTTCCCGAGTTTCGTACAGTTCTCTGATTTCCTTGTGAGTCACGACGAGAAATTGCTGTCCTGTTTTTTTGAGATAATGCCAAAAGAATACTTTTAGACATTTCAAATGACGTGAAAAATGTTTGAATTGCTGACATTACTGAAAAAAGCGACTGTGATTGAGTTTGAAAAACAAAAACACGATATATTTTGTAAAAGAAGCTTAAATTTTCTTCAAATGCATCTTTACATATTAGGCAAGAAACTGGCCTGGCAGGAAGGACCTCGTGTTATTTAAGAAATAAAATTATTCCCATTTTCTCTGACAGGCAATCTGCTAAAACTGTTGCTAATCTCTGAAAAGCATTATGCATTGGTCAAAACTGTGGAATATTCAAAGCCGACAAAAACCTACGTAACTACAGACTAGGGTTTTTATGGCTTTAAAGCTTAATATGATAAAGCAAAGGACTAGACCAATGTATCAACTGATATCCTATTATCTATGACAAGGAAGGGTAGCTTCAAAACCCTGACTTTGGGAAGCAACGCCTTAGAATATTCTGAAAATAAATTTATGAAGAGATCAATTGAACGTCAAAAAGTTTCCTTTTCAGAAAAATTTATTATAAAGCTTATACTTTATTCAACTTTCGAGCATAGCTACCGGAAATGATGCTAATGTGTAAATTTTATTATCTATGCTTCTTTCTTGCTACAGTCACAGTAACGATAGAACTTACAAATGCTGCCTAATTTTACAAACCAATTAACAGTTTTGCATGGAAGGCAGCCGGTAATTTTTTGCCATTTAATATTGTCCATGTTCCTTACTTGACTTTTAGCCCTGCAACAGACTTTATGGACTTCGTTCATAAATTATTCATCATTTACGCTCTATTTTCAAGCATCCCTCCCTTTACCAAGTCGCATGATGACATTTGATACTCAAATGTGCATCATAGGAATTCAAAAACAAAAAGAGACAACACTTTGACAGTGATGGAACATGTCTTGCACTACACACGCTTTACAGTCTTAGTCAATAAATTATATTAGTCAAACATATATTAAAATCTGAATATCCTTTTTCCCTTTACAAATAAAAGCTTTTAACAATAATTAATCTACTTTTTCTTTTTCATGTAACGAATGAAATAATTAGGGCAACAATTTTACAAACCATCAACGTCTCAACTCTCTAAATTCCGTGACGTTTAGAATAAATAAAACTAAAAAAACTCAAAAGCACTGCAAAACGAAATATTCTCATTTACATCAAGCAACACTAAAATCGTTATTGTTAGTTTTTAACCAAATTTGTTCCTTATAACTTGTTTGGATTTTTCTGTTACAAATTTAAACTAAAGTTCCTTTGCCTTCAGACTAATAATGTCTTTATACATCTATCGAAAACAGTTTTAAGACATTGGAACTATATCCACATTAAAAGGTGTGAAAAAGTTTAGGTAGAGTCGCACCTGGGAAACTTCAGGTCGTGCAACTCTCATTATCTGTCTTAAACAACAGGACATCAAATTTCAAGCTACTTGCGCAATACAAAATTTAAGCATGATATTGACTAAATACCTTGAAAGACAAAAGCTGACTGTTGAAATAGAACTTTCATTTGAAAGGTAATCACTGTATGACGTTAAAGGGACTAAATGAACTTTAGAGTAACTGGGAATAAATTCAGTTCACGACATTACTAATCCAAAAAATACCTTAAGAACAATATTAGAATGCTAAGCCTAGCAGATGATTGCTAGAAAAACATATGAATTGAAACTGTAAGCGACCTAAAGCTTATTTCAAGGTGCTTAATTTTCCTGTCCAGAAAGGTTACATGGTGGCATTCAATCAGTTTTGGACGCAGACCTAATCAATAAATCTATTTATATCAGGTACCGCCCGTGTCCCGTGAGTTTATTAGGTAGGCTTACACCTGTTCCAAGAATATTCGAGGAAACTCGACCAAATGTAAGCTGCTAAAGATACGATAAGCTTTCGACGAACTTTTTTTCGAGATAATAAGTTCACAAGCGGGCCGATACCATGGGTCTCATTGTAGTGACACTGAAACTTTGAGTTTTCTAAGGATTAAATGTCATAGCGGCACCATTATCATCCCCAGTTATATTATGTTGTGAGAAAAATGCCAGATAACAGCCGAAATATTCGCATATGCAGGGCTGACATCTTTCTGCTAGCAAGAACAAGACTGTCTCGGTTTCTTCTCGTCAAGGGGAATCGTCGATTTCAGCTCGCCATCTGAAAATTCCTTCCTCTGAAAGAAAAATAGAAATATTTCCAAAGATTGGGAAGATATAGTGCTTTAAAAAGTGAAGACCTTAAAGCTTAAATACGAAAATCTCTAACATGACAGATTTTCTAAGTAAAGATAAAACTTAGCAAAACGAGTTGAGAGAAAAAAGCTTTCAACAGACGTACAATAAAAAGAAAAAAAGATCCAATACAGTTCTGTATCAAACGAAAGAAGGGACCATATTTTGTTTAATATGCGTTTCAATTTATCAGCAATTCAAAATTACGTATTTCTCAGTGCTTGCCTTAGGGTTGTGAAATACTGACCGTTCCTATCAAGAAAGGTTATAAAAGGAACAAATATTTGAACTGTGAAAAGTTTGGTAATGAAAAAAACTGTACAGAAAAACAAGAAGGGGAAATCTACAACTGAAGCAAAGAAGCAGGGAAAGATATCAGAAAAAGTAAAGACGAAGAAAGTCATCAGTCTTCATACATGACATGAAAATTTTAAAGCAGGAATGACGAGGGAAAATAAAAAACTAAAATCTATTCCTTCGGGTACAGTGTCAGGCTTTTATTAGACTTGCTCCAAGTCTATTTCATGCTTGAAAGCGGAGTATTTATTTCCCTCCTTGCTTTTCCCCTCTCCATCCGCCCGTTCCCCTTTCACATAAGTCCACAGGAGGGAAACAAATACTCCTCTCTCAAGCACGAAATAAACTTGGAGAAAATCTAGGCTTTTACAAAACAGAGAGCTTTACAAAATCACTTCTGTAAGATTGAGCAAGGAATTGGGCTTTCAAACAAGTAAGACAATCACGACAGTAATTAGAGTACAAAGACAACAAGTGTCATCTTTGCTAGATGTGAAAATTACAGTTTCCTAAAAAGATTCACATTTTAAGGAGAAGACATTTTTTTTCAAATTGACAATGCCAAAGCACCAGTTCGAAAATTTATGAGATATGGTTTAGGTGTTTTTTATCTATCAGTAATGGTTGAATAGTTAGATTTAAATGTGAAAATACTTTACTCACTTCTTCAACAATCCTACCCTCATAGATCTGCTTGGCTATTCTGGAAAATGCCTACAAAAATAAGTACGATCGCGACCTTTCAGTCTGACTTTACTGCAAGAAATCTTGCAAACAAAAATACTAGATTGTGCATATAAGACATTGCCCAAATCAATATAGAATAACAGATCAAGTGTTTTTCTATTGAGTATGGCCTTACCTCGTCAATGTTTACATAAGCATATGCACTGGTTTCATAAAAAGGAACCTCGTATTGACTTGCAAGCTAAAAAACAATACATGACATGTCTGAGTGTGAGCATTTCAGGATATTGATGAAAATAAAGAGACTCCAAGCAAAACCACTGGCTCCTGGTTAAACCAGGAGGCCCCAAGCCCCAAGCATACCAAAGGGCTCTAGGCAAATCCTAGAGTCTACCTATAAAACAGAAGACTTTGAAGGGTCTATACCAAGCATAAGTATTTCATAAAATTTGGCAAGAAAATACCAACCTTCTGTCCCTCTTCTGGCGTTACTTGTCTCTGGACCTCCAAATCACATTTGTTTCCAACAATGATCATCTTTACATTGCTGCTAGCATACTGGAAAAAATACATAACAATTAATGTCTCGATTACAAAATTCCTATGATATCGATGAAAACAAATGCTTGTATAGTTATCACTTTTGTCACATTTTATCAATTTTTTCGTATTATAAAACCAATTTATTTTACTGACTCATTGACACGTTCACACCAGCGTGCTGACCTACTAATTTCTTAGATTGGCCAAATTTTTCTGGCAGATAATGTCGGCACTATTGATGTTTAAAGTTGGCATTACTACCTTACCAACACTGTCGTCTCTGCATTTCAATAATTGTGTCCGCTATATGAATAAGCCACTTTGATATCATCATTTTGATTGAAATCAAATTTCAAGTTGAGCTCTATTATTTGCTGTAAAAATGCACCATTTCAAATCTGAAAACCTGCATAAAACTGAGACTATGTTCTATGTTGGTAACATTACAAAAAGAACACATAACCATACCTCATCTACATACTTTAGCCATTTTCTCATATTGTCAAACGAATGGCGACTGCTTATATCATACACCAATATGACACCCTGAAAAGAGTGATTGATGATAGATTATTATCAAAGAAATAATTGGAGTGTTTCAATAGTTCTGAATTATATTCTCTCAAAAATTTAATTTTTTTAAAGAAAACCGAAAGATAAAGGCAATTTATGTAGGATAAATGTCAGTCTAAAAGTCTAAAAGTTTAAAAGCAACTGATTGTATGTAAGACATAGAGACATGAGATGAAGTCATAGAATAAGTGATGAAGTACTACTAACATGTGCTCTCCTGTAGTATTGGGTTGTAATTGTTTCATAGCGCTCTTGTCCTGCAGTATCCCTACAAAAGAGCATTCAAAATGTTTTAACATTTTCAAAAGATATGTATCTGTGACAAGGTTGTATGATGAGCAAGATAAGCATGGCTGAGCAAAAGGGGCAGGGGGAGGGTCAGAATCTCAAGAAATAAATATTGAGAGGGTGAGAAAAACTCAAATAATTCTGAAATGAAACCTGATTTAAAATATGATGGCAAACATTGATTAAACAGAAAAAAATAAATGTTTGTGTAACCATAGACAATATAAAATCAACCTTATTTCAACCAGATACATTTTTCTAGTCAATAATCAAAGTTGATGACCAGAAAACTATAAACTGGGGATCCTTACTAGAAAATGGGGGTCAGGTCAGGAAAATGTTGAAACATTAATAAGCAGAGAGGTATTTCTTAGGGAGCCCACACCTAAGTGTGGCTGTTACCACTAAGCAACAACTGAAGATATGGTGAGATTTGAAATATTATTTTTGCAACAAAAGTATAACAAACGTATGTGAGGAAAATAGCAAAACCTGACTAGTAACAATTGTAGAGAAGGTACAGAAAGCTAGGTTGAGGTGGTTAGACCCTATATTAAGAAGGAAAGAAGAAAATCCAACATATATAAAGACAGCTAGTACAAGTTAATGATCAAATAGTGTAAAGAGATGGACATGAAGGGTCAGAGTTGCTGGAGGGAAAATGCAAGCATTGCTATGTGCAGCATAGAATTTTATTGTTTTCAATGTATAAGGGTCAACAACTTTGAATAGGAGATTGACAAAAGGGAAGAGAGAGGGAAAGAAAGGAAAAGAATGAAAAGCAGCAAATAATAAAAGGAAGTCCTGAGAATGAATTGTGAGGAATTTGATTGGAAAAAGATTGTTTTTGTCAACATCTTTTAATTATCCATTAAATTGCAATGTTATATTTCTATTGTCTGATGTTATTTTTTGTATTTAGCAATAATGTTTCGTAACTAGCTTGTTATGTTTACAATATTCATTTCCTTGAATGTGGCTTAAAACTGGACATATATCACAGGTGGCATAGTAGATTTGATGGGAAATTTGTTGATTTTACCAGTTATTTTACAGAACATATGATCCCAGGAAAAATATTTTGCTAGAAAACCTTCAATGGGTAAACTGATCTTTAGGCTCTATAAGGAAAGAAGGTTTGCAACATGCAAATGGCTGCGATTATATGTACATACAAATATTAGATTCTTGAAGTTTTGTGTGTGTTTTATATCAATTATTGCCATAAATCTGATTATCAAATTTAAATTGATAATGGGCTCTTGATATTCGACAAGCTCTTGAAAGATATCATATTTGAATACTTAATCCCTTTCATTACAGAAATGGCACAGTCCTACAGAGTCTTACCAAATGAAGACAGAAGAATGCTAGTAATCATTTAGTTTGCTAAGGCATATGGGGGTGATTAGAAAAGTAAAATAATTTTTCAAAGAAAATGGATATCGATAGAATGAGGTATCAGGAAGTATCACTTACCAAATTTGTAGCTTTACTTTATCATCATTGATATGAATAATTCTTATTTTGAAATCAATACCTGAAATGTTAAACTGGCAGTTAGTGATCCTTCCAAGAAAACTTTCTAAAATATGGTATGGTTAAAAAAATAAGGCTCTTTAGCATAAACACATTTTAATATATGGAACAAAAAAGTTGCAACATATTAGCAGTCAAAATATTTATGTTCCTGTCTTTAACAAATTTTCCATTAAAATATAAATTACCCTGTTGTGAAATGATTTGTTTACAATTAGTTACTTCTGTAAAAAAAACTTGGCCTAAAATAGTTTGTTGAGAATATTATTTGAGCTGAGTTACATTTCAGTAATTAAAATAGATATAAATATAAATATGTTTGCAATTATCTTAAAAATTATCTTCAAACAAATATCTTACCAATTGTGGAGATATGGGATTTTGTTACGTCTTCACCGGCAAATCTTGACAGCATACAAGTTTTGCCAACTCCAGAATCCCCAATTATTATTACTTTGAAAAGGTATTGTTTTCTTTCGCCCATATTGTATCTTTTCAATACAACAAGAGCCCATACACGAAAATATGGCTTCTCCTTTATTAACTGTAACCTTTATACATACTAAGGCCAGGCCAGTAGACACTTTCGGTGAAGTACCACGTATCTTCTGAAAGGGAAACCTTGCTTTATCGGTTTCAGTTTCAGACTGCTGTCAAAAAGCCAAAACACCTTGGACCGAACCAGCAGCAGTCAAGGTCTTGAGACAAAATAATGCCGCTCGCTGCAAAGAATATCGCCGATAATTAGGGGTGTAAATTTCAAATAAAGCATACTTTTGCTTCTCTTATGAACAGCACAAGGTACCAGTTGACGAAATAATAGCCATTCATGTAGTTTGTCAATTTGCACCTGTTGAAATGAAAACACCTACTTCGAGTACTTCACGTAAGCATTAATTGCACTCTGGGGGAATCCATCTTAATGGGGGAATACACCAAGAGGATAACGAGGAAGTACCGAATAGAGCAAAAGGGAAATGCCCCAACATGTGGGGAAGAGTACCGTAAATTTTTTTTCAGCCCCCCGGGGGCTTATTGTTTTTCAGCACTTTAAAGGGGGGCTTAAAAGAGACGGGGGCTAAATTGAGAGAAGGGGCTTGATAGATATTTTGTAATGAAAGACCATTTATAGTGGTAAACTAATTTTTTGTAATGAATAAAATGAAAATCTCTGTTTTTTGTCAATTTAACTTATTTCAACATCGGTGAAAATTGAGAGGGGGCTAATTGAATTTTTCCTTCTGAAAAGGGGGGCTAATAAGAGAGGGGGGCTTGATTTCTTGCTATTGTGAAAATATCTGAAATTTTTGGTCTATAATCTCAATTTTTTTTTTAATCTTAAAAATTATAATTTTTTGTTTACATATTCTAGACTCGTATCCAATACCGCGACTACTGCGAAGGAGAATTTATCAGTCGTGTTATTGGCTTCTCGGACTTTTGGCGGTTAAATTGATCGGAATCAGGATCGAAAGTTTCAACGATCAAGGACTAATTGCGTGGCGTTGATTGCTTAGGGTGCATCAGGTAATCTTTGATTTTAATTATCTTTTGAAAAAAAATTATCGATTTACCAGAGTTTCTTTAAGGAAAAGATTTAGAAAATAAGAAGTGAAAATTGATCGACAGAAAGCAAGTTTATAAGAGTAGGCCAGTCATTATACCGCGTCTCCTTGCCTCTTAACTGAGCAACAAGCAATTGCATATGACACAGCATCAACTTTTTCTTAGCGATTGGCCCTTTTTGACAAATTTTTAGCGAACTGTTTAAGACTGAATGTTCTATGACGTTTTCACACTACACCCCTCGCTGCTGTGAGCTGTGCTCTATAAAATCAAAGACACACGTTTGACCATGTCAGAATGAAACTAAATATGAATTTTGTTTTGTTTTATAACGATGAAATTTCGAATTTAACTGTAAAATTTTAGAATACCCACCAAGCCTTCAATCCACATCAAATATTTAAGCGCAAAATCTGCTTTCTACTAGTTCGTCGTCACCCAAGAAGCCACAATGGACAATATTGGGGTGGCCATCAGGGTTCGCCCAATGATCCAGAGGTATCTTTACCTTTTTTCGAATTTATCTTTAATTGAAGCATTTTTAAATTCTGCTTGATTATTCTGCTTGAGCCATCATCTTCGGTAATAACACTTGATTGTCTTTTTTACAAATTGATCCAATAATTTGCAAAAATTCTCTAAATATATCCTAAACATCCTAAGTTTCTTTTAACTTTTTTGGTTGACTGCAGTTTAAGAAGCTGATTTTCTATGCTGTTTCTAAATATTTATAAACAAATAATTACTAAAAGCTGTCATGTTAAACTTTGAAAACTGCAAGTTTTACAGAAGTTTTTCATATAAATAATAAGTGCATATATTTGGTAGCTATGAATCTCTGTGAGTAATCACTATAAAGACTAAATCCTGTATTTTGATCTTCCTAATCGAAATTACTTTGAAACAATTTTCAATTAAGAGAGCTGCTTAGAGATTCAGAAGAACACTGGAAAGTTAATGGAAACACACTTTGTCAAGTTGAGCATGGAGTTCCTGTCCCATCAAGCATCATAAACCCAACTGCTTTTATCTTTGGTGGGTTTTTTATAATGTATGATTGATGAAGGAGACACATTTATACACACCACATCAACCTTCATTTCTTACCTGAGATTTTATGTCTTCTGTTTGTCACTATTTAGTTTTGCACACTTTATAAAGTAGGAATTATTGCAGGACCAAGTTTCCTTTGCAACAATTAACAAATGATTTGCACCGAGATATAAATTACACCTAGCAATCAACTTATCAACTCTCAACATTGCATCAAAAATTAAAATACTATGAATAATACATATACTACAGATTTTTATTTTTCTCCTTTTTTAAATAGAAAGTAATGTTAAATGCACAGAATTATATATAACATTTTAGATAATTCTGAAAATGCATTTTTTAGATAAGGTATACTCTGGAAACGATACCACTGAAAGCTTATATGATGAATTTGCAAAACCTCTTGTTTTAAAGGCAATGGAAGGCTTTAATGGTGAGAGAATGTATTATCCTTTATGAAATTTCGAGTTTTTCATTTCCTTGGCTATTGCTTTTATGTTGGTATAAATTTTGTTCCCAGTTTTCAGTGAATTAGTTGTGATCCAACCTAGCCAGCTAAATCAATTTGTGGTTCCAACATCTTGTTTTTGTTCCACAGGTGCCATCATTTATAAAAGTGTTAGTAGACATTATGTTGTTGTGCCTATTATATACCAATTGTCTGCCTTCAGTATCACATATTTTCCATGCTTGCTTTTGGACAAATGTGATTATTAATTAGCCTAAATGTTTGTGAAAATTTTCGAAAGAAGTGGTGATTAACAGCCAAAGCCCTAAAATAGAATCTGGATTATATCTTTTCCTATTCGTTAATGTTTTAACCTTGAAAGAACTTAAATAATTGCTTTCAATGACTTTTTAAAGGAACTATATTTGCATATGGGCAAACTGGAACTGGAAAAACATATACAATGATGGGGCTTCCTGAAAATCCTGGAGTAATACCAAGAGGCATCAATGATGTATTTGATTTGGTCGAAATGGTATGTATTTGGAGTTGCTATTTGGGGTGTATAGAACAGGACTGTTCTTAGTTGCCTCCCAGTTTCGTGTAAGTTTTAAGCCTTTGTCTAGGATATCCTATCAAACCCATCTCTTTCTTTTCATTGTGTCTTGCATAAAGATATTTGTTATTTTTAGAAACATTTTTTATATTATTTTTGAAATGCTCCACAAAATATGTATGTGCTGGTGTTTTACTTTTGTTTTTAATTTCAGGCCCCAGACAGAGAATTTCTGATTCGTGTTTCATACATGGAGATTTACAATGAAGTATGATTTGTCGTTGTTTTCCTTTGTCAGTTTTTTACTTTATATAGACAAACAAAAGTAATCTGTGGACAGTCAGCGAATTGGAAAGTGTTGCAATAAACATTTTAAGATCAGTTGTTTTTAAGATAGATTCCAAGTTGAGCTGAAGTCTTTACTTTTTATAAACTTTTAAATTGATACATAAAGAGAATCAACAGACATATATCTTAGCGTTTTAAATATAATTTCAAATTCCATTCGATTTGAATGTGCATTGAGAATGATGTTTGTATGGCATGCCTGATAACAAAGGGAATATTATCATGAATGATTGCCCATTAATAGATATTAAGTTTAGCCAGTTTTATATCAATTCATTCCCTTTTAGCTAATATCATGTTTTGAAATTCGATTTTTTCTCTCTTAGAAGTGACCAGTTTTAAATAATTGATTATTACCTAGACATTACAAAGAAATGCCATAGACTTTACAATAAACTGACATATTTCCGTTTTGTAGGTTATAACTGATCTACTGAATGCAGGCAGCACTCACTTAAAAGTTAGAAACAATGAAAAAAATGAGGTTTTTGTTGAAAATCTCTCCGAAGTTCCAATAACATCACCAGAAGATGCTCTGACATGTTTACGAAATGGGGAACGTATGTTGCTTTTATTGTGTGTCTATTGAGGAAAAGGGTTATGGCTATTTCTTGTTTTCGTTTTGTGAAATATTTAGAAAGTTGATGAATTATGCTTTCTTTGTTGATTGTACATTGATGAAATAATTTATTTAATGTCATAACTTTTTTCTTTTGTGTACAATGCTGGCTAATTGCACTCACATTCACAGTTTTGGTTATTTCCTAGCATTAAATCTTAATGTACCTTTTCGTTTTGGTAGGCCTAAGGAGGTTTGGTGAGACTAACATGAATGAGCGCAGCAGCCGATCTCATACAATATTTCGTATAGTAAGTAAATGATACAGTTTTGTTTCTTTTGTGATCTATGACACCAATTGATAAGGACTATATTCGATTCTTTCATTGAACGTCTAATGAATGAAGTCGTGAAAGTATCAAGAAAGTTGGCTGGTTGGTTTTTTTAATCACATCACTTGATAAACATCCCTAAAAATTTCGCTTTGGGTGGGAATTTTTTTTAAGGTAGTCTTGAAATTTTTCAAAACACTTCCAACTGTATAGATAATGTTTTTGCAACATCATTTTGTGTTTCAGACCATTGAAAGTAAGTTGTTGTCAGCAAACCCAGAAGACAACACACAAGAAGGTGGAGCGGTTATTGTATCTCAACTCGTGAGTTGTGTTTTATGCCTAATCATGTTCCTTTCTGTCACTGAAAGTTTTATCATTTGGTTTGAAGTACATCAGAATTATTTATATCTTATAGTTCTTAATATAATTTCAACTTTTGTTTTATTTGGGTTTGATTTGAGCTGTATCCAAGGACAGTAGTGTATTTATTGCCTTTAATCAACCCAAGGAATAAAGTTTTCTCAAACAATCAGAAAGAGCAAAGCAAGTATTGGTTGAGATCCCTTGTTTTGGCTGATGCTTTGTATGAAGAATTTAGCCTAGCCGTATGAAGAATTTAGCTTAGCAAGAGGAAACCTTGCATACTTACTTTTGCAACAATTTAAACCAATCTGAAAATGACTAAACTGAACCATTAATTTCCCTATGAATGTTGTGTTAGAAGAGCCATTTGTTTTTCCATTAGGTAAATCTGATTTGAATTTAAATATATCTAATGAAATTTCTCTGAATATCAACCAATGTTGAGCACTTCTAATTTGCTTTTCTTGGTCTTTAGAATCTCGTTGATCTTGCTGGATCTGAACGAGCTGCTCAAACCGGTGCTCAAGGTGACTGCTGTTTTCTTCATCTTAACCATTGGCAAATCTGATATTTTTTTATCAATGGCATTCTTGATCTTTCCAACTGATGGTGGGAAATATGCAGAATTTTGAGCCTGTTTACTAGTTTGTAAAAGCATGATTGCGAGTAAAAAATAAAAAAAATGCCATGATCTACTTGTAGATGTTTGTCAAGATTTTCAAAGTCGTTGATTGGTTATCATGCATTAAGAAAACATGTATTCTTTCTAGGCACTCGATTGAAGGAAAGTGGATTCATTAATAAAAGTTTGCTTACACTTGGAACAGTAATTTCAAAGCTATCTTCGGCTGGAGAGGAGGGGTTTGTTGTCCCTTATACGTTTTTTTATAGCATTTTAAACATTTTCCACCTTTATGGATTTTGTAGAAATTGTCTGGATATTATTATGAAGCAATCAAATTGGGAAAAAAGAAAGAAGTGTGTTAGCAGATACAATTAACATAAGTGTTCTGAAAAGATTGCGAAGTTTAGTGATAGTAGAGAACCAAGTTTGCATTGTAGGTCTATTTTGGAATGTCATAGCCAGTACCCATGACAAACTGAAACAAATACTTTGCCCCATCTACCTTACGCAAAGTTGTTATGGCTATAACTGAATATGTTTAGAGGACATATAAATTAATGTAATTGCATCTTTTGCATGAGCTTAAAAGGACTGACCATGGTCTACTGTCTAAAAGATATCGTTTTTTGTTTTTTATCTGCTTACTTTTTACTTTCAAACTCAATTTGTTTTTTTTCTAGTTTTGTGCCATACCGTGATTCGAAACTCACCAGGATCCTGCAAAACTCCCTTGGTGGCAACGCCAAAACCTCTGTTATTGCCACGGTGTCTGCAGCAGCAGGAGAGGAGACTTTCTCTACCCTTAAGGTAAATTCAACTCGAAAAATGATTTTAAAAATCACTATTGAAAATTTTTTTTTTTGATTGTAACAACGACAATCAGGAGATTAACTTGGAAAGTTAAGATTTTCAAAGCTGCGGATAGCTTATATGAATATCAATCTTTTCTTTGGATTACGTTATTAGATTATCTTGAACTAATTCGTTCTCTTGAAGTGTGGAACCTTGAAACTTGTGTTTAGAAATTAGTAATGAAATGTGTTTAGACTTTTTATTTTTGAATGATATAGTCTTTAAATAACGCTTTATGGTATTTAGAGAAGGGTGGTTCTAAGTTGCTACTCCGAGTTTTATGCTTAATGCGATCATAAGACAACCATGTACAGCTCTGCCTATTTGGCATAGAGCACTTTATATGAAAGGAAAAGGTAAACAGTAATTTTCTTTAAATAAAAACATGTTGTAGAGCTCTCAATTCTCTCACGTTCTGAATATTTGGGAAAAAGCTATTTTAATGGAAATGTATGTATATTAAAAATTGTTGTTTTTTTTAGTTTGCCAGTAGAGCTAAGACGATCAAAAACAAGCCGAAAGTTAACGAGGTAGGTTTCTTAGGGTGTTCTTAATTGGTTATTTTCAAAACTGAATAGTTAAGCTTTGGAAAGTCTTATCATCCTCGCCTCCATTGCCGTGCTGAAGAATTTCCACGCTCAGTTTTTAATCGCAGTCTCAGCACGAAAAATGTTTCCACCTCTGCATCATCACCAATCATCATCGAAACAGTCGTCATCAATCTCTTATAATCACATCATGATCATCAACATTATCCTCATGTTCTTAATCATCCATCTTTTTATTTAATCATCACACTGGCGATCTTTCTTTCAAGTATTTCCATTAGTATGATCATCAGTCCCGCAGCCAGTTTATTTTAATCGTCAACATTTATCTATTAAGTATCATTGGTTGTTATTCATAATTCAACAGCAATATTGTAGGATAAACTGCATAGATAAAGATTACACTGTTTTATGCTGAACTAACAAATGATGAATTCTATTGCTTTTATCGCAGGTTCTCGATGGAGATACCATGATCAAGAGATATCGCAAGGAGATTAACATGCTCAAGAGGCAAATTGACGAGGTAAATCAATTGGCATTATTGTGACGTATTTAGACAGTTTTTATTGATTGTTTTCAAGACTTTCTTGTCATTTTTCTTCTTTCTTGATTTTCAAAGTTATGTCATTTTTTATTCTTAAAAATGATTCTCTGTTTGCATCTGAATATTTGATTTTATTCCATAGATACAAGATTTAACCAACCTAAAAACACTGAAAACAGAGAACGAAAAGGTATCAGCACTTTCTAAACAGTCATTGTAGAGATAGAATAATGGCAATATTTTTCTATTTTCTTTTATGCTTATCCACTAAAAGATTACAAAACAGATTTACAAGCTACGCTACTTAACAAAATTACTATACAACTATACAATACTACCGTAACGATACCCCGGTGAGCAGAAGGCCATGACCACCCCGGGGCCATTTGGACACAGACATTAAAATCAACACTTAGATGTTAAATACATGACCTAAAAGAAAAACAGAGTAAAAATTACAAGGAAAGAAGAACACCTTTACCGAGGTGGGACAAGGTGGTTTGTTGCATCTGTGTGGTTTTTTAGAAATGTATAAAATTTTATCTTATGCATTATTGTGGTTTTGAATGGGCTTAAGTATGAAGCTAGATATTGATTTTCAAAATTGCGCTGTAAAAGCAACAAACTAAGTAATTATAAAAATTTGCATGAAAGGCTAAAAATAAAAAGGGCCAAAATTTAGCAATTATTGTAGATCCGATTCGGTTACATTTGCTCGTGCAGTTTTGATATGCTAGTTTTTTGTATTTAGATGGAACAACTTCTGGAAGAAAATGAAAGAATGAGGGTAAGTTTTTATGAAATTTTATCATTCGGTTGGTTCAACGATATACTTAATGGTGTCCTTTTTCAGCCCTATTTTTAATTTATATTACTAAACACAATTGCAACATCAAAAATATAAAATAATAGTTCCACAAGAATAGTTCCTTCATAGTCAACTGCAAAAGTAGGAAATTTAACAAAGAAACAACGCAAAATTTCATGATGTATACATAAAGCTTAACTGCTCAAAATTACAGTTAAGAAAAAAGCAACGGAACCAGATTATTTGTCTTCAATACTTTGCCTTTTTCAAATTGTCTTTTGAAACTGTATCAAATGGGTTCTTCACCCATGGTCTTGTCAACATTATATTTTATTTTCATTTCAAGGGTATGAATCTTTAACCCATCCCAATTTTGATTGATTTTTAGAGAGAACAGCAGTCAAAGATTAACAGCCTTCAGAAAATGATTATTTCTTCCACCGAGGAAACAATTAACAAGAGAAAGGTTGCATATCCCTTCTTTTACCTGCTACAAGTTTAGACTTTGTTGAGGAAACCTAATGTTTCGTCAGGAATTCATAACATACTATACCAAGAGCTTTCTAAATGCTGCTGATTAATCTAAATCTCTAGTCATTTGATTTCGATGTAGCATGGCTTTATTGACTTTTTTATTCCTTGGATATAGATAGGTATATTCAGCTGATATAGTCAGGCCCACCGAGAGCCAGACCCGGGCCTAAGGGCAGGCCCAATGTTTGGGTCCCTAGCATTCAAACCTAAATACGCTTAGTTTGGATATTAAATCCATATAACAATCTTCATTTACTTCTACTCTTTATTTGTTAAGAATTGGAAAAACTCTTCTAGTACAGATATTAATTTAGATTAGCGTATCGTTAAGAGTCACATTTTGAATAGAGACAGTTTAATTACTAGCGGGTCCATTTTTGCTTTCGGGCCTAGAAGCAGATGCCCCCTCTCGGTGGGTCTGGATGTAGCCACTATTCAAACGGAATCTCATTACTATGCTACATGATGTAAGAGCACTGATGTAGTTTGAGCCAGCAATCGTCATAAAAAGTGTCAAATGTATGGGACAATGATCTCCAATTAGAACAAGAAAGCTAGTAATTCCCTGAGATCGTAGTATTGTACGTTTGTGCCAAACAAATATTCGACCAAACTGATCTAGAGCTGATCTATAGACTTTCTATAGGGACCACAAATATTGGTAAAGAAACAAAGAAGTATACTATTTTTGTATCGTTGCTTAATTTAATACAGCCGCAAGAAAAGTATACCTTTACCTTTACAAGCATTAAAATATATATATTGTCTTGTTTTAGAAATTGCTGAAAGGCGCAAGACGAGAGACATGGTGTCCGGGCAAACTCAAACGCAGTCTTGCCAGAGCGTCTATTGATCAACCGTCGCTTCTTTCGAGTATAAGCAGTGAAGATGAAATTGAAGATGAAGGGATGACCTTCGTAGACAACACAACAGGTAACCCAAAACAGTTACATTTAGGAAGTTGGTTAGAGATGCTACGTCGTAAGCGTCTCCAGTTCTTATTATATAATTGATTATATATATTCCTAATCATTCACTCACGTTTCTGTGTGACGGCTTCCTGGTTTCCGTGCGAACTCTCCGGGCTCAAGTCCTGACTCAGCCAGAGAAATGTGCTGTCATTCTCTGTCCGCTGAGCAAACGGTATGTAATCTAGTAAAGCTAGGGAAGTTAAAGGGAACAGGCAGCGGATTGTTGTCAAGCCCAATTGCACTCAAATTCTTGTAAGCGACTTGGATTTTCTTCTACTTTTACTAAGGAAGATTTCTTATTTTATTCGCACCCGCGCCATTCTGTATATTGCCCCATTCACTCACATGTTTCTTATTTCATATAGATTTTATTCTTGAACTTGAAAAAGAAGAGAGAAAATCTTTGGAGCAAATGAAAAGGAAGAGCTCAAGAGAAACTGGAGGCGCAGCGAACATTAAGCACAGAAGGTAAAATTTTAATTTTCCTATTAGGTGTTATTCTGTTTTTGTATCCTTGCATGCATTTGCAACGCATAGCTTTAATGAAAAAACGTAATCTTACATCTAGTTATCATGTCATGGAAACTACTGTTTACCGGTTTGTCATGATGCCGTACAGGCAAAGCTGTATACGCTTTTGTTTGTGAACTGGACAGTTCTAAGTTGCAGCTCAGATTCCAAGCTCAATTTGATCTAAGGTTGCGTTGCCTGATGATCGCATTTAGTAGCATTAGCTGCAACTCAGAACCGTCTTGTTTCTTGTTTTTATTATCGTGTTATCAAGACGAGCTTTTCAGATTTTTTGCTTCTCTCTGTTTCAGGGATTAGGCAATTTCAGCAGACTTTAGCAAATTATATGCCGCATATTTTGCTTTCACATATTCTATGCTGCATTTTTTGTAGGTCTTATCAAGCCGGGACACACCTGACCTTAAAGGTGAACCAAGCTTGCCAAACGGAGGTAATGAAATAAAATTATACACTTGTTTATATTGCAAGCATCCATTCTCAGTTTGGTCAAGGTAAATGATTTGCAAACAATTTTTTGTCTTCTGAGCTTCGGAAAAGTAAGAAGCGATTTTGTTAACGATGAAAGATGCAATATTAAGGAATGAAATGTGAAATCCTAGGGTTGAAGTTAGTTATTCTATCAATTAATGTTGTTTTGTAAAATTTTATTAGCTTATACTTTTGTAGATTATTCCTTAAACTTATTAGAAAATATCAGTTCATAGCATTAGTGAAAGGAAATATCGAAGTATATATTTTTCCTAATTTTTTTTTCAAAAAAATAGATTTTTCTCTCGTTTTATCGCAGCAAACGGCTGAAGAAGATAGCAAAGAAATTCTACAAACGAATGTTGATGAGGAAGCACTGACGGAAAAGCTTAAAAAATTAACAGGTAGACATGAATGCGTTGCCATTTTCAACCCAAAGTCTATTAAACTACTGTATAAATTTTCTTTTTTGAAAAAAGGCACCTTCAATTAAACACATGTTTAAAAATGTTTCTTCTGAATTTGAGAACAAACCGATGTTTTGTTGACTGTGGATTTCTGTTTTCAGCGGAGAAAGAAGAGCAATGTGAGTTTATCACACAACTCAAACTTCGTTTGGACGCGTACGAGGCCAGTAAACAATCTGATATTAGCGTCACAGGTATTCTAAAAGGAAATTTTATAGCCTCTACTTTTCTATAAATAACTATTTAGCATTGCCGTTTCTACATATGCAAGAATCCCCTTGTTTTATATCCATGCTCTTTTCCTTCATTGTCTGAACAATGAAACACCTTCATTATCTTAACAAGTTATTAATGTTTCACTTTAACGTCTCCTTTTATTCAACGTCCCTCCTTCAGAGAGTAATTTTCCTTCAAGGCCTAGGACATTTTTTAGAGAATTTGTCATATCAACATACTAAATATATTCGAAGCTTTTTTATAAGATTCTAAAGATCTACTTTACGCGTTTTCATCGTGGTTTTGGGCTCTTGAATAGATGTTTCTTTTATGTTACTTGCATTCATTTAACCAAGGCATTTTCTTGTAGATTGCCTGATAAGTCCCTAGAATGTCTTGTAAAAACGCCTTTATAAACACGGCAATATGCAAATAGGCCGTTGTTTTTTTTTTCGTCTTATCTTTTTTCAATTACAGTTTTGTATTCTGTGTTCGGCCCATCAATTGCTCTATTTGATTTTATTCTCAGAAAACAAAAATGAAGACTCAGAGAACTTACCAAAGTCGATTATTGGCATTCGAAGAAAATGTGAAGATGCTAATGTTGAAGTACAGCCTTTGAGAAAAATGTACGTCCTTGAGCATTGCATGAAAATAATGCATTTTTACTGCAGTGAAATACTTGTTCATCTTAAACACTCTACAAGCCTTCTAGAACTTATTTTCATTTCTGCAAACTTTTCATAATTCTTACATAAAGTACTGAAAAAGCCCAATGAGAAATAAATGTTTTGAAATGAATGTTCATTTTCAAGGCAACTACTTGAAGAAAATGATGCTGTCCAAACATTTCTAATGCCAAAAATGGAACAGGTAATTCTATAGCTGATTTTTTTCTTTGTGATGTGGGGCTTAGCAGAGTACCTTAAATATAGAATATTTTAGAAATTTGAGCTGTGAAAACTTTATAACTAAAGAATCCAGCTTTATGTAATATCTTTGATAACTTATTGAAGTATATCAGTTAATCTTTTCACCCCAATTTTATGTACAAAGCTTTATAAAACTGTACTTCAATGGTTGCCATCTTCTGCTACTTTGAAGATCTTCCCCTACTTCTCTTAAGGTCTACATCAGAAAAATAACAATGCACCTTAAGCATCGACTGACAGGAGCTGGATAATTTTTTAGCATTCATAATTAGCTTCATTGACAGGAGAAATTATTTGATTAGATTTAAGAGACAAAATTTGATTTGATTTTTGACCGCATGTACTCGAGTATGTGAGGCCATTACACAATTTCAGATGACAATTTATAAAGGCAAAAGTTGACAATTTCCATTTTTCTTAAAAGCCTTGTTACAAAAAATCTTTTAATATTTAGTTTTCAAAATTGTTAGTGGGTTTTTATTAATGAAATTATTTATTAATGAATTTACTTTGTGATTGCTATTAGGCGGCTCAAACTTCGCCAAGCAAAACTGAGTTGAAAGAGGAATTGAGTCTGGCCAACTTCATCATTCTTGAGAAGGACTGTCAAGCAGAGGAGCTCCAAGTGCAACTACGTCAGGCACAAGATAAACTAAAGGAAAAAGAATGTGCTATAAAGGAACTGGAAGATCAGATTTCCAGTCTAGATTATAATGACGATGCAAAATGCAGTGCAGAGGAGAAGATTACGTTACTTGCTGCCGAAGTAGAGAACCTTGCCGCAGAGAACCAAGAGCTTCGCATGGTAACGCGTGTTTCATTGTTTTTGACCGATTTTGTTCGGAGATCGTAACCCTATTTTGCCGACTGTAAAAAATCCTTTTAGATAGATCAGTATGGCTTTGTTATTTTTCAGTCGAAGGAAGAAGCAGAAAAGAGTCTTGCTGAAGCAAAGGAAGAAATGATCAAACTTGGCTCCATGTTCCAGGAAGAGAGGGACGGCTTTGTCCACACTGAGAGCAAACTCCAGCGACTCAAAGGTCAGTTTTCAATCTTTACATTGATGAAATTATTCCGTTATTGTCATTCGACAAATCAATGCTGCATATTCCCAAATTGGAAGTTTGTTTCCTTATCAGGAAGCATAGATATATTAGTTTTTTTCGCTGACTTAAATTTTGATAATCAATGTCATTATTACAGTACAAAATGACGATCTAATGTGGAAAGTGAAAGAGCTAGAGGAGACAAAAGAATCAGAAAGCAAAGGTGAAAGAGATTCTCCAAATGAAAAGCTTGCTGAAGAACTCAAAAGCCTAAAACAACAAGTTGAAGAGCTCCAAGGTACACACACCTGTTTTGGTTACAATGTTTTCTTGAAATTAAGCTCTATTGAAGCTCTATTGTTGAAATTAAGTTTAATGTGTTTGATGTTTACAGTTACATTACAGTAGTAAATTTCAAACACGGCAATGCTGTGACAACCCTTTTAATTAATTATATGATTATTGTGTTAGAAGTTATGGGCTTTCTGTCAGCTATTATCCATTTAATCTTGTAGAATTCTACAGCTCATGGTGCAGACTTTAAACATGACGAAGATATAACAACCCTTTTGGTTAGCTCTATGATTACTGAACTAGAAGTTATGGGCATTCTGTCAACTACATTATCTTTAGCTCGTCAGCCTTTACCATCAACTGCCTCTTTGATAATCTTATTTTTATTGTTTCCAAACACACAGGAACAAAAGCTGAGCTTCTGTCAAGCATCGAAGAACTTGAGATGGAAAAGTCGTCCAAAAATACAACAACAGTGGATTCATTTTCGAAACACGAGGAGAGCATGCTCAATGACACATCAAAATTAAACGGTTTGTTTCATGCAAGTTAATTATTTGACCAGTGTCTGCTTCCCGAGGGCGCTTCTCCAAGACCTACTGGTTTTTTGGTGTTTTCTGTAGGCGCTTAGATTGAATTATAACAACAATAATACATTAAAATGTTCATAGCGCGAAACCAAATAAAAAGCTTATTTATCTTTGGCGCTTTACAATATGTAATGACCAGTGTCCCGTGTATCTATAAGTATCTAAAATAGTTTATGAAGTATTAAAAGCAAGTTTGAAATAATGTGTTTTCAGGCGTTTTTTAAAAAGATAAATAGTTTCCGAAGTCCTAACTTCTGATGGAAGAGAGTTCCAAAGTTTAGGCGCACACACTGAAAAAGCTCTGTCTCCACAAGTCTTCAGGTGAGATCGTCTTTCACGAAGATTGATTTGTCAGAGCGTAGTGAATACTTTGACTGTTTTGACTCAATCAAATCATATATATATTCTGGAGCTGCATTATGAACAGCTTTGTAAACAATAGTCATGATCTTGAATAGAATGCGATATCTAATTGGCAACCAGTGTAGCTGCTGTAGAGCTGGAGTGATATATATATAAACTGATATAATTCAGTTAAATGAATGCTAAAACATTTGGGTGAAACACTCATTTCGTTGCCAGGGCGTTTCCGTAAAATAAATGATGATAAATACGTTTTTGGCATTTTCAATGTTACAATCAACTGCTGTCAATGATTTGACGTCCCTCATAGTAATTTAAGCATCTACATTCTACGGGCTTAAGGAAAGTCCAGTACAATGGACAAATCAAATGGGTATAGTGAAATTTGCATTGTTAAATCGTGCTTGAAACGAATGATCAGCGGCTTATTTCTATTTACAACTTCCAAATAAGCGTTAATTTCATTGTTCCCGTCGTTCACAAATTGTTACCGCAACTTGAAAATAGTCGTAGTAACGATAGCTCGTTTCCCTAAATGCTAGAAATTTCCAGGCCTGGAGAGCCGAAAATTCATCTATTTTCATTTAGGCTTCAATTCAATTTTGACTGTGAGACACCATTTTTCAAAAATCTACTTTGTCAGATGAAAAGTTTAAGTATTTCTTGATTGTTTTCAAAGCCATACATAATTAACCACCATAATTGTTTATAAAACAAATTGTCTGTTATACTCAGACAACCCTTAGATATATACGAAAGTTTAAGTACAGAATTGATCAAGATAAAAAAATTGTTTCGTATTTTCAGATTTGGAGACAGTGTTTATGGAACGAGCTGCAGCTGTCGAAGAACTTAACTATAAGATTGAAGAATTGCAACTTGAGAACGAAGCTTTGAAAGACAAGACCAAAAAGCAAGAATCCCATCTTGAGCTGTTATCGAAAGAAAACGTAGAATTTCAAGCTGAAATACAACACCTTAATGAAAAAAGAGAGAATAAAGATGGTGCGTACCAAGTAAATTTTGTACCAAGTAAAGCAACTGTCGTTGTCTCTTGTTAACAATGACTTTAATTAACTTGAATAAATTGACTTTAACCAAAGTTACGCAATTATGATTCTATCTCAGCGATTTATATAGATTGGTAGCACACTTATCCTCTTTACTTTGACTTACTGTTTTTCTTTTTAGTTATTAAATTTTTGAACAACATAGTTTAAAGTTTGAATATTATTACAGTCAGCAGTGGTGATCATACTTTGAATAAAGACGATCAAACTGAAGAGCTGGTCCTGAAAATTGTCGAATTGGAAGAAGCAATAGAAAAACTGCAAGCTAAAGCTGGCTTTGCTGACAGTTATGATGAAGAAAAGACAAAATTTATGCAGCAGATAGCTGAGCAGGATAAGATCATCAACGAATTGACACGTGAGTTACATTTCTGTACGGCCTAGGGCCTAAGCAATAAGGCATCCAACCTTGGTGCGTTAATCTGAAAGAAGTTGGAAATGTGGATTAAATAGAATATTCTGTTTACCAGTCTGTCATAAAGTTTACGATACAGTATAGGCAGAGCTGTACACGTAACAATTGCCTGGTGGTCGCATTAAGCATGAAACTCGGATTAGCAACTTAGAATCTTCCTGTCTTATACACCAAATAGAAAGGTGGATTTATATACTTTGATCTTGCTTGAATCCAAAATGTAGTTTTTAAGAGAACCTGACTACTCAGCCATCGTAAATTAATTTTGTTGTTTGATAAAAGAAGTATAGCTGCAAGTCTCATTTACAGTAGGGGCCTGCTGAGTGTTGAATTTGTGTCCTGGTTAGAATGACACAGTACTAAACAAAGAAAGAATAGAAAAAGTAAATGCGTTATATAGAGTGAAAGGATTGGAAAAGATTGCCTCATTTTTGCTGTTGTACCATTAAAGATTAATTACACTCATAGCTTAAACTTATGATCAATTTGTTTTAGTAAACCGTGCATCCGAAAGCCAAGGAAAGGAAATTGAAGATATGAAAGTTAAAATTAGTGAGCTGGAAAAAAGAAATGCAGAACTTCAGATTATCAACGACAATGCAAAAGATGTGGCTTCCTTCGAAGAAATCAATCAAGGTCTTCGGGAAATTACTTCTAATTTGGCCCAAACTTTAGATGGAGAAGAGGAGAGCGAGGGTAGAATAACTAGAAATGAATATGAAGTTTTGAAAACAAAAGTCCTTGAATTAGAGGAGATTAACGAGAAACTTCGATCTGATGCCCAAGGTCTAGTCTCAAGTGAAGCATTTGAGAAATTAAAGCTGCAAATTGATGAACTTGAAGTATTAAACGAAGATCTTCGACGTGAGTTAGACGTTAAAGCAGAATTACTGGCCACTGTCGGAGATGAAGATGAAAAGGCAGCTATGCTAGAGGAAACAGAAAAGCTGAAGTTAGAGGTGGTAAAGCTGGAGGAAATGAATGCCAAGCTTCAAAGCGAGATACAAGAGACTAATCAAGCGATTGTTATTGAAGAAGGTGAGAGGGACATTGTGTTAAAAGAAGAGGTAGATAAATTAAAGTTGGAGATAGAACAACTAGAAAAGGCGAACGAGGAGCTGCGAAATGATATTCGAGAAAAGGATGCATCGAGATCACTTGGAGAGGGTGATAATGAAATCGCAGTGCTGCACGAAGAAATTGATGTTTTGATGTCGGAGATTAACAAGTTAGAGGGCTTGAACGCAGAACTGCGAGCTAAAATAGAACATCAAAGTGAAAGTGCTGAGATCGGAAAGGATATTCCAAAGCAGCAGGAGCTTGAAGATTTGAGACTGAAAATTGCAGAATTAGAGAGGACGAATGGAGAGCTTCGAGAGGAAACAGAAAGGCAGGCAACTGGAATAGCTTTTGAAGATATCAGAGCTAAGACAGAAGAATCAGATGATTTAAGGCGCAGAATTGCTGAATTAGAGCAATTAAACAAAGAACTTGCAGATGGAATTAAAATTAAGATTGAAATGCCCGATGCATTGGAGATAGAAATTGAGAAAGATTTGATGAGGGGAGAAATAAAAAGTTTACAATCAAAGGTGGCTGATTTAGAGGTGGAGAACGGTGAACTTCAGAATCGTCTTTCTGATTCAACTCCTGTTTTAATCTCAAATGAGGTTAACAAAGAGACAGCTCTTCTAAATACTGAGCTGGAAGAGGTGAAATATAAAGTATCTGAATTGGAGAAAGTTAATGAAGATTTAGAACGAAAGTTATTAGATAATAATGTTGCTTTTAAAGAAAAGGAAATTGCTATCGAGGAGGTATCATTGCTGAAAGCCGAGTTAAAGGAGCTGAAAAGTCATGCCAGCGGTAAGAATATACTTTTTTGTTTGGTAGAGCTTCATAACTATTAGGCAGACTATTGATTTTTGTTGTTGTTTTTCTTATCTTAGGATATCATAATAACAGTACTATTCGTGTTATCTTTTCCGATAGATTATCCCTGATAGTAGCTAGAATGTGTTTGCTAGAACAGGCAGTACAATCTTGTTAATTTCGCCAGACTTTGTTGATTTCGGAACGATACTTAGACCTTGCAAAAGCGTCAACATCCCAACCAAAGGAAATGCTTAAAAAGCCAAGGTCGCAACCCATAAAACACTACTTCACAAAATATGAACTTGGTGTTACCTTCGACCTATAAAGATGAACTGTATAGATCAGCTACACATTAATCATATAATGTTGAACTTTAGACTATTCAGTCAGCAAAGCCCAGAAATCTTTATGACTCTTGATATGAAAACTTGGAAACCGTATTATTTACATCTTAGATAGAAATGAACTGCGCTACTATAATTAGTATCTAACCAGTACAGTTAAACTACAATGCCTGCCAAGATTACTTGGAACACCTATCAATTTGCATTCTGTTTTTATTTTTATTTTCTTTTCCCGAATACCACTACTTCTACTCTCTTGTCCTCCCCAGAACAATGTTGATAGTTTAGCAAACAACATGTAAGTCACAGGAAGAAACGTCTCTTCTCTGTTTAACAGTAAACCAACATTGTTCCAAGGAGGTGAAGGGAAAAGTTGAATTTGGACATTTGAAGATGACAAAATTGTTTCATGTGTTGGGATTGTGTCATGTATTGTAAAATGTTCTAGTAGATCTAGTTTGTAAAGTCTTTCTCGCAAAATATATTTCAAGCATTTTAGCCTCGTTATATTCGTGCCATGCAACGAATTTTGCTAGAGACAACACGATTATTGTCAAATGATTGAATTGTAGCTGCAAATCACAATGAATCAACCGAAGAGCATTTTGAGCATATGACTCTGAGGATAATGGAACTAGAAGAGAGCAACGAAGAGCTGCTCGCAAAACTTTCGAAAACTGAGTCGCTTGAAAAGGAAAAGAACGAATTGCTGGAGATGCTATCCGCATTAAAAGTGCCATCTTCAAGTATGGAATAGATAATATTTCATTTATGACCCTTGTGTTTTCGGTGGTCTCATATCGCTTCAAGCTTTGTTTTTAAAAAAGGCTTTAGGCTATCTTCTGCGTTTGAATTCTTGTGAATTCTATTTAAAGTTGTTAAGCTTTTTAATTACTCGTATTATTTATGCTAGTACTTTCAGTAAGTACTTTGGACAACCTTCCTGGTCTATATGTTTTAAGTTCAAACCTCAAAACCTCTTGTCATTGCTACTAGCGTTACGGTACAGACCAGCATAGTATATTTTCCCTTTTAAATGCCAACGTCTCATAATTTTCTACTCTTCTTCTCGAATAACATTGTATATTAAAAGAAACGACAAACGCTTTAGATAAGGGCATGTCTTTAGAGTATATTCTTTTTCTGTTTGTTAGAGTGCAACGTTGTGTAAGATTACTAGCCAATCCATCTTCTTGAAGGGAGCGGGCAGCGGAGATGATAAAATACATTTCTTGCCTTTAAAATGGTGATTCTTTTGCTTTGAAGTTTCGATGTAAAAATGATTTACAATTTGACCATGTATAAACAGCTGCAACTCTTTCAGGCATTCCACTTACTATTGCCAAAGCTGAATCGGATGAAAACGAAGACATCCAAACAGGCAATGAGGAAACAGTTACAGAAGCCACCAAAGAGGAAGACCTTAAGAGAAATATTGAATCTTTGGAAGCTGAGAAAGAGAGTCTTAAACAGCGTCTTTGTGGTATGTGCATTCATTCATAAGGTATTCTTCTTTTTGGCAAATGTGTCTCTGCCTTGTCCCATGTCTTTGATGCTAACATATTTTCCTTTTTTATCACAGGCTTGTTTGTTCGCATGTAAGTATTCGGAAAATTTGTAGTTCTTATGAGAAAGTGTAATAAAGAAAAGGCAGTGTTCTAAAGTAGCAACTGGCATTTAAGCTCAGAGGGGAAGGTGACAAAAATAGATCGCCATGTCATTCATCCTCGCCAAATCAAATCTGTCTTTCTTTCACCCCTTCTTCTGGCTTTCATCTTGATGATATCTCATCGAACGATTTACGCCTTCAGAAAAAATTGAGAAAGACTCAGACGGTTCAAAGATACATTAGTAGTACTTAAATGCACTGTTATCAGGCAATAGATGGTTAAATATTTCTATCGTAGGCCTTACTTTCTTGCCAGGTTTTTATGGCACGCTAGCTGTCAAAATCTTGCTTTTGTTGTTATGAAATTTTCTGTATTTAGGATCTCGCTAATTGTTGTTATACGTCAATTTGCATCAGACCTTTAAACATGACAAATTTAAACGAATCTGGCTTCTTGATGTTTGGGCCTTTGCTATATAAAAAATTCAGATAGAATGAGATGTTCAGAGGATATATTTACTTTCAAACAACAGAATTGGAAAACATCAATATCGAACTTGATGAGAATAAGAAGTGCTTGGAGAAAGAAATAGTGGACTTAACCCAACGGTTGTCTGGATTGTCCTCCGACTTAGAAACCGCTGAAGAACGGAATACTGCATTGATGGAGAAAATGAATCAGTTCAACCAGCCCGACAACAGTGGAAGTAAGTTAATGTTTCAACAGATTTCTTAATAGATACGCTTGTGACACATCGACTCTTGCTGTGTTATTTTTCATAATGAAATTGATTATGATAAAAATAGTTTTCCACAATGTTCATAGGTGCTTTACGTATTTCAAAGCTCAAAGATGCGTATTAATGAATCGAAAATTATTATATATTAAAATGTTTTGAAGCAAAAATGTCTTCAAGCTCTCTGAAATGTTCCAATTGAGTAAGCTGCCGTTAGTGGATACGCCAGTTCGTTCCGAAGACGTGGGACAACATGAAAATCTTGCTTCATAAGTTATATTTTAGTTATCGCTAGCGCAAGCCAATATTTTCAGAGGCAGTCAATATCTATACCTAGAGTACCCGATCTACTGCTCTCTAGGCTGCAGTTTTTATAAGTGTTTTTGAGATTAAGAACGCTCTCTAGCCTGCAGGAGTTCTAAGTGCAATTCGAGAGATATAAATGCAGCATTGTTAGTGTTGTTGGCTGTTGGGGTTGCAATATTCGGCTGTCAATCAAGGCTCAAAAACTTAAACATTATCATACAGCACCGGGCGAAAGTTCAAATTTGAAATTGCTTTGGTTTTAAGAGATAAGCTGCTTCTTAATTTTCTAAACCATTTAACAAATCTTGATGCATTGCAACAAACTGATCCTTTTGTTTGAGTTCCTTTTTACATTTTGAGACATCGTTGCAGACGCCAAACAAATCCACGAAGAAAATTGCGAGCTAAAAAATGTAGTGTTGGAAATGAAGCAAAGCAACACGGATTTAGAGGACAAAGTGGTTACATTGGAAGGAAAATGCTCCATAATGTCACAGCAGCTGGCTTTGTTGTCAAGTGATTTGCAGTCAGCAGAAGATGAGAATGTGACGTTACTTGAGAAGATAAATGGTTTGGAGCAAAGCAACGGGATCAAAGGTGGGGTTCTTTATCGCATGAAGGCTCATTTGATAAAAATTGTGTTGCATATGTGCACACTTTTTGGATTCGGCTCCGGAAATAAATGAATACGGTGTATTAGGTACCAGAATTTTAGTATTTAATGTAAGCGTTTAGGCCCTTTGCAAATCGCTTACCAATTCGAAAGAGCAGATTTTATGAATTGAATAACTTTAGGTCCTATATTTGAATTCCGACGTTGAATTTCTTGTTCTTTTTAAAAGAACACAAAGATAAAAAATTGGCACATTTACAATTCACATCTACAAAACAACAGCAATTTACTTTTCTTTGTTGCCCAGCAACACGTCTATATCACCGATTGCTTTATTCGTGCTGGAACTGTAATTTGTACCTTGGCGGTGGCTTGTTCCATAAGATTGTCACATCCTAGTCTCAATGTTTTTGTTTTTTTAGATGAAAATGGTGAATTTCATGTTAAAGAGCTTCAAGCAGAGATTGAAAGTCTTCGCTTAAAATTGAGTGAAAGTGAAGAAAAACTGTCACGTTTAGAACCAATCATTTCAGACACCTCGACAGGTTTCTATAAATATTACCTTCCTTGCTGTCTTAAGTAAAACTACTGTTGTTTATTTTTCACTTTTAATATCTTCAATATTTTTTTCAATAGATTTGCATAAGTATATTGTTCAAAGGCTGCATTTGAATTCCTTTGAACTTCGGTCCCTTTCTAGAAGCAGTAGTAATTGCGTTTATTCACTGTTGTTTTGTGGTTACTAGCCTAAATGAGTTAATTTTTGTTCGTTGTCGCTGCATGTTTCAATTAGCTAGCTCCTGAAAAGATCTTGTGAAGCAATGAATTAAATATTATCTCGCGAAATCAAAAATTTCTGAGACATTTTCTTCTTGAAAGAGAATGAGGATAAACCTTATTTAATAGCAGTGGTGTCTTGTTTCAGTGAAGCTAAGATGATGTCAATTCCAGAAATGTTCCATATCGTTTCAATTCTTGCTATTTTTTTCAGCAACCAAAGACGTTGAGATCGATAATGAAAAATTGAAAGTTGTGATAACAGATCTTCATCAAATGAAATCAGAATTAGAAAGCAAAGTTTCAGAATTAGAAGGAAAATGCTCGGAAATGTCACAACAGTTGTCTCTTTTGTCAAATGATTTGCAATCTGCAGAAGATGAAAATGTGAATCTACATGAAAAGATAAACCATTTGGAAAAGAACGTCCAAATGAAGGGTGAGTTAAAGAGAGAAGTGTTGTTTGTTGGGTTTGTGCACACATAATCCTATCGGCATTCTCAGTTTTAATACCCTGCAAAAACTCTTTATTCTTACTGCTATCCTACCATATCTATATGCTCATATACACATATATGTAAATTAATCTGTTTCATTGCAGAAAGCAATTCAGAAAAGGAGGAAAATGTATCTAAAATGGAAGAAAAGTGTTCCAAAATGGCCCAGCAGTTATCCCTGTTGTCAAATGATTTGCAAGCAGCAGAAGATGAGAATGTTACCCTACTCGAGAAGATTGACCAGCTACAAAAACAAAATGAAGAAAATGGTGAGCTTGTGTGAATATATCGCAACCTTAGCTTTGCTAATGACTTTATCAGTATGTTGTATAGTTTTTGCAATGATTGACAGGGAGTTGTCCCTATCAATCATCTGTCAATCATTGTCATTCAATTATAACCTGCCGTGTAAGGCACGTAATCGGTGCACAGAAGCGTATACGGCGATAGAAACGTGTTCTCAATTAGTCTGAGTAATCGAGTTTTCAATTTGTAGTCTATACTGAGGTTCTCAAGATTATCTACGTATATTAACATGTATATACATCTAGTTTTATTTCACATAATCAATATTTTGTATATGCTTTGAATGAAAAAAGGTGTCACTCGGTTTAAAAACATAACCAGTATCTGAATCATTGACTTGTGTTTAGTAAAGTTCATTCTTGGGCTCTTAACTATCAATTAAGCTTAATCGCTTTTTTTCATCGAAAATGTATATTGTGCCCTAACTTTGAAGGCTTTTCTTTGAATACTTCAAATACCTTGAACATTCACAGTGTTATTCCTTTAACTATTACTAGAATTGATAATTTTCAACTACGCAACTCCTTTAAAATGCAGAAACGTAAACAATACTGCATTGAGCATGTTGTCTATTTCAGATGAAGCAAAGGAGCAGTTGTTGAGAGCCTTGCAAACTGAATTCGAAACAGTCAAATCGGAGTTGAGCCAAAATGAAGAGCTGGTTGCTAGCCTAAATGCTGAAATATCAAGCCTAAAAGGTATAAAGCCTAAATGTCAAGCTTAATTAGTAGTCTTAGCGCAGTCTTTATGTCACTTAGAATTAAGGGGGTTTCCTTTAAACCAAGCTACAAATGAAACTGTTAAGTTTGCATTTCTTCCAGGTGAGCACTCACGTTTTTTTATACTGTTTTATTAGTCAAGCAAATTTCTAATCACGAAATCGAATATTTGACTATGAAATGATATAGGTTAAGTCCCTTAATAATTTTTTGGAATTTCTCAACCAACTTTTTGGCATTCTTGTTTTGTAGACCTGAATGAAGCTTTAGAAAGTCAGTTGTTTACTACCAATGAGGAACACAGTGAACTGGTTGAAAGAGCGAAGGTGCTCGAGAATGTAAAAATGGAAGGCGATGAAGAGCAATCAAGGCTTAGACAGGAAATTGAAGCATTTGATAATATTATTCAGCAATTGAAAACAGAGAGTATGACAAAGGATGAAAATTTAGTGAAGCTAGAACGTAAGTTTTTGATGAAAATTCTATTTGACAGTAATCTAGTTGATTTTTAATCTGCCTTCAGTGCAAAACCCTCTCTTATTTTGAAAAAACGCGACTTAAACAATCATTTTTTTTGCTTAATGCCATCTTTGCCTTCTCATCTTTGTCTCTTAAAAGTAAACTGCTGCTTCTTCGTTACTCTATAATTTTTGTAGCTTTACCGTAACTCTACAAAATGTTCTTTACAGAATTGTGCGAAGAATCCAGTGAAAAGATGGGCAAAATGGAAGCCGATCTACAAATACTAACTGAAAAAGAGCAACAGAGTCTATTGGAGATTTCAGAATTGAAGAGGCGACGTTTGGAGACTGAAGAATCTAATGCAGAACAGGAAGGCAGACAAACAGAATTGAGTAAGGAAATCTGTGAGCTAAGGGAAAGCTTAGAGCGACTGGCTGCAGAAAACACTGAGAAAGATAGCCAAATAGCACGGCTAGAAAGTAAGCATTTTTCTACAAAGATCTTTTTTCGTTTCGAAATACTTTGTGCTTTTTATACTGTGCGTGTGTCTATTTGCCTTTCCTGGGGCCTTCAATTTCATCTTTTTTGATAGCTCTATACGTTTTTAAAAAGGTTTCTTTCTGTAACAGGGCAATTTTCAATTAAAGATAGCTTTATCAGAACAAACGCTGGTATAAATCAAGTTTAACCTACTATTGTTTGAAAAACCTGATTCAGCGTCATACTCTTCGCTTGCTTAAGTTTATTTATTTTTTTACTTTTTTTTGAGATACACATTCACATCGCTTGTTTTCGAGGCAGCCTATTTGATTTACTTTGATCTTAGTCTTTGCTTTCCACTTTGACATGCAATGCCTTTCATTTCAATTCAATCGTTTTCTATGCAACTCCAAACAACTGTATCATACGTACAATATCTTTTAACATATGCATATATCTTTAGAACTTGTCAAAGATGGGGAAGAAGAATTGAGAAAAGAGATGTTTGAAATGGCCGACGTTGTCAAATCGGCCTCTGAAAAAGAAAAAGCTGCTGTTGAGAGTCTCGCAACTTTTAAGAAATTGTTTGCCGAAACAGAGGAATTGGTTGCTGCTGGTGAAAGCAGACAGGCTGAGCTACTAGACGAAGTAGTAAATTTGAATGCCAGCTTACAAGAGCTCAAGGAAGAGAATTCAAGAAAATATGCCGAGATCAACAAACTTCAAAGTAAGATTATTTCTTCTGTTGCTCTTTGATTCCTAAGGTACAATGATTCCGAAGAGAACGGATGCATTGCTTTATGAGGGGCTGTATAATTTTTTGGGAAAGCTAACATCATTAAAGGACTGAATAATATTTAGAACTTTGTACAACGTAAATGAAATCGAATAAAACGTAAATCGAAAGTCAGTACACTATTTTACCATATTTTCCGCTGTCTGCTTTTTCAGAATTACTTGAATCTACAAATGCAGGATCCCAGGAAGAAACAGACAACCTGAGGGAAGCGCTCAGAACTGTGACCGAGAAAGAGCAGGAGACTTCGAAAAAGCTTTCACATTTAGAAATCGAATTAAATGAAGAAATTGAAAACATAAGGGAATGTTTGGAAAAAGCTAACGAAGAAAGCATCTTTAAAGACAACGAAATAAGGAAACTAAAGGGTCAGTATTAATGGTTATAATTTCTTATGAATTTATTACTTCCCTCGATCATCTTCTTGAAAAGACATAAAAAATTTGCATTGGCTTTCGATTCTTTTAATTTACTGTTTCAACTTATGGTGTTATGAAATTTAAAAATGGCTTTGAAAAAGCAAACATTTTACATAATGCTAAAAGCTTTTATGCCTGACACTCCTCAGAGTATAAAACGTCAAAATAAAGGTTCGAAAGCACCTGCCTGGACAACTTTAACGGTCCTGTGTTCGCGTTTTTCTGATTGGCCTTCTTCAGTCTATAACTGGATGTAGGGGTATATGTATTGCAACTTGTGATTTCGGAACCTTATTCTGATATTTCATACTCTGAGGAGTGTCGGACAAGAAGGCTTTTAGTAGACTGTAAAATTTTTGCTTTTTTCAAGGCCATGTTTCATCTTGAATTCCATTTCTCATAGCATTCTTTGTTTTTTCTAAGAAATGAACAGCAAGGCAAACGAGAAGGCAAGTCTCCGGTTAACTGAATTATCAGAAGAGCTGAAAACTATGACTCAAAGAGAGCAGGATGCTGTCGAGAGGCTTGCCAAATTAAAGAAACAATATGCAGAAAGTGAAGACTCAAGTGCAAAAAATGAAAGCATGCAAGCTGAGTTGAGCGAAGAGATTGCTAGTTTAAAGGTTCAATTACAAACTCTTTCGAATGAAAATGAGAAAAAGAACGACGAAATCAAAAACCTAGAAAGTGAGTTTGTTTAACCAATTTTTCTGGAGCATTTCATTTCATTCTTCTTTTAGTTGAACCGATGACAAGGTACGTTACTTCTCGGGGGGGGGGGGTGTTTCCCCTACTCAAAGGTAGCAGTTTGAGCAGGAAGTACTCGGAAAAGTTTCCTATTCCATTGGATATTCTCATAAAGGGATAAGTGAATCATGTAATATTTTCTTGCCCGGCACTCTCTAATTTTCTTGACGTAAATACATTTTAAACTTTTACTTACGTGCTATGATGTTGATGGTCTCTTCATTGTTGCTATCTCTAGAAATGGTTGATGATTCCGATGAAGAATTATACAAAATGGGTATAGCACTCAAGACATCTGCTGAAAAGGAAGAATCTAACTTAGAGGAGCTTTCAAAATTGAAGCAGCTACTTGTAGGAAAAAATGAATCAGATGGCAGAGACGAAAATAGAAATACGGAAATGCAACAAGAAATAGCAGGTCTTAAAGACGATTTGGCGAAGCTCCGGCAACAAATAATTAAAAAAGATGAGGAAATAAAGGAACTGGAGAGTGAGTCAAATTAAGTCTTTCTGCTTGTGCAAAGTTTTTAAGAACCGGGCTTGATTGTAATTTGAAATGGTGGAAGATGTATGATTGGAATAGTGTGTCTACAACTACAAACATTATTGCCTTATACAGCACACTCTGTGTAAAAATAATGCAAGAGTTGTATGTCCTTACATTTAAACCTTCTCTTAATCTATGATTCTAGTTTACAGTCTGAGAGGCTAACATGTTTGCATTTAGCTTTTCTTATATTTATTTCTAAGAAACCACTAGATTTGGGGACCATTTCCTAAAAAACATATAGCTTATTTGGTGGCTTGGGCAAACCTTATTGTGAAGTGTTCTACCTGATTCTCTAGTACAAAATACTGTCTATTGTATTAATTCAAGAAAACTGTTTTATTAGTTCCTTGTCCGCAATTATATTGCTTCCGTTGTTATTTCTTAGAAATGGTTGATGATTCTGATGAAGAAATGTACAAAATGGGAAAAGCGATAAAGAGTTCTATGGAAAAAGAGGAGGCCTTCAAAGAGGAGATTTCAAAATTGAAAAATGCTTCTGCAGAATATGAAGCTGTTGCCTCTCTTAAAGAAGAACTAGCAGAAATCAAGAAGAAAAAATTTGAGAATTTTATTCATGTAGGTTCGATGGAGAAAGAGAACGAAAGACTTAAAGAAAAGCTGGTTGAAAGCGAAAAAGCAATGATAAGCTATCAAGAGTATCAGGAAGAGAGAGTTGCCGGTTTAAAACAAGAACTGAAAAGGTTAATGGAGGTGAACAGTAAACCTTCTGTACCGAAAGAGTAAGTAATTGGTTCATTTTTTATTAAATTTGTCGTTTAAGCACTTTCCAGACCATTAGTTGTGCTAATAGAGATATTGTCGGAAAGACCGTAGCCAACTCTAAGCATGGTCTAGCTGTTAACTCCCAACTTTTCCCCTTCCTTTTAACATTCTTCTAAGCCTTCCACAAAATATTATTACACCTGGTCTTCCCCTTTCTTCTTGATCTTCGACACTTATCTGTCCCATCCATTACTGACTGGTAGATCTTCCCTTGTTGCCTTTGGCAGCACAAGCTTCCATTTTGATAATCTTGTTCAAAGGTTAGCATGTCGACTGGTGGCCAAAGAATGTATTTTTATTCTTATCCCTGCTTTCGTTATTTATCGCGGTACAAATTATCGCAGCTATTTCCCATACATAGTCATTCTTTCTTATTTGTCTCCATGAGATTTCATTATCCCGTAAGTTTCCATGAGATTATATACAACGTTGTACACGGGCAGGGTGTCATAAATTTTGAATCAACTGTGATGTATTCACAAGATAGAGTTAGACTTGCTTTGCCTTTTTGTATGTCATCAGGTCAAGGCTTCGAACTATTTCTGTCGAGGATTTTATGCTTTATGGTGGCTAATACCTTTGTGCCTTTTACTATTCCGGTTATTAAGTGAGTTGAGTTATCGAGCTTTCTTTCTTTGCAGAAACAAGCAGGCGCGCAGCGTTGTCGAGTCAACAGCATTGTTTGCACTTAAATCAGAAAAGGCAACACTTGAACGGGACAACACCAAAATGAAAGCAGAACTTGACGAACTAAGCAGGAAGAATAATTCTCTTGCATTGGAAAAATTCAATCTCGAGTAAGTGTTCAGACGCCTTTATGTATCAGGACAATATTTTCTTGACCAAACTTTGACCAAGCTACAATAATTGGCCGACAATGTCATGGTTTTCCATTCTTCTTCTCCCAGCTTCATCTCGATGTGCTTGCCATTTAGATACGTATGACAAGACTTTGAAAGGAGGGACGGTTGTGAGATGCTGTAAAATATATGCATACTATTCCCCATGTGTCTAGGCAGTTATCTTAACATATCCAGGATTGTAGATTGCATATTTTTTTATAAGAATACAGTTTTGTATTGATATTGAAGCTCAAAATTGTTAAAATTTACGAATGAATCATGTATATATAAGCTGGGTGGAAAGATCCCGACAATTTTATTTTTTGTAAAATGAATTTTCTCGCAGGTTTTCAACTTCATCAACTCCTTTTTAAACTACGAATTAAAAACAGGTCTTATTTAGGTACATAATTGATTTGTGAATTCAGGACGAAATTTCAATTTTATGTAAAGAAAAACCTTTTTTCGTACACAGTTGTGTCAGTTAAAATAAGTTAAGCGTATCTTAGGCTGAATTTCGAAATAAGTGAAAAGGGTCTTATAGTTCGTACAACTGATTGTAAGGCATAGTCCAAACAACTTATCTGATTGTGATTTACATTATTGAAATCCATTTTCTAAATTTGAACCCCCGATATCTTACTTAAAGAAATGGCATAATGCATTGCAGGTTCAAATTCAACGATCTGAAGTCTGAATGTTACCATTTAAAACGTGGTTTACGACCAGCATCCACGAACGCTGAAACACAAACGATAAAAGAGTCAAGTCCATCATTATCAGGTTTGCAAATCCGTTCTTTCCTTTTCAAGTATAAGATGATTTTTTGCGAAAATCCTTTTTCCCATCCTAAAATGAAGGTCCCTTTGCACCCCTGAATACTGCAAAGAGTTATGGTCTACCCCGTTGTCAACAATTTTGCTAAAATCCAAACATAATTCTGTTGATTATGTTGCACTCTTTTTAAAAGAAAATCTCTGTAAGAACCCCAGTGCTGCTAAAAACTTTGGCTAGGCCTTCCACAAAATAAAGACACTTTTAATAGTGAAAATATTCTCAATTTCTTATTAATAAAAAGTTAACGCCATGGAACTGTTGTTAATTTAGCTCTTTTTACGGTTTATTAATAAAAAACAATGGAAGGTTAAAACTGCAGGCAACTGGAGAGTGATCTGTGTGCGTTTTGACTTAGAAAAGATCATTGTTTTGGTGTAAGTTAACGCTGTACCTCGACCTAATACAGGGCTCTTTATTTTGCAGTTACTGCCACTGGGAAAGAAAATGTCAGTCAAAAAGCATTTTTCGATCCAGACAATTTACCATTTAGAAAAGAGGAAAAAGACGAACCGCAGCAATGCACCCAGCAGTAGTTCTGATAATTATCGATTAGCTAAATATTATTGATATTTATCTTAAAACATCTTAGTCTGGTGTTGTAAAATATTTTTTAACATACGGAAATCGTTTCTTGGTTTTTAAGTATGCATGCAATTCCAAGTGTGAACTTGATGTGTGACTGACTGCTTAAATTCCTTATAGTTCTAGCGAAACCAATGGTTTGGGTAGAAGAAGCAGTTTTCTTCACATTCTTAATATGTACTGTAATGGTCTTGATAATTTAATAACTGTGGATAGTTTTTGATCACGTCTTTTATTTGGTTCAAAGAATAGTTGGATCTGAGCTTTATACTGCATGCCTGTGTAATATTCCCATTTAACAAAGCAATGGTGATGTAGGATATTGAACGATTTGAAGAGGTGTTTAAATTTACCTTAATATTTCGTTCCTGGAAGTCTTTTGGCCATTATTACAGATGTCAGAACCTGTGCCCAAAGATTATTGGTAGTGTTATTGAGTTATTGGCAGTGTTGTCAAAATTAGCTTATACTGTGAGCCCATAGATTTTGATCGTAATGGCAAGACAAAAATAGATACCTTCAAGCCATCATTTATAGTACCACATAGCTTCACAATTAGATAGGCAGTAATTCAATATGAGTTCCTATCGAAGGGTGTTTCAATTGAACGAGAAAAGCCTATATTCATCCAAATGAATTTTCCTCTAGTGTAATAAATATAGAACTAAATCAATAGAAGAAATAAGAAATAGGTCGTACAAGTAAATAGAGTTTCAAAATGATGATGTCACAGAATTGATTCTTATATCTTTATAATTTAACCAAATAACCTGAAAGAACATTAGGAAATGTACAAAATCAGTTAAATACGTTACAAATTGGCTGCGGTGTGGCCACGCGAGCACAGGTTCTTTCCCCATCTTGGTTCTATGAACTACACCAAAATAGTCTGTTCACAATATTGAATTCCCCCATTAACCATATCTTACCTAGTTTTTAACATTTTACACCGATTTTGCGCATTTAGACGTTTTTCAAAATGTTTTTTCCAGGTTTTGTGGTTCAAATTAGAATGTTCTAAGATAGATTTTTTGATGACGTCAAACTGTGGTGACTTATGTTGTTTGAAGGTGTAACTATGAAGGTTTGTCTGAGCTTGTGTTGCCCACAAGATGCTTTAACACTCTAAATTATTTTTTAAGTGAGTGTTAATTGCGAGTCTGTAAATACTTAATCTATTTGTTACTCGTGTAATTATATCGATCTTATTACCCAGTTGTTTTTATGTTTATGACCATTTCATAGATTTACGAGCTTTAGTCGAAAAGTTTGATTTTCTTTTTCTGCCCTTTTTAAGCAAGGCATTTGAGATTGTACGCTTGAAACAATAACTGGTTTTTTCTGCATTCTGATGATCGCATTGGGTGTAAAAGTCGATCTAGCAAATGAGCCTTCTGTTCTAAAAGTCACCACTCTGTCAGCTATAAACTTCTGGCTTCAAATTTCGCATTATGATAGAGGAAGCGCGCATGTCAAGAGGTTAAGATGAGCAAAGACTAATATCAAGATAAGTTTAAGATTAATATTTGACTTGGTACCTGGTAATAAAAAGGACCAACAGGGTACCTTAAACAACTGCTTTTTTAAATATTTTACCGTTACATTTTAAATCTGATTTCAAATGAAAGATGCTGAATTTTTTGTTTTGAAAGTGATAGACATTGCTATGTAATGTTACGTCAAGTTAATACTTTATAGAAAATCAGAAATTTCCCTGTGTTTGAATTCAGCTGTTGCATTCTAAAGACAAAAAAGATGGGATACGCCTAGGAAAATTTCCCCTGATTCTTGTTTTTCAAAAGGTTTCAAAGGCTATAACATCAAAGCTCCTTCGCACTTTTCAAAACAGTATGGAGGTAACGTGACAACAAAATGGCGACCAAAACAACTGGAGTTGGGGGATACAGCAAGGCTGTAAAATACGACCTTGGAACGTTTGTAACGTCTGTTAATCGACTAAAAAAGCAAGGAAAGCCTTTCACAACGGCTTTTGATTCCATTGTGTCCATATTCAGGTACAGATTTGTTGTGATCGAATGGCAAAGCACGCGATATGATGATGTCAATCATTGTAATGATTCTCAATGTATATTACCTTAATCTGTATTTTTGTCGACAAAGTTGTGTTATGGTAGCAGAAATTAAAAAAATTCCTATTCATCAATGTATTTCCGTCACTTTGATATGGAATGGTGTCACCGTCACTGGAAAATCCAGCTTACTTGGCAGGCCTAGCCAAAACGTTTAACGTTATTAAATCTTGTAGATGACATTGGTGAAAACTTTAACAAGGAACAAAGTAAATTCTATGAAAAATTTTCCTTCAGTTGCTTTTACTAATAAAATATGATTTCTCCTTACTGCTTAATAACTCCTACTAAATCTTGATTTCCTTTTGAATTGTCGACATTTGTGAACAAAATCATTAAATTGGATTACCATGGACTACTGATCTAATTGTTTAATAGTAGCATTAAGATGCATATGTAGAAATTCTTTCAACTTTTGTCCATAAAGAAATATGAGGCTTCAAAAGTAAATTCAAATGATAGTATGATAACTGATCTGCTGTGCCTCGTTTTTTGAAGATGATAAAGATAAAAGGTCTCTGTAGCTCCCTTGATGTGGGTGAGTTTAAAATGGGGTACAAAATTCTTGTTTTATTATATATTTATGTTATACTAAATACTAGCCTTTTCTCTACTACATTGAAACCTTATTTTATGACCTAATTTCAATACACTGTCATTTTGAATGTATATTAAATCTAAAAAATCTGCATCTCGCTGCATTTAATTTTAGTTGGAAGTATCCCATTGTAACAACTCTCCTGTTGCCAGCAGCAATCATAATGATACTTTTCTGGCCTGGTATGATTTTCATGTTTATCTTTTTATCTAATGAAGGGAATCTCTTTATATTTTGAATGATCCAAGAGTCCTATTTTTTATCACTTTAAGCCATAATTGTACTTGACTGTTTGCTCTTTAAAATGTTGGATTGATAGTTTTATAATAACAATAGATGGACTGATAAAATGATATGCCAGTTATAAATGAAGTGAGCACTCAATGTCATTGTTAGAAAATTGACAGAAATATACTTTTGTTACATTGTGGAACAAAATAAATAGCATTTGCTCAATTCTACAGAATATTTATTGGGTATGTGTTTGGTTCAAATTCCAATACTGATGCTGATTACATTGGTCAAAGGAATTACAAACAGTGGAACAGTTGTAACAAATCATCATCATTATTTTGTGAGAAAAGATGAATCCCCTGACCTGGTGAGTTTTAAAAAGATGGAAGGTGTTAAAGACATTGATACAATGGAAGACATGGTTATGTTTGACAATGGTCACTACAAACACCCAAATTTTATAGCTTATTTTTGTTCTTGCATTGTTGATATTGTGGTCATAGCTTAAAATGGAACTGTTAATTCTTTAATTAGCCCCAGACCTTTGAATCAGGCCCATTCCTGTAAATATGCCCCCCCCCCTCAAATAAGATCCCATCACTTTTAGCAACTAAACTCCTCCCTTTTGAAGACATATTTCTTGTTATTCCAAAGGATGTCAATTCTGCTACACCATTCTTGAGATAATTGATGCTATTTGGTGTAAAGAACATAACTTTTTTAAGTTGCTACTCTGAGTTTCCCCCTTAATGCAGTCATCAGGCAATGCTCAATGAGAGTTCTCTTATTGAGCTTTTTAGCTCTGTCTATAGGGCATTTGGCACTTTATGACAGACCTGTACACTGTCATTTTAATAAAGATAATTGCTATTGTTCTTTTCTGTTTAATGATCTTGACTGTTTCATTCAGCTACTATGCAATTTATCAAGCTCCTTAGCAAGTAAGCACTCCCTTGAATAAGCCCCTATCCTGAAATAAGTTTTAACAAATTGGCCCCTAGAGGCTCAATTGAGGATTTGCTGTATCTGAAATTAAAGAAGAAATTAGTAACAGTGATATATTTGTTCCTAGATTGCAAAGAGAGATGCTATGTTAAAAGCCCAAGCACATTTGGATATGTATATAGATATGTAAGAGAAATCTTAATGTTATTTTTTTATATTTTTACCTAGCTTTAAATCATTTTTAATTGAAACATGAGGACCAAATGGCTATGTAGGAAGACAAACTCTGCTACACATTAATGCTAGTATGTTTAGGTTGAGGTTACAGATAAATTTTTGTTTAACATATATTTTTGTGAGACTGTGACAGCAGTTTTACAGAAACATTTGACTGCATTTACAGTGGCAATTACTGATAGGCAATTTTATCGAACAGCTAAGGGTTTTAGGAGCAACTGAAGAGTTCCTTGTACATATAAATGCCTTTTTAACTGTTTTTTGTCTATCAAGACTTATCCTTTGTTTACAAAGATTTATCATATGTAGCCAGGCACTTTATATTTTCTATCTTATGACAAGTTAAGTGTTTGTTATTTGGGTATGTGTAGATTTGGAAATGCTTTGATATAATATCATGAAAATGCTTTTTTAGATTAATTGAAGTTCAAGATTTTTGCAACATCATAAGCAGTAAATGTGAATTTATACACAGGTCAGTGTATTTTTGCTGTATTGTTTGATATGAAACTATTTATTGATTAAGATAATCTAATGACTGAATAAATGATTTGAAGATTCTTGGTATCAATGAAAGATACATTTTCAGTATATGTGAACAAAAAATATGTCTTTTGTCCATAGCAGTCACTCTGTCTTCCTCAGGCCTGGCCGTTTGAGGCGAGCGATAGCTCGCGCTCGCCTCCACGCTCCTCTCGCAACCTGAGGCGAGCTATGAATTGCTCTCCTAAACAGAACATGAAGGGAGAATCGCTCCCCTAAAATTTCCATTCATTTGCCCTTTTCCTATTCAGAGAACCCTGAAAACGGGTTAATTGGCTTAATATTTTTGTAACAGCGATTTCTCCCGTCACTGCATTTTTTGCAATTAACTTTTTGCTTGTTGGGCGGTTTTTGTTATGATAGGCATAAACTTCGATCTATTTGGAAAAGGATAGTTAACCGAAAGGTACGTTTGTAGCGATTAGAACCTTTCAATCTTAAGAGAACATGAATATTTTTGGAAGGAAAGTCGAAGAAATGGGTAGGAATTGTAGATTGGGGATATAATAAGACAGCAGGTCCCTTCCAGCAATAGAAATAAAACTATCCCTTAAAGAGAACAGGGTACTCTGTCTTGCAGATCAAAAACGACAACCAAAACATGGAATTCCACTATCAAGCAGCATTTACTGAAAAACCCAGATTGGGTGAAAAGCTATAACGGCGACCTGTTTCGCATTATTGGCAAAGCCTGATCATCGTTCCATCTATGTAGCAGTTGGTAACATTTTCAATAGGAAAGGGGCACTTATTGGAAAACCTCAACAGTCATGTCCTCGCGTTTTCTGATGGCCTATTTCGATCCAAAACTGGGTATTTTAGCGTAGAGTTTTCCTTCTATGTTCTGACGTTTTATTCTCTGAAGATTGCTAGACGTATAATTAAGTTTGTTTCAAAATTTGTGCCATTTTCATATTCTGTGCAACAAAAAGATTGTTTTGCAAGAGAATTGTTGTTTTTGTGTTGTGCTAGCTTTACATAAAACGGAGAGAGTCTGTTCTTTCAAATACTTCAAGTAAAGGGGGTGCCTAAGTCACGGTTAAAGCAAATACAAATTGAAAGAAGTAAAACATAACACTCCTGACTGAGGCAATTACATTAAGGCAACCGACAGATACTAAAGGGGCTTATTAAGTCATCTGTCGATTGTCTTTAAAGTACATTCTATGTGTTACTGATTTAGCTCGCCTCAGCAAATGAGGGGAGCGATTCACAGCTCACCTATAAAAATACAAACGGCCAGGCCTGCTTCCTGCTACTAAGAAGTTTGCTAGATACTATGTGTCATTGAAGGAGCCTTTTGAAAAGGTAGGAAAAAGGAAAAACCTTAAATCTCCCAAGATCTCACAGCAAAAGACGTGTTTTAGGTTGCTCAAGCAAATAAAGCTCAAAATCACATGAAAACTTGTGAAAGGATAAAATTTAGGTGAGACCCAATCAATACTGCTGGTAGTCATTGACTGGTGAAAAGGAGTATTCTTTTAATCCGCTCAATTGGTATTCTTTTATCCCCTTTTTGTTTGCCTTAGATATAATATGGCATACTTATTTGGTTGAGCAATATCCAGCTTTAATCAGGAGGCTTTGTCACAGAGCATTAGCGTATTTTGCACATAGTTTTATGCATACATGTGCTTTAGTATCATTTTCTATGTTGTTACCTTTTTTATGAATGTGGGCATTTGGTGTACAGAAAGTTCACCTTTACAGCTTAAAACATATCAAATCATTTTGGAACAATTTTAGGCTGCATACCAACAGGGCTGCCAATAGTTTTTAATTCTGTTTATATATCAAAGATATGCTATTTCTTGTATAGAATGTGGTAACTTTACTATACTATATGTCACATATCATCAGGCAACTGTGCTGTAGCTCTGCTTTATGACATCAAGCACTTTATGACAGACCAGTAAACAGTAATTTTTATATCGAATCAAAGAAAGACATTTTTCATCTTGTTAGCCTCATGTGTGACCAATGTATGAAATTTTCTACCTTCTAGCTTAATCTACTGGAAGGCATGGAAAGAAGCCCTACTGTAAGTTTTAGTGTTAGCTGAAGTTGATTCTAAAATAGATTAAAGAGTCTTGAGTTGTTACCCTAGCAACATGAGTTGTTATCAGTTATCAGGATGCAGAAAATTGTTTATTAACAGGTAGCCAGATTGATGAGAATTGGAGTCTCAGCAATTTTCCAATGGAGAGAAAGTTTCTCATTTTAAATCTATTAACTATCTCCTACCTGACCAAAAAAGAATCATATTTGGTTCACATAGATCTTCTCGAGAGTCAGTTGGAAGTCAACTTTTGCTAAGTCTTTTGCTTTCCTCTTTTTCTTTTCAACAGTTATTTATATACAGTGGCGGATTTAGACCGGAGCAAACGGAGCAGCTGCTCCAGTCAGAATTTTCTAAATTTATTATAGTGCCTGTTTGATATTAACTTAGCTCTGTTACTTCATAAATCATCAATTAATACTTCCTGATGCCCCCCAAACAACCCCTGTGGACTAGATAGGTGCCTTAGAGAACTGGTTTACATTTTGTCGTCTGAGTTGCTTATGTGTTGACTGTGGAGGAGATGTTCACAATTTTGCTCCACATGAAATACGTCATGGTCAAATAAACCAATCAGACCACTGGATTTTGCTCCAGTTGATGAAAATTTGCTCCAGGAAGTGCTGGTTAGCCAATCAAACTACTGAGCAACTGGAGCAAAATCCAGCTCTGCGATTGGTTTGAATCCGTTATCGGGAGCAAGTTGGAGCGCACTCTTTCGAATTTGAGCTTTCGTAACGTTCTGTGTGTAACGGGGCTTCGAAAAAAAACTGACGAAAGGATTTGAGTTTTTTGAAAGAGAGACAGCAAAACAGGTATGTTTACTAATGTTAATTATGTATGTCGTTTAAGGGAGCCCTCTTTTTGATGCTGTCGTTGTGGACGTTTATAAACCCAATGAGATAGGGGTTCATTTAGGCCTATAAGCAAGTCATGTTATTTAACAGATTACTTTCTTATCACAAAGTTATTTGGAAGTAATAATGGTACAGATCGTTTTGTCTAATCTAAAAGCGCAAAAGGTTCTTATGCCTTGGCCGCTGGGAATACTTGTGGGAATGTAGCTAGCTGTAATAAATAGAATCAAAGCTCTTGTCAGAGGCGAGGGGCAATTCACTCTTTCAGCTGCCAGTTTCCCTCCAAACAAACAGATTTCTAGGGATTTTTAAAAAGAGCTATAGGGTTTCAATTGTTGATTTGCCCCTCGATCAAGAGTGTTTGTCTCAAGCACGGAGCTCTGCTCTGAATTCAGGAGTTTTATGTAATTTTAATATTATGATTTTCTTTGAATATACGAAGAGAAAGGAATTGGTATCAAACGTTGCTAATCTGGGTGGGTCGCTAATGACTGATATGATATAATCGATTTCAATACTCTATAAATTGTCTTTCAAACTGATGTTTGTCTTCCTTCATCTAAGAGATAATAAAAGCTATTCACAAATGCAGCTTGTGTTGATTGAATTCAGACCATTAGCATTTTTTAGTATTACGATCACATAGGCGAGTTTTTGAAACTGATAAGAATGACACTTCTACCGATGAACAAACTGCTATTTCCGCGAAAAACCACCGCAAAGGAAACTTTCAAAGGCATCAATTTGATTAAAGGGCACATGTCGCTTTAGTAATCGGCTAATACAACAAAAACGTTTGGTGTGAAATTCCATTCTTTCGTGACTTGTCATTTATACGTCATGAAATTTTACTGCCGTGAAAAGATAAAAGATTCAGATTGGTTTATTATTTTAAAATTCCGAGTTAGTTGCGTGTTTCTGTTGAGAAAGAATTCCGTCAACTAAAGTACAGTTTCAAGCAGTTTTTTAACAAAATTTTTATAACCTCTAAATTGCTACTAGCTTTATTTAAAAGTTTGTGCTAGTTAGAAATTTTATCTGAGATTCGCATGAAATTAAAGTCGTTTTCAGAGAATCTAAAGGGCGTGGTCATAAAAATTTTTTCGGGGGCTCCGCCCCCCAACCCCCTCAGGTTCTGCTCCACTCAGAATTTTCGCTAGATCCGCCCCTGATATAATCATTACTTCAACCAAAAAGTTTATGCAAAAGCATAGTATTACTTGATGTCATTTTCGACCATGGTGTTTTTGCTTTTAATAACCCTGATATCTTTCTTTGTTCCAATTTTTTTTCTATTTGAACCAGTGGCAGCGCCAAGGGGGTATGAGGTATGATTGACCCCGCCCTTACTTTTTTCAAATCATGGTCTGAATATTTCATCTAAAAATGGATTAAAAAGTGCTAATATGGGTCCAGTACTAAAAGTGCTAATAGGTGTACTACATCATATTTCCTAAGGAAATTTAACCTGGTACAAAGTGCTGAAACGAGACAAAAGGGGCATGGTCTCAATGTTCAGGCCCATTACTCTCCTACTCTGCAGTAGCTGGTAACGCCACCGATTTGAACGTGGAATGTTATGGAAACTGGCCTGTCAAAAAATAAAGTTAAATGACAACTTAGTACTGTTTATGTATCATTTACTTACTTTTGCCAAATTATATGGTTGACAATGAAGAATTGGTTTTTTTATAGATCAACCAAAGTGTATGTACAGTCAGTGTCATTGAAAAAATGGTTGCTCATGTAAGATTTTTACCAAAGCCAGATATTAGCCAAACAAAGCTGCAATGCTTTTTTATGTACAGATTATCATCTTTAAGCCAGTTTTTCTCCAACAATTGTTATACAAGGCTTAACAATCAATATAATGCAGTTTTTACTTTAACTTTCAGGTTTTATGTCACCACTGTTGGTATCATAGTTGGAATTTTCACTGTCAAAACAAGATATCTGGTAGCTGTTGTAGTTTTTAGCCTTTCTGTATTCAATTCTGGCTTCAAAAGTGGTAAATATCATTATTCTATTTTTTCATGTCAAGAGTTAATTGTGTTAACATGCAAGAAGGTTCACACTCATTTCTCTTAAACATAATGTTACAGTGACAAAATATTTCACATCTCAGAATATCTACAATGAATCATATAATGAAGTTCAAAGACTGAGTGATTGTTTTAAGGTCTTATCCACGTCTTTTTTAGAGAGCCAAATTGATAGATTGTTTATATTTAAATGTTTGTTCTGCAAAGAACTTTTCATTTTGCTTTTCAGTTGTCACAGAATTCTTGAGCTATTTTCACAAGATACCATCACGCTTGGAACACCGAAAGCCAGAAACCATGTCTTATGGTTTTGATGATGAGGTTGTTATGGAATTAGAACAGAAGCATTATAATTTGCAGGTTTGATGTTGCATATGATAAAAATATGATTTTCAACTTCAGCTACTTTGTACACAACAGCTGCACAATGATATAATTTTCTTTGCAAGTTTCTTAGCCTTGACCTATATTCCTTAAATTGTGTGATTTTGTAGATATGAGAAACTTTGTCCTGAGGTAGCCAGCTTTTATCAGTTTACTCAAAGATGTAGTCATGAAGCAGCCGACATTAACCTGGAATTATTTCACATGACGGAAGATTTAAGTCAATATTTTGCTCAAAAAAGTAAGAATGCTTAGATTTTTCCTTTAAAACATTAACACTGCTAAGGTAACCGAGAGGTGTAGCGTTCACCATATGATCATGAATCAATGTTTACCACAGGCAAAAGAATCGTTCCACGCTCTGGAAGATGACCTTGAATCAAGCTCTTCAACTGACTCGGAAGATTTAGCCATTAAGCCAGAAGTAAAGGTACTGCTTGACTTTGAGAGGATAGTGTTAAACGAAAATCTTTCTTTTGAAAAAGGCAGACTGCTTATTAATGTTTTATCAACACTATTATTGATAAATTTTAGGTTTTTCAGATAACTATTTTAAAATCGAATAAAATGTTGACCTGAACAATCGAATTAAATAAAAAAATCGAAGAGAATATTTAATGAAGCCTCGTTTAAAAGCAAAATTTGTTTAATGTTGATGAGTTAAAGGATACAATACAAGTTTTGGTCGTTTAAAAACAACTTTGCATAACTTAAAATCCTTTTATCAAATCAGCATAGAAATAGTGTTGTATCCAAGAATATAATTGTATGGAATGTTCAGAAGCATATAAGGAGTTTCAGCACGATCGATTGAGCATTTATAGATTAGCACTTAATCTCCCATCTGCCAAGTCAAAATGTTATTGTATCTAGGCAAAAGGCCTCAGATTTTTCACTTTAGAAGCATAATATATTAAATGGCCATTTCATACGTCGATTACTTACCCAAATTTTTATAAAGTCATCATCCTCTATATCTGAATCAATGCCAGTTGATAGATTCTACTCCCCGTCGGAATATGCTGTTTCCAATGGGTCCTTTTTCTAATTTTTATGACCAGATGTGGCAACTCTTCTTATGATGCAACTCCCCTTCGTGCATCCAAATGGCATGCGCACTAAACTTCATCTTAAGTTTGAGCAAAGAGAGTGACTTACCCATGGAAATCTTTTGCCTGTTTGTCGAAGAAAAAATTCTTCTCTATTACCGTAACACGACTGTTTTACTTTTCTAGTCTGTTGTCAATATGAATTTTGTGCAAAATCAAGAAAGGCATAGAGAGAAATCAGGTATTTTTCATATTTCTTTACTGCTAGCCCTTTTACTGGCATTTGTTGTTTATCGGAGTCCTTTATTTTCATTTTGATTGCGTGATCAAACATTATACTCTGTTTAATATGTAAGAGCTCATTCGATCATGGAAATTAACCTGTTTTGCAGACTTTAAAGGGATTTCTTTCTTGATTCTGAGAAGCCACCCCAAAAGTACCTACATCTCCTGCCCATAGAACCACCTTTTTTGTTTTTCTAATATCACATTTGTGTTTTAGTACTAATGATTATGCTTTCTCCGTCTTGCTCAAGTCAGACGTTAATAGTTGCCACACCTTGTGCTCCCAACCCCTACAGACTGATTAACCAGTAAACTATAACGATCCCTGCGAGTTGCCGAGACATTACTCTATCGATTAACTGATAGTTATTTTTCACAGGATTATCGATTGTATCAAAATTTGCGTCAAGCACCTTAGCATCGTTTACACGCCGTCGGCAAAGGCAAGGTTTGTACGCAGCCGTTTGAAACAACACACTTATTCACCACACACAAAATCTGTATTTTTTCTTTGTTTTCTTAGAATGTTTTAACAAACTTTATGACATTTTCCGCAAGAAGACTGAGCACTTTTCTAGACTTCTCATACAATCTCTTCTCAAATAATGATAGCGTTTTAGTGCGATTTTCAGTCAATAACTTGCAGATACTTTCAGGGTTGCTATTTGGCTGTTTTGACGGCCAAATTCCTCTATTTTGGCCATTTTTCAAAGCTATTGGCCGTCCAAAATTTATTTGGCCGAAAAAGTAAAAGTTGGCCAAATTTAGGTCGCATGTTCAAAGCCACAAAAATACAAAGAAAACGACAATTTTTACACAGAAAATATTCAACATTTTGTTAAAACAATCTCAAAATTGCAAATAACGAAGCAAGAAACAAAATTAAAGAAAACAGAAAATTGAAATTGAAAGCAAGTTGGAGCTTTTGTAACAAACAAAGCCAATTTTGATTACACTATTACTCTAAAGACTTAGCCAAAATGTAGCTTTTTTGTATATTTTGTTTGGCTGGCCGAATTTGGATCGCCGAATTTAGCCGTCACGCGTAAAATATTTGGCCGCCAACCATTCCAAGCATCTTGCAACCCTGGATACTTTTCCAAAGGCAGACAAGGCAGAAACATCATTCTAAAGATAGCGACCCTATCCGCTTAAGGATCCTTGACTAAAATGGGTTTATTTTTAAGTTATCTTATCACTTTTGTTAGCTTTATAGAAGACAGTTTTTCTTTTAAGTCTTTTACGTAGGTAGCATTCTTCGACATTCAACCATTTAACCTCATTTCTTTCTTGTTTATATTTTGAATGTTTAAGTTGTAGACATTTTCTTTCAGGAAATTGTTCCTCTTGCAGTGTACAATTTTCAACGATCTTAAAAAAAAGAGTAGGTGAAATTTATGAAATCATTCCCATATTTCAAGTAAATATATAGAATTTCTGTAACTGAATTTTCTACCAAGAATTGTTATTTGATATCAAGACGTTTAGTAGACAATTCTTATATAAAAAGTTATCCAACATAACGTGCCTGCAAATACTGCTTTTTAAAGTTGTGTTCGTGTCAACGATTGTGATTATTTTCCTTAGACCTACTGCAGACATTGTGGGTATAGCTATTGTTCAAAATGCTGTAACCAACGAGTTCCTCGAGTCGTATTTGGAGCAACAGGTAATTGAAGCAAAGATTATACCATTTATTTTTACTTAATTTGTTACTCTGAAGTCGAGAATAACGAGAGGTTGCGATGCAAGGGGGGGGTCCTTACCAGCTCAAGCATACGATGAACCGGGGATATCAAACAGGGGGTCGCAGTTAAAAAAAATTCAATAGAGCCGAAGTTCTGTTGAAGTGATCGCAAGGATATTTCGAATCTTGATTTTTTAGTTGAGCATTTTCGTCAGTGATGCAAATGGCTTCAATTGTTCTTCAAAGTGTTCTTCAATTGTAGAGGTTCTTCAAAAATCCAGACAAAATAAATGACACACACGGGGGTAACCTCTGAATTATCAAGATTTGCATACGAAAGCTTGAGCAAGAATATCTCTCCCTGCACTGAAACGTAGCGATAGGCCATTATAAGGCCAGAGTTATTAGGAAACGAAGTTATTAGGCCTTTTTATGCTGGCCTAATAATTTGATGATTCCTTTTATCAGATATGAAAGATTTCATTGGAAAGAAGGCCTTTTGCAACTACTGGATATTTCTATGCATCAAGTATTTATATTTTTAGCGTCAATACCTTCTCTTTATCTATAGTTTTACCGTCATCTTCTTTATAATTGCCATCAAATTTTCTGTATCTTCTTCTTAACCTACCATTTATATTTTTCCATTCTAGCACCGGCTGCTTATGAAGAGAGGGTACTAGTGTGCAAATCTTGTTATGCCTTTCTGATGAATCGAATGAGAGGAACTAACACTGAGATTGTGGAATGAATACTGTCACTGTAGCGTCTCGCCATTAGTAAATTGTCATGATATGCAGGACAGCAATTTATCCTGCTTTGTAGATATTGATCAATGTGCTGGCTGTATATGTTAATACTTATAATACAAACAGCTTTGTATGTAGCACTTAGTCCCAGCAGCCCAAACGGTTGCCTTTTCAAAAGCCCACGGTTTCGCAATATTTTTTCGTTTCTTAGTCAGTGTAATTGAAGTAAGCTGCATTTATGAATCCTACAGTCAACGACGCTCTTTTACAGCGTCAATATTCTTTGAAGAAATGATGAAGCCACACATTAATTCCACACCTTTAGTTTCACTTCTTTAAAGCCACACCCTTAAGCAACACCCTTCTACCGTATGGGTACTTTGACAATTTTGTAGAATGATATGAATATGTTTTGCCACGGTGTTTTTGGTACAAGCATCTTCTTGTATTTAATCTTATGCTAGTTAAAAATCCTTTAATATGTAAATAAATCGAAATGCTCTGTTTAATCATTCTAGCATTTCGTTTAATAATACCTAATATGATCGTAAAGATATTTATTTATAAATGGGAAAATTATATTTTATTTGGTTTTTAATAATATTGAATGCTTGATATCAGCAATAATTTTTGTATCTTAAAAGCAATAAATTTTTTAGCTTAATTGCAACGTATAATAGAATTTTACTTTGTTTATGTTTGAAACATTCGCTAAGATTTTTAGCTTGGATTATAATGTTTAAGCTTCTAACTGTTAAATGGTTTTGTTGCAGTAAACAGATCTTCAGTTTTTTCTAGTTCTTCTGTTTTTCGCTCCCCTTTCGTATTTCCTATTCTTACAGCTGGATAATGTCGAATAATAACAGCTTTTGTAAAGCTGGTTGTTAGAGATTTCGAAACAACTTTGCCACTAAAACAACATTGTATCTTGAGAAAAATAAAGCTGTTTTTGTGATTCTTGCCATATTTGGTTTATCATATAGAAGTTATCTTATAGTGTGCTGATAAAATATTAGAGGGCAATTTTGTTCTTCCAGTTATGAAACAGATGTTGTTCACAACATAATTTACGTAAAATGTCAACAGTACTTTAATTGAAGAAAATTAAGAACTTTGTCCAGAGATACTTTGGACCTTGCACAGAGTTGTAAAATTACTGTTTTTGTACGTAAAATAATTTAAGGCAAGACCAAAAGCTGCTTTGAACTTTACTGCCAACTTATTTGATATCCTTCTTTAGACTAAATATGAATTTGTCGAATATGATAATTTATAGGATCAGCAATTGATATAGGAGCGGACAGAATTTCTGTCGACGATGGCTCGTAATTTTCCTTGTTCTTACGTAAGTTGTGTTACCTTGCAGAGAATTACAGTAATTGAATATTTGATGAATTAGAGAAATAGAAAATGCAAGAAGGTTTTGGAGATTCGTTTTTGTTATTGCTGTCATTTTTATCATAGATACAAACTATTTCCTTAAAGCAATAATCAGACAAATAAACGAGCTTTGTTTATTCATCGTAGGTTTATCAGAATTACTTGCATGAAAGAATGCTAGGCAGATTTTTTAGTCATGCGCATTGGGAAAAATTCCATGCATACATACGTTACTGAAGATATCTGTTTGTATATGCTGCAAAAAATATCATTTTCTAGATCGAAACCGCAGAAAAGTGAAAACCTGCTGTTCTTTCAAGTTCACATTTGTGATTAATTTTTATTTTGATGGTTCCAAAAAGATGTCCAAAAAAGTATTTCTGCTGTGCAATATCACATCAAGAAAAAAACCTTCAAATAGCATTCCTTCTTTAATCTTTTTTACTTCAGTACTTGAAGATTTTTAAACACCAAATTCTAAAGAGCTACTTTTTAGAAACACAAAAATGTAGCATGAGATAACATGAGATAGCATGCGATAGCTCAACAAAAACGAAGAGAAGAATATTCCCATCTCATCTCCATCCATCCCATCTCTAAAGCAAGAATATTCTAGAAGTTTCTTCAGGTCGAGAAAGAAAATTTCTTAAAAACATTTCTTATAATATAAGGAAAGTAAATGACACCATTTCAATTGATTTCTACTTGTTTATGATTCCGCTCTCAATGCTACACCCAGGTAGCGGCAGTAATGGTTTAGTGGTGTAAGTGACAGACATAGACAGAAGTCTCTTCTATGGTGGTCCAAGTAAATCTTGTGCCACAAAATGGTAAGCACAATACCCACAAACCAGCATTGGCTTTTTACAGACAGTATGGTAACATATTTAGCTTTCTTTTTATCATCAATCGAAACCTAAGGAGAAAAACAACAGTGGGGAAGGATCTGGGAGAGTACTTGCAATTCAACAGAATTACAATAATAAGTTTGTCTCACATAAGATGTCGGAAAAATTGTTTATAAAGATAAGTTTTGAACTGTCATAAACGTTGAAGGAAATTTCCAGGATTATCTAATGTGTGACAAACGATTAGATAAACAAAATACAGTAAATAAGATAGGTAGGGCGCTGCTGGTAGTTTTATTCAGTTTACTCTAGCCTTCCAGTTGACAAAATGAATGGTCAAGCTCAGCTTGTTTGCAATATTGTTGAAACGTGGATTACCAAAAAGGAGTAGTTCACATAAAGCCTCAGAGTTAGGATCCTTGGATTTCTGGCCCTGGGATTTCTGGAAGCTGATCAAAAAGATCGTTACGCATTTGGTCATACATGGGGCAGTGCAGGAGAAATTGCTCATTGTCCTCAATGCCTGTATTGCACGTGCAGATGGGACTCAAAGATTCAAAGTTGTGCGGAAACTTGTGCTCGCTTAGGGGACTGAATCTAACCCGGAGCATAGTTAAGCATCTCACACCACGTGTTAATAATTATATATTTAGGTTAATGCTGAATTTATATTTCATATTCTAATTACTTACACAATAAACCCTTGAGTTTTAACTGAGAATGAGAAATAAGTCTGATTTATATAAATAGTTGAAACGTTAAAGAAATCGAAAAAGGTATCATCAAGATAGAAATTGCTGTTCTTCCCGCAAGGCAAGTTTTATATTCTCATCTCAAAAATTGTGTTTTGAGGCCATTTTCTTAAATTTGTTTAATTAAGGTACGCAGAGTCCTTATATTCAAAGAAATTGAACTCTCAGCAATATATGAGAATCCTTTCTTTGAGTGCTCTGACAAATGCAAATAAATCTCTTCATTTTTGAAGGTCTGGTGCTTCAGACTGTAACTAACTTTCAGCAAAATTAAAGCACAAAAATACAATAATAGAGATGCAAAACACAAAAGGAGAACATTGATTATCAATAAAAAAAACTCTTAAAGACTTAACCGATATTATGCAATATTCAGGAACTTCTTTTATAATTATTCCCCATAGTTTAATTTGGTATAATTCTTAAATGATAATTTGAAAATAATTTGATAATAAACTTTGAAACGCAAAAAATGCAACACGGTTTTACAATAAGGATTGAGGTGGGAAGAGCCAGCAATACAAAGATGGAGAGACAAGGTCAGAGCAGCTTGCTCTAGGGATTACAGCAGGGTGAATGTAGCAAAAGAAAGGAAAAAAGCTGAAGAGCATCGAACAATCCACGTCTTGAAGGGATGCTGCGAAGATTTCCATACGACAGCCTTCTCTTTTTCGCACCCTAATATGTGGCTAAAGGTGAGGTTTTTCCAGGCAAAATGCGTTGGTGTGAAACCAAACTCACCATATGCTCCAAGTAATTTTGTGAAATGACACCCCTGACAATTTAATTCTCACAATTACCGATAAACCAAGATCATAATTTCAACTTTTACTGATAATCCCAAAAATATCGCCGGCTTCTTCAAGAAGTGGGCTGTGACCGAGAAGCCGTGACCCCCACAACTGTGAACCCCACCACCTGTGAACCCCACAACCAACCTCCACTTGCCTCTGTACTAGTGCAATTGACCCCTTTTAAGGGCTTTATAAAGTAACGTAGATCAGCTGGGATTGAAGAAGATGGTTTCCAGCTTTTTTCACGATGAAAGGCCTCCTAGAATTCTAGAATCTAATCACTTTGATTTCACTAACTGCTCATTCGAGCTGAGTCCATCATCAATAGTCATCATGGGTGATTAAGTTTTGCTAACTTCTTATATTTCAGAATCATTTTATATTAGAGATCGCTCTGTACCTTTCCCTTATAATTGCACACATGTCAATGCTATTTACTGTGGATTCGAGCTTAGTTTACTTTGCTACATCATTTCAGAGACTTTGTTGGAATTTAAATGTTTGATATTTGTGTGATTTACCGTTACATGTGCCTCGCCACGTATAATGGCCATTATCCAAGACTGGCTAGAGTCCAAGATTGAACTCAATTCAAAACTTGGCATAATTAAAGGCCGGTCAAAATTTGAGAGCGGTTTTTGAAGCTAAAACGACCTCTTTTGCATAAAAAATTATTACTTTTCACCTTTTTTTTATAAATAAAGCTATCTTTGAATAGAGGGCTGCAAATCTCAAACCGAGAAATCTCAAAATCAATTTACCAGAAAATATCTGACTACACACATAAACCGAAAGAAAAAGTGTAGAAAATAAAAAAATTCTATTGCCTGGAAGTAAGTAACAAGAAACTTTAATTGTAGAATTCCATACCTGCCTTAGTATGACTTACCATCGATATACTAAACTTATTTTAACTATTGATTAAATAAATGTTCCTGGTAAATGATAACGTTGGTAAATTGTAAATGATTATGTTCCTCGACCAGCATGAAGAAATAATAATTGTGGGAAACTGAACACTTCAGCATGGAGAGAATTAACTTTATAGGAAGCACGGATATCGTAATACGATTAAATACAGTTTAGAATTAGAAAATAGAAGGAGAAATCTCTAAAGGAAAGGAGTACATTTGCAAGAGATTAATGAATGAAATGGAGCTTGTTGCTTGACAGCCGCCGGATAATCTTGTATATGACATGGCTGGGTGTGACTTTAAACTGTCTAGTATCAAAGTACAAATGATACTTTTAATACAAAATGATAGCATTTGTAATTTCAATGCTCTTTTTTGCGAGTCGATCTGAAAAACCCTCTGAAAATTGGAGACTTGGAGACAAGGATAGAGTCATAGCCGCAACCCACCTAGCTCTCCCCTTGTGCCATCCCTTTTAAAGTACCAACTTGTGTAAAAGGAGATAACCATGAAAAGAGATTTTATAAATCCTGATGGGAAAGGAGAGTTGAGACCGAATAAAGGCCTATATGTACAAATAATTATTGCCATAAGGATGAAAACGTCAATTGTGGAAGTAAAAAGCAAGACTAATAAAGTTGCGAAAATGCAAATACTTATGCAATAATTGCATTAAGAGAGAAAATATGCTTATAGATTATACGGCTTTCTGTCAAACAGTGACAAAGAGAGGGGGCTGCACAACGGAGCACAATCCCTGATGTCTTGGGAGGCTACAAGCTGGTCAACTAAAACACGAATCAGAGGTGGGTAGCATATATTTCATTTTGCAGTGTTTCTAATCGTTCCGATATACTATTTCATCCAAGATGAAAATATTGCTTCAACTAAAAGGTGACTCCTTGGAAACTTCTTGAAAAGACCAGCCAGAGGTGCCAAGAAAGGAGTATCTCTTTAAGGGTGTGGTCATAAGTGTATGCTGCTTTTATGTGTTACCATTTGAAGATTCATATTTTAGTGCCATACTTCGAAAGTTCCACTGCTACAGAAATGTTAATACGTTACAATGGTTGCAAAAAGTTAATTAAT